TATTGTGATCAGACAGACCTCCATCTGGAACTCAGCTCCTCTGAGTTAGTTAGTGAAAGAAAGAATCTTCCAGCCCTGCGCTTCAACTTATTTATCTACACATGAATGAGCAATCAGGTATGATTACATATTATTAGTAGGATATGTTGAATGATACTGACAGACCCAAGTTTATCGAGGGCACTTCTAGGATAAGTGGGGACTTGAACCCATGTCTCCCTGCTCTAAGTCCAACATTCAAGGTATTGCAATAAACTGGCTAAAGCAGGGATGGGGGAATCTGTGGCAACGAAGGTGTTGCTGGACTACAACTCCCATCATCCTGGACTGTTGACCATGCTGGCCGGGGCTAATGGGAGATGGAGTTGAAGAATATCTGGAGAGCCACAGAATTCCCATCCCTGGGCTGAAGGCTTCCAGATATGAGAAGCATTGCGTCCGAAAGGGCCCTCATTCACTGAAATCATCAGACAACAGCATCCTGAACTATGAATCATTCCTAACCTTCTGTTTACGTTGCACTGCTGTTTGTTTTCCAGTGAGTGAATCCACAATGACTCCAGAATCTATTCCCTGAGTGGTAGCAGCCATTAAGACTCCAGCAATCTCTGCATCCACAGGGGAAGTTGGGATTATTTTTCCCAACCTTCATCACTTCTGCACATTGCCTCATCACAACAGAGCCCGCGTCTCATTTCTAATTGCATTGCGCAAATCCCCTTTCCTTTGCCAGCCGCCCTGGTGCCAAAATCCGAGATGAAGTCAAACTTGTTCTGCCCCACAAATAAATCCACAATGCAAAGAAGAGGTAGAAATAAAATGAAACCTTTTGTATTTTGGATATAAACCACCCACTTTTGGCTGAGTTGGATTCAGCCTTCATTGCTCACAAGGTTATTTGTATGCAACATGAACAGGGATCAAATCATTTTCACCAGCCCCTATGAAATTCTCCCATGATCCCGTATCATTTTGTTTTAACCATTTTTGTTTTAAAGGGTGGGTCCAATCCCTCTGTTCTGTCAAGTAAAGGTGGAGATGTGTGGTTTGTTTTTCCAGGGACATACCACTTTTATCCATCAGTTATTGGCTGCGTTCACATCATACACTGAAAGAAAGCACTCGGCTTCTCTCAAAAAGCCCTGGGAACTACGATTTGCCACCCACAAAGTTACAATTCCCTGCACCCTTAACAAATGACAGTTCCCAGGATTCTTTGGGGGAATTCAAGCACCATCTATGGTTACATCCATACAATACATTTAAAGCATATTTAAATCAAGTGGCGCGTCCCCCAATAACTCCAATTTGCTAAGACTCCTGGGAACTGTAGCTCTGTGAGGGGTAAACTTCAAATCCCAGGATTTGGGGGGGCTTAAGCCATGTGTTTTAAATGTATGGTGTATTTATTGATGTATTTTTCACTGAGCCTATCACTATGGACCTCAAGATGGTTCCCCTCCATTTTATCCTCACAACAACCTTGTGAGGTAGGTAAAAGAGACCCAATGAGAAGTATAGTCCAGGCTGGCTCCAAGTTTGAAGTAGACCTTTGGAAAAGTGAGTCCTCTTCTACATCAGTGGGTTCACCTGGCGGTGACAGCATTCTCATCAATGGCAGACAGCAAGGGGCTATCTAAATTTCCCATAATGCCCTGGAGCCATGCCACATCAGGGGCATTATGGGAAACATAAATGATAACTGCCAACCCCACAATGGGTGGTGGGCAGCCATTTTAATTTCCCACAATGCCCCCAGAACAGTGGTGCATTGTGGGAAGTGGAGCCGGCCACCCAGCCAGCACCAATCAGACATCAGCAGCGGTCTGTGCCACAGCGCTGGAGCTGGTAGCTACTCAAGGATGCTGTGCTGTGTGGCACCAGGCCTGAAAACAGCAGGAGGAAGAGCCCAACTGCTAGAACAAAGTTCCTGGGCCAAACAGAGCAGAATTGAAGTCAATATTTGGTGTGTGCTTTCCCAAGCCACTTAACTCCACGGAAGTGGCAACAGGTCCGCATCACATGCTATTTTTGTATACCTGAGAAAGAGGAACAGAAGATTCTCATCTGCTCCATTTCGCGGCTACCCAAAAGCAGAGGCCTCACGTCTAAAAGTGGAGGTCTTTTGCACAAGGATGGGAAAGGCATACTTCTCAGTGCTTCCCAACCATACAACCATACTATCATCATTGCGTTTATTTGTATGCAGCCTTTCCTCAAGAATTGTGTTTATTTATAACCAGCCTTTTTCGCACACCAGGACTCAAGGCAGCTTACAGAAATAAAAACAACACGGATAACATACAGAAAGCTGAAAACCATATACAGGATCATAGAATCTTAGAACTGTAGAGTTGGGAGAGGGACACTGAGGGTCACCAATGCAGGGATTTCAGCTAAAGCAGGCATGTCCAAAGTCTGTTTCGGGGCCTAATCCGGCCCGCTGGTCGATTTAATCCGGCCCCTGTGGCAGTTTATTTCCTGGGGTAAAATCCTTTAAAAACCCTCAATAACTTCAATCCTAAAAGAAGCTCAACAACTCCAACTCTTAAAAAGGTCAACAACTTTGGTCGGCCCCCACGGCCCTTCAGGTCATCAAATCTGGCCCTCTTTGAAAAAAGTTTGGACACCACTGAGCTAAAGCATCCATGACTGATGGCTACCCAACCGCTGCTTAAAATCCCACAATAATGGGGAGTCCCCACCTTCAGAGAGAGTCCACCCCACTATCAAACAGCTCTTACAGTCAGAAAGTTATTTCTTGTGTTTAGTCAGAATCTCCTTTCTTGTAAGGTAATAGTAATTAAACTATATAAAAATTATAAAACCAAATCTATTAAAATACAGACAGTAAAAACAGCAAAGCACTATTCAAAGCACTTTCCTTTTAAAAAAAGAAAAAAAGTTCCCAAAAGCTTTTCAGAATAAAATAGTCTTCACCTGCCAGCAGAAGGACAGCAAGGAAGGAGCCGGTCTAGCCTCTCTAGGAAGGTAATTCCAAAGTCTGGGAGCAGTTTAAAGAGCCTTACAACAATGCAGTGGTTCAGTTACACTATATTTCTCAATAAAAATATTTTGTAAAGCACAATTTCGTAACAGTAGTAGTAGCAAAATAGTAGTAGCAGCAAAAAAGCAACAAAGAACACAGTGTGGAAAACAACATTTCAATATTGTAAATGTACGCTTCAATATTGTTAATGTAAACATTGCACTTCTGGCAGTAGCAGCAGCAAAAATAATAATTTTTAACAGTTTTACCCTGGTCCTAGATATTCTAGTAATGCAATTCATAGGATTAGCTTTGTCTTAGCAATATGAAAAGGTCAAATGAATACAAACTCCAACCAAACAAATGTACAGTAATACCATAAGAATCCTTGGTTTTAGCCTAGTTTTTGAAAGGTGAATTTTGTCCTGGATTTTGCCCCAAAGGGAAACCCCCTCCAGATATTCCAACCCTAGGGAAGAGAGAAAAATCCTACTCTTTGAGATCTAGCAACTTGATACTGCAACCAATCTGAAATTAGGCTGTTTTCATCACACAAACATGTGGGCCAAAGTCTCATTTGTTGCTTCAGTAAGTAGTCGATTAAGTGTGTCAGGTACATAGGCCCTGAGCAAAGAGACACAAAACTGGAGGCGGGCTTTGGAAAGTGAAGCCAAAAGGTCAAGCAATGGAACAGATAAGGAGTAGGTGTGTCTTTCCACTATGTCCAATCAAACGAATGCATAAGCCAACCAGTAGGGGCGTGACCCACTTCTAACAAGCAGGCCCTGGTGATAGGCATAACAAGAGCAATACAGTATAAGGAAGAAATAGTAGAAGTTATACAGCAATTGGAATGGGGGGGGGGGCAAGCTGGAACAATTCAATTAGAGTTTGAATGTAGGCAAAATATGCAACGGCCCTTTACACCTTCAGAAATGCTGAGTCAATCAGCATCTAAAGTGGGAAACCACTGTCTGTATTCAGGCCCAAACGAAAGGAATTGAATTTCTTGAGAAGTTCTGAAGCAGCAGCTTCTCACTGCAGCCTCCCTTTGAAGTTCCTTTGTTATCCTTTCAGGTGTTAACAGAGTTGACGCGTAAGAATGAAAAGCAAAGTGGGGTGCGCAGGAAAAAAAACCAAAAAACCCCAAACAGCAATTCAGGGGACGAGTCACTCAGATGCCCTTATAAACAAAAAGTTCCCTCGCTTTTCTTGGAAAACGCTTGGGAAATTAGCAGGAGGAGGAGGAGGAGGAAGGCATCGCGCGCGCGCGCGACCAGCGGGAACGCGCCGTATTGCGCCACCCGCTCCCCCCCGTCCAGCGCCCTGTGGTTAATTGAGCCATTCGCGAGGGCCACCTCTTTCCAACCGCGTGGCAGCAGATTAACATCCCCTCTGTATTTGCATAACAAAAGGCAGGTCAGGGCGAGGAATGCGCTCCCCACCGGGGCCCGGGAGTTAATTATAAACAATGCGCCTCGCAATATCTTGGCCGGCAGCCGGCAGCCATCCTCTGCGCCCTCTCACCCGCTCACGCTTCGCCAATCGCCAGGGGAGAGCAAAGGCTGCAAGGATCCTCTCCTCGCCCCCCCCCCCCGTTTTCCACTCTCTTCCTCTGTCCTCGTGTTTGTTTGCATGCATTCACACGTTACGTGCGCGCACGCCATCGTGTGCAAGATGAACGCCGGCAAGGAGGGTTGTTAGGCGAGCCGGTTTGGAGAGGGAAGGAGGAGAGATGGACAGATGGAAGAAAGCAAGCAGGCAGGCAGGCAGGCAGGCAGCGCTTCCCCCCACCCGTCCTTTCCTCCTCCTGCCTTTGCATATGCTGCAAACTCCCGCCATTGTGTTGCAATCCCTCCTTCTTCGGAGATGAAACAAAAACAGGTAGGCGGGACCCTGCGATTCTTCACCTCGGCCCCCTCTTCGCCGCTTTGGAAAAAGCATCCAGGCTTGGGAGGGGGCAGAAGAGCCATTTGGGAGAGCTGGACCAATCAGAGGCGCAGGGGCGGGGACTTTGGCTCCGCCCCCCCTCCGGCTTCTCCCTCTCTCTGTGTGTATGTATATATATTAAAAAACGCTGAAGTTTAACCTCCTTGCAAATACACACAGCGGCGCCTGAGAGGGTTCGGCTGGGAGCCGGAGAAAGAGGAGGCGGAGGAGCAGCAGCAGCAGCAGCAGCAGCCGCCGGAGGGACCCGCCGCTTGGAATTGATGCGGCCGGGCTGGGGGTGCCTTTGCAAGCGCGGCGGGCAGGCTGGCCAGCTCGCTCGTGGGAATAGCAGCCGCGTGTAAGGAAGGAAATAAAGAGGAGCCGCCGCCGCCGCTTTCCTCCTTCTGCCGAGGTGACTTTTCCAGCCGGGCCATTTGCGAGTTTGCAGCCTTCCCTTCGGATCGCCGCCTTTGGGGTATGTAGCCGAGGAGGGAGCCGAGCAAACCACGGCGGGGAAAGGAGGGTGACATTGGGCGTCGAGAGGCTCCGCAGAAACGGCCGCGATCTGAAAACTATTATTATTTATTTTTGCATTGCCTGCCGTTCGTCAGGGTGGCCAGGAAAACGGGCTTTTTTCCTTCTCCTTTCCAGCCTCAGCACCACCCCGAGCCCTCATTTGCGCGGAGCGCTCCTTCGGCGGCATTGTCTTTTGCTCGGGAGCAGGCAGGGAAGGGTTAAACTTCTGTGTTCAAAGTGCTGATCTTTGTGCTGGCGGAATGTGCCGGGGCGGGAGCTGCCTGGAGCCGGCAAAGGGGAGGAGGAGGAGGAGGGAGAGAAAAAGAGAGGGAAGCGGGGAGGGGGGTTGGCCATGGGAAGCGGGTTAGGGAACGGGCGCGCTGCTCCTTGCATTCTGCGAGGCCGGGTTCTGCGATCCGACGGCGTCGGGGAGGTTGCAACAGACTTCTTATTTCCATGCACAAGGTCGCCTTCGTTTATCCGGATGTAAAACCCATTGCATAAATGCTCTGTTCGCTGCCAGCGGCCTGCTTTCGTATTTGCAAGCTGCTTAAGGTGTCCCGGGGTTGGGCAGGAATGACAAATCGGTGACTTGGGGAGGGTGGCGAGGTAACCAACCTCGATTTCATTGCCTACTGAGCTTGCAGCGTCCTTAAGCGGATCTTCATCCTCCCGGGCGGTAGGGGGCAGCATTGTCGTTCCCCTGTCGCTCCTCTAGGGGGCGCCGTGGAGCCTCGGCTTGGGTTAAGAGGGCCACCAGCTTAGATCTGTTTTTATAAGGGGGTTGGATGAGTGCATGCCTGGCCAGTCTGTTAGGATAGGGCAATGCATCCTGATATCAGATCCTGTTGGCTGAGTATATGTCAGCTGGGAAGTAAAGGGGGGGGCCATCGGTGGAGGTACTTGTTTCTACATACTTGGAGAACAGAATTTTAAAACCTCAGCCTAAGAGTTGTGGATTGAAAGGGGAAGGGGTGTATGCTGTGAGCTTAAGCACCCATTATTGCACTTTCAAGAACCATGATACATACAAAAGGATTTAGGTTGACAGCCCAAACTTTGTCCCTGAAGCACTAGATAGCCTTGCGGGGAAAAGCCATGGGAAGAAGAGTCGTCCCCCCTCTCCGCACACACGCTTTCTTTTCCTTTTCCTCCCCCTGGGAGGCCTAGGCAGAACTACATAACCTTTGCTCCAGGGTGACACTGGTGCCCATGTCGGGACTATTTGTTGGGTGGCGACCATACGCTGCAACATCATGTTGCAGTTCCCCACTCCGGCCCATATGGAGCCTCCATGTTCAGGGGCAATATATCTAGGAATTACCAGTTCCTTGGGAGCAGCAGCAACAAGGAGAGGGTTGTGTTAAACAGGCTGTGTTTAACAGCCTTTTGGAGGCATTTGATTGGCTGCTGTGACAAACGGGCTGTTGCATTTGTCCTGGCCCAGGAAGGGCTTTGTGGTCTCTTGTGTCCTTGGATGTGTGTCCCCTTCTCAGCTGGCCATGTTTGTTGGACAGCTCTGCCTTAGTGGACACTCTAGCTGCCTCCCACTATAAACTTTTCCTCCACCCCCAAAGCCTCTCTACCACATGACCTGTTAGGGAAGGGGGAGTCGCTGCCATCTGCCACTGTAGATAAGAGTGAGGTTGTAATTCTATATGTGCATGCGCGCACACACAAAGCACAGTTTCCTTCAGTGCGTTGGCTCTAGGCCGTTGCCCTAGCCTTGATGGGCACAACCTGGGTCCAGCCAGAGGTTGGCACACTTAATGCTCCTATCACCCCAGCCATTGGGCCATTCTGACAGGCTGATGAGAATTTGGGGGCGGGGGCAGGAGTACAGGGAGGGTCACACATTCTCCACCCTGGCTTTAGAACAGTGTTTCCAAAACTTGAGTCTCCATCTGTTTTTGGACTACAACTCCCATCATCCCGAGCTAGTAAGACCAGTGATCATGGATGATGGGAATTGTAGTTCAGGGGGAAACAGCTAGTGAGTCAAGTTTAGGAAACACTGTTTTAGAGAAACAATATGTGCCTGTTAACTCGCAAACCAGGTTTGCCTCTCCGCTGAGTTCTTGGCCCAGCCTACCTTGCAGGGTGGTTGAGAGGATGAATGGTGCAGAAACCGTGAGTGTGTCACTGTGAAACACCTTGTCGAAAAGATGTCTACAAAATATAACTTCTGGAGCAGGGGAAGGGGGCACTTGGGAGCCCCATACCCTCTAGAATGGGGCAGCCCAACTTTTCACACCAAGTGGCTGCAAGAGTACTTCTCTCGGGCAGGGGAAACGAGGCAAAAATTTGACAACAAACACCCCCCCCCCCGCTGCCTTCCCAAGGCTCTGGCAGGATCCCACCTCCTTCCCAAATGTGGGAAAGTGCTAAGGAGGCTTTGGGAAGGAGGCAGGAATACTCTAGGACTATGTCAGAGCCTCACACCGCCTTTCCAAAGCCCATTTCCTTGCTTATCAGCTTTGGGAAGGAGGCACGAAGGCTGGGGGCTGCCAAAAAAGGCCTTGACCATCCCACTCTAGACTCATGTGTTGCTATCCCAGGAGCAGGCTTGCTTATGTCGTGGCAGCAGTGTTAGAAACTCGGGTATATAAACTAGGCGCCAAATGGCCCCTTAAACCACAGTTACAGTCGCCAAAACAGAATGTCTAGTCGCCATTTTTGGGGAGGCGCCTCTAAAGTCTTAATTTTCAAATGATGGGCTGGCTGACTGCGATTGATTCTCAGTTGAACATCTGGCTAGTTCAGAGGACAACCTTGAGCTAGGTTAATAATTTGGAGAACTTAAAGAAGAAAAGTCACTTGATCCAGGGACAGTCCACATATATCGGCCTATTCCGACCTCTTTTTCTTAACGGTGACTGCTGCTGCTCTGGCTGCACAGAAAAAGCGTTCGGGGTTCCTGAAATTCATTCCAGTTGTGCAGGTTTAAAAGATAACAACTAAGAGAATCCTATAGGATGTGGTGTTAGCGTGTGATCCCCGGGCACGCACCTTTCCAGGTGGCAGAGATATCAGGTGCTGTCCTGGCTCCAAGCATTTTCACTTGGTCGCAAGCGGTTGATTGCCAGGGTGCAAAATGCGCCTGGCTAATTTCAAACACTGCCTGGTCTTTGGGGGGGACGGGACCCTGTGCTGCCTTGTACGTGACCCTCCTCCTCTTGTCTTCCAGTGCCCAGCTTGCGATGGCTGACCACATGATGATGTCGATGAGCCACGGGGTGAACGGGATGCAGGGCTACCGGATAGGCATGAACGGGATGCAAGGTCCTCCGCAGCAGCAGCAGCAGCACGTGCTAAGGACGCTCCCCGCCAACCACCAGATGATGCAGTACGGAGGCCCTGCCCTGGACGGAGGCATGAGGCAGAGGCCCAGCATCAATGGACAGATGGGTCACCACCAGGTCCCAGGCGCCATGATGTTCAGCAATCCGAGCCAGCAGCAGCAGCAGCAGCAACAACAACACCACCAGCAGCAGCAGCAACAGCAGCAGCAACAGCAACAATACTTGGGACCGGTGGGCACTCAGCAGCTCATGGCTAGCATGCACTTGCAGAAACTGAACACGCAATACCAGGGCCACCCCCTCATGGGCATGAGCAACGGGCCCATTGGGGCAGGGGTGCCGCAATACAGGATGGGACCCGGGCAGCACCTGGGGATGCAGCACCTGCCCTCTCCGGCCCTGACCTTGAACGTTATGGACACGGATCCCATCGACGAAGAGGTCTTGACGTCTCTGGTCATGGAGCTGGGCTTGGACCGGGTTCAGGAGCTGCCTGAACTCTTTCTGGGACAGAACGAGTTTGACTTCATCTCGGACTTTGTCAGCAAACAGCAGACCAGCGCCATCAGCTGTTGAGGTGGCTGTGCTGTGGAAGCTGGCGCTTCTCTTTGTGGCTTGATCTCCACCACCACCACACACCCCTACTTCCTGATCTTCCCCCTGCACAGATCTACAGGCTTTCCCAGGTCACCCTTGCCCCACCTCCTGGAAATAACAATGGACAATCATTTGGAGGCTTCCCCCTCCCCCCGCCCTCTTTTTTGCTTTGCACTGTCGTGCTCCTCTTGTGTAGGGGGAGGGGGGAGGAATCGGAAAGGTGTCTGTGTTGTTGTTTTTTGCAGACGAGACGGCGCAGAGATGGAGTCGTGTCCTCGGGTTGTGCCTATGGCAGCTACAGAATTTCAAGAAAAACAAAATGGCCTTTTTTTCACCTGCATGGCCTTCTCTCTCCCCCCACCCTGCAAAAAACAACCACCGTCTTGAGTTTGGACTACAAGGGGGGGCAAGTTGCTGAGAATCCACTCCGCTGTTGGCTTTGTCAAGAAAGTCTAGCAAGCCCCTCTACATTCAGTGTCTGGTTTTTATTTTTAAGCCATTCTTTCACTGAAAGAGTGGGCAGGAGGTAAAAATAAATAAATGGCTTGCTCTTCTTTGTAAGCCTCAATCTCTTTATTGCTCCTCAGTACTGTGGAATTAGCAACCAGTCTCTCTCCTTGACTTGAAGAGATCAGTGCCCTCAGGTTGTGTTTTGTTCTGTGTTCTTTTTTACTTCCATCGGGTTTTTGTTTTGTTTTTAAAGCGAAACTTCAGCGGATGACATTTTGGGGTTCGGTGCAGGGGAGAGTGGGATTAACCAATCGGTTATAAGATCCTTTGACTTCCTTTTCCGGCTACTACAAACACGGGCTTTTAAGATGCCATCGGAGCTCTTCTTTCTCTGCCTCTGAAACCAAATAAAATCCTTGTAATTGTGTATATTACTGGTTCTTTTTTTAAAAAAAAAATCTTATTTATCACTTGTGTGTTTCTAGTCCGTATTTATTTGGAAGGGCTCGGATTTATTTGCCTTCTGAGATTATTGGGAAGGGCTAACGATAAAGGCTGGGGAATGCATGCCCCTCCAACACTTCCACGGGGTTTTTGTTCTGCTATCAGTAACTGAGAGCAAGGCTGAAAAAAACAAAAACCAGCACCCTATCTATCTATCTCTCTCTCTCCCTCTCTGCTGGGGCTCAAATGTAAATTCTTAGTTCTTAATTGTGTTTCTCGGAAAAGAGGAAAATAAGTTTGCGGCTGAGCAGCTTGTTTCCTTTCTCGGTCTCGTTTCCAAAGGCTTTTGGAAAGTTTGCTGCTCAGGTTGGCAGGCCTCTGGAGTTTCTACTGTCCCCTCTTGTCGCAAGCACACAGTAGCACATCATTGTTGATCGATGAAGTGAGAATGTACAGGTGATTTTTTTTTTTCCAAAATAAAAGCTAAAACCTCAACAATGAACCTGTTTCGTTTGGGTCGTGCCTCTTGCTTTTTAAACCTCCCTGTTTAGAAAATGCAGCGTGGGTCCTGGAAGTGGTTGAAAGTCTCTAGGTTTCCTGTCTTTTTTTCTAAAAAGTGACTTGTGTGCGCTTAAGTGTCTCTCGGACAACCGCGAGTCGTCCCGTTTTCTCTACGAAACCGACAACCAGCACATGTGCAAAGCTAAGCGAGAGTTTCTTGCTTGCCTGGAAACAAGGCACCTCACTTGCACGCAGAAAATCCTAGGTTCAGTTACGGCAGATCCCATTAAAGAAGGATCTCCAAGGAGCAGGTGCTGGGAAGAACCTCTGCCTGGTGGCCTGGAGAGCTGCTGCCAGTCCGTGTACACAATGCTGGGCTCAGTGGACTAGCGCCCTGGCTTTGTATAAGGCAGCTTCCAGTACATTCAGTGACTTCACATGAGTTGCAAGGGGGGGGGAGGGTTATATTAAAGATGCCTTTTGAAATTACCGTTATACCTCCCGCTGTCAGCTTCAAATGTGTGTCTTCTATATAGAACTGGCAGAGTAGTCTCTCTGATCTAAATAAGATGAGTCAACAACATTTTGGCGTTTGCGGCCAGACTAAATTTAGGTTTTGTTGGTGTGCCTCGAGTAAAAAGGAAACGGAGATAAACTAGCAGTTAACTGCATTTCTGCCTGGTTTGCCAATGTACACAACTAGTAACTCAATCCAGCGCCGGTTCTTTATTCCTACTGTTGTACCACCTGCCCCCCGTAAAACCCACCTAATTGCTGATTAAATTTAGCATTTTAGTTTCTTCCTGTGATAATGGTTTAGTGAGGAGTTGACTTGCTTACCTCGGCAGGTTTGCTGATTCCTGTGTGTCTATATGCCCTGGATTACAGAGCCCTTGTTAACTGGCTGCCTTAATACTTTGTGGTGAAGCGTTTCTGGAGAAGCAGATGGGGCAGAGATGTAGAATTCAGAGCAGAGCGAAACAGGGTAGATTTTAGGTCGTTCACATTGAACTGCAAATTAAAAATTTCTCCTGACCTGTCTGTACCCCTGTCTGTGCTGCCATTTTGCCATGCTTGTAAAATTTGATCTTATTGCAACTTCTCAAAAACTGGACACTCCATGTGTCTCTAGTGGTGACCTCTGATGAAGTATTTTCCTAGGAGCATAGTTTTAATTCCATTTATATCCCTCCTTCCCTCTGAGGTATACTTAAGGTGGCTCTCTGCCCCTCTCCACATTATCATCACAAAACTCAGATTTTGGATTCATCCCCCTCTCTTGTGGGCCAGCACAGCTATATTTTGTGCGTGTGTGAAATGTATTTAATTTATTGATGAAAACCTCCAAGTGGTTGCATAAAATAACCAATGAAAGTAGATGTTAAAAAGCCTAGCATTTATTAAAATAAAAACAGCTGTGTTAAAAAGATGAAGCAACATATGAAAATGAATACAGCTTCTAATGTATAGTTCAAAACTGCTGATTTTATGCAGTGTACCTGTGATTAAACAATACAAGTTTGTGTTTCTTTAAAAGTGGATAGGTCTGCAGTGAAGCAGGAGATAAAACAAGTTTTCCTGGAAGTTCCAGTAAAAAATGCTATTGGCTCCTGATATTGGCCAGTGTTATGTAGCGTTTCTGTGCGCTGCTCTGGTTCGCCAGAAGCGGCTTAGTCATGCTGGCCACACGACCCGGAAGCTGTACACCGGCTCCCTCAGCCAGTAAAGTGAAATAAGCGCCGCAACCCCAGAGTCGTCCGCGACTGGACCTAGCTGTCAGGGGTACCTTTACCTTTATGTAGCGGTTAGAGTGTCAGGCCTAGGACCTGGGAGACCAGTGTTCAAATTCCCGCTTCGGGTCAGTCATCGCCTCCCAGCCTAACCTACCTCACAAGGTTGTTGTGGGGATTAAATGAGGGGGGTGAAAACGATGTACGCCACCTTGAGCTCCTTAGAGGAAAAGGTGGGGTAATAATAAAATTACTTCTATTATTATTATTTGTAACCAGCCCATCTGCTGGGTTGTCCCAGCCACTCTGGGCGGCTTCCAACACACATAAAAGCTTAATAAAATGTCAAATATTAAAAACTTCACGATACAAGGCTGCTTCCAGATGTATTCTAAAAGTTGTGTGGTTCTTTATCTCCTTGACATCTCATGGGAGGGCGTTCCACAGGGAGGGTGCCACTACCAAGAAGGCATTCTGCCTGATCGCATATAAATGCAATCAATAATTATTGTTCAGATGCAGTTACCCTATTACATGCTTGCACTGGAGCTGTAAAACAACAGCTTGGTCTCAGGCTATGACTGAAGCAACTTTCTCCAACCTGATGCTGTCCAAAACTTCTGGAGGGCACCTAATAGGGGAAGGATGGTCTGCAGGAATGTGATGCGAAGTTCTTGAAAGTAAGCAGCTCTGGGACGGCTCAGGGTTTGGATAGGAGGCAACAAAGAAATAATTATTGGTTCCTAGATGTAAAGTATTATGTGATCCTGTGTACAGGGCACAGCGAAAAGTGGAAAACGGGCTGTCAAGAAGAAGTAGCAAGGGTCTCTTTGGTAATGAGCAGTTGGACCTCCTAATACCTACAGATAAACAACACCTGAAAGAGGAATTGGAAAACAACCACCAAAGGGATATATTCACATTTTCAGGAAATCTACAGTTGTTGCAGAGGAGACACTGTGTGTGTGTGTGTGTGTGTGTGTGTGTGTGTGTGAGAGAGAGAGAGAGAGAGAGAGAGAGAGGGAAATACAGTGGTACCTCAGGTTACATACGCTTCAGGTTACAGACTCCGCTAACCCAGAAATAGTGCTTCAGATTAAGAACTTTGCTTCAAGATAAGAACAGAAATCGTGCTCCGGCAGCGCGGCGGCAGCAGGAGGCCCCATTAGCTAAAGTGGTGCTTCAGGTTAAGAACAGTTTCAGGTTAAGAACGGACCTCCAGAACGAATTAAGTACTTAACCCGAGGTACCACAGTAACTTCCAACTTTTGTCATATTTTACTTTGATATACGACATCTTCCCTCTGTCAGATGAGACCATTTCTCTATCTAGCCCACTCCAGGATTTCAGGGAGAGAGAAAGGTGTTTCAAATGGCTTGCAAAACTGATTCTTTAAACAAAAAAATAAAACCCAGTTCTGGCACCTCTCAGGTGGGCGCCATTCCAAGAGAACGAGGGAGGCATTCATGGTGAGTTCCAGAGCACCTATTTTTCTAGGAAAATAGCACTGCTTATAACTTTAGAACTCGTGGATTTCCGATGATGCTGAACGTGGAAACGTTCAGGGCAGATTTTACAAAGTAGTCACACAGCACATAGTTATAGACTATGGAATTGGCTTCCACGGGAGGCAGCAATGGCTGCCAATTGGGTTGCCTTTAAAAGAGGATTCGACAAATTTTGGGGGGATATGGCTATCCATGGCTACTAGCTATGATGGCTGTGCTCTGCCTCCATGGTTGGAGTCTGTATGCTTCCAAATGCTAGGAGCTAGAAACCACAGGAAGGGAGGGTGCTTTTGCTCATGGGTCCTGCTTGGGGGGCTTCTCATAAGCACCTGGAGACCCACTGTGAGACTACCGTATTTTTCGTTCTATAGGACGCACCGGCCCATAGGATGCACCTCGTTTTTTGGGGGGGGGAAATGAATAAAAAAAATTATTCCCCCCCCCCGCCACGGCTGCCGCCCCAAGCCTCGCGTGCTCGGCGGGACCTCCTGCCGGGCGCGCAAGGCTTGCAGACACTCGCCCGAAGCACAGGGAGCCCTCCGGAGGGCTCCCCGTGCTTCGGGTGACAGGCTGCTGCCCCAAGCCTCGCGCGCTCGGCGGGACCTCCTGCCAGGCGCGCAAGGCTTGCGGACACTCGCCGGGGCTGCAGGCTGCTGCCCACAAGCCTTGTGAGCCCGCGGGAACTCCCACCGGGCTTGCAAGGCTTGCGGATAGCTTCCTGAAGCCTGGAGAGCGAGAGGGGTCGGTGCGCACCGATGCCTCTCGCTCTCCAGGCTTCAGCGAAAGCCTGCATTCGCTCCATAGGACGCACACACATTTCCCCTTCATTTTTGGAGGGGAAAAAGTGTGTCCTATGGAGCGAAAAATACGGTAGATGGGCCTGATTCCGCAAGACTCTTCTGTACTCAGATGGAGCGATGATGACCTGACTTGCTAGAAGGCAGTTTCCAATGTTGTGTCTTGGCATGTTTTAAGAAGCCATAGCATCACAGAACAGATGCCAGCGCTGAATCCTGGCTTATTAACACCCCTGGCAAAGCTGTGAACAAATGTTATGACTCCCGAGCTGCCGCCTCCTTTCAATTGCATCATGGGTCGTTCTGAGCCCGGTCACCTTCTCTCAGCGGCTGACTAGCGGTCAACATACACAAACCCCAGCCTGCTGCGCAACAACAGGAAACGCTCATGACAAAGGGCCACTTCATGCGCTTCTTGGCCTGGAACAATTGCTCATTGATGGGATTATTCTCTGCTCCTCTCACATGAAGAGACTACTTCTCCAAACAGCGTTTGGCTTGCTCTAGTTATCGCCAGGTATGTGAACTGGAGCTTCTCTCCAGCTCTTAACAGCTTGCTCTCAGCTTGTTGCCATGATCTCTGTGACTGGGTGCACAGCACACATTTAAAGCACATGACTTCCCCAAAGAATCTGGGGAACTAGAGTTACTTAAGGGTGCTGGGAACTACAGCTTTGTGAAGGGGAAAGTACGGTTCTGAGGATTATTGGGGAGAAGCCTTATGCTATAACTTGTTTTAATTTTTATTATGTATTTTGTGGTTTTATATCTTGATTTTATGTGAACCACCCTGAGACCCCTGGGTATAGGGCGGAATATTATTATTATTATTATTATTATTATTATTAACAACAACAACAATCAGTGCTTTTTCTGGGGGGACGCAGGAGACACATACCCCTAAACATTTTGTGAATCTAAGTTTCGCCTCATTGAGGGGCAGTATTTCAATACGAGTAGGAAAATAAGAGTACCCCTGAACATTTTTAAAGAAAAAAGCACTAGCAATAATAATAATAACAATAATAAAAAACATGATATCAATGTATGGTGTGTACGCAACCTGTATCCCACTTCTTCCACTGACATCCCTCCCAAATGTCTGCAGAGATGAAACACATCCCCTGCCCCCCAGTTTAACATAGTTTAACAGCAACAGCAGTAACAGTTTAACCGCAACAGGTCATCGTATGCTGAGGAAATAGGTGGATTAATTCCTCCTCTTGTCTGGATCTCTGCTATGCTGGTAATGTCCAGCTATGCCGGTACTATCTAGGCTAGTCCTGCAACAGACTATCAGGGTCCAAGAAGAGGCTTCTACAAAGGTGTGAAACCATAGCTGTCAACTTACAGATTTGAAAATAAGGGACCAGCAGCCTCGAAAATAAGGGATTTTGCTTACCCGACTCCTCACGATGCGCCCCTGAGGGGGGAAAGGGAGAGATGGAGACGCAGCAGCTCGTGCACGTGCTCGCTCTCACGGTGGAGGACCCCAAGCGGCTGCTTCCCTCCCAAGCCGGGCGAGCACGAAACCTGGGAAAATTAAGGGACATCATCAATAAGGGACTGCAGCAGGACACGGAGCTGGGATAAGGGAGTTTCCCACCAAATAAGGGACAGTTGACAGCTATGTGTGAAACCCACGTTCTTTGCCAGTGGGAAGATTCAAGAACTGAAGCAAATCAGAATAGGGCAGGATTTCAGCAGTTCAGCTTGTGCGTTTGAGTGGTGGATCACAATACGGCACATGCAAAAGGTCCAGGTTCAGTCCCTGCCTAGCATCTCCAGTTCAAGGGACCAGGCAGCAAATGATGGGGGCAGTCAGAGCAGACGATGTTGGCCAAGACTGACAGCCTGATATGGCGGGGCGAAACTAGGCTTTATTTCACCTCGGTGAAAGACCCAGTTTGGCACACCCCATGCACATTTGTGTTCACACACAGGCTGGGAGCCTCAATGGCGCCCCTCTGGAGGCTTCACCCCGGGCAAAAAATGTGGCTACGGCTCTGGATATGACATAGGGGGAGACAGGTATGACCCAGTGTATTTATTCTGAGAACAAGAGGAGAGGGCTATATATTGCTTCCTGGAAGCCTCTCGCTGGTACTTGAGTGAAACATGAAACTGAGCAACATGGACCTTTTGCCTCTTACAGGGTTCTTAAGTCATGCTATCCCGATTTCTTCCCTGATCTCCAAGAGCCAGCAAAGCTGAACATCTCCAGAGAACTCTTAATGACAATCCACAGGTACAGAAAAAAAAGAGCTTCCACCCTATTGAAAAATAAATCCAGAGAGCTGGGGTTCTGTCCGCTCTGCAAGATTGCACAATTTTATATTATTTTTACACCATGTACAGCCTGTGCGCACTGCCAGCCCGTTCTTGTGCCCTGTTTTCTTTTGCTTTCTTCCTTTTGCTCCAAGGCTCATGTGTGGCACTTGTGTGCACATGCATGCACACACCTAGATGCATGTGCATATTGACACACAGTGCCTGGAGTAAACAGAATAATTGGACTGCCAGGAATTAACTTGCTTGTCATACCACTAAACATTTTTTTTTAAGTCTCGTGAGTTGCATAATTAGCATTAGACATTGGGTGTTGTTGTTTTAAGACTATGCTGCCATCTTGGGGCATGCTTCCTTTTGTTTTGTTGTTAGAGCTTCAATATGCTGTCTCAGCAGACAAAGCCCTTCAAGTCCTTAAGATGCTACAAGGCTTTTTGTTAATTTTGCTGCAACAGACCATCATAGCTACACTTTAGGAAATTGGAAATTGTCATTCAACTCAGATCCGTGCATAATCTTCCGACAGCAGGACAGGGATGCAGAGAAAGGAGACTGAGAGTATGGCCGTAATATTCATAATAATGATAAATTAAACTATTTATTCACATTTATATCCCGTGTTTTCTCCAAGGAGCTGAAAGTAGCACCCATAGTTTTCCCTGCCCTATTTTCACTTCACAACAACCCTGCGAGGGAGGTGTCTGGCCCAAAGTTACTAACAAGCTTCCTGGCTGAGTGGGGATTTGAACAAGCGTCTCCCACATCCTAGTCCAGCACTCTGGCAGCGTGGTCTAGTGGTCAAGAACGGTGGACTCGTAATCTGGTGAACCGGGTTCGCTGCCCTGCTACTCCACATGCAGCTGCTGGGTGACCTTGGGCTAGTCACACTACTCTGAAGTCTCTCAGCCTCACTCACCTCACGGAGTGTTTGTTGTGGGGGAGGAAGGGAAAAGGAGATTGTTAGCCGCTTTGAGACTTCTTAACGGGAGTGAAGGGATGCGGGTGGTGCTATGGGTTAAACCACAGAGCCTAGCGCTTGCCGATCAGAAGGTCGGCGGTTCGAATCCCCGCAACGGGGTGAGCTCCCGTTGCTCAGTCCCTGCTCCTGCCAACCTAGCAGTTTGAAAGCACGTCAAAGTGCAAGTAGATAAATAGGTACCGCTCTGGCAGGAAGGTAAACGGCGTTTCCGTGCACTGCTCTGGTTTGCCAGAAGCGGCTTAGTCATGCTGGCCACATGATCCAGAAGCTGTACGCCAGCTCCCTCGGCCAATAAAGCGAGATGAGAGCCGCAACCCCAGAGTCGGTCACGACTGGACCTAATGGTCAGGGTTCCCTTTACCTTTAAGGGGAGTGAAAGGTGGGGTATCAAGTCCAAACTCCTCCTGCTCCTCCTCCTCCTCTTCTTCTTTCCCACTCAGAAACTCTCAAAGCGGTTTACAGACAATACAGCACAGAAATAAAACAGAAAGTGCAAATCAACACATCAATGAAAGTGCTTAACATCCGTAATAAAACAAGAACTGATTACTATACAAATTGAACAGGGGATCAGCAGGGATACAGCTGGTTCCTGAATAGGGTAGCAAGGTTCTGAATTAACAATGGAACTGGGCAATTTGTTTAGATAGTCACTAAAGGAGCTACACTGATTGTCAGCTATGTTTCAGGCAAGAGCCATCAAAGTGCATTAGGTTCTCTCAAACTGGGGTTTAACAAGCTGCAAAGTGGCAAGCCCTGAAATCATTCCTAAACTAGGAAACTGCAGGGCGATAATAGGAAATGCATTGCCAAAAACAACTGTCTGTAGGTTAACCGGCCTTCATCTCCATGATTCTATATTTGATACCTTAGAATTCTTATGACACAAGCCACGGCTGCACAACCCTAGGCAGCGCTCAAATACACAACGCTGCTATTGTTATTGTTGTTTTGTATTTTTTGTATAAGCACAGGCTTCAGCAGCGGGCACAAAACTTAGCATGAGGAGAATGCTGTTTTTAATTTGTTTGCTTTTAAAAAGCAAGCTCCTAGCCCCTTCTGCTTGGAAATGCGTGAGTAATACCTGGTGAGGTTTCAGAACCGGAAAGAGGACTTCCAGAGACCAGGGGATACTCCTCCTGAGCTCCTTACCCCTCCCTATGATGAACGTATTAGGCAAAGTAATAAGATATATGCACTTTGGAGTCATTTGCATTTTTAATAGGTGACCCAGATTTCAGATTTCCTTGGTCCTTTGGAACAGAATCCTGACAGCTTTAGCTAGAAAGTAGGTCTGCGGTTTTCACAGTACATTTGAGCAATGGAAGTTGTTCCGTAGGGCCAAGGGGCCATTGTCCCAAAAGCCATTGCCTGCCTTCAGTCAGCCTTTACCCACCTGCCTGCCTTAGAACCAGTCCATGGGGTTTGTCCTGGCTGCCACCTTCCTCCTCCATAGACTCAGCCTTGCCTTTGTAGTACACAGCAGGGAGGAGGATGGGGTCGAAATTAGAATTTGTTGCCTCTGCCCTCAATTGGCTCTGGCTTCCCCTGCGGTTGGACTCCTTGCTTTCTGCCCTTCCAGTTCCAATGGGCACCATCTACCACTGCAGTCGAGTAATGTGCCAGAGTAAGAATGGGGCAGCAGAGTGCAAACAGTGTTTTTCAGAGGCAGTTGGTTCAAGTGCCATATTAAAGCTCAGCTCCTTCCCATGCAGCTATGCTATGTTGTTGTTCAGGATGACATGAAAGGGGAGGGAGATGACTCTAGTTAAAGGTACGCACTGCTAGGCACCGTGCCCTCAGATGCTTGTCGGTCAAACCACATCCTCTGCTGCCACTGCCACGTGAAGGGAGACGGGCCTCCCAAGGAGAGAGCCTTTTTGGTAGTGGCACCCCAGCTGCATAAAAGACTCCTCAGAGAGGTTCATCTGATGACTCTGTGGTGGTTTCAATTTGAGGTGAGAGCCAGTGTGGTGTAGTGGTTAAGAGCGGTAGTCTCGTAATCTGGTGAACTGGGTTCGCTTCCCCGCTCCTCCACATGCAGCTGCTGGGTGATCTTGGGCCAGTCACACTTCTTTGAAGTCTCTCAGCCCCACTCACCTCACAGAGTGTTTGTTGTGGGGGAGGAAGGGAAAGAAGAATGTTAGCCGCTTTGAGACTCCTGAAGGGGAGTGAAAGGCGGGATATCAAATCCAAACTCTTCTTCTTCTTCTTGAGGCAAAGAGCCAGGCTTTTAAACTTTGTAGGAAACTCTGTTGTTTGTAGGAAACTGAGTTTGTTGTTCCCCTAACCCAAGTTGTAAACTGTGTATAGTACTGTCCTTGCTGCAAGAAAGGTTTACACACACTCATACAGTTGTATTTTATTGTTTATTGTTAATTTTAATTATTGCATCTTATATTGTCAATATTTTCTTTCCCCTCCTTCCCTTCCTTTTTATGGAAGCCATCCAGGGAATATTTACTGATGGGTGACTATACAAATTTAATTAACGTATAACAAAATAAACGAACATATGTCGATACAGCTGCGTGCTGAGCAGCTGAGAGAATGGAAGCGGTATGGTCGCCTACTTGAAATGTCCTGCAATCTCTGTAAGGGGAACAGGCAGCATTCTTGGGTGGTTGCTTTAAAAAGTGCTGGGAGCCACCATATTTATTCCCCACAATGCCCTAGGGGAGGGGCAGGGAACTACCAGTATTTCATTCCCTTTTCATGAGATATTAAGCTTCTTCTGGAGAACCTTCTGAGAGCAGCATCCCGGTGGCAGGTAGGGCCGCAGGCAAAAATAGGAGGAACAATGCATGAGTGTTATACCTTTGTTATGGTAGGCTATTTTCTCTGCCATGGGTGTAGCCAGGATTTATGTTGTGGGGGGCAGGACACCCACCTGTCATCATCCTCTGTCTGGATCTGTCTAGCAGATTCGGAATGAAATGTCTCAAAAACAGTTGTTTTAAATCACTTTCTTTTGACCCCAAATGCTGGAGGCTACAACAGGTCAGGAAAGGCTACACATAGGACATTTCCCCTATAAAGTACCTATAGAAGAGGATGGGATAGCTGTGCATAATTGGACTACTCGAACCCCACACACCATCTTCTTCATCCCACAAAGTTGGCTTGGTTTTGTTTTGATGCCACTACTGCAAAACGGAGGAAGATCCGTTTCAAAACACAGAAATGTTGTGAATGGTTCTCCGCTGGGTTGCCTCACAGGCAAGCCAGCAAGAAAAAACAGGCAGCTCTTCATTTCCTGTCTCTGTTGCAAAATCCAAGCGGAGTTGCAAGCCGTTAAATCGAGGCCAAAACAGAGTGTCTGTATCCATAAGAGCATAGGAAGAGCTTGCTGGATCAGTGTCCTGCTTTCACGGTGGCCCAGCAGATCACTGTGGGAAACTTGTGATCAGGTTTCATGCAGAAGAGCACTCTCCCCTCTTGCAGTTTCCTGCAAGTGATATTCAGAAGCACTGCTACCTCCAACTGTGGAGGGCAGAGCGTAGCCACTGCAGCTAGCAGCCTTCAAGAGACCTCACTTCCATCTATTTTGAAGCATCCAAGATGGTGGCCATCACTGCCTCCTATGGGAGCAAGGTCCATTGTTTTAACTATGCCATACCCTCCGATGAAAATAGGGACGTCCCATTCCATAATGATAATTTTACTATTTGTACCCCACACATCTTACTGGGTTGCCGCAGCCACTCTGGGCAGCTTATAAAAACATAATAAAACATTGGACATTTTTATTTTTTTAAAAAACCTTCCCTATACAGGTTTGCCTTCAGATGGTTCAGGGGTTGGATAACTTCATACCCTCCAACATTTCTCCAATGAAAACTGGGACATCCTAAGGAAAAGTGGGAACAAATCCAGAAACCGCAACAGTGTCTCTAAATCAGGGACATCCCTGGAAAATAGGGACACTTGGAAAGTCTGCTATGCTCTGTATTAAAAAGTACTTTCTTTTATTTTCTGTCCTGAATCTCCCAACATTCACCTTCATCAGATATCCAGTGTTAGGGGAGAGGGAGAAAACTTTTCCTCTGTCTACTTTCTCCATGCCATGCTTCATCATCCAAAGGGAGAGACCTTGGATGGCAAGGGACTCTGAGGGCACACGCTACTCAGAAGCCAGTGGGGAGTGAGAGGGGTTAAACCTGGAGGTGGGTGGACAGCAGAGTTTCCACAGCACAAGGGTCACTTGTGCAGCCAGAAAGGGCATTGGGCTGCTGAGCTCTCTGAGTGGCTGGGGGCAGGAGGGCTTGCTGATCCTACCAGGAGTCTTCACATACTCAGTGGAAGGGATCCTTGTCAGTCAGGGGTGGGGGAACTTTTCCAGCCTGAGGGCCACATTCTCTTCTGGGCAACATTCCGAGAGCCACATGTGATTGGTGGCAGGGAAAGAGGCAGTGGTAGACAGGACAATACATGTGCATTCAGGGCCGTCTTAGCCGGGTGCATGGCACCTGGGCGCCAGGCTCTCAAGGGCGCCAGGCCCAGAGTCCGGGACCGAGCTGAGGGGGGGAGGCAGGAGGCGGCTGTGCCCCTCCCAGCATGGAACCCACACCCACCTTCATAAGCCCCTGGGGGGGGGGCGCTGGCACCCCCGTTGGTTGGCACTGTGAGTCCCTAAAGGTAAATAACTATTCTAAAGGTAAATAACTATTTACTTTAAAAAAAAGGTCAACAACTTTGGGGGTTCTATCCCTAAAAAAGGTCAAAAGGACAACAACTTTGGGGTGTCCCCCCTAAAAAATGGTCAACAACTCTGGGTAACCTAGGGGTGCTGGGCGGATCTTTGCACCCCAGCGCCGCATATGCTTAAGACGGCCCTGTGTGCATTTTCCCTTGTACAGCGGGGTAGTTTCTTCACACACTGACACACACATCTCGGTCCTCCACCCAGGCAAGGACACATTTCTAGCCAGGCAAAAGCACCAAGCAGGGTGCAAAGTAGAGCTTGAAAGTGACCCAGGAAGGAGAGGATTAGTGTAAGCAGCTTAAATCAGTAGCGCTTTTGCACTTCACTCAAGGTGCAGCAAAAAAATTAAATTTGACCTTGGCCCTGGTCCTCCCCTCAAAGGGCCAGGATGGGCTTCTTCACAGAGTTGCGCTTTGGTACTCCAGCGTTTTTTACTGTATGAATGCGGCAACTCAACCCTGCATTGAGTACCCTTTGTGTAAAAGGCATTGCTCTGTTTTCTGTTCCGAAAGATGAATGCAGCTTTGTGGATCTGCTGCATGGGTGGGTGGGTGTGTTTGTTTGACTTGACTGTTTGGCTTGGATGACAAAATCCAAAGGTCTTTTGTCATCTTCCCTGAGGTAGCACATTGCGCAGCCAAGATTTGCAATATAGTCAAGAATATCTGTTCGTTCAGGCCAGGGACCCATCTAGCCTTGCATTCTCATGCAGGCTAACCAGGGCATGAGCAAAACAGCACTACTGTTAATGAGCCCCAGCTTCTTGCACCTGCCTCTGTCATACTGCCTCTGATACTAGACTCTGATAGATAACCCTCATGACTTGTAGCCGCTATAGGCTCATCCTCCAGGAAATCCAAAGCATTCCTGCATTGCAGGGTTTTGGACTACAGTAGATGACTCTCAGGGTCCCTTCCAACTCTATGAGTCTATGAATTTCTCTATTCGTTAAAAGCTGTTCAACATAGGAACATAGGAAAATAGGAATCTGCTCTTATACTAAGCCAGACCATTGCCACATCTAATTTAGTACCAGGCAACTCCCCATTTCTGCAGGGGTTGCATTCTGGGTTAAAGCACACATTAGCGGAGCATGCTTAAGCCTGCCCTGCCCCATTCTGCCCCCATTCCTCCCTCTTCCAGGTCCAAAACAACCCGTGCAATTGGAATGAGTTTATACAGAATATAGTATGTTATTGATAATCATATATGTATATTGGCTCCCAGTACGTTTCCAAGCACAATTCAAAGTGTTGGTGCTGACCTTTAAAGCCCTAAACGGCCTCAGTCCAGTACACCTGAAGGAGTGTCTCCACCCCCATCATCCTGCCCGGACACTGAGGTCCAGCGCCGAGGGCCTTCTGGCGGTTCCCTTCCTACGAGAAGCCAAGTTAGAGGGAACCAGGCACAGGGCCTTCTTGGTAGTGGCGCCCACCCTGTGGAACGCCCTCCCACCAGATGTCAAAGAGACTACCAGACTTTTAGAAGACATCTGAAGGCAGCTCTGTTTAAGGAAGCTTTTAATGTTTGATGCATTACTGTATTTTAATATTTTGTTGGAAGCCGCCCAGAGTGGCTGGGGAAGCCCAGCCAGATGGGCGGGTATAAATAAATAAATAAATATTTATTTATTTATTTATTTATTTATTTATTTATTTATTTATTTAATGTTACAGCTTGGTCTCTCCCACAAACGCGAGACGACTCTGGCTGTTAATTATTTCAGATTTATTGCTAAAACAACAAACTAAGACGGAGCTCCTCTACTCATCGTCCTCCCAAGAAGATGGAGTTGCCCGGACTGAGCTCCTCCCCCTTCCCCAGCACGGAAGCCCCCACCTTCTCTTCCAGTATCTTTCATGCATCTCTGCCACTTTTGAAATCCTACAAGATTTGGCAGAGCATATTTCCTGCATTCCAACATCTTGCCCACTATCGAAGTTCTCACACATCTGTCTGTCCCTTTGGTCAGAGCTCAGATTACAGCTGCTGTCCCCCTCCTCTCTGCTTTCTGCTGCTAACTGTTCTCTCCCTATGCCTACTCCTTCTACTCCTGTCAGCACCAGAGCTTCGCTGACAATGTATTAAGACAATAATAGTACTTTAAAAGTTCTCTTTCCAAAGTTTCCCAATTCCCGAAGCATAGAAAAAAAATCACACATTTGGTAAGTTGAAATTGGTTCACTTACAAACTATTCAAAGGTCTGGTTCATGTGATTTTCCATACATCAGTAAAAGAAAAGTTGTGTTGGCAGTAAAATTTAGATGTTTTACAAAGTGATCAAAGTTCCTAAATTATTGGTGGCTGGTGATAGCCATGCAGTCTGAGCAGGAGCAAACAACTCAAACCTATTGACACAGGGAGCTTCTCAGGGTAGATTGGAGGAGAACAAATGCTTGATTATCTAGTTCCTCCCAAGGTGCAGGGGGACATAGCTAAGCCTGGTAGGACAGCTTACTCTATGGTATTAACCCCTTCATGCATTTCTTAGACTTAAGCATGTTAGTTATACGAAGATGGTTATCTCACAGGGACCACAGTATGAACTGGAAACAGCTAATACAAGTGGGGAGCAGCAGTGCCTTTTCCCACCCAGATTCATGGGTGCCAATCTCAAATACTGGTCCCTATGCCTTGGCATAGTAGCAATCATACATGCTTCTCTTTCGTTCTTCATCAAAGGAGACCACTAATGCTGAACTAGTGCAACTGTGAAAAGGCCAGGACAATGAATTACATCATCACCATTGTCGAACATTTCTTGTACCAGACAAGATGGTTAAAGGAAGAGAAGCTGACATTTGTTTGTTTGTTTGTTTGTTTGTTTGTTTGTTTGTTTGTTTTTATAGGTCACTCCTGGCGATAAACCTCTAGGCGATGCGCGGTATGCAAAACAGTTAAAACACTTCAAACTACAGCAAACTACAGAAGATCTTGATTCACAAGATCCTTGTCACCTTGGTTTTTGCAGTGTGGCAAGGTGACCTCTTCAAGGTAGCAGTTTTCAACACAGCCACACATCACTGTACTGCAGGCATGCCAGCTCCCGTATCTTCTCAGAGCAGACAACAGAGATAAGATGCAAATCAGATGCGCATTACAAATGCGTCAAATCCACACTGGTGGCAGCTGCAGAAGTTCGCTCCATCTAAATGTGGAGGATAGGCAGAGAATATGCATCTGTGTGTGTGTGTTGAGGGAAGAGCCCTATAATCTTTGAAAAAGAGTCAGGCAGTGTATTTTAATGAGAATTAATTTACAACCTTAGCATCTCCATTCCGGAGTTTGCAATCAGTTTTGCAAAGGTGTTTGAAGAAGCCCCCGGGCACTCATCTATAAGCTCAGATGGAACACCAGACAATTTCAAGGCACGATATATTGTTGTGTATGCACTTTGCAGCCCTCCAGTGATACAGATCTTGCACCCAAGACTGTGCCAACCTTTGTAGACTTGTGGGCCAAAATAAATTGGATTTTTGAGCCGATGCTGTGGGGGCACCACACCCTCAGGTTGTGCCCAAAAGTGCTACCTTGGTGCTCACCTGTTCTGCTATATTCCTGTAGTGCTAACAACTTGCTAGGCACTGTGCAGGAGACTGTGACAAAGTGCCACAACACCTTCCCAGAAGGCTTGCAGTCAACAATGGGCGTAACAGACAGGGAAAGTGGGAGAGAGATCACAGATCTGCAACGCATGGGGGAGTGAGGTGGAAGTCAAAGCTCACTGTTGTGCCACAGTCAAAAGACTCTCTCCACCACCACCCTGACTTCCCCCTCCCCACCTTATTGCACATATTAGTTGCAACATCAAATGCAGCTGAAGACTAATGCCGCAGACCGTTAAACAGACGGCTTCAAATATCACAATGCAATAACAGATGGTAACCACCAACCCCTGCCTCTTCCAACCAAATTGTCGGATTCCAAGGAAGGAGCTTCATTTTGAGCTTGGGCAAAACAGAGTTCAACCCTAGACCCTGTTTTCACTGCTTGGGTTTAGCCTGAAAACGCAGGCATAAAGAGAGAACGCCTCCCTCCGAGTGCAGAGAACTTTCCCCTTCTCACCAAACAACTACACCCCTTCCAACATTTCACAGCTAAAGATAGAAACAACCTTTTAACACCCTCAACACCCACACCAAGGGCTACTTGCCCAAGCCTCTCCAGGGCCATTTACACATCTGCTTTCATGATGTGATCATTTACTCTGCAACAGCAGGTCCTGTGCTATTTTAAAAGTCAATAAAGTGTGCAGTCCTTTGGTTAAATATGTGTTGGAGAGGGGAGAGGTTTGTCCATGAGTAGGCAAACTAAGGCCCAGGGGGCCAGATCCAGCCCAATCGCCTTCTAAATTTGGCCCGCGGACGGTCCAGGAATCAGCATGTTTTTACATGAGTAGAATGTGTCCTTTTATTTAAAATCCATCTCTGGGTTCTTTGTGGGGCCTGCCTGGTGTTTTTACATGAGTAGAATGTGTCCTTTTATTTAAAATGCATCTCTGGGTTCTTTGTGGGGAATAAGAATTCATTCTTTTTTTCCCTTTCAAAATATAGTCCAGCCTCCCACAAGGTCTGAGGGACAGTGGACCGGACCCCTGCTGAAAAAAATTGCTGACCCCTGGGTTTGTCCTACAGCAAGGATAGGGAACTCTGAGCATTGGTTATGCTGGCTAGAGCTGATGGGATTTGGAGTGCAAGAACATCCGGAGCGCAACAGGTTACGCAAGCCCTGTCTGACAATCTGCTCAGTTCAAAAGGTTGTCTTAGAATCAGGCAGAATGGCAAGCTGTGTGCAAGTGTGTGTAAGTGTTCACCTATGTGCATTTACATGCATGTCAGGGAGAGAGAAGATAAAGTGAAAGGGAGGGGGGAGATTAAACTGACTGAGATGCCAGGGTGAGAGCCGGACGCAGGAGAATGGCATCTCTAGGAACTCAAACCAACAACATTTTTACCAGCCTGCTGTCACTGGAGGTAGGCTGTCCTTCCCTGGCAGCATTTAAGCAGAGACTGGATAGACATCTGTCAGTGCACTAGGTTGGAGGCTAGATTAGATGACCATCGCAAAAACAGGGGCAGTAATGTCCACAAAATAGGGACCAGCCCTAGTAAATAGGGCCAAATGGAACATACCGGTATGTAATTGCCAGCACTCAGGGTGCGAGTCCCTTGGGAGATAGTGACTTATCAGAACTGTTCCTTGCAAAGTGCCATGTGCATAGATTGTGAACAATCAAAGTAATCACAAATAGTGTAAATGGTTATATATGAAGAGAGGGGAGATACAGGTATAACTCCTCACCCAGCCAAGAAGCTGGGTGACCTTGGGCCAGTCGCTACATCTCGGTCGCACCTACCTCACAGGGTTGTCGTGAGGTTAAAAGTACAGTAGTAAATCTCCACAGCTGCCAACTTGAGCTCTGTGGAGGAAAGGAGGGATATAAATATGATGAAAAAGCAAATGATCAAAGTAGTCACATAGTTGGGGGTCAGAGGGTGTGGCTGCTGTGGACTCCCTGCAAGAAGAGGGATAGGGAAGCAGTGACATAATAACATAAGAAAAGCCTGCTGGATCAGGCCAGTGGCTCACCTAGTCCATCACCCTGTTCTCACAGTGGCCAGCCCATTGCAGGAAACCTGCAAGCAGGACCTGAGCGAAGGTCCTCCAAATGTTGTTGGATTTCAGCTCCAATCAGCCCCAGGCAGCCAGTGCAGCCAACAGGCAGGGAACACAACATCCAATTGGTCCCAGCTTCCCCATCCCCATTTTTTTGAAATTCAGCATTGATACGTTTCAGTATCATTTTAAGGGGGGGACTAGCTAAGAGGCAATCAGTCATCACAGCAGAGAGGAAAACACATGCACACACACAAACCCTGCACAAATGTTTGTGTTTTTGGAAACCATGCTAACTGCAAGGCAGAGATATTTGAAACTTAATTAGATATTCATTGGACTTTATTAAACTCCCAAACAAGGACATGAATGCCTTTGTTCTGTTGAATGCCTGCAGTAGATCATAATCAAGCTCCATTTTCTTCTACCCAGATCTGAAACATCCTTGAGTGAATAGAAAGCGGGGAGAGAGAATAACTTTGCAAGCAAGCCCACTGGCCCCTAGCATGAGCACCAGAAAGTTCTTGTATATAAATAACCAGGTTCAGGAAAAGGCACTTTCCGCTTGGCTGTCAGAAGAACACAAATGTGAATCAACAGCTTTTTGAGCTGAAAAAGGGCCGCCTTATCCTTTCGGTTTGAAAGCCTTGCATCTGGTGCACTTTTACAACGACTGGACTTCATTCATACCCACCTGGCTTCACCCATTTCAGATGCCAGTCTGTCCTACACACACACACACACACACACACACACACACACACTGCTGAAGGGGACACCTGTTTTCTTGCAGGGAATCAGTGCTCAAATTATGGAAGGAAAGGTAGAGGAGCCCTTACTGAATTTCACAACTTCTGACTCCCCCAATTTCTTAACAGCATTTCTAATGCCCTACTCAGGACAAATGGCTCCCTGAACAGTTTACACCGATCAGTTAAAGCAGAAGTGGGAAACATCTGACCCATGGGTCAAATTTGGCCCACCAGCCCTCTGCATTTGTCACACCAGGCTGTTCCCCCCCAAACCACGCCCTCCAGCCCCATACCTGATGTCATATATGAGATGTCAGGTAGAAATGCTAGTACAGCCAGTCTCTGCAAAAAGCAGCATTGAATTCCCCACCTATCAGCTGATGGATGGGGAGTTCAATCCTGCTTTTTTCACTATCTCTTTCGCCCTGCCTTGCAGGCCAACTTTGACAGGCGGCATGTGATTTGCAGGTGGGTTAAGGTTGGTCTCTGGGGACGCAGGTGGCACTGTGGTCTTAACCACAGAGCCCAGGGCTTGCCAATCAGAAGGTCGGTGGTTCGAATCCTCACAACGGGGTGAGCTCCCGTTGCTCAGTCCCAGCTCCTGCCCACCTAGCAGTTCAAAAGCATGTAAAAGTGCAAGTAGATAAATAAGTACCGCTCCGGCGGGAAGGTAAACAGCATTTCCGTGCGCTGCTCTGGTTCACCAGAAGCGGTATAGTCATGCTGGCCACATGACCTGGAAGCTGTCTGCGGACAAACGGCGGCTCCCTCGGCCTATAGAGCAAGATGAGCGTACAACCCCAGAGTTGTCCGCGACTGGACCTAATGGTCGGGGGTACCTTTATCTTTACCTAAGTTTGGTCTCAGGGTGGAGAGGAGATGAAGTTCTGATCGCAGAAGTCTTTCCCACCCCCAGCCTCTGCTCAGGGGCTGACAATCTAAAAAAAACAGGACACAAAAGGAAAAAGGATTGGAGATGGAAGCCAGGGGAGGCAAACTTGGACAGCAGTTCTTAAACAGTAGTTCTAATAATGACCAATTGTTATAGAAATTGTTCAAAGATAGGTAGAGCTGTCCGAGAGAGCTGCTTTTAGTCATACCATGCCTCCCTCCCTCAAAAACCTTCTGAAGACAGCAGCTACAGGGGCCACCAGAAAAATAGATCCCCTCCGGCTTTAATTCAAGTCCTGAAGGGAAGCAATGATTCTTAGTTCAGCCCAGAGATGCTTGAGGGATTTTACCTCTGCAAATTGTGGTGCTGACTGATCTGATCTGCTCCTTGTTGATGAGTGTACCTAAGGGAATTTTCTAATCCACTACCTTCCATGTTTCCCAAATGTTGCAAACCTGTTCTTGCTTCAAAAAGGTATCAACATTTGTTTAGACATTTGAGAATCTAAGCTTTACTCAGAGTGGTACAGTTGGAATTAACGGACCTAACTTACTCATGTTCATTTATTTCAGTGGGTCTGATGCTTTGAGGAGGACTAGCATTGGACACAATCCTTGGAAAATACAACTATGGTGCAATCCTAAGTGTGACCATCCACCACTTTCAATGTTCTGCTGCCTTGCACTTACCAGAATGGGAGATGGGGTGAACTTATCTCCCTACTCCCCTGTCCTGTTTGTAATTTTCTTCCATTGGTTCCGATCCCATTCTGGACTGGTTTTATAAGCTCCCCTTGCAGGTAAGGCCATGAAAGTCCCAATGCTACTCCATCCTCTCCCAAGGGAAATAAAGTATTGACTTGTCTGATGCATGTACACCTGTCTTAGTCATTTGCAGCCTAAAAGATGAAAATAGCTTTCTTTGAGTAGCTGGTTATAAACCCAACACTGTGTCTGCAATTCTGTGATTACTTATGTGGAAGAAATCCCACTGAACTCGACAGGGCTTACGTATGAGTAGAGGCACAGGGGACTGAGATGTGCAAATCAGATGCAATCTTCCCCAGAGGTTAAATACTCACACATGTCGTGCTCTCAGCAGTTCTTCAAACATTTGTTTTGGCACTAGCACTTGTCAAAGTTCATAGTCACAGATGTGTGGATGACAACAGTTGAATATAAACCAGGTATGAGGAACAAGTGGTGCCATTTATTCAGCAATAGCAACAATAGCTTACGAATGCCAGGATGTTATGAATGGTCACTGATTTTTTTATTTTTTACATTTAAGCTTCAATACAATTATCACAATCTGCATATTCTGCATTTGGTTTCTTTCTGACCTTATTGCCACCCTATGGCCAGCTGATAATAACATTCCATGCATCTGATGAAGTGGACTCTGGTGCCCAGAAACTCATATTAAGAGCCCCTCCAGTCTGGTTTTGTTGTTTTGTTTTTACAGATGCATTATCCAACATTTCTCTCTATTTTATTTCATAGAAGAAGAAGAAGAGTTTGGATTTGATATCCCGCCTTTCACTCCCTTTAAGGAGTCTCAAAGCGGCTAACATTCTCCTTTCCCTTCCTCCCCCACAACAAACACTCTGTGAGGTGAGTGGGGCTGAGAGACTTCAAAGAAGTGTGACTAGCCCAAGGTCACCTAGCAGCTGCATGTGGAGGAGCGGAGACGCGAACCCGGTTCCCCAGATTACGAGACTACAGCTCTTAACCACTACACCACACTGGCTCTCAATTTACATACTGCTTGATCATTAAAAAAAACCCTCTGTTGTTTACAAAAAGAAGCAAACTAAAAGCACTTTACAAAAATGTGTCATTGACTTGAAGATAGTGAATTAGTGGTAGATTTATACTATACTACAGGGACGCGGGTGGCACTGTGGGTTAAACCACAGAGCCTAGGACTTGCCGATCAGAAGGTCGGCGGTTCGAATCCCCGCAATGGGGTGAGCTTTCGTTGCTCGGTCCCTGCTCCTGCCAACCTAGCAGTTCGAAAGCATGTCAAAGTGCAAGTAGATAAATAGGTACCACTCCAGCGGGAAGGTAAACGGCATTTCCGTGCGCTGCTCTGGTTTGCCAGAAGCGGCTTACTCATGCTGGCCACATGACCTGGAAGCTGTATGCCGGCTCCCTCGGCCAATAAAGCGAGATGAGCGCCGCAACCCCAGAGTCGGTCACGACTGGACCTAATGGTCAGGGGTCACCTTTACCTTTATACTATACTGGACCATCCATACATCATTCTGCTTTATTAGTCGTTCTGCAATGCTTCCCAGAATAGCTGGGGAAACCCAGCCAGACGGGCGGGGTATAAATAAATTATGTATTATTATTATTATTATTATTATTATTATTATTCCCAATGTTATGGCATCACTGTAGTCTAGAGTGGCACTCCTGGGCTATAATGCAACAAAAGTGGAACAAAAAATGAACAAACCCCAGAACATTTGCAGTATGAAAAGTTACAGGGTTTTATCAGGAAGCCACAGGACAAGCACTGTTTGAAAACAAAGCAGTATTCCTGCCCCCCCCCCAAATATTGCAGCCACAAGCAGCTTTGAAAGCAATAGCATGTATTACCACCCCGACACCATCAAGAGCACAAATTTGTATGAATGAAATAAAGAAACATCTGGAGGGGGCCTAAATGTGTCTTTAAGGTATCATATGATTCTTTGCTCTTGCAGCAACAGAGTAACACAGCTACTCCTCTGGAAATAGTTTTAAAATTTTATTATATTTATATCCCACTTTTCCTCAATGGTTGTCGTGTGTGCCCGCCCCCACCCACCACCATTTATCCTGTATTTTAGTCTCACAGCCCTGTGCGGTAGGTTAGGCTGAAAGACAGTGACTGGCCCAAGGCCATCCTGTGAGCTTCAAAACTGTGTAGGAATTTGAACACAGGTCTCCCAGGCCCTGGTCATTGTAACGACTAGGCTCTCAGAAAAGAGCAACAGGGGAGAGGGGAAGGAAGGAAGGAAGGAAGGAAGGAAGGAAGGAAGGAAGGAAGGAAGGAAGAAGTCTCAGAAGTGGGTGAGTGCTACTTCTGAATATGAAGTGTCCAATTTGTTGCTCTTTTATTAAGGTATGCTTAGTTTCTGGGCTTAATACAAAGTACTGGTTTTGAGCTATAAATCTTCTGCAGCTCAGGACCCCCTGTATTTTGAGGACTGCCTCTCCCACATGAACTAATCTGGACACTACATTTGTCATCTGAGGCCCTTCTTCATGTGCCCTCTCTGTGGGAAGAGTGGAAGGTGGCGCCGCAAGAATGGACCTTTTTAATGACTGCCACTTCTGGAATGCTCTCCACAAGGAAGCATGCCTGGCACTATTGTTGTTTGTCGTTAGGTGCCAGAGAAAAATGTACTTATTTACCTACTCTTTGGGTTTTTAATTGGGAGGGTAGTTAGATATGTCAGTGGTCTTAGTTCTGCTCAATTAAGATAGGACTTGTGCCTTTTAAGTATATTTTCAGATGAGTATTTTAGCTTTCGTTTACTGTTGTTTTTATATCTGATTTTAATGTCTTTGCTAATTCTATTTTTAATGTGTCACTGTGAGACACCTGAGTGCCAAAATAATGCCAACAAATAAATAGAAATATGCTTCTTCTCTAACATTGCTGGTGTTACATACTAATTTTAGCGCAGCAACGTTTAAAGCAAGTAATCAGAGGTGTTTTTTTAAGGCTTCAAAGGTATCCCTAATTTGGTGGCAATCTTTTTTTAAAAAACATGCCTATCATTTTTAATACTCATAAAAAATGCAGCTGGCAGGCACCCTCTTGCCACACACTGGAGATGATGACTGCTACAACACACATGTGTAGCACTTAAAAGACAAATGAAGTACTGCAGAATTATTTAATTTGCAAATTTAATTAGCTGAGGGTGCAATCCTATACTCAAGTTATGCCAGCTGTAGGATATGGCAGCATTTCCCCTCACACAGATGTAACTAGACTATAGGATTTCTTGATCCAGCTCATAGGATGAATTGACTAAGATGTCTTTATTCAGGTGGCAGCCCTGATCTCGTTACCTTTCTAACCCACCCTGAGAGCCCAGATAAATAAGACGTGGTTAAAATACTAGTGCACAACTTAAGACAGCTGGATGTTCAACCTCATCTTTCCAAAGCCAGCCCACTCAGAGAGCTCAACAGCAATTGCAGACTTTAGTAAGCATCTAGCTAGGAGAAGCAAGTTCTACAGGTGAGACAGCTATCAAGAGGCCACATCTCTCTAGGGTTGTCACGTTGTTTTATGGACAGAGACCATGTGTTTTTAACAGCTAAAGGGTAGGCTGAAATCAACAGGTGAAGCTTTTTCCAGTCCCTGTGGGAAAAGCTTCATGTAGCAAGTTATAACTGTTAAAGGCCCAAAAGATACGTAGTCTATTTATAAGGTAAAGGTACCCCTGCCCATACGGGCCAGTCGTGTCCGACTCTAGGGTTGTGCGCCCATCTCACTTAAGAGGCCGGGGGCCAGCGCTGTCCGGAGACACTTCCGGGTCACGTGGCCAGCGTGACCAAGCTGCTCTGGCGAGCCAGCACCAGCGCAGCACACGGAAACGCCGTTTACCTTCCCGCTATAAAGCGGTACCTATTTATCTACTTGCACTTAGGAGTGCTTTCGAACTGCTAGGTGGGCAGGAGCTGGGACCGAAAGACGGGAGCTCAGGGATTCGAACCGCCGACCATACGATCGGCAAGTCCTAGGCACTGAGGTTTTACCCACAGCGCCACCCGCGTCCCTAGTTAAAAGTGTCTTCCCTATATGGACTTTGCACACAGACAAGATGGATCCTAAGCAGGAGATATTTCAGGCTGAGACTGAACGCAATGGGGCATAAAGGAGGCAGTGGTCTCTGGCATCTGAGTTATTAAAAGCTTTGTAGGATAACAACAAGCCCTGCTTACTTTGAAGGTCTCTCTTGTGGTGGGGAGGGTAGTGGCTTTCAAGAGCAAATGTGTCACTGACACATGCCCTGAGAACCAGCTCCTGCTGTTCTGAAACTTAGCCAGCAAAAGCAAATAAACAAAGAAAGGAAGCTTGCCATTTCATCATAACACTTAACAGTTCTGAGCTCCGCTTATCAAGTCGTATGTGCGCCACTGAAAGGCTTTCACGGGATGCTGCTGCCCCCTGCTGCCTGTTTTCTTCCAAAATGCAGTTCTCTGGCAGCAATTCCAGATCATGGGTCACCAGCATGCTCCTACAGGGAGGAGACTTCCCTGGCACTCGCAGAATGTGCCCATCCCCCTGCTGAAATTAGGCTTGTAAGAAGCATTCCTCTGTAGCCAATAAAACAGGTTTCGGTATGTGTGCAGTCATCACTGCAGTTTCTCTGGCTTGCAAATGTGTCCACAGGCACCGAAAGAGCAGAGACCCCTTTTCCAGAGGGTTTGTGCCAACTAGACTTCCTGCGTATGATCTTAGAACAGCTCTCCCAAACCTTTCTTTCTAGGTATCCATATTTTACTTATCATAAAAGCCAAGTCAGCCAAAGAATATTTCAAAGGTTTTTCCGTACACCCCACCCCAACTTTTAGTGTATTGACTATATTCTGTCCAAAGGTTAATACTTATCCTGTGTGACCTGTTTCTATTGTTGTCCTCTCTGTTATCAAGGCTAACAATTATTTTCCTTCTGGGATCTGACAAAGAGTTGAAGGGAATTGCCCTAAAGTCATTGTGCTTTGTTAACAGGGTGATCTTCAGCAAATGTACCCATGGACCCAAGCAAACACAACTGGAACCTCCCACCTTCCCAAGTTTATTTGTTAAAAAATTAAATTTAAAGCAGCTACAGAATGCACAGGAGTGTCACCAGGTGCTCAAAGCACTCAGGCCTGCCACAAATTTGCACAAATATACAGAGTGCCTGTGGGGTCAATAAAATAAGCTGTGCAAGGACTTCCGGGGTGGCGCCTCCGGAAAATGGCGGAATTCCCTTCAAGTTGAAGGGAACCCGCTGCACGGAAGCTTGGGTCCTACCGCTACGGCGCAGCGGGGACCCTTAAAACCCACAGGCGGACGAAGCCTGTGGACGTGGGACTCAGCGGGCACCGTGAGCGCTCTCTCCCCTTGTACAGGAGCCCGTTACCGGGCTCCGGAGTGGGAGGTGCGTGGTGCTGTGAGTCGACTGCTTCTTTCGTGCAGCAAAGCCGCACTGCCGTTTCCGGAGAGCGCTGCCTTTCTCCTGGGACAATTTGGCATCTAAAACATCTATCCGTGAGTACCTGATCTTGGAAGAGCTGAATTACTTTTAAGACCGGTGAATAAATAAATAAATTGGACTTGAAATTGAATTTAATTGGGACTTGGAACGGAAAGGTCTAAACAGGAAGTCAGCCTTCCGTTCTTTTTGTTACGTGAAGAAAGCAAAGACAAAATATACTAAAGCTTGAAAATTAAATTCTGAGAGAACTAGAATTCAACATCTAAGATTTCTGAACCCCCCTTTGACTGCAGGAGAAGAAGGGGGTTGTTTTGCTTTTGTACCCTTCTGAAGTGAGTTTAAAACAAAGTAATTTTCCACCGCCCTGAACCAGGAGCGGGCTGTCAGAACTGACGTTTTGAAGCTTGTCCAGCTCGACAGATAGTTAAAAGAAGGGTAACATTGTGACTCTACTGTTGCCTCTTGAATTTTGAAGGGGAACTTTGGATAAAGTGTATCTGGAAAAGGAAGACTGTTGCTGATGTTTTTCTCCTTTATAAAAAAAGAAAAGAAAAAAAAGGTTTTCCCTCTAGTGGGATTTAGTGAAACTGCAACGCAGAGAGCTTAAAAGTGAAGGACTATAATCGTGGGAAAGCATTTTCTTTGACCTTGAAGGACAATGCTTGTACAAAGGCTTGAACAAATGTTCCTGGAAGGTTTTTCAAAACTAAGTGTCCAGCTGGACCAGATGCGTCAGGAGACGACCTTGATGATGGAAGTTACCAGAGCACAGCAGCAAGTAAATGGAACTCAGTTAAAATATCTACAAGTATATGAACCTGCTGTAGTGATGGAGGCTTCAGAGATGGAGGGACCTTTGGACCGGCAGGATCAGCCTTTGAACTTGATAAATGAACTTGGGATAAATCAGATTCGGAAAGATGAAATGTGGTTAGATTTGGAAATGGGGGATGGATTGACCCCTTTATATGGTTATCTGGACTTTCCGAGTCTGGTGATGGGCCATCAGAGGATTGGAGTAGTCGGAGCCTCCAAGTTTCAAGGAAACTTGAAGTGGTATTATCTGCTGTCTGGCTTGGACAATGGGCATGGGATGGACTTGCTGCAAAGGGTCAAAAGTATCTTTCTGCTGGAGTACCCACGACTGAAAGGGAAACATCAAGAAGAGCTGCGAAAGGGGCAAGAAAGAGATTTGAGGGCCTCGGACACGAGACAACCAGGTTAAGGAGCCGGACTATTGAGGTTAAAAGGACTGACAATCCCGGGTCCAGGGGAGGGCGCTGGAAGTTGACTGGATTGTGTTTGACTTATTATTTTATTTTATTTTTCTATTTTTCAATATTGGGAACGTTCATAAATGTTTGAAAGATGTTGAATGAAACTATATGGCTTAAGTAATGATTGGTAAAAGATTTGCAAAAGGTAATGATGTAAGAATTTGGTAAATACTGAATATAAGTTTTGAGTTTTAAAGTTTTTATATGACAAGAGGGAAAATAGAATAAGGAAATGTAATGATAGATTGTTATGAAAAAACAGAAAGGATTTGCTGTAAAAATTAAAAATTAAGAAACAAGAGAGGGGAGGAGGAGGAAGGCTAGAAAGGAAGTTAACAGGGATCGTAAATGATTTTATACTTTTGTTTTTCTTTTTTTCTTTTTTCCTTTATGGTTGGGTTTTTTTTTTTTATTTCTTTATCATTTTTGTTTTTTGTATTTTCAAATTTTTTTGGAAATTTTTGTTGTTATTCTTTGGAAACTTAATAAATATTAATTAAAAAAAAAAAAAATAAGCTGTGCACACATCATATGTTTTAAGTACATGCCAAAGAATCCTTGCAACTGTAGTTGCTAAGTGAGGTATAAACTACAGTTCCCAGGATTCTTTGGAGGAAGTCATGTGCTTTAAATGTATGGTATGTATGAGCTCCCGTTGCTCGGTCCCTGCTCCTGCCAACCTAGCAGTTCAAAAGCATGTCAAAGTGCAAGTAGATAAATAGGTACTGCTCCAGCAGGAAGGTAAACGGCATTTCCATGTGCTGCTCTGGTTCGCCAGAAGCGGCTTAGTCATGCTGGCCACATGACCCGGAAGCTATACGCTGACTCCCTTGGCCAATAAAGCGAGATGAGAGCCGCAACCCCAGAGTTGGTCATGACTGGACTTAATGGCCCTTTACCTTTTACCTTATGTATAGAGCTAGAGTAGGAGGCTGGGGTCTCAGCACTGCATTTTGCAGTGTGCTCAGTCACCCTGTGTTTTAAAAGGGAAGGAAGTGGGCAGGATAGCTAAGCCCGTAGGACCTAACAATACCCGTATCCAGGCAGCCTTATTGATGCATAGCAAATTGCTCAAAACAAGAGTTTCTTCTGTTCAAAATTTGTTCTAGGTTGCTGCTAACCTGGGAGTCCGCCTTGTTAAACTTACCGTATTTTTCGCCCTATAGGACGCACTTTTTCCCCTCCAAAAATGAAGGGGAAATCTGCGTGCATCCTATGGGGCGAATACAGGCTTTTGCTGAAGCGTGGAGAGCGAGAGCGGTCGGAAGCTATCAGCAAGCCTCGGGAGCCTGCGGGAGTTCCCGCAGGGCTCCCTAGGCTGCGGATAGCAGCCTGCTTGCCCGGAGCGTGGGGCGCGCCGAAGCAGAGCGCCCCGCGCTTCGGGCAGATATCCGCGGCTGGGGGGGGAATAAAAAAAAATTCCTTTATTTCCCCCCCAAAAAACTAGGTGCGCCCTATGGGCCGGTGCGTCCTATAGGGCGAAAAATACGGTAACAGGGACTGAATTCTGAGTAGAAACGTATAGCTGCATCTGTCTCACTCATTATTAGGTATATAGGAAGCTGCCTTATACTGAGCCAGACCATTGGTTCATCTAGCTAAATATTGTCTACAGTGAACTGGCAGCAGATCTCTTCTAGCATTTCAGACTGGGGTCTCTCCCAGCCCTAAATGGAGATGCTGAGGATTGAACCTGAGAATTTTAAAATGCAAAACAGGTGCTCCCCTACCCCAAGGAAATTTCACGATAAATTTTAAAATGTTCTAAAATGTCTACTGAGGCATTTGATGGCTAAAAGATACCTTAACATTAGTAACAGTGGGGCACGTGATCACTTTCAAATGTTTGTAATGTGCTTTAAATTGCATTATTTTAACATTTTGATGTTTGCCACCCTGGACTCTTTGGAAGGAAGGGTAGAATAGAAATTTTAATAATAATAATAATAATAGGGTTGTACTTTTAGTCCTGGTTAAAAGGGATGTTACTACAGAAAACCTATTGGCGAAGATTATCTGCAATCTGACAAGTGTGGCCCATTAATTAGAATAGCTAACAATAGCAGATAATGCTATTTTGAATCAACATATGCAGAACGTATGTGAGTTATGTTTCTGAGTGTCAAACTAGATGTTCCATGATGAGAGGAAAGAGATCTAATACTTTCTCCCATGCCGTGACCCAGATCCAAAGCACACACACATATATCAAAGCTGCTGTTATCTGTGGAGAGAATATATATATACAGGCACCTGTACTGTGCCTGTCCTCTTGGCTGGGAAGGATATGAATTCAATCAATCCCCTCTCCCCACTATGCTGTAGCCCTGATCTAAACTGAGCCCCTTATATCTACTTTTAGAAGATGAAAATTGCCTCAGGAGATCCAGTCACAGCACAGCATCCCTCACTGTGAACTCACAAGGACTACAGAGGCATCCAGAGACAAGGCTCCTTCTTCCAAGTCAGACAACAATGCAGAAAATTATCAAGGCTGGAAAATTTGCACAATAAAGCAGGCTAGTCTCACAGGGGGCTTTCTGATTGTCACCTCATCAAATCCCTCAGTATGCAAAGCAGAAGGCAACAAAAAGATCCTTTTTTTGTCAAGTCATTAGGCTTCAGGAAAAGGAAAGGAAGTTGAATTTCATCAATAATATACAATGCTGAAATGAAGCCCTTTCAGAAGACTGGATGTGTCCTTCAATCAAACAACTTCAATGTCATTTTCATATCTTGCTGTGGTATCTAGTGATGTGTGCAAACCCATGCTGCCTGGCCCTGAAAAACATTCAGGCTTTTAAAGCTGGACCCAGTTTATTAATTTAAGCTGTTTATATACTGCTTAGTCACCAATGTTTATAAGTGGTGCACATAAAGATTACAAAAAAGCATAGAGTGGATAAAATCAATTGAAAGGAATCATACAAACAGTTCAAAATAAGGCATGCACAGTTAAGATGCAATCCTACCCAACCCACCCAGTCACGCTGGAGAGTGACACAGCCGTGGCTGCATCTTCGCAGGGGGTAGGATGGGGTGGTGGTGGTGGTAGCAGAAAGACTAAGCCCAATTTGGACCAAATTGGTATACAGCTCAAAATGGGTGCTGATGCCACCACATGACAGCACTGAGAACAGCTCAGAGTCAAGCAGATCCACTTGGCTAATTAAGCTGAGATGTGATTGTATGAACACAACTTCATTGTGTGTTTATAAATCAGGTCTGCCAGTGCTTGAGAATCCCAGTCTGATGAAAGAAAAGTACTCTATTGACTTATTATTTACTATGTATTAAATTTCTATACAGCCCTTCATCCAAGGATCACAGAGCAGTTATAACATAAAGACACAAAAATACATAACATAGTAACAAACATACACCCATTTAAAAGGCCAGATTGCTTAATTGGCCAGAGGCCTGGGCGAAAAAGAGTGTTTTTGCTTGATGCCGAAAGATATGTAACAAAGGTGCTGGGGAAAGGATTCCACAAAGGGGCAGCCAGTGCAGAAAAGGCATGTTCTCATGTTGCCACCCTCTGGACCTCTCATGGAGGAGGCACAGATGAGGCTTGCAGGGTCCGGGTTGGTTCATATGCAGAGAGACGGTCCTTGACGTATTGTGGTCCTGAGCTGTTTAAGGCTTTATAGGTCAAAACCAGCACTTTAAATTGGGCCCGGAAACTAATTGGCAGCCAGTGTTGTCGGGCCAGTGCAGTTACTGTGGCAATCCAGATGTTGCTGGAGTACAAGTCTCATTTTCCCTGACAGATGCCCATGCTGGCTGTGACTGATGGAATTTGGAATCCAACAGGTTTCCCATCTCTATACTCTCATATTTATATATATATATCACTTATCATAGAGGTGATCCCTAAGAAGAGATTCTAGGGCTAAGTGCTGCTATAAATTAAGCCTTGAAATACAACAGATACAACCAGTTAACAAGGAATTTGAGGGCATCTTAAAGACTCAACAGATTTATTGTGGCATAAGCTTTCATGGACCAGAGTCCACCACATCAGATGCATTCAGTTGGCAGATATATAAATACATAAATTATGAACAGGTGGAGCCAAATGGAAACGACGACTTCTGCGCCTTCCAATTTGCATGAGTAATGACTGCACCTCTCACATTTTATGACCTTTTTGGCTCTGTGTTTTACAGCTCCCCATGCAAGCATATACTGTATCTGCCACTTCATGAATATGATTTGACACTAGCTCATAAAAACGTCTGATGCCACAGTAAAACTATTAAAGGTACTATGGACTATTGTTTCTGCAGCAACAACTAATAGTGCAACACTGCACCCAAGGCAGCAATCCAATGCGCACCATCCTAAATACAGTGGGATTTCCAGTTAATTAAATTTATAATGAAATGTGATGGGCTGCTATCCTGCCCAAGCCTACTTCCGAGGGAGTCTTGCTGAACTCGCTGCTAACGCATGTCAGTACTTAGAATAAATAATCTTGTTTCTCAGTAAATTTGCAGAGGATTCTTGTGCCGATGCAATTCTATGTACATTTACCTGGGAGCAAATTCCTCTGAGCACAGTGGAACTTGCCTCTCAAGGAGCATGCACAGAATTTCGTGTCAGAGGTGCAATCCTGTGCAGTTGATCTGGAAGCAGGGCTCACTGCATACACCGACAGTTACCCCCAGGAAAATATACCAGACGGATAATCGTGCTTTTGACCAGGAGAGGAACCTTATCACAAGATGCCTGGCAAGGCGCAGCTGAAGCCCAGGGCCGCCCGCATAATCTGTGGGGGCACCAGAAAAATAATGCACGGGCGGGACGCGGAAGGGGCAATGTGTATTTCTGCATATTAACGGGTGCGGGACGAGCTACATCCGCCCTTGTACGTACAGTACATTCACTACAAAGGCGTCGTCCGCGGTTGCGGCCTGCCCCAAAGCAGCGACATCTCCGAGCCGCATCCGGTTGCCATGACGCCCAGCCTCCATTTTTTTTTCAGGCCGCGCGCGTCTCGGTGGGCGGGGCGAGGAGGGGAACGCGACGCACGCGCAGCACCCGCCTAGGAAAGGGGAAGCCGAGGGCAGGTCGCGTCGCAGGCTGTCACTTGCGGGGCGGGTGCGCGCATTTCTTTCCCGCGCATGCGCGGAGCAGGGGAAAAGAAGGCAGGGCCTTGTCCTTTGCGCGTGCGTCTTCGTGAAGGCGGCGGAAGCGGCGCTAGTCAGATTCGGCTGACCCTGACACAGATCCTGTGTTGTTTATTGTGTGTTTTCCCTTCTTTCGTTTTCTGTCCGGGTTTCAGGCTCGGCCATGTCGTACGGCCCGTTAGAGACGTACCGGCCCGGGGGGCTTCCGCCCCGGGACTTCAGCGCCATTATCCAGACCTGCAGCACCAATGTACAGCGCCTGGCACAATGCAGTGAGTGAAAACCGCTTCCTCCCCTTCCCCACACGACCCGCTGTGTCTTAAGTCTTGTCCCCTCAGGCCTCCTGAATTCTGTCCCCCGACCGCCTAAACAATCTCTGTTACCGCCCCCCTGTCATGTGTTCCACCTCCCAACGCCGCCTTATCCTCCTCAGATTCGTCTTTTTTTTTCTTTTAAGATCCCGCCTTTCCGTTTACAATACGTTCAAGGCGGCTCACAGCTCCCTAAGGCAATTTCTCGACCTTCTGTACACTTGATTCCTTTAGCTGCAGTGGCAGGCAGTTCCAAGGGCCCCTATTTAGCGAACTTTAATCCGCAGGGACTGCCCGCTCTCTACCCCGATGGTCTATTAAAGACAATATTTAAAACCGATAGAAAGCCATTATAATCCCTCGCCCCCATGGCTCTCTCTTTTTTTTTTAAGGCCCGCTTTTTCCCCAATAGGTCCGTCCCCCCCCCTTTATCTACACCCCACATCCTGCCTTTCCTCCGTGTTTCTGTCATAAGGATTATTTTATTTATTTGGTTTGGTCTGCATCATAAAGTATTGCTTTCAAAAAATACAGTAAAATAGACCAACATAAACAAGAGGAAGCAAGATCTGTATTTATAACAAAAGAAGAAGTTAAAGCCACAGGCAGTCTCATTATTCATATTCAGTATGAGTGGGAGAATTATTGCAAAGGGATGAGTCAATCTCTGCTCATTGCTACCTTGCCCATGCTTCACCTAATAGCTTCCTAACAATTATAAATATCACTGAGGCCACTTCACGTGTTCTTTGTTGACTAAAAGGCAATCACTTTATTGTAGTCAAGAGGTGTGACCTGCATATAGAATATAATGGCCCTGTGGTTATGTATTTCATTGTGTGTCTTAATTCTGCCAAACCATTGACATCTCTTCTGGTTTCCCTATGTGTACATGTAGCAAAATACACTTGCATGTGATCACTGCATAACAGTCTCTATATATTGTTTCCAGCTACACAAAAGTGCTTTTGAGGAAGGCAAGAACAGTCTCTGAAATTGTCTTGAGTCTAGTTAGTAAGGGCCCATCCAACCTCATCTTAATATGGAATATGTACCCTTTAATTCCCCCTCATCAATACAATCATCACCAGAGAGAGCTGCTGTCCCAAACTTTCTCCTTCCTAAATCTGGACAGTTTCCCGGTCCTTCAAAAATCCAAAAAGGACATATGCTTCCTTTTAAAAGTGCCCCTGTCAGCTTGGGGCATCTTTGGTTCTCTTTTTTTTTTAATGTGAAGCAACTTCTTCAGAGGTGGGGTTCCTTGAAACAGCATATAGTGGAAAACAGGGAGAATTGATGCCAAAACTCTGGGTTAAAATCATATCAGAATATAAACTGCTCAAGTATAGATTGCAAGAGGACAAAGCCCTTATGTAAAACAAGGATTTTATGAGCAAATCGGGATGGGCCTTAAGAGACCTATTTGCCATGTCGTTTCTTTGACTTTTATTTATGCCTAGAGCTCACCCAGTCTTAAGTCTGACAACAGTGCCTAGAAAATATACATAGTTACCTGTCTGATCCCTTTCTCCTGCTCCCATTTGCAAATGCTACAGAAGGAAGAAAGGACAGACTTCTTGAGCTTTGAAAGACTTTCCAATTTTTATGTATAAATTAATATCTGAAGTGGAAATGTACAGAGGAACACAGCTACAGTCATACCTCGGGTTACAGCCACTTCAGGTTGCGTTTTTTCGGGTTGCGGACTGCCGAAACCTGGAAGTACCGGAACGGATTACTTCTGGGTTTCGGCAGTCGCGCATGCACAGAAGCGCTAAATCATGCTTTGCGCATGCGGAGAAGCCCTGAATCGCAACCCGTGCGTGCACAGACGCAGGTTGTGAACGCTGCAGGTTGCGAATGAATCTCGCACGGATCACATTCGCAACCCGAGTGTCCACTGTACTACTTTTGTGGCTGGGAAAAAATAATCTTGCAGCTCCTACTCTACTGCACTGCAGCCTTTCCACTAGTCCTAATCTCAGATGCTGTGGAGCTAAATAAGGGCTGGGGGGAGTAGACAATTTGCATAAGCAGTTAGTTTCAATTAGCTACCTTTAGTAACATTTGTGTCTCCTTTGATATTGGTAGGTATATATATAAAACAACCTCCAGAGGTTACATTTTGCCTCTGTAGTTCATGACTGGGAGCATGAGAAGTATGCTAGAAAAAAGACAATTGCCCTTTCCCCAGATGCATCCCATGTCTTATTTTTTAATATTGTAAACCACTCTGATTTTTAAAATATAAATAATGGTGTATAAATATTTTAGTAAATAAATTATTTGTTACATATGTTTCTCACCTTTCTATCAAAAAATGCCTAAAGCAGCTATTACCAAGGCACACAAAAACCAAGCAATATATCACAATAAAACAATATAAGATCAGGTTAAGGTATTCAGCGTGAGGCAGAAAAAGGTCCTCCTTTCCTTCCACTCTGCATTTTTAATCTGAAATCTTAGGCGCAGTATTGCACCCAGAGCTAAGAAACTACTCGCGCTACTGAAATTCCCTGGTGCAAAATGTGCCTAGAACAATGGGAGTTTGAACACTGGGTGGCTCCATTTGGGGTCAAACAGCAAGGGGGACAAAACTGAACCCTGTAGGAAACCACAGGTCAACTTCAACGGCATTGAGCAACAATTGCCTGATGCTGTTCCCAGGAAACAGTCCTAGTACTAGGAGCAGACCCACCGTAACATGGTGTCGTCTACTTCCCACTCACCGAATCACTCAAGGAGTTTACTGTAGTTGATGGTATCAAAAGCTGCTGAGAGTAAGAGAACCAGCGGGGTTGTCGTCCTCCTGCCCTTCTGCCACCTAGGTGTCTAGTGCACTTTAGGTGTTATACCTGGACTTGAAGCTGGACTGAAATTGGCCTAGATAATCCACATTTTCTGAGCAGACTTGTAGCTGAACTGTAGCCACACTCTGAAGCTAATTGATTAGGAAGCTGTGGCCCAGTTTGCACATAATGCTAAACTGTGGTTTGATGAACCTCTGTGAGCACAAAGTGTTTGGCTTGCATGCTTCCCATCCCATGTAGCCACAAGATGGGGAGCAGCAGCATGCGAGTATGACACTTTCTTGGGTTCATAGAGATTTGTCCACCTAACACTAAACCAGGATTTAGTGTTATGCTGAAACAGTCAAATGTGCATGCTCTGCCAGACTAATATTCAAGAGAACTGTTCTGTGATTCTGCACAAGTAATTCACAATTGCAAGATTTTTTATATTTTCGGGCTTTATTTAAGCATTGTTACAGACTAGCTTGATTTCATCATGTTCGCAACCTAGCACAAGCAAGCCGTGAGTGTTAGGACTATATATACTGTATTTGCTTATAACTCTCAGAAGGTGTTTATTATGTCTGATTTAATTATCTGTTCTGTGGTTTACTGACATAAGGCCAAAATAAGCATCAACCTGGGACTGAACAGTTTTGAAATGTGAATGCAGAATAGTTCTCTTCCTGTCTCTGTCTTTGAACCTGTCTCTACCTCATCTCAATTCATCTTTCAAAAAGTTGCTAATTTGTACAAGAAAAAAGGAAGGAAGTCACTGAAATATATATTAATATTAAGTTCCAAAGAAAGACTTCCTGCCCATTCCTATGGAAATTTACAAGAAGTCAGTCCCATTGAATTCAGTGGGGTATGATTTATTAATCTGATGCTCTCTAGTTATTTGGGTCTACAACCCCGATTGGCCATGTTGGCTGAACATGGTTGTTGGCTGTGCTGGTTGGGGCTGATATGAGTTGTACCCCAAGGTATCTAGAGAGCACTAGGTCAGTGAAGGCTACAATAGGGCTCCCAAGTCTGTTGTCTTCTCCCCAACCTTCCTCCCTTTTTATTTTAGATTTAACCTTTGCATTGTCACTTACTTGTTTTATTGCTGCTTTGTACTTTGTCACTTATTGCCGACAGATGTCGTGATTTCAGAAGCAGTTTTTTAATCGATTGAAGTTTTCTTCCAGTACTCTCTACAGTCATAACAATATTTTTTTAATTAATTCATTGAAAGACAACTTTGTGTTGCCCCAAAGAATGTCTCCTTCTGAAAATAGTGAAATCCCCTTTAAATTCCTTTTGAAGCTTTAGGCTAAACACACCACTGAAATGGATGCAACCTATCCTCAAGTAATTATAGTTAGGATCAGGCTATGATTTGAGCAATGTTTTTTTCCCCTGGCAATACGTCCTTAGAGGAGAACTTTTATGCACAATGATAACGCACAATCAACTTTGCTTCCACAGCTTCTCAGATAAAGAACTTGATGAGTCAGCTGGGAACTAAGCAGGACTCCAGCAAACTGCAGGAAAACCTGTACGTATGACCTGAGCAGTTCTTAAAGTGCACATTACAATGGCAAACCCAAATACTTGGATAAATTTTGAATATCCTGCATGGGCAGTAGAATGTGGTTGGTTGAAGAGATGATGCCACTTCAGTCTGCAAGGGGAGGCATAGCATTTTTTAATACTCTCCTGTTTGTGTATCCCACAAAATAAAATAGCTATAGTATTTTAAGGAGAGGGGTTTTAGCCCAGACTGCTGCCTGTTGTGCTAGTACACTACTTTGGGTAAGTTCATATAGGGCAGGGATGGGGAATCTACAGGTTCTGTTGGACTTTTAGTCCCATCAGCTTCTGCCAGCATGGCTAATGTAGCAGAACATTCATGAATGTGATTCTCCACCTGCAGTCTAAAAAACTGCCCATTCTACATCAAGACTTCCCCATCTCATGCGGCTACATCTGTAGGCCATTGGACACAGTAACAAACTGCTGGACAACTTGTTAATTCCAAAGAGACTAGAAATGCTTATACGGAAGGAATGTCTATTCACTTCTGGGGGAAATGAAATTTAGTATTGGGAGGCACCCAACAAGAATCATGTGGCTGTCCTAAATTGCTGCATAACCGAGTGAATGAAAAATTAGATTTGTGGGTAGCATAGTTCCTGTTTATGTGCTCAAGCTTCCATTTTGAAGAGTCTAGAAATCAAAGCTGAAAAATGCATTCTTTTTTCATAGACAGCAGTTGCAGAACACAGCAAACCGGCTTGCCAAAGAGACCAATGAATACCTGAAGGAGCTGGGCTCCCTGCCACTCCCCTTATCTGCATCGGAACAGGTATCTGAGTCTTCTGTGCTGCGATAGGTTGGAAGGAAAGCTTATTTCTTGAAAATGGTGATATTAGTGATGTTTTTAATAGAATACCAACATCATTGTTTTGATGGGATGTGTAGGATACTGTGAAAAGGTGAGTGAGGTCCATTTAGAGCAGGGATGGTTAACCTGTGGACCACAGCCACCAGCATAGGCAACAGTCAGGAATGATGGAGATTGTAATGCACCAACATGGGGAGCCCACAGGTTTCCCATCCCTAATTTAAAGGCTGAACTCTTTATATCTGCAATTTACTGGCACATGGTGGTTTTTTCATTGGAATGTAATTAGTATTCTGGGGAAGAGGGTTAATCCCTCATTTCCATCTGCTGTAGTCAGTGAGGAAACAACAGATGGTTGAAGGCAAGGGAATCAGTATCTGCTAGTGCATGAAATGGATGTAAACACTCAGTTTTAGGACTCTAAATGCTAGTCTAAAGCTGAATGTTATCTAGGCCAGTTCTTTTCCCTTCCCAGGCTGCTAATGTTCATATATCGAGCCATAAATGCAGACTGGTATTTGCCTACAGCAGATATGAGATGCTGTGGGTGTCTAATAACAAGCAAGATCTGCTGCTTTCCTCAACACCTGAGAAGCAGATGAGGTGACTAGCTTTGGGCAAGACACAGTGCAGAGAAGTGTTTGAAATGATAATAGGAAGATTCAGCACATGGGCTAATACTAATACTAAAGTTAAGAGGCCAGCTTTTAAGACTGCCTGTGTATTGCCTGTGTACCTCTGCTTGTGTGTAACAAGGCTTTATCCACTTCTGTATTATTTTGCTTTGCAAACCACGGAGGAAGGGAGAAAGAGGTTAAATGGGGGGGAAATCACTTCTCCTTAACTATGACCTATTGATAAACTTCCCCATGTCATATCAAATGGTAGCACAGCTGAAAGTGAGGGGCTTTTATTTCAGTGTGTAATGCCAATAAACAATAAGAGAGATTATTGCCCAAGTAGCACTGCGATGATAGTCAGCTGAAACTCCTCTTTCACTTCCCTGCCCCATTCCTGCCTACAGCTTCTGTAGAACATTCTTAAGCAGTTTGCCTTTTTGCTCACTGCTGCACCAGCAAACAAAAGACAAGTTGTCTATGGAGCTGCAAAAAAAGTTAACTAAATATGTATCCCACTAACTTCAAAAGAAGATGGAATGGAGGCTGGGCAAAGGAATCCAAGCCCTTGATGTGCTGTGCTGGAGGGGGTTTGGATGGAGCAGAGGTCTCCTTCCGCCCAGCCCTGCTGGGCTTCACCAGCTTTGTCTAGGGGAGAAGCTCCAACATCAGCAAGGGAGTTCTACTGGTGAGGAGCACCTCAGTGCACCCATCTGCCCAAATGTTAGACCAGAGCTATTGAACTGGTATGAGCAATCGGGCTGATCAAGCATAGCCAGAGGTTAGGATTGCAGCCTTAGTCCACTTTGCTCAGTTGCATTTATGTTGTCAGATGCCTATAAACTACAGTATAGACCCAGAAACATGTACTGGAAATGCTGTGGTTTGTGTGTCTCCTCCCTCACAGTTTGTGAAGCTGTACTTTGATCTGTGGAACAAGGTGTTATTTCCACCTTGGAAATAACCCTTGGAAATCCTGTTGGATTACTGTTACAAACAGAATCCATAAAAGGTAGAAATAAGGCATATACATTCTCCTTGTTATTGGATGCTCCTTTTTGCTGTTCTACACAATAAGCCATGGACATAATTTGTGTTTTCTAGCGCCAGCAGAAACTTCAGAAGGAACGTTTAATGAATGACTTTTCCGCAGCCTTAAATAACTTTCAAGCAGTGCAAAGAAGAGTGTCTGAAAAAGAAAAGGAGACTGTTGCCCGGGCAAGAGCTGGTTCTCGTCTTTCTGTAAGTTTGTCAGCCAAGCCTCTCCTAAAGAAAAAGGCTGTTACAGGCTCCGTTCAAAGGTTTCTTTTTAAGCATTTAAATGTTTTGCATTGTATCCTGTAAACATGACAGTTCTTGACCCTGGTTTTAGCTAGGGTTCATAACAGATCCTATACTCTGCCTATTCTGTGAGGTTGAGATTACTCTTTCAGCAAACACAGTACCAAAATATAGTTGAAGTGTGTTCAGAATACACCATGATTCCCACTTGGAGGCAATACATATAACAACAACAACAACACCCCCTGCCACAAACAAATTTTAAAGGTCAGAGATTGTTTAATCAGCCAAGGGCATCATACCTTGGTAGGTCATCCTACCAAGAACAGACTTCTGATGCGTTGTATTGATCTGGGAAGCCTACCAGGGTAAGTGCTTTGCTGAGAGACAGTTACTTCCTGGGACTATGAGTCAAAGCCACCCCTTGGACCACAGTAATTAGGCAAATTCTCCTATCTGTATTTTTTTAATGTTGAATAAGGTTCCTGCTCCCACTAAAACTCTTCCAAAACACTGCATTAAAATGGTTTCTCCCCTGCATTGGGGAGTTTCTCCCTCCTTCAGCATTGAGGTCAGCATTGGCCAAGTTGGGTGAGTAGATAGGAGTCTGACTAATTCCCATATTTAAGGACAGGAAGCAATACTCCTAGTCATGTGAGTAGTGACCCTGGATTGCATATGTTTCCCTTGCACACACTTGTGGCACACACGGGATTAAGAGGATTAATTATAGTGAGTGATCATGCTGTGCAACAGAGGGCTTGACTGATGAGATCACTATCCCTTCCTATTTAGTTTTGCTTTGTTCAAGTTATTGGTGTTTTTTAGAAACAAAAAACACCCAACTTCCTGTACTGGTTATTAGCCACCTTGAAAGCTTAGTTTGAAAGGCAACCTTAAAATCTTTTAGTCAAAAATAAGTTATCTTCTCTTGACTATCACAAAGCCTTTTAATCTATCGTTCTTTGTCTTGCCCATTGAAATCAGCAGGACATGAAGACAATACTGATAGTGATCAGGCATTATAATGCTTCAGTGTTTCATCACATCCTCCAGCCTACTTAGTACAAACCTTACCTTGTTGACTGATGAGAACTAAATTGTTTTTTCCAGGGAGATGACAGGTCCAGGGAAGAACAGCTGGTCTCATTTGACAGGTAATGTTTCCTTCTTTAAAGTTATAAATAATTTTCATCTCTTCAAATGCAATCATATCTCTTAATCATATCTCTTGACTTGGGGAAAAATGGGTGGGGAACAGGGCGTGGGGGACAGGCATTGGTGAATTAACAATGTGTTCCAATAGTACATAAGCTTCTTACTCTTGAATCAGAACAAAAATGGCCCATTTCAGATGTCAGGCTGATGTGCTCCCTTGATATGCTCTCTGATTCCCTCACTTACTTCCCAGTTTGCATCAATGACGGCCAAGACTTGAACCATGGTCTTTATCCAGACTTTGGAAATTGAGTTTGAACCATGGCTTCAATTCTGGCTTAGAAGCAAACTGGTTTGTGGGCACTTGTTTGCGGCATCTGGTTTCAGCAAGTAATTGTTAACGCAAACCAGGAAGAGAGAGAGGTAATTTGGGAGGGTTAGGAGGGAGCGTGCCAGTCTTGGACACAGCTCTGATTGTCAAACTTTGGCTGAGCTGTAACATCTCAGTCAGACCTGTTGCACTTAAGTATAAATACAGATCCTGATTTTTACCAACATAATTTTTACATTTGACTGTAGGGGGCAGAGTTGCAAGAAAACTCTGACTCTCTATGTCTTAGGACATTTCAGATTATTTTCTTGGTACTTTCAGTCCCAATAAACTATTAGCATGCATATGGTCGCCAGTTTATGTGTTTTAATTCACTTTAGGATGATGTCTGCAAGCTTTTGAAACCTAGGTGGCAAAAATACATCAATACCAATAAAAACAGCTTCAGATTTTTCTGGAGTAGTAGACTTATGATCTGAGCATAGGAATTTTCATTGGAGAAACAGGATAAAACAGACAAATATTTTTGCAATAAATTGTGAAATAGGTAAGTGATTATTTGGAGAGCACTCTCCCTCCTTTAATACAAATCAGGCATTTAGGTGAAAATCCAAGTGAGTATTCAGCAATAGTTGGAATAGCAGACTGTAATGTAGCATTCTCCCTGCAGCAATGAAGAGTGGAATCAGATGCAGTCTCAAGAGGAAGACGTAGCAATAACAGAACAAGATCTTGAACTAATTAAGGAGAGAGAAACTGCCATTAGGCAATTGGAGGTGAGTGGATTAGGACTTGAACCAGATGCAAAGTTTTAAAAATTGCTTTGTTGTATTTAAATAGGTCTAAGCGAGAAGACTTTGAGGTTCTTCTGAACCACACTGGTCCCATCTGTATTGCCTTTAATTGCATACTGGAATACACTGTAACTCAGCAATGGGGAACCTCTGACCCACAGGAATCTTGACCTGCCAGGGGGTAAAATTTGGCTCATGAGGCCATTTTTTTGGGAAGCCATGCCCACATGCCATTCATCGGATATGTGGGGTGGTGGTGTTTCATTCTGCATTAACTGTATGCTCCAGTATCCCGTTGGGAATGGATGAATACAACCAAAACAGAAGAGTGCTGCTTTTTGAACCTCTGAAAGCTACAGGTTTAAAGAGCAATTGGGTGCAGTAGGGTTTGAAAGCCCTTTTGCAAGCAGTCCCACACTGCTTTTCAAACAACCCTGTACTGCACTTTGAAGTCCTGACAGATGGGGCAAAGTATCTGTAAAGTACAGTATCGGTTCAGCTGAGCTACCCCCTGGGAAGCTGTCAAGTCTCAACCTTTTTTTCACCAGTATACAGCATTGCCTTGTTGAAATACTTATCACAAATTTATCACACAGCCCTAACATATACACAGTCAAAGATTGGGGTAAGTGTTCAGAAAACATAGGCTGTGACTCTCTTGAAGTTGCTGAAAGGGAGGAGTGAAGGATGTGGCTATCCCAGGCCGGAGACAAATGTAGGAGCTACTAGGAAAAGGAAAGAGATCTGCTTGAAGGAGGTATAAGCAGGTCAGATGGGCAAGAAACAGCACTTTGGAATATAGGAACCAGACAGATGGAGCCGATGCTGTTTCTTTGGTGTTGAACGGGGGATAAGTTATAGAAACTCATCCAAGTTTTGAAGACAGAGACCTCTTCATAAATTCTGGAAAATGTGGTTGTAAATGTTTCATCTCAAAGGGATGTGAGGACTTGGATCCAAAAATAAAAATGTAATTTTAATTTTTGGCATTTTTATACCACCCTATTAACTATGTCATCTCAAAGGTTTGTAAATAATACTAAGACAGTTTCCCAGGGGTCACTTTTCAGGGGATCAAACTACTATAGCAGAAAAGTGGGCAGGAAAGCCTCATCATGTGGGTGTTGTTATTTAGATCTAAACCATAGTAGAGTGGATGTCCATTTGTGTTACTTTTTCAAATGGGTTCTGTAAGCATGCAGTTTGGAGAGAATAACTCTTCATCACCTTTTTCCTTTCAGGCAGATATCCTGGATGTGAACCAGATATTTAAAGATTTGGCTATGATGATCCATGATCAGGGAGACATGATTGGTAAGATGATACCTGTGTTTGCTATGACAGTTTCCCTCCAAATTGCTAATTGTGCAACTTTTTATGGATGCTTATGGTTATATGTTCAGCCTATGGTGTGTTACTAGCTGCGAATTCATATTGGAGATCTTTGAAACAAATTGAGTGTTCTTTGTGCCAGGCAGTGTGCTCCAAATATATCATTTGACTTGAACTATTGTATATAAGCTGTCGCTGAGAGAACCAGTAGCAGAAACTGATTTGGCTTCTTTTGAGTTGATTTGATAATGCTGCAAGTGTAAGAAAATGTGTGGACACATTAGATACTGGCACAGGAGCATTCTTATTTTAAACTTTTCTTTTTTAAAAAATTGGGCAAAATAGAGGCATTTTTTACCACTTCAGAAGATGGGGGCTAAAGTACTTGTTCACGCTATACCTTTTGAAAATGAGCCAGTAGTAGTTTGTCAGTGGTTTATGAGACACAGTATATCAGGGCTCACAGCACCTGTGATTTTTATGATAAAACAATTTTATATACCGACTAAGCAGGCATTATTTCAAAAAGTGAAAACCTGGACACAAAAGTTGTTGGGGTTACCATACATCCAGATTTTCCTGACATTTTCCCAATTTCCACCCGGACACTGCTTCCGACTGCTGTATGTCCAGGAAATTCTGGACGTATGGCAACCCTCATTATAGCAATGTTGAATAGTAGGGGTGGGAAAGCTGTGTCCCTTGGTCTTATTTCATGTGGGTGGAAGGAGAATAGAAAGGCGAGGAAGATCAAAATGGTGCAAAAAAAATGAAAACAGATGGAGCAAATGGAAGGGTCGGGTGAGGAGTTCTCTGCCAGCATTGCCTGACCTCTGGCAAAGGTGAGCAGTCCCTGCCCTGCCAGCCCACCAGGCAAGCAGGAAGGGTGATGGGAAGAGAAGCAAGTGACCCCATCCAAGTTAGTTAGTTAGTTAGTTAGTTGTATTTCATAAAATTCAGAGTTTAACTCTGGCCCCACCCACCACCACTCCATAGGTTACTCCTGCGGGAATGGAGCCCTCGACAGAACAAGATTCCCAATCACCGGTATACAGGCTGTTGTTGTTGTTGTTATATATACAGACTGTTGTAAGAGAATTGTACATCTGTGTGCGCTCTTCTTCCCTATAGATAGTATAGAAGCAAATGTAGAAAATGCAGAAGTCCACGTGGAAAGTGCCAATGACCAGTTACAAAGAGCCGCTTATTATCAGGTAACAATGTCTGCACAACCACTTTAAAAGGGAGGTGGGAGCGGAATCAGTCTTGCTAAGTTTCTTCAGAAAAGAGAAAGCAAAGCCTCTTGAAACCGACGGATTGGATTCCAGCTACGTTCTGTTCAGAGAAGACCCTTTGAAATTAATGGATCTAAGTTAGTCTTGCCCATTAATTTCAGTGAGCTGGCTCTAATATTGGATACCACCCATGGTTCTTCTAGAACAAAAGGAAACTGGTATCTACATACTTCTCTTTTTCAGTTCCTTGTGACACCTTGAAATTCAAACTGATGGAAAAATGCATAGCTTTTAATGTAGAGATTCTTCCCAGTGAATTTGCCCTTTGCACAATCTAGAGGCAGTAAGCACAACTGAAGTCTATATATGAGGACCTGTAACAGAGTGGTGGAAAGCTAGAATTGCCTATTGTTGAACCCGGGACCTTATGTACACCAACATCCTACCCACTTGACTGTGTCCTTTCTTCTCTTGAATTTCTAACACATTCTATTTCTATCTCCCGGACTGTGTGGCACCATCTTAAAATATTAATGTTAAAGCTACATGAAAAGTGCAAATGATACATGGCCAATGACATATTTATTACAGGTATTTATGTATTGCCCTTTAATAAAATTTTGCGTGTGGTTTACAATAATATTCAGTAATTAAAATGGCAGAAATAACTATAAAAACAACTAAACTGTAAATCTCAAGTAGAATAGAACAAGGGGGGAAGCCCGCCATGAGACACTGAGTTTAAAAGGCTTAAGAAAATGATATCTTTGCTTGGCACTGGAATTATGAAAGAGTGATGTCTAGCAAGCATTTCGTAACTGAAGCACCAACACTGAAAAGGCTCTGGTAGCCACTTCAGAAATTTCCCTATGTTAAAAATACAGAAGCAAAATAAGCCAATATCCCCACACCTATCAATAAAGCATTTTTTTATCTGACAGTCGTGATTATTACATTGCTAGCAATTCATAAATGTGCACAGAGCAACCTATGCATGAACAGGCATTTTCATCGTTTTTCTGAACAGCATTTATTATATGCCCAAACCTGCTGGTGTTTTTTAAACCGGGGAATTGGAAAGGAGCTTTCAATGCAGTATGGAGCCTTAATGAAAAGGAGAAGTGGGAAAGCCCCACTTGGTGCACAAATCTACCTGGTTGCTTCTCTCAGTCAACACCACTAGCAATAAATTTGTACCTTCTATTGCTTCCTTTTAAATACATGTTAAATATTCAGCCTTGATTGTTTAAGTACTCTTTTGACAATTTCTGTTGTTGTCCTCTTCTTGTTGATATCTTGTTCCTTTTCTCTTTGGTTAAGTATTGCGTCCAAACACATCCCACCTTCCTATTGTAATGAGCTGAATGTTGTTTTCTTACCATCTTCCCAGTGTAAATGGGTTTTTCCCTATTTGTTTTCTTTTAACAGAAGAAATCTCGTAAGAAGATCTGTATCCTGATTCTTGGTCTGTCTGTGGCTGTTCTAATCCTGGGACTCATTATCTGGCAGGCATCAAAATGAAGCCCTTATGTGGAACTGAATGAATTGCAGAGTTGTTGTTTTCCTCCCCAAAGGGAAAACAAGTAGACAAACCCTGTGGAATGAATTGATTGAGAGGAGATGAAACACAAACTGGTTTTCCTCTAGTAATTATAATATATAGAAACTAACATGAAGATAACTAGTTATTGGATTTAGTGAACCATGAAGACAGTATTTATCAGTTAATGTAAAATTATTTTATGTAATCAAACTTGTGGGGTTTTTTTGTTTACTATACTATTGCTGTCCTGAATATAAAGTGTTGGAGAGTGTGATCGGTAACCTGTTAATTGACAACATACACTACAAATTTAACTTTTTAAAAATACATACTGCTTTTATAAGCGACTTGCATAGGAATAACTTCTGAGAACGCCAGAATCTCACCAACTAAGCAACTCTCCAATGAATTTGTTGCTGTGATCCAGAGATTTGCTTTAAGAGTGTGCGGTGAGCTGCAACTCTTTTTCAGTTCCTCTGCTGCCTTGTATACCACTTCTGAAACTTCCAGAAGTTGCTCTTCATTGCAGCATGGTAGTCTTGTGATTAAAAGTCCAAGCTACACAGTAGCCTTTGTTTTAAACTTCTCAAGAGAACTTTAAACATCTCCCGTCTTTTTTAATGGTATACCATGAAAAATGTTTTGGTCACTTGCATTTGGAACTGAGAATGTACTCTGTGATTACTTTTCTGAGCTAGAGATATTTGTACCTAGTATTCAGTAAGAGGTTTTCTCCTTGATCCATTTTTGTGGTGACAGTGAATCATTTAGCAGTGTGTCCAAATGTATTGTTGCCTAATGAAGCTGTATTTGATGGTGGGCTGCTTTACGCTTGTCTTCCCAACTTGTACCTCTAAGCCCATATATTATACATTTGCAGCACGTAAAAAATACAGCACAGAGCCTGTAATGGGTAAAAAATGGAGGTGGCATAGAAAAATAGTTATACATTTTGTGAGCAACTATGGCAAATCTGTCTTTCCAAGAGAAGATTTTCACCTTTGCAGGCTAGGAACGTTACTTATCTCCTTTGGCTGAGAGATCTGACCTAGACCTTTTCTCTGCTCTGAATTGCTGGGTAGAGCTCTTAGGTCTATTCCACTCCTGCAGGATAACTGATGTAAAAAAAAGGCTGAAAAGTTGACTTGTTTATAGACTTGTAGCAATTTCTTGGGTAGAATTGTAAATCTTTTTACTGACACACTAACTATTTATTCTTTTTCACATTTTACTTATTGAAATTACTAAACTGTGAAAGTTGGCGCTGGAGAAGATTGATGCCCTCAGTTGCACATCTTTCTTTGCACTATTGCTCCATCATTCCATCCATTTAACTGTCAATAAACATTTTTTTAAAGTGTTTTGACATTGTGTATTTTCTTCAGCTCAGACCTAAATGCAAGGATCAAATCACTTTCAATGCCTGGAGAAAACAACAGTCTTTGGGTAAAGTCTTTGACATTCCGATAATTTATTATGCTGCTAGTTTTTGCTATACTGGACTCGTTTGGAAGGAAGCACATAATATATACTGGACTCGTTTGGAAGGAAGCACATAATATAATTTAATAAATTTTATAGTTAATGCTTCTGACGTGAATTTGTATCTGGAAGTTTGCATCATAATAAATTAGTTTTTAAAACAAGTGACAGGAACTTCTGAAATGCTGTTCCTGATATAGTGTATGCCTCATTCTGTGAGGTTTTTTTTAAAAAAAGAAAAGTGGAAATGGATAATATGCACAGGGTCATCAGCAATTGGGAACCAATGGATTAGAGCTAATAGTTTTATCAAAATCTTGCTCAGGAGATGCCAGTGTTACAAAAAGTTAGATAATTTAATGCAATGATTGATAACGTGCATCACGACGCTTCTTCCCCTTTTATGTGTAATGTGCTTATGCCATCTGTAAAACAGTAAGAAATGAATTACACATCAAAAATAGGTGAAGGGGAGGAAAATGAGAGTGAAGCCTGCAGATTGCGGTTAAGGAGCGGGCCGAGTTGAGGAATGAGACTAAGCCCAGCGCTCCGCATTGGGCCGTTTGGACTTCTGCCGTCAACATGGCCGCCGCCGCCGCGGCATCCCATGCAACTGACAGACATCGGAGCTGAAGCGTAAGCGCGCCGCCAGGTTCCCGCGCTTTTCGTACCGTCGCTTTGACGTCGCTACGCAACGCCGCGCTCGAGCTTCTCTACACCAGACCAGACAGGACCCGCGCTGCTCCCTCCTCCACACACCCGCCTCGCCGCGGTGCATCCCGGGATCGCCTCCCGCCCGCCGGGTCTTCCAGCTTCCCGGCGTGCCCCGCGCCCAGCTGAATGGGGGCAGTCACAAGATGGCGGCGAACGCGAACTCTGCCGGTGGTGGCGGCGGCGGCGGCAGTGGCGGTGGCGGGATCCTCCCACTTTTTGACTGCCCGACCTGGTGAGGGCGGGGGCCTGTGGCGCTGGAGAGCGGGAAAGGGTCCCGCCGTGCAGAAGGGCCTATATTTCCCCCGGGGAGACGGGAGCGGCATCATGAAGCGGGGAGTGGGCCTGGGTGCAGCAGCCCCTGCAAGCGGGGGAAGGACCGGGAAAGTGCTACGCGCCCTGGAATGTTATGCACCTATATATATTTAATATATATTAAAAATCAGTTTATAAAAACCCACGGAGGGTGCTTCTGAGCATGGACAGAGAACGTGTTTCTTACACTGCTGTGTGGAGTTAAAAAGGGCGTCTCTGAACATGAGCAGAGTGCCTGTCTCTTAGTGAAGGGAGGGTATTTCTGCGCCTGGAAGGCAAGGGGGGAAACGACCCGTTTTATCACTGAGCGTGCCTCCCTAATAAAACAATTTCATTCAGTACTGCTAAACTCGGAAATATGGGAGTGAGTGCTTCTAGTCATGTTTGATCTGCACGTTAAGCATTTGTGGCTGGGTGCCCCTGCGCAGAGGCCCATTTTGATCCCGTAGCTGCAATGCTTTGGAGGAGAGACAACCTTATTGCAAAGAGGAATGACGGTTTGTTAAGGTCTGAGTAGCAGGTCATGTTTATGGCTGGGGTGATTAACCAAAACATGAAACCTGGGGCTCTCAGGAGTTGTGTTGAAAGATGTACACAGTGACCTGCATCTAAGGGATATATTCTCAGTATTGCCTATGTGTGTTTTTTGCTGTTAGGTACTGGCCAGCACTGTGAATTCTGTCTTTGTTGAGGTGTTTACATGCTAATTGAACCTAGGTGTCTAGGAAAATTCTTTGTTTTATTTGAGAACTAGGTCATGCAAGTATGTCTAAAATTCAGAAAACTTTTTTTTTTAAGTGTTAGTATTGTGGGTTGGAGAAGCAAAAGAAAATGTCTCTTTGGGGGATTACTCCCTGCTGGAAATGGATCATTCATTTTGCTTGTTCGGTATTCTGCTTCAATGGGTGTTGAGCCTACTAAGCGTGTGTGTCCTGCAGTTTCTTCTTCATACAGAAACAATTTTCTTCTGTGCCAATTCTAGGAGTTACGTAGGTAACTGCACCTGTGTTTTCTGGGAATTTGTTTTTGAGTAAGAAATTTTATGACAAAAAGCAGTGGTCACTCTGGTCATAGTGCTTGCCCCAGCTGTCTGAAACTATGCTGAAGGACTGAAAGGAAAGGATGAGTTTTTGTAGTATAACACATTGGAATGCATTTGAGTTATAGAATTTGCCCTTTTCATCCTAATACATACATACATACATACATACATACATAGTGACTTAGAGGTTAAGTTTCTTCCTTCCTCCAAAGCAGAAGGTGTAGTGTAATGTGGTCTGCAACCCACTTTGCCAAAACTGTTCTTGGAAGGACAGGTTTTGATGACAGGACTGGAAGTATGTCATATATGTTCACAGTGAAAGGATTTTGGTAACTGCCCACAAAGGTTTATCTTTTGGTACAGATGTCATGTTTCAGTTTTTGGTTAAACAATGAATTATATAATTAATATCCTTTGAGAGTCTAATAAACACATCTTCCTTTATGATGACGGGGCTGCTAAATCATCAGAAGAGCTCTCTGGGTTGTGACTTAGCAAAGTTTTACCTTCCGTGCTAATTATAGCTGGAGCTATCCACTGTGTCACTCTTTTTTTAATGACAGAAGGAAGAATTATAGTGAGTGGAAGATAGATGACATATTTTTCATAAAATCAAGTTCCAATTTATCTTTTTCTGTGGAAGGATATTGTAATATTTTCCCACCCTTGTTGTTAGATGCTTTTTCTTCTGTCTTTAAAAACTATTTTTCCAAAGCAGCTCACAAAACAGGAAATATAAATAAATAAAAATTACAGTTTCGCACAGCAAAAACAGCAGTATAAAAATCTAATCAGCAAAAAACCAACCAGTCCTAAAAAGCCTGACAATAAAAACAAATTCTAAAAGGCCATCTAAAAATGGGAAGGGAGTGGACTTGTAGGGTTTCCCTGGGAAGAGAGCTGCACAGTCATGTCCACCACCACCAAGAAGGACCTTTCTCTACCCACCAATCTGAATTTTAACTAATGACAGGAGGGCCTCTGATGCTAACCTTGGGGCTCAGGTAAGTTCATATGGTTGCTTCTATCTGCCACACAGAGGAACAATGCCCCTGGGTATTGTTCTCCAGCAGTTAACTATTTAGCAGTGAGTTCTAGTACATATTTGGCACAGATTGGGCATGAAATGCTTTGCATGCAGAATGTCCCAGGTGCAACCCCTGGCATCTCCAAATACACTGGAAGAACCTCCTGCCTGAAACTGGATAATCACTGCCAGCCAGTGTTAACAATACTGAGTTAAATGGACCAATGGTTTGACTCAGTATAAGACATCCCCTGGTGTTCCTAAGGCATTGTGACATGCACTGAGTGAGCTTCATCTTTCTGATGGAGAAAACCTAAGTAATGGACTCTGAAAAAATTAAGCTAATAAGACCTTGTATTGCTTTTGAGTGTTCAAAGCACTTCATATACATTATCTTGTTATCGTTACAAATACCCTATAAAGCAAGGGGCAAGGAATCTCCAGATCATGGAACTAATTAGGCCTAACAAAGCCGTTTCTCCCAAACTACATCCACCTGCCCCACACCTGTCAATGTGTGAGATGTCAAGTGTGAGACAGGTAAAGATGTGGCTACAAAGGAACAGTTGTTGCTTTGCAAATGGGGCTCCTTGATCCGCGAGCCCCACTTTGTCCAAGTGCAGGTGCCGTTTGAATTCATACGATGCCCACAAATGGACTTCAAAGGGGCTCCACTGTAATGGTGGCCAAAGTGAGCCCCTTTGAACTTTGGCAGGTGGGCAGCTGCGCCCACCAGCCAAAGTTTGCTGGCAAGGTTTGGAAGAAATAAGAATTCGGCCCACTGGCCAGACCCAATTCCTCACTTCTGTTGTAAAGTGAATATTATTATCCCCATGTTATAGGTGGTGTGAGACACCTAGCAACTTCATAGCAGATTTGAATGGCGAACTCCCAGTTTGTAGCTCACTCTCTTAGCCACTATTACAGGCATAGGCAAACTCAGCCCTCCAGATGTTTTGGGACTACAACTCCCGTCATCCCTAGCTAACAGGATGAGGGATGAGCTAACAGGGTCACAGATGATGGGAATTGTAGTCTCAAAACATCTGTAGGGCCGAGTTTGCCTATGCCTGCACTATTACAAACAAGCGCCATGTTGTAGATGGTGTGAGACACTGAGGCGGAAACACCTAGTGACTTCATAGCAGATTTGAATGGGGAACTCCCAATTTGTAGCTCACTCTCTTAGCCACTATTACAAACAAGCCCCTCTAAATGGAGTATAATGACTTCTGAATAACACAGAAAACCTTAAGTGTTTGCAAACACAGTTTTTGTTTTCTTCCATACTAAATTGCTTAAATGAGATATCCATTACTGTAGAGGAGTTCTTATCAAAAGGGGTGTGCCCGTAGGCTGACGGTACTCCACTGAAGGTATGTGCAAAGCCCAACTGGATCAGGCAAAAGGCCAACTAGTATGCAATATCAAAGGAAGCTGCCTTACACGGAAACCAGTGCTCTGCCCACCTCAGGGATAGAGAACCACCAGATATGGTTGGATACCCATCAGCCCCACCTACCATGGCCAGTGATCCAGAATTATGAGAATTCAGGTTCAACAATGCCTAGAGGTAACTGGTTCCCCATCCCTGGTTTACTTTCACTGGCAGTAGCTCTCCATGCTTTCAGACAGGAGTTTTTCCAGCCCTACCTGGAGATGCTGGGAATTGAGCCTGGGCCCTTTTGCATGCAATGCATGTGTTTTTCTACTGAGCTATGGCTCTTCTCTTAATACAGATTCTGGTCACTATTGTTGCCAATAGTCATGAGTAGGCCTGGCCCAATCTATTCCACTTTAGAGCCATGTAAGCTAGTGACCAGCATCTCGTCTTATGGTAGTGCCATACTATACATTATCTGAAGACCCATGTACATGGCAGTGTCCTAAAGGTGCTGACTATTAATTTCACTTCAGCTCATACTTTTTGCACCAATTTCTTGTGTTAAAGTCCAGGTTTTCCATCTATCTAATTTCAATGTGTTGCAGCGTTTATGGTTAACGTATTGCTTAAGAAAAAAAAGTATGAGAGTTGGATTTTGTTTTTATGGCGACTTCAGATCAATGGGTAACTGTAGGGGTTCTAAATGTGACTTTATTCCAAAACAAAATATATTTCTGTTTTTGTTTCCTAGGGCAGGAAAGCCTCCACCCGGGTTGCACCTGGATGTAGTCAAAGGAGACAAACTTATTGAGGTATGAAAATAGATGCAGAACAAATTATCCTGGACTAGGAATACACTTCTAGTACTAGGTAGCTATAGAAATAATCACAAGCATCAAACACAGCAGTAAAATCTCCTGCATCCTTTTCCCTTTCTCTCCCTCAGTGTCTGATGAGCACGTTCAGCAAGCTCCCCGAGTTGCTTCCCATTTTGCTTGAATACCCACTGTGCATCCAAGTATCCCAGAGTACCTTAGAAGCAGGTGTTGGTACCCAGTGCTTCCTTCTGGCATCACCTTTTAACAGGTGACAGTTCAGAACTAGAAGGGCAAACCTATTTTTTGCTGTTCTGAGGGGGTTGTGTTAGTTTTCACAGTAACTGAATCCCAGATATTTCCATTTTACAGACAAGTATGACAAAGTGATATGCTGAAGGGCTCCCAGGTCCAAGTTCAATTGTAGCATGCCAAGGAGGGAATGGACTGTGTTGACACAAGAATTGCCCATATCTCTGCTTATTAACATGAGATATTTACCTCCAAACTATCTGTTTGAACTGTAAGCATCCCCTAGGATGGAATAACTTTCAAGCCCCACAAAGCTGAAAACTGTCAGTTGCAACGTACACATGTTGTTCAATTCACACAGGTTTCTTAAGCACTTGATACTAACCAAGCCATCTTTACCTTTGTTCTCGTTTCGAGTTCAAAGGTATAACTAGTGATCGGCTAGGTCTAAAAAGTGCAACATCAAAACAAGCCATGACGTAATCAAGCTCAGTGTGTGGAGGATCACACTGGGTTATAACTCAGAGGCACAAATGAGTTTTTATCCATCTTGTGGCTTCAACAGCAGTGAAGCTGATCCTTTGTTCCCATTTCAACTTGTAAAAGCTGTTTCTATCTTTACCAATAGCAATACCAAGAAACATAATTGCTGCATGGAACATCATTTTTAATTTGTAACTGAATATGGCCACTCCCCTGGCACAGGCATCCCCAAATCTGGCCCTCCAGCTGTTTTGGGACTACAACTCCCATCATCCCTAGCTAACAGGACCAGTGGTCAGGGATGATGGGAATTGTAGTCCCAAAACAGCTGGAGGGCCGAGTTTGGGGATGCCTGGTCTAGCAGCACTGATAAAAAATGGATAAGCCCTTCCCTCTGTTGCTGATAGCTCATAGTCTTCTGTAGCAGCAGCAGTCATGATGGAAATGTCTTCTTCTAGTGACCTTATGTTGCTGTCTGTCTGATGTCTTATCATAGAAACTGATCATTGATGAAAAGAAATACTATCTCTTTGGGAGAAACCCTGACCTGTGCGACTTCACCATTGATCACCAGTCATGCTCTCGGGTCCATGCTGCCTTAGTCTACCACAAACATCTGAAGAGGGTTTTTCTTATAGACCTCAACAGCAGTAAGTTGATTGATAATTAACCAGGTAATATACAGGGGTGGGTGGTGCAAAAGGAATGCGTGGGGTGAATTTTCAAGGGAGCTGGGATTTGTTTATCCTTACATTTAGCAGAAGTAGAAAAAGGCTTCATTATATACCATGGTGGCCAGTGTTAAAACTGGGATAGAAAAGCTAGGAGCAAAAAGGCTTCTGGGACCTGGGTTCTGGGCACCAAAACAGAATGCCTAGTCCCCACGGGGGGGGGGGGGGGTTGGCAACACTTTTTATTTATTATTTTGAAAAGCATGAACTAATACGCAATTCACATAAGTGACACATTGTTAATATCACATTTTTAGCAGAAATTGTTAATATATGTTTAATTTGGTGTTTACAATAAAAATATTGGTACCATACTTCAGTTTTCAAAACACTCTACTCTTTATTGTTAAACTCCTTAACATATTGTCTGTCCTTAATATATACTTCGAGGCTTCAAAGCACTTACATTTCAGTAATCCTTGAGTGTCAGCCAGGTGCAAAAAATGGCACCTGGGCTTTTTGAGGTGCTCGCAAATGGAGAATCTTTAGGTGCAAAATGCAGCTGGTGCCCTGCTAATTTCGAACCCTGATAGTGTCGTTTCCAAAAAGGATGCCCTGGTGGTTTCCACTATAGCTTTAAGACTCCCATGGCAGTGGGTGGTGCTCTTGAAACAGTACTTCTCTGAGCAACATTCTCAAGTTATCTTTCTTCCTCCTAGATATATTATTATTACCGTCATTACAGGGCCTTCACTGCAATTGCTCCAAGGCTTTAGAATGGCCTCCCTAGTGAGGTTCATCCCTGATCTGTTCTTGTGGCTTTTTCAGATAAGTTGCTGCACTCAGCTCACACTCAGAAAGGGAAGCCGTGGTCTTTTGTTGCACTGTCAATTTGTATTGTACTTTATTGATTTGTGTTCATTGCTGTTCTAAGGGTTCACAGATTTTGGCTGGCCTTCGTCCCAAAGCCAAAATTTGAGGGTGCCGGAATCCTCCCCCAATTACGAGCTTACATGTTTGTCAAGGACATTCACTTCCCCTCCTCCCCAGCTCTTGGAGCTGGAGCGGTTGGGGCCAACCCCATAGTTGTGGAAACTACTTCAGGAACAATCTCCAGCCCCTTCCCTAACTCCGAATTTGGAGTTGGGAGGAGGAGAGTATTTTGGTAACGCGATGCTGAGGCCCTTTTGAATGTCTTCAGCACCAAAACAGCCAGCCTCACCCTTTGCTTTGAGAGCACTGGGCAGGCAGGAAAGTGCTGCTGCTGTCACGACATGTGCCAACACAGCCAGCCCTAGAACTGCAGCTCTTCCTGGAAGCATAGCTCAGCTGTGGTCTGAAGGCACATGAGCCTGCCACCTTACTGAACTAAGCAGATTTAGTCTGATCAGTGTCGGGATGGGTGACCACCAGGGAACACCTATGTACTTTATTTCATATGTATATACCTCTTGATTGTAAGGGGGGGAACGCAAAGCCAATACACCACATTGAGTTCTGTAACGGAAGAAAGGTAGAACAGAAATGTATGAAAACAAACAAACAAACAAACAAAACTAACCTCTTCAAGCTGAAGAATTACTCTTAACCACCCAGGTTCCTTCTGACTCATGCCAGTGGCCAATGGATCGTTTGCCATAGCGAGCAAAATTGCAGAACGCTGGCTGTTTAGTGCTGCTTGTCTCTTGGAAGCTGTTTCAAAAGCCTTGGAGAATTGGGTTGCAAATGTTTCATTTAATCAACTAATTCAGATTTTCCTGGAAGAACACAGTGAAATAATTTCATACACTTTCAGTGGGGCCCCACATCTAGCTTTGAATAAACTGACAGCTAATGGACAGTTTCTTCTTTTTTTATTCCAATATTCCCAGCACATGGCACGTTTTTGGGTCATATTCGTTTGGAGCCTCATAAGCCACAGCAGATTCCCATTGACTCTACGGTTTCATTTGGTGCCTCCACAAGGGCCTATACTCTGAGGGAAAAGCCTCAGACATTGCCCTCTGCAGTAAAAGGAGACGAGAAGATGACCAATGAGGACGACGAGCTCAAGGGTTTGCTTGGACTTCCAGAAGAGGAGACAGAATTAGATGTGAGTTCACCCACAGCATGACACCCATTTTCCCTTGTGGAGGGAGACGGGGTTCCTTGGCTGGAAGCATGGCATAAGCAACAGCACCAGAACAAAAGTCTTCTGACCTTGCAAATGTTAGTCTGTGCTTGTGTGTGACATACCTACTTTTGCAGCCCCCCATGGTCTGGCAAGTATGGCCAAACCTTTTCATAGAATCGTAGAGTTGGAGGGTCTGTGAATGTCATCTAGTCCAACCCCTTGCAAGGCAGGAACATTTTGCACAAAGTGGGGCTCCAACCCACAACCGTGAGTCTTGTGCTATTTCAGACCACTAGACCAAATTCCCATTCTCCCCCGGCTAAACCAGGTGACTTGCTGTTGGCTAGCTCCTATGTTATTGTGGGCACCTTGAAGCCTGTCCAATCCTAAATGTTCATGGGGGCAGGAGATGGGAAGTTTAATCTTTATTCTTCGTTGACAGTCTCATCTTTGGTTTTTTAGAACCTGACAGAATTTAACACAGCCCATAACAAGAGGATCTCCACGTTAACTATAGAAGAAGGAAATTTGGATATCCAGAGACCAAAAAGAAAACGAAAGAATTCCAGAGTAACATTCAGTGATGACGACGAAATCATCAATCCAGGTGAGCACTGTGGATGTGTTCTATGTAGGCCTCGCTGCATATTGCTATCTGTTCCGTGAGCATTAATGTATAGAGGTTTTGCTGGTAATAACCTTTCACTTTGAAAAAGCTGGCATTAAACCCCCTTTGGTGCTGAATACACTCTTCAAAATTCATTTTAAAACTAACCACGGTATTTCAATCTGATTTACCCATACAGAGGATGTGGACCCTTCTGTTGGACGCTTCAGAAACATGGTACAGACTGCAGTTGTCCCAGTGAAGGTATGCTTCTAAATCAGAAAAGAGCCTGTTAACATAGCCTGTGAAAACTGCTATCTTAGATAGGGATAGTTGTAGCCAGGATAATATAAGATCCAGATGTTCGGTTCTTTTTATTGCTAGACCAGTAGAAATATGTTTATAGGTAAGACATGTAAAAAAGACTTGCAGCCGCGTCCTAATGACATTTTACATTTTACCTTTGCTTTGTACGGTGGATTGCAGTTTAACCTTTTTAATTTATTTTTTATTTAGAAAGACATGTTTAAGTTATAAGTAGTCATTTTTTTTACTGCAACGAAATGGCTTCTGGCAAGCTCGTGCTGTGCTCCTTCCTCGATCGATGAGTTGTTTCCATTACAGTGGTACCTCGGGTTAAGTACTTAATTTGTTCTGGAGGTCCGTTCTTAACCTGAAACTGTTCTTAACCTGAAGCACCACTTTAGCTAATGGGCCCTGCTGCTGCTGCTGCTGCTGCTGCTGCTGCTGCCACGCCACCGGAACACGATTTCTGTTCTCATCCTGAAGCAAATTTCTTAACCCGAGATACTATTTCTGGGTTAGTGGAGTCTGTAACCTGAACTGTATGTAACCCAAGGTACCACTGTACTTAAAAAGAAAACACCAAAGGCAGCCACCTCAAGGCAGTCACAGTTGCAAGTGCCAGCCTTACTTAGGCCTGTGCCTTGGAATTTATGAACTCAGGAACGATTTGGGTTGTCAAAAAAGTAATATGTTGTTAATACCACGTCCTGCTGCTCTATAATGCAGTTGTATTCTGTGCAGCTTCCTAGGTGGCTATAATATGTTTCCCACTGTTCTCTGCTTTTTGTCCATGCCAAGTGACATTATGTTTTGGTAGGAAGGAGATTTGTTAGGTTAAACCAGATAAAACAGATAACATCCTTGGAACCTCTTACTGTGTTGTGACTAAGCAACCAATTCCCTGAGGGTATTACTCCTTGCCAGGTTCATTCCAGCAAGTACTTAATGAAAGTGATGATGGAACGGACAGGAATGGGCTTGATGCTACAAAGTAGTTGCATTAAGCAACTCATTGCATCCACCCAAGGGCCACATCGAACATGAAAACCAAGCCGATTCAGGCACTAATTCTTCATACACCATATAAATTATGAAGATTTCATATATACCAATGAATATTTGGAAAGAGGGAAGCACAGATTCCTCTTCAGTGGTTTGTATTGAGAGGTTGTTTCAAAAAGTAAATAGTTGTCCTTTCTACTGCAGAAAAAGCGGATGGACAACTCCGGTTCCCTGAGCGCGGATGAGTCTGCCACGCGGCGCATGCAGAACTTTCCCTATAGCGGAGGATTGTACGGCGGCTTGCCTCCCACTCACAACGAGACAGGTGCCCAGGCCCACAGCATTCACGGCACTGCGCTCATTGGAGGCCTGCCAATGCCCTATCCTAATCTTGCCCCGGATGTGGACTTGACTCCGGTTGCACCCTCAACGGTCACCATGAACCCAGCTCCAAACCCTGCTGTCTTTAATCCCGAAGTTGTGAATGAGCCCAAGAAGAAGAAGTATGCAAAAGAAGCTTGGCCGGGCAAGAAGCCTACCCCTTCTCTCTTGATCTGAGGAGCAGAGCTTGATCTGTCCTGGGAGACAGGAGCACAACCAGCCAGAGTGGACAAAAAACTCTTCCAAGTGCAGCACCCACAGCTTTCAGAATCGGGGTCCTAACTGTGTGTCATAGCCAGGTTACAGGGGTAAGCTCCCCTACAAAACCAACCTCTGGAAGAACTCTACAGGCATCTAGAAAAGAGAGGCGTTCTCCACCTCCTTCTCCCCCCCCCCCCCTTCTGCGGAACCACACTGCCTACCAACCTTTTCTTCTTTTACTCAACCATGGTTATTTTTATCCTAAGGTTATTCATGAATTTAAGGGGCACTGTCAGGTGTAACACAGAGTCAAAATTAACAACTCTGTCTTGCAGAGTTAAGCTTAACCAGCTGGTCTCAGGTGAAGATTCATCCTCAGAAGTGTATGTGGACCTGATCAGTTTTCTAAAGAAGCACCTGGTTCGGGTATAAGTAGTACTCATGTAAGTCAGATAACCATAGCTTGCTTTTAAACACGCGGATCATGAAGTGCTTTTAGTCTAGGTACAGCCCGTTGTGCTTGCCTTGTAAGTGAGTATCATCTTGAAGGCTGGAAGCACAGGGAAATGGTAAGAAATAAAAATCAAGCAGATTATTTGCTGCTTAGCATTCTAGATTGAATGCACCAAGAAGGAAAGGAATATCAAATGAGAGCTCTTAAGGTACTTTTAACAGTGGCCCTTCCAGAGAAAAAGCAGTGTACTTGCATAACACTCCGTGTGGGTTGGTTTCCCATACACAAGCAGAATTTGTCACACAGTTCTTTTTTTTCCCCCCTGAACTAATCCCAAAGCCCATGAAAGGTTAGCCAGTTTCTGAAGTGCATAATGACTGCAGTTCTGTCAAATGGGGATATTGCGCGAGCTAAAATAGTTTCCAGATCTCAGCTCCACCATTGTGCAGTTTGACTTCAGTTTTTCATTGAACCAAAAGTAGCTCTAAGGCTCTAGTTCCAGATGTTTGGAATCAAAAGACTTGATTGAGATGTGTATATTGTACACACTAAAGTAGCTATGGAAGCAGAGTTGTATTGTCTTTGTTTGAGAGTCTTATTATCCAGGCTCTTGGCGCTGGGCAGGCTCTTAATCACACTGTTTGATGGGTCTCTTCTTGGTTCTGTGTACTTAGATGGTTAGTAACTTCAGTGGTTTACTGTTCCCTGCAGTACAGCATGGCAGAACAGTGGTCAAAGCTCAGCCAAAGTCAGGCACATCCTGTTTGGTTTGGTTTTTCCCCAGGGGGGTGGGGAGTTAACCACATTCTTAAGTCCTCCAAATGAACCAAGTGGGATTTTAAAAAGTGAGTAATACAGCTAGGTTGTGTCTGTTATTGCAGAAACATTACAACTATCCAAGGTTCCATTTACCACCTAAAGTATTGAGCAGGACAGAGAATTTGGGGCCAAATAATTCAGGATATCTGCTGCTGCTTTAAAAAATGAGACAACGTATTCTATCATGGGGGGAGTCTGAATAGAATGTCTTGAAGTCACTTCACTTCTACACAATCTGCTTTTGTCTGTTTCATCTGACGGTGTACATAGGACCCTTTTGTGAAGATGAAGTTGTGTCTATATTGTGTAGTTATATAACATCATATTCTAGGTTGTGATGAAATGGCTCATGAGCTGTAGGATTCCATACTCCAAATCTTCTGTAGCTTCACTTGCAACCTCTCATCTTTGGGATATTTTTAGTTAATTTTTACCCGGCTATTAAGCAGTCTTCTGGTATGGAAGGCAGCTCTTCAGGATATGTGACCAGTTTAAAGCAGTTAAGGTTTCCCTTGCTGGATTTTAAATGATTTTTTTTTTAAAGTGACTTGTTTTGCAAGATGTGTCCCTTGGGATTTTACTGATTGCTGGTCTTGGCCCCTCACCTCCGTGGGATGATACAGACTTTTAATTTCAAAATTTAAATTTCTTGGAAGCCAGTTCTGGCCAACATTGAGCATGGGGGAGGATGAGTGAAAGGTGTGGGGCTCTGTACAGAAGTTTGTACATTTGTGTAATAGGCCTTTTCACACTGTTGAGCTTTTTACCTGTAACCTTTACTACACTGTAAATTAAATGACTGTTTTGCCAAATTGAGAGTTCAATGTGTGTCCCAAATCTTAACAGCGCAGTCGGCCCAGGACTTTGCCATTTCTGGTCTATTTGTTTTAAATATTTCTTTTCCCACACCAGCTTACAGTATTTTCTGAAGCAGCTTATCGTGTTTTTAAAAAACCAGGAAGAACATTATTCCGTGAACAAGCTAACAGAAAATAATAATAACAGCAGTAAGCAGAGTCCAATAAAGAAATTTTTAAAAGCCTAGGAATATAAAATGGCACCTAAATGACAGAAGCTTTGGCACAAAGCATGGTGTTCCAAACATGTGCTTGCAGAAGAAGCCCTTTCTCATGTTGCCATCCATCTGACCTTGGAAGGAGAGGGGTACCCAGATCAGGTCCACCAGCCAGGATCAAAATTGGAAGCAAGCAACCTGGAGCCACCCAGATGTCGGGTTCCCATCAGGTCCAGCCAGCATAACCAATGGTCAGGGATGATGGGAGTTGGGAGTCCAGACACATCTGGAGGACAACAGTTTCCCTTCCCCGATCTAAGTAAGCAGGCAGGTTCATAGAATACCATATATGAATACAGTGGACCCAGGCTGTTTAAACACTTCATGAATCAAACCCAGCACTTTGAAGTACATCCAGAAACATACTGAAAACCTGTATAGCTCTTTCCGCACAAGCAGAGCATGTTCATTCTGGCAAATTCCAATTGGCATGGTGAACTTCCATATTGTTGGGCTTACATGGCTGATGTATCAGACAGCCCAGGTTCCTGCTGGGGGTGTGTAGCTTCAATGGAAAGGAGAACCAGGAAACCCTGTTTTTTCTTTTATGAGAGTGGGCCTCTAGAAGCAGGCTGCTTTAATTCCCACTCATTCCTTAAAGAAACTTGACTCTTGGTTTGCTGCGTTTTTGGCCACCATGGTTGCACCAAGGCCACTCTGCATGCCTTGGAGGACTATACTCTATGACCACCAAAGTGCAGGAAACTGCAGGATGTTGGTGCGTTAAAAGCCGGGTGGCAGGGTGAAATTAAACAGGTGTGTGCAGCCTTTCCCACTATAGAGGTGCAATGGTAGGAACTCCATCTGTAGAATTTCAGCCTGTTATAAGGCTGTTGATGGTGCAGGGGGCAAATCTAGTACATTTTGTTTCCCAGGTAAAGAAGGGGGCTCAGGTGTTGTGGCTCCACCGCACCCTGTTGAAGGAAAAAGCCAGAGCTTCAGCCCCTATGGATAAAGGTAGGAAAACCACCTATCTTTTGAATTTTTCCAGCCCCTGGTCCTCCTTGCATCCCCTCAGAAGCCTTAATCAAATGTAGAGTTTTCCATCTCTGAAAATAAAGGTGCATAGTCAGGTTGCATATTTCATTATAAAGCCAAATGGGGTTGCAATCTTCTCCTTTTTACCTGGGAGTAAACACCACTGAACTTGATGCATAGGGTGATGCTGAAAACAAATTGGGGTGGGGGTTTTTTGGGAGAAGGGTTGTGATTGTGGCTAAACCTGATTTAAAGGGTGGCTGAGGGATATTTATTTTTGTACTATATTTTGTTGTGCAAGTTTTTAATAGATTTCTACCCCCTACCCCTGCAAAAGAAATGATTCCTGATCTTTTATCAGGAACTGAAAGGTACTACCTCCTGATTGGCAAACTGAGAATCTTACAGGAAATTAAAGGAAAAAACCAACACACACTTTGTATGCAAACCAGAGCGTTTCAGAAAGGAACCTTAATCTTACATCCTGCACTGTATATGTATGCTCCGGTATTAATTGGGACTTCCAAGTTAATAATAATAATAATAATTTTACATTTTTATACCACATCTTCTCCAAAGAGCTCAAGATGATGAACATGGTTCTCCTCCCCATTTTATCCTCACAACAACCTTGTGAAATAGGTTAGGCTTAGAGATGGCAAATGGCCCAAGGTCACCCAGTGAGCTTCATAGCCGAATTGGGGGGGGGGGTGTCCAACACTCTAGCCACTATAGTACACTGGCTCTTGATATATAGTGAAAGAAAACTGCTAGCACATTTGTAAAGCCAAGCAGGCTCCGGTATGTTAAGAATTCCCTGAATTGCAGGGGATTGAACTAAGACTTTGCTTGGGGTCCCTTCCAACTCCACAATTCTATTACAGTGGTACCTCGGGTTAAGAACTTTATTCATTCCGGACATCCGTTCTTAACCTGAAACTGTTCTTAACCTGAGGTACCACTTTAGCTAATGGGGCCTCCGGCTGCTGCTGCCACCCCGCCGCCGCCGCCGCACAATTTCTGTTCTCATCCTGAGGTAAAGTTCTTAACCCAAGGTACTATTTCTGGCTTAGCGGAGTCTGTAACCTGAAGCATCTGTAACCCGAGGTACCACTGTATTCTAAGTTTTGTGGGGTCTTTAGAACTCTGGCCGTTGCATAAAGCACATTGGGCTGGTGTTGTGAATAAATGCATTAAGCTTCCTAATTAACCCCTTTTGTGGTTGCAAATAAATGTGTTAGGCCACTGCTCTGTTCACCCTCCATGTGGGCTGCCCAGTCCACTGGGGGGGCAGTACTAGCCCCCACCCTATGGACGCCAGCAACCTACCCTATATCACTGCTTTAGGTAAAGGGACCCCTGACCGTTAGGTCCAGTCGTGACCGACTCCGGGGTTGCGGTGCTCATCTCGCTTTACTGGCCGAGGGAGCTGGTGTTTGTCCGCAGACAGCTTCCAGGTCATGTGGCCAGCATGACTAAGCTGCTTCTGGTGAACCAGAGCAGCGCACGGAAACGCCATTTACCTTCCCGCCGGAGCGGTACCTATTTATTTACTTGCACTTTGACGTGCTTTTGAACTGCTAGGTTGGCAGGAGCAGGGACCAAGCAATGGGAGCTCACCCCGTCGCGGGGATTCGAACTGCCGACCTGATCGGCGAGCCCTAGGCTCTGTGGTTTAGACCACAGCAAAATGATAGCCCTAAGTACCATGGATAGCCGGTCATACCACTGAACCTCTATCTGGTAACAAGGGTGACCAAAACAGACTCACTTTTTTTTTTTAAGCCATTATTGAGTTTACAAAGATTGGTCATGAATGTGTGTGATTCTGCCTAGTGATGCATGAAAATAGGTGTGTTGGGGGGAGGGCAAAACAAGAGTTTCAAAAAGAAGATCTGAAAGGCGTACATGTGTAAAGTGAGACTTCCAGGAAATAGATGTCAGTAATCATCAGTGACCGGACTCTGGAGAAGAACAGGCTTCCCGTATGTAATGTATTCATCTAGTTACTTAGAAATTTAGAAACTGACTAGCAGCCAGAAGCCATCAAAGCTGTGTCCAGCAAGATAAAAACGAGATAAAATACCCCCGGAAAAGTTCTAAAAACAATTGAAACCATTCATAGAAACTCTAAAAGCAATAAAACCATTTCTATAGATGTACAATTAATAAATTAATAAACGACTAGGCCGCGCTTCAGGGAATGCCTTCTTAAACAAACATTTCCTCAGTAGGTTCCCTAAATGTTGTGTTGCTAGGATCCTGAAGAATTTTCAGCAGATAATTGATGTTGGGGGCCAAGGCATTGTCAGAATAGCATTTTCCACAAAGTTCTCTTTAAAAAATAAATGAATAAAAGAATGAAAGCGGAAGCTTCATCACTTCATAAGAGGCTCATAGAGAAATTCTAACAAACTATGCATTTGCATCAAATTTATCTTTCATTTTCAACCAGGCTATTCTTTGAAAGAGAAACTGAAGCTGAAACTTTAAAAATTGCACATCAGTGGGGTTTTTTAAATCCACTCATTTTTTTTCCATTACAAAACCACACTGTTTATTGTTTCTCTATCCAACTTCTGTGGGAGTGTATCTATGAGATGCTACTTGCTTGACTGCATATTGCATCAGTGCTGATGTATATGTGTGCATACGTTTTGATTTTAAAGTTAAAGATTCCAACTGATTAATATTTCCTTCAGGTTAAGTATCCATTGTTCTGAACCTTCATATCACTTCATCCTCCAGGGAGTATTTGTTGTTTGAAAAGGTGCCTTGAGTGCATTTCTAAACATGACTTAGGTTGCATATGCACCATACATATAAAGCACATCTTCCCCCACCCCAGTGTAAGGGGGAGAAGCATTGTGGAGGGGAGAGAAGGCTTGGGGTGAGGGGGAATGACCTCTAAAGGGAGGGGGTTGGTCATGTGTAGGAGGAAGCAGCCCCTAATAACTGTATATCAGCATAAAACCCTTGCTAGATGTGCAAAAGTTGGTTTGCAGCCAATGTGAACATAGGAAACTGCCTTATATCAGGTCAAGGCATTGGGCCACCCAGATGAAGACTGTCTCCTCTATAGGGGTGGAATGATCCGTCAATTTCAGTTCTCTTAATTGCTCATTTTTATGAATGTTAAATTCAGTTCTCCACATTTCTGCAGCAATTAAAAAAAAAAACTTCATGTAAATTCTCCAGCACGTTAGTGCAGATTTCTCCTGATCAACACATTTTTTTACACAGTTTTGCAAGCAATTTCTCCTCCTAATAGATTGCATTCTTGTGTGTTACTCTCCACCACAGTATATTCATTTGTATACATACTGTCTGCTAATAATATGCCTGTTTGTAAGCATTGGTTGGTTGGAAGAACTGCGTTGCAAAATTTGGATGGGTGTGGATTCTGAAAGGTGGCTGGCTGTGTTTCAGTTTTCTGGTTGTTTTTGTAAGGCATGAGTTTCATAGACCTGCCTTTAAAAGTGAACTGAATCGAATTTCTCCCCTATCCCTGCTCCTCTGTGGTTTTCCAAGGTCAGGCAGAAAAAGTCTTCCCCATCCAGTGTGGTGGAGTCTCCTTCTTTGGAGGTCTTTAAGCAGAGGCTTGACAACCATATATCAGGAGTGCTCTGATGGTGTTCCTGCTTGGCAGGGGGTTGGACTCGATGGCCCTTGTGGTCTCTTCCAACTCTATGATTCTATGATTCTATGATTCTATCAGCTGCTACCTGATTCTTTCAACTGGAGATACCAGGGACTGAACGTTGAACTTTCTGCATCCAAAGCAGGCATCTGCTCTACCACTACATCATGATCCCTCCCTGAACCTGAGAACTTCCTTGTGCGAAACTGTACATTTCCTGCAGGCCTGCTTCAAAAAGGTGCAAAAGCACTCTTCTGCCACTTCCAACGGGGCGGTTTTGGTGGGTGCTATACATTTAAAGCACACTTCTACAATCATGGTTTCCCCCCCCCCAAAAAAAATCCTGGGAACTTTGCAAAAGGTGCTAACATCACAGATCTACCATTTCCACCACGCTTAACGAACAACAGTTCCCAGGATTCCTCATGACTGTTAACGTGATATAAGAGTGCTTTAACTGTAGGCTGTGAACATGTCCCAAATCACCCAGGGACTGCATTATGATTTCCTGTCAAACTTGACTACGGTACTTTAAATGGCAATTTGGCCACCAGTAGGATAAGCTCAGGTGACACAGCCCATTTATGTGGTGCACTGTCACCACAATAAGCCACTACCTCTTGTCTGTGTTGCACTTCTTGTTAAGTGCCAAGCATTAAACCCAGTCTGGCGAAGGCTACCCCTTTAAGACAACCCTTAAAAGAGGAAGTGAAAATCACAGCTGAAGATCCACAGACGCAGCACGGCTGTCCTGCAGAGCAGAAAATTCTCCCACACACTGCAGCAGCCCTGCCTGCAACAGGAGTTATGGATTCTGTTTCCTTCCACCAGTACATCTGCGATCTGGATCTTTGCTCCTTGCCTAGAGTGGTGAAGATCTGCTCTGGAGTCTACTTCCAAGGTGAGCATCACTGACTGCTTCTCTCTTTGCCGCCAGCAGATTCATCCTAAAGTTGGGAGGCGGGAGGTGAAGACAAGTAATGGAGCTTTTTGAGCATGCTGGTTGTAATTAAGACAAAGCTTGAGCTGCAATCTTAACCCAAAGCCAAGATTGGCCTGGGATGAGAGTCTTGTTCTTGGCAGGACAGCAAAAGGCCAGCAAGCCCCTGGTGCCCCCCTCCCAACTTAGCCCTCCGAGTTCCAGTGCAAGTGCCCCTGGCTGCTTCCCCTCTGCCCAGACCTGCCCAAAGCTGTTACGATATGCCAGGATTGATTTGCGTAGCCATTGCGGGTGAGATGGCCAGTGTTCAGGGTTTGGGGAAGCAATGACTGTTTTGCTCACTGTGAAAGAGTTGTGCGTGAGGACTCCTTCCACAACTGTGTCTAAGTGGGGAAGTGGGAACAGGAGATGTCGCTGATCTCCCACCCAGCTTTTGGACTTGCCAAAGGTATCTGATTGTCCACTATGGGAAATGGAAACCTCAGTTCTGATTGATCCAAGTTCCTTGAAGAAGACATTGGCATGTCCCCCCCCCCCTCCCCGTTCTTATCAACAAATTGATGGTATATGTCAATCAGTGGCTGTTAGCCAACAGCAGCAAAAGGGGACTGCCATGTTCAGGGAAAGTATACCTTGAAATGATTGTTGCTGGCAAGCGAAAATGGGAGAGGGCTGTTGCTTTCATGTAGGCCTGTTTGTAGGCTTGCCAGAGGCATTTGGTTGTGAAGAACAGAATGGTGGACTAGGTCAACCTTTTTTTCTGTCTTCTGAGGGCTCTTCTTACCTTCCTAAGTGACTTGAGCAAGGCTGTTCCTGGATGTGATCAGGAGCCATGGTGCAGCATTTATGCAACAAATTTACTTGGGAGGATGGAAGGTCAAGGTTAATTAATAGAGCTCCATTGCTAGCACTATAGAACAGTGGTCCCCAAGCCTTTTCCTTCCACGGACCACTTGCCATGGGCTGGCTGGATGCAGAGGAGGTGGTGGGAGGCAGCAGCTGTGGGGAACCCCCAAGGGAAGAAGGCTCAGAGCCCAGGGATTGGCGGTGGGATGACCATGAGTGGCCAGAGGGAGAAGAGGGAGCAGACTGGGAGGAGGGTTGTCGGAAGCTGAAAAGGTAACAGGGTTTAGTGAACAGGAAGAGTCTGTGACAGAGAGCGGTTCAGAATCGGTGGCGGAAGTGGAGGCTGGAGAGGAGGGTGGCCTTGGGGCAGCAATGAGTCAGGCTGGTTAAGAAGCTGGATCTTGAAGTGGCGTGACTTGACTTGATTCAATTTATTTTGTTTTATTTCTATGCCGCTTTTCATTCACATAAATTGCAAAGTGGCTTACAAACAATGAATAACATAATAGAACATCACAAATACAACACAAATCATATAAAACAATTAACAAATCATCAGTAAAACAATTACCGTCTATAAAACACTATTAACAAAACAACTAAAAAAATAAGCTAAACAACACAATTACAGCATTCACAATGCACTACAGTATTCATAATACATTGGTACCTCGGGTTACATACGCTTCAGGTGACATACGCTTCAGGTTGACAGACCCTTCAGGTTACAGAAATAGTACCTCGGGTTAAGAACTTTGCTTCAGGATGAAAACAGAAATCGTGCAGTGGCAGCAGGAGGCTCCATTAGCTAAAGTGGTGCTTCAGGTTAAGAACAGTTCCAGGTTAAGAACGGACCTCCGGAACGAATTAAGTACAGTGGTATCTCAGGTTACATACACTTCAGGTTACATACGCTTCAGGTTACAGAGTCCGCTAACCCAGAAATAGTGCTTCAGGTTAAGAACTTTGCTTCAGGATGAGAACAGAAACCACGCGGCGGCAGCAGGAGGCCCCATTAGCTAAAGTGGTGCTTCAGGTTAAGAACAGTTTCAGGTTAAGTACGGACCTCCGGAACGAATTAAGTACTTAACCTGAGGTACCACTGTACTTAACCTGAGGTACCACTGTATATAAAACAATATTAACATTAACAAAATAGCAAATAAAAAATAAGCTTAAGTTTTGTTGAATTCACACCCCCACACTCCCCACCCCCATGACTAATAATCTTCCACTCTATTCAGTTTGTGAAAAGACATCTGCAGATAATGCTCCTAGGGTTGGTTGATGGGGCAAGGCAGGTGGAAAAACCCATTGCCCGGTGGCCAGCACAAAGTCTTTCTCCTCCACATTTCAGGCTATATATGTATACTAGGTAGGAAAATGGTGTTAAGACACCAAAAGCATCCAATGAGCTTCTGCCTGAACATTGCATTCTGATGCCACAATTTGGGAAGAGGAGAATGAGCAACCTTTTTAAAAGACATATGTAATGATAATCATCTTAGCCTCAAAGTTTTATTGGAGTAAATTTGGAAAGTGAAATAAAACATTAAGAGATGGCTAAGATGGTGTTAAGATACTGTTTTGACGGAATACTATTTTGCTATTATGACCAATGTTGTTAAGACACCTTTATAATTGACACAATTTTGAAAAATGGAAGTTTCTGTGTCACAACAATCACATGTGCAATTACATCAGTGTTTTGGAGAAAGTAAGAAAAATAAAAGTTTGAAGAAAGAAACCTGTTTTCAGCAAATATGTGTGAGTCTAGAGTGCGTGGGGATTCTAAGTGTATCTTAGATTTGATTCTATTTTTAAATGGTGTGCATTTGTGGCATGCATGCTATTTGAAACTGCTGCTCAGGGTTCCTCTTTATTGTTTCCTGCTGACTTGTTTACTTTGCCCGCTTTTTTATCAGAGCCTTTATCTGATCCTCCAGACCTTTGCGCTGAATGTGGATAGGGCTAAAGCAGAGATTGCCCATGAGATTGCCCGTGATTGCCTTCCTGATGTTGCTGGACTACAACTCCCATCATCCCAGACCACTGGCCATGCTGGTTGTGGATGATGGGAGCTGCAGTCCAACAATCTCTCTGGAGGGCACTTCTTTGACTATCCCTGGTCTAAAGTGGTATTCACGTGTGGAGACATTGAGAGCAGGGCTTTGCTTTCTCACTTCATTCTCTCACACATTGATCCAGCCAGGGCTCCTGTGTTGTCTCCTGTACTGAATCCTGTTTTATTTGTATGGGTGGGTAAATCTGTCAATTTTGGTTTCCCTCAGTTCTCTCTCTCTCTCTCTCTCTCTCTCTCTCTCTCTCTTCATTTTTAAGTTCAATCCTTCAAAGATCCAAATTGGTTTGAGATTTCACTTATTTAAGTCCTTATGAAATTTATCAGCGTTTTAGTCTGAATTTCCCCTATTATACACAATAGTATGTCACTTTGTCCAATACAGTGGTACCTCGGGTTACATACACTTCAGGTTACATACGCTTCAGGTTACAGACTCTGCTAACCCAGAAATAGTGCTTCAGGTTAAGAACTTTGCTTCAGAATGAGAACAGAAATTGTGCAGCAGCGGCACAGCGGCAGCGGGAGGCCCCATTAGCTAAAGTGGTACCTCAGGTTAAGAACAGTTTCAGTTTAAGAACGGATCTCCAGAAGGAGTTAAGTTCTTAACCTGAGGTACCACTGTATGCACATTTTTGCAAAGCAATTTCTCCTTATATAATGCATTTTGGGGTGTAATTGTCACTAATATGCACACTTCACCCATATGCTGCCTTGTGGGACCTCTTCTGGAAAAGAAAAGCCTAAGGAGTAAAACCTACTCAAATCCAAAATGGAGTCCCCAAGATGGCTGGATGGCGTCTGTACGCCTCCTTCCAGCAACTCCTGCAGCCAGGTTGGTGCCACATCAGCAAGGCTGAGGGGGATGGGTCATGTTGTCGAGGCAGCCCAGGACCTCCATATACACTGCCCAGGTGTGTGCCTTGCAGAGTTCACTTTGGTTCTGCTAATGCAACAAAAACAAAGCGAGAGGCAGACATTACTGGTCTCTGCAGCCACAGCAAGCGCTGTGATTCTCCACTGATTTGACTTCGCCCCTGGAGGCAACACTCGATTGTATTTCGAGACAGATTCTAACAACAACCCATATGCGTTTTTGCAAACATTACACGGCTGAAGAACTGCATTGCAATAATTCTGTGAAGTATGAATTTCGAAAAAGGGCGGTTTCAGTTTGTGTATTGTTTCGGACACTGCAATTTTGGTAGTATGCATTTCAGATTATTTCTCCCCCATCGCTAATTGCATTGGGCTTTTTCTTTCTTTGGCCTGAGCATGGAAGATATTGAGGGAAGCTATAAAGCAGAAGGGTGAAACTACACATATTGCGTCAGAGGAGTTGAAAAGTGGGAACTGGTGATGTTACCGGGAAGACAAAATAGATTGGGTATGTGAAATCAGGAAGTTCTTGTGACAGATTGCAGGGCCTTGGGTTAAAGAAGGGCAAAGCTAAGCAGAACCCTTCGGAGTAGCTTGTATGGGGGTGGGAACAGCAGAGGACTGGTTTATTTCAGGCCCGGTGGGCTTCCCCTTTCTCTCCCCTACTAAACAGACAGCAGAAAGTGGCATAGAGTTGTGTGCATTGACGAATGCTCAGAATAGAGAATACCAACTTGAGGATGGCATGTATACAAATTAGGAACATGTAAATTGGAAAGGCTAAAAGCATCATAAAGAACTTGGAGGGTTGGTTTTTTAAAAAACAAGCAGCATACAAATTTTATGAAAGAGAGAGAGGAAGATGTGAACCAAGGTTTAATATCTGCAAAGGACTCAGATTCCATTGGTCTCATGCAGGGGTCAGCAAAATTTTTCAGCAGGGGGCCGGTCCACTGTCCCTCAGACCTTGTGGCGGGCAGGACTATATGGGGGGGGGGGGGTTGAACCAATTCCTATGCCCGACAAATAACCCAGAGATGCATTTTAAATAAAAGGTCACATTCTACTTATGTAAAAATAACGCTGATTCCCGGACCATCTGCGGGCCGGATTGAGAAGGCGACTGGGCCAGATCTGGCCCCCAGGCCTTAGTTTGCCTACTCATGGTCTCATGCTTTCAGGGATCATTTCCATAGTACTGAGCTAGGGAAGTCTGCTTCAAGGTGATGGGGCCCGTGATTGGTGGCTGGGAAAAAGGATATTGAGCAAAATGGGGTTAGATGGGGCGGGCAAGGAAGAATGGGGAAAAAGAGATCTGAGAAAGAGTGGGGAGGTGTTGTGCTGGTTTTAGTCACTTGATTCTGGTCTGTTAGGGCAAGGGAGCATTGGCCTGAGTCATCACTCGCCTGTGTGGCTTTTTACTTCTATCCAGTCCTGAATCTTTAGGCTGGCTCTGAGTCAGACACACACCTGTGCCTTCCCTTCCCTCATTTGGATTCTGCATACACTTGATGAAGCAGATGTAGGCTACCACTTTTCCAAGGGTCATTAAAAAGAGGAACAAATAATGCTATTTGAACAGATTCGTTTCCCCCCCCACTCCCAAACCTGTAAGGAAAAGTTGCATTACTTCTCCCACCTAGAGTGGCTGTGTGCCCTACTTCTATCTAGGTTAATAATAATAATAATCTGATCTTATAATAATAATACTTAGCATTTGTAGAATGCTTTTCATTACTTTTTAAAATCTTTACAGCATTCCTGAAAGGTAGGACAATACTGCTATTCCCAACATTAGAGAGAAGAGAGGGGGCTCCTAAAACTGAGAGACAGCAGCTCTTCAAAATACCTCCCTGGATTTGAACTAGGAGCACCACAGCTCTGGTCCTACACTCTACCCACTAGACCATATTGTCTTTTATAATTAATTAATTAATTAATTAATAATGTTTTTAAAGTAATTTTTAAAAACATTATTATTATTATAAATTACTTTAATAATGGCTGAATTTTTGAGTGCTGTCCATGTAGAAAGACTAGGCCATTATAAAGAGATTTAGTGGTTCTTAATTGATCAGTGATGTGGTAGTGTTGTATTGTATTATTTATGCAAATTGATTTCCTCTGGAGTTACAGATCTGACTGGGACAAACCTCGTTATGCTGAGCTCGTATTTTGCACAATTTGTATACGGTGTCTGTTTGATAATGTGTGGTTTGCAATGCCTAATAAAGGATATTTGATGATGACTAATGTTTTTACAGTATTGTCTTTTTAACCACCCTGCTAGCAGTTTGGCTTCCTGAATACTAACTAAGACCTCCACTTTCTCCAGGATCTGTTTATGAAGTCTCTGGCAACGAATGCTGCTTATCAACAGGAGATCTGATGAAAATTATTGATGTTCAGCTGCAGAACATCTCCTGCAAGAATGTGGAGAATGGGCACATATATGAGCTGCCGCTGGATTTTAAAGGTATGTGCATTGTTTGCTTGTTTGATTAAATTTGTACTCTGTCCTTCAGCTGAAGGTTCCCATGCTCTCAAGGCAGTTTACAATACAAAAAAGTGTTCTCTGCCCTTTTTAGTAGTGCCCACAGTGGAATTTTCACAGATCATGTGAACCTTCCTGCATGACTGGGTGTGTGTGGATTTTTTACGTTTACTTTTACAGTGGACTTCCGCTGGAACACACGACTCGTGAGCCACTTCTGCTTCCAGTCTCTCCTTATATAACTTGACATACATGATGTCATATATAATGTCAGGTGCTTTGGGCAGGTAGGCATGGTTTGGCTGAAATTGCATTTTGTTTAGTTAGTTATAACAGCATTTATAAACCCACCCTCTTGTAGAATATTAAGGCTGTGTACAGCAATACAAAAACACCTTTCAAAAGCAGTATGAAACAATTCATGAAAATGACTGGCTACTCAAGAAAATATTAAACAAGGGCCTAGTCCTGTCAGCAGGAAAAAGGAGTTTTCAAGAGACGCCTCGAAGAGTAAGGCAAGGATAGAAATTTAGTGACTCAGAAGGAAGGTACATACAGTGGTACCTCGGGTTAAGTACTAAATTCGTCCCAGAGGTCCGTTCTTAACCTGAAACTGTTCTTAACCTGAGGTACCACTTTAGCTAAAGGGGCTTCCTGCTGCCGCCGGGCCGCCAGAGCACAATTTCTGTTCTCATCCTGAAGCAAAGTTCTTAAGCCGAGGTACTATTTCTGGGTTAGTGGAGTCCGTAGCCTGAAGCGTATGTAACCTGAAGTGTATGTAACCCGAGGCACCACTGTATTAAGAGAACAGACACCAGGAAGTGGCTTAGCAGAAACGGTATCGAGACAGAGAAGAGGGCCATGGGCCTAGTGACACCAAATACCCGACTTCTGCTTAAGACAAGCTGCGGCTCTATAATGTGGGCAACAGCTGCAATCGCTACTCTGGATGACCTCAGTGGATTTATATCCCAGCCAGATGGGCGGGATATAAATGTTAAAAAAGTATTATTATTATTTTATTAATTTTATGGGTGGCCAGTGCAGATGTCTTAGCAGAGGTGTTGCATGCTGTCAGCCATCTGCCCCGATCTAGCTGTTGCACTCTGCCATACATTGGGCCATAGTTCAGCGGTAAAGCATGGGCTTTGCATTCAGGCCCCAGTTTTCATCCCTGGCATCTCCAGGCCAAAGGACCGGGACTTCTGGCGACATTAACTCTCTCCTCTTCAAACTTCACAACAATATGAATCACATGAGCCCTCTCGTAGGGCAAGGAAACAGAAGAGCCTGGCACTTTTTCTCTCGGGAGTGAATATGTCATCTGCAAGAGCAGGATTTGCCAGGGGTTTAGAAGACAAGGCAGGACCTGGCACACAATCACTTTGTTAGGTAGACCAGGCTCACACTGCTTATACACACCATACATTTAAAGCAAATAATATTGGCAGCTGTAATTTGTTGAGGGTGCTGGGACCGGGAGTAACTACAATTCCCACGATTCTCTGGAGGAAGCAATGTACTTTAAATGTACACTGGGCCCCTCCTGATGACCTGTTTATTCAGCATTCAATGTGATGTACTTGCACAGAGTTTATACTTGGACAAGGGTGCCAACACGCCCCAGTTCCACTGGTGAGAGGCACTATTTAGTGGGCTGTTGCTGGGGCCTGACACCCACCCACCCCCTCCAACTTTATTTTCTTAACCCTCTGTTTTGTGCAGGTTTGATATATCAGAAAACCTGTTCCCTATTTAAAAAATGTTCTACCTGCATGCATGGACACAATGGACATTAGGTTCCTGGAATAGGGAGGGTGAAGAAGTACAGTACTAATTGTGGGGAGGAGACAAAAACACAGTGTGCAAATGCATCCCATCAAGTACCACCCACGTTTGTGAATGGGAAACACTGAGATTTGAGTTCAACCGAAAGTGCTTGTGTGTGGATGATGGTGCATAAAAGCCCATGTGAATTAACACTCCGGCGTGTACACAGCTCTTGCCTTGTATTTTATTGCTTTAGAAATAGCTTGTAATGAAAGTGGCGTGTATAGGGCTGTCATATGTTTTGCTTTACACGGAACAGTGCTAGGAACAGGTGGGGCAGGACTCTCCTCCTGACACTGCCATTGCTGCTGCTTACCTTCAGAAGACATCTGAAGGCAGCCCTGTTTAGGGAAGCTTTTAATGTTACCACTGTATTTTAATATTTTGTTGGAAGCCGGCCAGAGTGACTGGGGAAACCCAGCCAGATGGGCAGGGTATAAATAATAAATTATTATTATTATTATTATTATTACCTAATGCAGCAAGGCAATGGTGAGGTTGGGGCAGTGCAGACCACCAGTGGAAGCACCCGACTGTCTCTGCTGCTGTACCAGCCCTGCCTGCAACCTCGCCATTGTCCTGCCCCATCCAGGTAACCTGGTGTCAGGCAGGCAGCCACAACTCACCACACTGGCCATTCCTCTCTTTGAAGGGCTGTTCAGTCCAAGTCTAGTTTAAAGATCAAGAGCCCTATGAAGAGAGAGCAGCAGACTTGGAGTTGCCCATAGACAAACTGAGCAGTCGCCTGAGCCACCTGGTCTTTCCTGCTATGGTGAGATCATACTGTATTCCTATCAAAGCAATAGGAATTACTTATAATTTGGCGTCTGTACATATAAATTAGCACATGAAGTTGCTATGCAAATCGGTGTCCTCTCCATCACCGCCACCCTGGCAATTTGCAGGTGGCCCCTTCTCAGGATATAGCTACTTAAAATAACAACTCTAATTTTGCATACCCCACCCAGGTCTTTTTCAGCCCAGTTCAGAACTGCCGCATGGAGCAAAGAGGAAATCTTTCTCTCGGGGCTCTCCCTTCCGCAAGGACAAGTTTTTGGACTGCCAACAGCCACAGCGCTACACGATCCAGGAGGTCCTGCAGTCAGCAGTCTTGCGGCGGAAGAGGCTAACCTGCCCGGAAATTGGCACGAGTGAGGTCCAGCTCTACCCAACGTATAAAGTGAAAGCGATAATGCATTGTAAGTATAGACTGAGCTGCGGCTTCCTCTAGGCTGGGAAGGCGTGGTGGAGGGAAGAGTGTGATTTGGTTTGCCTTTGCAAGGCAAGGTGCATGTGTACACATCTGCCAAAATGTCTGCTTGAGGAACATACCTTCCTGATAGAGCATCTTCTTTGCACACGGGAAGTTCCAGGTTCAGACCCCGATATCTCCCTGCTTAAAAAATCTGATAGCAGGCAATGGGAAAGCCCATGCCGTTTAGGGGTTACAAAAATGGTAGCTGTGTGAAATTCAATTCAGTTCCACTCTGAAACCTATCTAACTGGCACTCTCTGAAGAAATAGGCAAACTGAAACACAACCATCCTTCAAAATTCACAAGTTTCTAAATTTTGCAGTGCCGCTCTCCAGCCAAGTAAATGTATACAAAAATTTATATACTAGGGCAAAGTCTGCATAAAGATTCGTAGACGAGTGAAAAGCACATACAAATGCATTCTTTGGGGGGAAATTGTTTAGCAAAAATGCATATATTAGGCAAAAGTGAATACAAATGTGTATATTAGGAGAAAATCACACTACAATGCTGATAAATTTTCATGAGGACTCTTTAAAAAGAAATCAAAAGTTGATGCGGCGATAGGGAAAGCTGACCTTAACACTGCTGAAATTAGAGAGAGAAATCAAGAGGCAGATTTGCTGTTCTTGCCACCAATGCTGAAGAATTTTGGTGCATGTGGCAAGTTCTACAAAGACAGAGATGGTTTCCATATTTATACCATTTGCAGATCCATCCGAGTACAGCCATAGCAGCAGGTGATGGGATTCCCCTGTAGAATCTGGAATGCCACTGATAATGAGTCTACGCTTCTATGAGTCTATGTCACAGGAAGCTTCCTTATACCGAATCAGGCCATTGATTAATCTAACTCAGTACTGTCTACACTGACTGGTAGCAGCTCTCCAGGCTTTCAGGCAGGAGATGCCAGGGATTGAACCCGAGAGACATTCTGCATGCAAAGCAGATGCTCTTCGGTGATCTAAGGTCCTTACCCTTCTGACTGCTGTGAGGCAGATGGGTACAAAAAGCAGGCCCCCTTTTTAGTCATGGCACTGATGCTTTGGAATGCACTCCCCAAGGAAACCACCCTGGACCCATCGCCATATACATTCCACCAGCTGGTTGTAGCACAGCTCTTCAGGGAGGCTTTTGGGAATTGAGTTTGATGGCCAATGTATTTCTGCCACTGGGATTGTAGTGTGCATCTACTGCCTGTTTCATGGTACAGTGGTACCTTGGTTCTCAAACATAATCCGTTCCGGAAGTCCGTTCCAAAACCAAAGCGTTCCAAAACCAAGGCACGCTTTCCCATAGAAAATAATGCAAAATGGATTAATCCGTTCCAGACTTTTAAAAACAACCCCTAAAACAGCAATTTAACATGAATTTTGCTATCTAACGAGACTATTGAGCCATAAAATGAAAGCAATAAACTATGTACTGCACAATCAATCAATCAGTAGCTGAACTGGGAGCCACACAGTCACAAAAACAGAACAAAAAGAGCCGCAGAAACAAAAAAGAAAAATAAATAGAAACAAACAGACCTCAGCGCAACATTCGAAATGGAAGTGTGGCACTCAAATTGGAAACGTAACATTCAAAATAGAGCACATTCGGCTTCCGAGAAAAGTTCGCAAACTGAAACACTTACTTCCAGGTCTGCAGTGTTTGGGTTCCGAGTTGAGTACCAAGGCGTTTGAGAACCAAGGTACCACTGTACTGTTTTATTATATTTATTGACAGTTATGTGTTTTAAATTTATTGTCCTTACGTTGGGCTTTTGAATTGAATGGCAGTAGTAAATAAAATGCAAAGCACTAGCAATATCATTCCTTCTCTTTTCAATATTCAAACTGTGTCATTGGTTATACAGCCAATATACAATGTACAAGGGAGGCGTTATCAGTGTGCTTGGAGAACCCCAATTTAATGTTTGTTACATTAAATACATAGAGTATTTCAACTACCCGGAAGTAGTTTCAAGCTGCAGAAATGATTAATTTTTTTAAGGCTGGGGATGATTGAGCAGCATAAGGATTATTTGCCTGTGCAACTGAAACCCCTTCTATACCCCCTAAATCTGTTCTGGGGGTTCCCCAACACACTGGAACATATTTGGAATGGGCAAAGGGAGAAGAGAGGGGAAGTCCCACTACACTAGCAGCAATTGTTGCGCTGATGGCACATGGCAGAATACTGCCCAGTTTTCATGCCTCATCCTTTTAAAATAGAAGCCTGTGTGGTGCAAGGGAAGGGCTTTAGCCCATACAAGGCTCCTCCTGCTTCTGAAAGTGCTACTTGGCACAGGAAGAAAGCTGCTGAAGTATGAAATCAAAACAGGGTTGGTAAACTGTGGCCCTCCAGATCTTGCTGGAATACAACTCCCATCAGCCCCAGCCAGCATAGCCAAGGGTCAAAGATGATGGGAGCTGTAGTCCGGCAACATCTGACCAGTTGCACAGGCTCTCCAGTCCTGAGTTAACACTGCAGCCAGACGGTGGAACTGATTTCTTGCAATTTGCTTCTTTCTTGTGGCACTGCTAAGCCACCCTTGCCAGAAAAGGATTTGATTTTTCCCTCGAAGGCACCAGACTGGTGCCACTCTTTCCCCTTCCCTGCCCCCAATCCTTCACTTACATATTACCTCTTTGTGTTTTATTTTGCCCTTCACAACTGACTAAAACCTTACATTAGTAACACACTTTTAAAAAAATTAATATACTATTGAAACACACAAGAGGCACAGGTAAGACAATAAATGCCAGGGGAGAAAGCAGCGAAACAAGGAACTCAATATAACAGTAAACTGGGCAAAGGGGGACAGCATGAAACATCATTAAAGCAGTTGATGGGGAAACTGTGGCCCTCCAGCTGATGGCAGCTGAAGTCCCGCAGGAGGGAGACAGGTTTCCTACCTCTGCATTACTGGTTTGAGATCAAGATTGGCTGTCTTTGGAGTCTAGACAATAATGATGGCAACAGGTGGATATATATATATATATATATATATATATATATATATATATATATATGTTAAGTCCTCTCTCCCTTAAGCCTTCCACCCAACTTCCAAACACAGCTTCCACAGGATATCTCAACTGATGGTCAGGTTCCTGTTTGTGGGAATCTTTCCCAGGGCTCTTAATGACCATGTGCTGCTTATTTCTCCAGTTCGAAATGACGTTGTGCAAATCAACTCTACCCTGGATGTAGAGGTGGTCGACGTCACCAAGGAGTCGCGGCACATCCACTTTATTAAGCCGCTGATGCTCAGCGAGGTTCTGGCAATGGAGGAAGCCCTGCCAGCGGAGGCAGAGATCCTTGAGGCCCCAGAGAGCCTGCCGGTCTTCCAGAGCGACTGGTTCTCCCACCTACAGAAGGGCTGCCAGATTCACATCCACAGCAAGTCCTCAGCATGGAGGGTCCTGGCCTCGTCTCGCAAAGGCAAGACCCGGACCTGCTACTTCCTCCTCTCCAGCAGCTACGAAGGCTGCTTTCGCCGATGCCCACGCAGATTTAGCTGCACTTCGGAGCTGGCCCTCAGTTTTGCCACAGCCAAGAAGCTGCAGGTCATTGTCACCAAAGACTGCGAGAGCAGCGAAGGGGAATTTCCTTTGTTCAGTGTAGGAGACCGGCTAGAGGTGCTGTGGGTCGCGAGAGCCAACAAGCCTTCAGCCATGGACATGCTTGTGTGCTGCAGGGACAATGGAGATGAGGACAGAGAGCAAATCCATGTGCCCCTGTTCCTGGAAGCCGGCTTTGTAGAGGATGTCCGTGACAGCCGGAAATATACCATCTCTGAGGCAGTGGAGCACCTGCAGCTGCCCTGTGAGGTCAAGGTGCTTAGCACTGACTGTGCCTCTGATCCTCTAGGCTGCTCCTCTGTCCTGACCCTGGAGACCAGGATCAACTTGCAATTTCTCACCATCAGCCTGGCTAAGGAGCCAGCTCTCACCTTTGACATTCCTCCACAGTGGTTGGACATGTCTCTCTTCTTCACTGGAGGGCCAGCAAAGGCCACCCCTCCCACTTGCAGTCCGGCGGTGGAAGAGTTGACAGAGGCCTTTTATTATCGTTTGCTAAAGTTACTGCCCAGCAATGCATCAGCACCTCCGAGACCTCCAAAGCAAAAGGACTCCAGGTGCAACATGGACCTCAGAAAGGCCAAAGGAGGAGAGAAGAATGCAGCAGAAACATCTAAGGTAATAAGGAATACGGGAGAATTAGAGAAATACAGCAGGGGCAGGATGTGTTCGTGCAAAGCATTAAATACTAGGACTGGAACCGTTTAGTCAACTATAGTGGTACCTTGGCTTAAGAACAGCTTAGTTTATGAACAACTTGGATGAAGAACACTGCAAACCCGGAAGTGGGTGTTTTGGTTTGTGAACTTTACCTTGGAATAAGAACATGTTTTGCTTCCTGTTGAGTGTGTTCTATTTGTAAATTGAGTCCCCTGCTGCTATGAGAAAGCACACCTTGGTTTAAGAACACTTTGGTTTAAGAACGGACTTCCAGAATGGATTAAGTTCGTAAACCAAGGTACCACTGTAATGCATTTCCAAAAAACTGACTGATGAAAGAGGTGCCACTGATTGAATTTATTATTTCGGTCACAGACCAGTTCCAGCCCACAGTATCAAGGAAGTCATAAAACACGATAGGGATACATTTGAATTTGCAATTAGGTATAGCAGGGACAATACAGATATAGCAAGTTAAAAAATATATAAATTAAAACTTGGCCACTAAAATATAACCTAAAATTGTCATTTACTTAATCATTATGATAGCACAGCTTGTTGCCACTGCTTAATAAGCCAGCAAGTTTTTAAACAAAGAATACTTATTTGTATTTTGTGGCCTTAAAGGTTTATAGATTGCAGGTATCTCAGAAGAGGCATTCTTTCATTTGGGAATGCTTCTAAAATTGTGTCTTCTACGACACAGGTACACATAATCTAAAAATGAATAAAGATAACCCTCACGTTCAGAACCAGTTTCATCATATTGAAAGACTGGGAAAGCCAAATTGTGTGCTGTCCCTAGGAGCAGACAAAATAATACTGATGTAAGGGCAGAACTATCTCCAAACCTAGTTATGTCTCCCAACAAGTTGTGCCTTTTGATTCCCCTCTTCCATTTGTTCAACTTCTGAATAGCTTTTAAAAAATTGTATAGGTGGCCCATTTCATAACTTGGACGCATGAGTTGAATGAATGATTAATTCCTAACACAAGGTGCTAACTTTGCATGCATGGATCGCCCCCTGCCACCCACTGATTTGTGCTCGCCCCCTGCCACCCACTGATTTGTTAATTGGGCATGGATATCATGGACGCGGGTGGCGCTGTGGGTAAAACCTCAGTGCCTAGGACTTGCCGATTGTATGGTCGGCAGTTCGAATACCCGCGGCGGGGTGAGCTCCCATCGTTCGGTCCCAGCTCCTGCCCACCTAGCAGTTCGAAAGCACTCTTAAGTTCAAGTAGATAAATAGGGACCGCTTTATAGCGGGAAGGTAAACGGCGTTTCCGTGTGCTGCGCTGGTGCTGGCTCGCCAGCTGCAGCTTCGTCACGCTGGCCATGTGATCCGGAAGTGTCTTCAGACGGCGCCGGCTCACGGCTTCTAGAGCGAGATGAGCACGCAACCCTAGAGTCGGACACGACTGGCCCGTATGGGCAGGGGTACCTTTACCTTTACCTTTTATCATTTTTCCAGTGAATTAAAAAAGAAAGAAAAGGAATGTTAGTACAACATTGGCCATGCAGGTCAGAGTTGCCAACTTGACAAAATAAGATGAAATGTTTGTGTTATTTATCTCAGCTGTTGAGGGGATAGCTGAGTAGACAGAAGGTGGCAAGCAAGAGCACCATCTGGTTAAGACTTAGAATAATGGAATCATACAATCATAGAACCATAGAGTTGGATGGGGCAAAGGGGATAATCTAGTCCAACCCCCCACAATGCAGGAATCTCAACTAAAGCATTCATGACAATGTTCACCCAACCTCTGCTTAAAAACTTCCAAGGAAGTAGAGTCCACAACCTCTCAAGGGAAACCGTTCCACTGTCTAACAGTGTTTACGCTCAGAAAGTTCGTTCTGACTTTCTGACAGTACAGAGGATGGCAGAGTAGATGGCTCAACACAATAAACAGGAATGGTCCAACAACAGTTATGCCAAGTAATAACTTCAACCCCTGTAAGGCCATTTGAAGTCCAGGAAGTACAGTGGTACCTCTGGTTGCGAACGGGATCCGTTCTGGAGGCCCGTTCGCAACCTGAAAAGAACGCAACGCACGTCTGAGCATGCGCAGGTCACGACTCGCCGTTTCAGCAAATGCGCGTGACATCATTTTGTGCGTCTGCGCATGCGCAAGTGGCGAAACCTGGAAGTAACCCTTTCTGGTACTTCCGGGTCACTGTGGGACGCAACCTGAAAACGTGCAACCTGAAGCAAACGTAACATGAGGTATGACTGTAATACACATTCCTATCTTAAGCATCCACCCCTGATAAGACCATTCAGTTAAGTGTAAAATTAACTAACTACACAGGAGCCCTACCTCAACCCCACCGCCTTGCTTCCTGAGCCAGACACCCACTTCCCACTTTGGCACTCTAGGAGGGCACTTTCCACAAAATCCAGCTCTGCCCTCAACTATTAACGCACTGCTAAAAGATTCTTCTTAGCCTGCTAGCCTCTGCTTATTTACTGTGCAGTAGCTTATCCCACAGGGGCGTGGGTGGCGCTGTGGGTTAAACCACAGAACCTAGGACTTGCCGATCAGAAGGTTGGTGATTTGAATCCCCGCAACGGGGTGAGCTCCCGTTGCTTGGTCCCTGCTCCTGCCAACCTAGCAATTCGAAAGCACGTCAAAGTGCAAGTAGATAAATAGGTACCTCTCCGGTGGGAAGGTAAACGGTGTTTCCATGTGCTGCTCTGGTTCGCCAGAATGGCCACATGACCCGGAAGCTGTACGCCAGCTCCCTCGGCCAATAAAGCGAGATGAGCGCAGCAACCCCAGAGTCGGCCACGACTGGACCTAATGTTCAGGGGTCCCTTTACCTTTACCTAGCTTATCCCACTGGCTTCTGAAGCAATCATTAAGTTTCCTTCTTAAAGACAGAAGTTAAGGGCTGGGTTTTGAGTAGGTTTGTTAAACTGGTCTTAGCATCTTAAGATATAAATTGCCTTCAGGGGGGAAAAATACTTGTTCTGTTTTCCTGTACCAGTTACCTTCTGGCAAGTCAAGCAGCACATCTAGAGAGCCTGCAAAACTTCCCTTCTCTGGACCTAAGCAAACAGGCGCAAGTGGGAGTGTCCTGAACAATCTTAATGAGTACACCATGGAATGCGAACGTCAAAGATTCCAGGAGTGTTCTAAACCCGAGAAACAAACCACAGGTATGACGACTTTTTGCTTGTGAACAACTACAGCAGGGGTGGGGAACCTTGTTCAGCCCAAGGGCCAAAGGAAAAAGTGGGTGGAGCAATGAATACTTTGTTGAGTAAGCTAGCTTCTACACACATTCTTCATTGTCTTCCATCCAAGTCATTTATCAGTTCAAGGGTACACTCCAGCCAAGCAAAAACACTCAAGGGCGTATGAAGCTAGCCTAGAGAGGGCTCTGGCCTGGGTAGATTGCCCAGAGCCAGACAGTAAGGCTTAGAGGGCTGCATTTGGCCCCTGGGGCTGAGGTTCCCCAACTCTGAATTACAGTGAAGGCACTGAACATATCAAACCAATCAAATTCTCCCTAGATCTCCCAAATCATTAGCTCAGTATTCTCTGGAAAGGGGAGCAAACAGGCTAAGTGGGAAAGGGACCATAACTCAAAAGAGCATATGCTCTTGTCAATCCCGGTTAGCTGCAGTTAAAAGATCACATAGCAGATGACGTGAAAGACCCTAGTCAGAATAGATGGATTGGGAGCACAGGGGTGCAGTTTGCCAGACTAACACAGATGTTGAGAAAATGAGGATAAAAGTCCAAGAGGCTGAATGCTAGTACTTTTAATGATAAATATCATTGCAAGAAAGACTGAATCAATTAGAAATGCAAATGGTTTAGAAATTGAACCTATGAAATCAGATTACTCCCAAGAAATTATGAAAAGGATGGACACACCTTAACAAGTAAACTGTTCCAATTGCACCTGTATTCAGTAAGGGGAAACCTTGTGCATCAGAGATTAGAATGGAGTTTTAAATTATAATGTAGTTTAGCAGCAAGGAATCTTAGAAATTAATGGAATCAACAGTAGAGGTCTTCACCTGCAAGTCCCTGGATACCAACACTAGGACAACAGAATAAGTAGATAAAAATTATTTGTATTAATTGCATGACTCCCTTCAGTGTATTGATGGTAGAGTACTGGACATAGCCTGAGAGAGACCTGGCTTCACATTCTTGCTGAGGCAACATTATCCTTCTTCACCTGCCTCAGTGTTATAAAATAATTTACCTATTTATGCTGACCAGGGCTGCTTGTGGGGAATAGTGAGTGAAGTTCCTGCTGCAGGAATCTGAAGGCCTAAGTTCATGCTGGGTGTACAGGTGTCAAACTCATTTTTTTAGGCTCATATGGCAAGTGATCCTTATATGCCTCTTTAAACATCGCTGTCAACATTCAGATTTGAAAATAAGGGATCAGCAGCCTCACCTGTCCCAGGGAGTCTACGGGATATCTAACAATCTGGGATAGCAGCGGGAAATGGCACTGAAATAAGGGAATTTCCCGCAAAAAAGGGAAGGTTGACAGCTATGCTCTTTAAATCATGATCCAAGGTCCTGTGTTATATTTCCTGTCTGAACTGCCAACTAGCTAGACTAGGCAAGACACAGCCATTTCTACAGTGGTGCCTTCTTTGTGAAAATCTCACCTGACTCATCAAACAATCCTACACAGCAGGTCAATGTGCAGTTAATGCAGAACACTTGAGGATATAGAATAAATTGCCCTGCAATGACTTTTTTACATTTTCTTTTGCTGCCTTCAGTAAATTGTTGCTTGATTTGAAGTGTGTATTATTATTATTATTTTATGCTACCTTTCAGAATGCAAAAGTACCATAGTGGGATATAATAAATATTTTACATGAATTATTTTTCAGGCACAGCTTTCAGTGATGATTCGGATCATGACTATGAAGAAGTTAAGGAGGTTTATGAAATGACTTCCAAACTGCAAAGAGCTGTTATTAAACACTGAGATACCGGTCTACAAAGCCACAGTGCTAGGCTAGGTCTTTCGTTCCCCACTTCCATGGTCAGAGCCAGTTCAGGAATGAGGGGAATTCTGTATTTTTAAGCAAACAGATCAACTTTACACTTCCTGGACTAATACACCAATCAGAATGTCATACTGCACACTTCACTGAATTTATGGACCCTGAGCTCAAATACATATTCAGATAACCATGTTCAGAGGTTCTAGTTACAGGTAGGTAGCCGTGTTGGTCTGCCATAGTCGAAACAAAATAAAAAAAATTCCTTCCAGTAGCACCTTAGAGACCAACTAAGTTTGTTATTAGTATGAGCTTTCGTGTGCATTCGTGTTCAGAGGTTGATGTAGAAATGGGTTAAGAATGGACTTGTGAAAGAACACTTGTGAAATTACACCAGAAACAGATTTGTCCATCCCTAGGCCACTGTAACAAGCTGCTCGTTCTTTTCCCATTATTTTTGCCCAGCAGCAGCCTTGCTTTTGAGCCCAGTGCCAGGAGAGACTGTGTGCGACTGTAATTATAACTTCCAAGCCCCAAACTGGCAGACCATGACCACTTTCTCCATTCTGAAGAAAGCACAACGTATGAAATGTGGTCTTTAGAGCCTCACATGTGTCCTTATGCTTTACCTAAAGGAAGTCTGGTTCCAAAATAAGTCACCAGCACTGCAAGGAATCAACATTACCAAAGACCACCCAGGGTGAAGAAACTGCAATCTCTTTGTTTCAGGAGACTTAGCTTTGGCAACAAAGAGGGTTTTTAAGAGTACTGTCGCCTGTCCCCACCCTTACAGTAAAATGAGGACCTGAAGTTAGGCTAGAATAAGGTTACCAGATGTCCCCATTTCCCGGGGACAGTCCCCAGAGTTACCAATCAGTCCCCATACAAAATCCATTAAAGTTGGAAAGAGTCCCCAGATTCATTGAAAAAAAATGTGGTAACCTTAGGCAAAAAGCAACCATGCCAAACACAATGCAGTACATAGAAACTATAAGGGGTCCCTCCTATCTGGGCTGCCAGACTCCCTTGGAGATGACATATTTCTGGGGCCTAAGAGCTACCATTAAAAAAAAAAGTGCTAAAGCATAAAATGATATGGGTCTGCAATTCAAATGCAGCTGTTTTTTACCAGTGTACTGGGAACACAAATATGTTAAGGGTTTCAACATAAGACTTTTGCCTATTTCAAAACTGCACAGTTGCATTTGCATTGCGTATTGACAACGGTCTATTTTAGCGTAACTAAAATGCAAGTGGTGGTTAAATTTTGAGGCTTGACTGACTTTCTTTTTTAATGTCACTGAACTACTTTTTATGCCACACTAAAAAAAGCCTAGCTTTTAGGTCTTATCAGTACTGCAGTAAAATATATATGCCACGCTAGATTCCAGAGTCCCCCAGACCGAGAAGTTCCCCACCCTTGTGTTAGCTATATATAGTAATTGCATGATCAACTATTCTCAACAAAAGACAAAGAAACACTGATGCAAAATAAAAATAGCTTTATTGAGATAGGAAATATTTCTTGAAAAAAGGCTACTTGGCATTCAAAGTGCAGTGGGGAACAGACGTGTTCAGAATTAAAAAAAATATAACTCTAAGCATTTTTCTTCTACCTATAGAGAAATCTGACATGCCATTTCCAAACCATGGCAACCAGTCAAGGGTCACAGCTGGGTGGAGTGATCACTTCCAAAATTGCCCAAAATATAACACGATCAAAGACTTATAAGTTTGTATGTTCTTCCCATCAAGCCCATTTCTCTCTTCTGAAATACATACACTTGCTTGTGTATCCTTAATACTATTATAAATTTGTGCACTACTTATGTCTATCCAGAATAGTAAGTTCACCATCAACAGATAAAGATACTACCTTCTATAAATGTACAGCTTGTTGTCACTTCTGCATTATCATCTGATGGTTGATCTGGGCAGAAACCACTTATTCCATAAGTCAAATTCAAAGGACACTTCAGCTCAGTTCAGATATGATGATCTTGGTCTAACAGTTTACTAGACCAAGGTATTATATCTAAACAAAGCATTAATCGGCATCTGTAGATTTAAAGTGTTCATCATCAATAGTGGAATAGATATGTCCCTCGCTGCTAAGAAATTCAACAGCTTTCCTGGAAAAGAGAACAAGAAATAAAAGATCCAATTGGAAAATTGAGATAAACACTGGGTAAGTTCTCCTTTCAAAAGCCTAGGCTGCCTATATATACGTACTTCAGTGTTGGCAGATTAATACTACGCAACTGGGACTGCAGATCCTGAAGACTTATCCCCTCAGCAGATGTGGAGCTTTTAATCAAATTCAGAATCTTGAACAGAAAGAAATAAAACAGTGTTACCCAAACACAAATAGCAGTGCAGTATAGACTTCCAAGACTAATATTCGATCTGTTTTAAGAAATACATTCAATGCACATCACAATTTTAAGAAAGAATGTTATTCCTCCTGTTGTCATGATGAACATAACTGCTGAAATTCTAAACAGAGGTGTAGCAAAAGCAAATCAACTTTCAGCAGTGGAATAATATACTAACTTTAACTGATAATAAAAAGGTTAAACTACTACTGACAAAGACTACTTGCACATTTTTAGAGAACAATTCAAGGCCTTCCTGTTCAGGAAGGTCTTTAGCAAGCTATGATCCAAACAGGATTTTATTCTGATATTATTCTTTTTATACTATGATGAATGGTTTGGTATTTCATACTATTACTGTGGGTTTGTCACTGTCACATCAAATTATAACATTTTAGCTGATCATATTCATTTTTTATTTAGCTGCCTTGATTAACAATAAAAAGACAAAATAGAAACGATCAAAAATAAGTGTTGGAAATAATATGTATTTTTAACAATAATTTTGCAAAAGTAATTGGGCCATTTTGACAGAATTAATAATTCATATGCAGCTTTCTGTACTTGATCTCAGGGGAAGAACACAGCAAGAAGTGTTTTTACTCTACCTTAAGCAATGTTTATATGAAAAAGAAGCAGCAAAGCCCTAGCTTATGTGAATCTCCTCTGTTGCAATTCAGTTCATTCTTAGGGTTTTGTTTTTGCCCATCAGGGAAGTTCCCCACTTTCTAAACAGCCAACTGTCACTCCTAGAAGGCTGCTTTAGTGTTTTATGTTGCTTGATATCTAATGTTAGTCTTACTCATGAGTAGACCCACTGAAAGGGCTAGTCTTAGCATGACTAGAATTGGTTATCACCCACTGCATTTATGACTAGACTGTATGGCAAATTCCCAAAGTACAATAAATTGTGTGCATGACAGAAACTCAGAAGAGGCAGTCAGACTGCTGCCTCTGTAGATATAGGGGCTGAAAGCAATGAGTTCGAAGCCAGGAGTTTTTATTCTCATTAGAAAAGGCAACAAAAGTGACCCAGATCCCAAGACCTCGGACAAAGCAGTCACTGGAAGACCGAGATACAAGAAATCTGACACGCTGCCCAGAATTGTCCTGTCATCCTTATGCATACCTGAGTTTGGTGTGCTGTGAGCCCACTCACTGGCAAGGCGCCATTTCCTCCATAGCTTGACGTGTTGCCCATCCCCATCAAACCAACTGGTTGCGGCATCTTCATTGACATGGGCTAAGATACATGGAAAAGGAACAACCACCAACTTTGGTTATTATATAATACTACAGGTGTGAAATTAGAAGTTTTAGAACTGGGAAAAAACATCTGAAAGGCAACTACAAGATTCTAAAAGATAGGGTTGTTGGGAGGTTGTCTGTGCCACTGAAAAAGACCCAAGGCCCCTCTGGCTATGCTAGGGCAAACCTCCTGCTTGCTAACACTTTCTGTGCTGCTCAATCAAATGTTTCAAAGTTGTTTGCCCTCCATGAAAAGGTTAGTGTGCGCCTCGTTTCTACATGTACCATATTGCCTTTTCTGAGGATCATATGGGCATTTACGACTTCAAGCAGGTGCGTAGTAAATTCGTTCATATCTTCAAGCGGCAGGATCTTGAATGCAACCAGGCTCTTCTTGTTCTGTGATAAAGGAAACAAATGACATCTCATTGAACAGTTATTGCCCAGGTATTACTATTATATATTTATTTATACCCTGCCTTTTTCCTGGCAGGGACTCAAGGCAACTTACAGATAAAATGTTAGCTTCTAAATTTTTTACATTAGTGATAGGGGGAAACAATTTTTTTAAAAAAATGTAAATGTGCTCCCTGCTAATTTTAGTGGCATCTTAAAACAATGGTTGAGTGCATTTTCCTAATTATGTTCATGATCTTAAGAAACTTTCACTCTCCCTTTTAAAGCCAAAGCTCAAATTTTCAGCGTTTGTGGAGGACTAGCCCCACATCTTAAAGAGTCTTCTGCATCCAAGAATACACTGGTAAATGAACCACTACTAATCAACATTTTCAAAGAATTATAATGAATTTGGTACACCAGAAGTTGACAAATCATATTCTCTCTCTAGAGGGAATATTGTTTTCACATATGCCAAATCCACTTGTTCTGACACTATATTTTATATAGTGGTGAATAAAATGGGGAGGGGTATATTAGGCTTGGAAGCACGTTTTCCATCTCAATGAAGCTAGAGAGTATATACTAATAAACTAAATACAATCCAATTCCCAACAGAGGAGGAACACATTTCAAATTAAGTATCAAGGACTGATTTCACAGGAGCACAGATCCTTCCTACTTGAGTAATTAATAGTCACACACAAAATGAACAGGACTCTGTATAGCAAGGCTTAGTCCTTTTGGTGTGTGGGAGGGAAGAGTAATATTAGTAATGGATAATCTTGTCTTCTTACCTGGAAAGATCGCAGATGGCCTAGAACTTTCACATATGTTCCAGGAGGCACCACAACATTCTCACTACCTGCCTCCTGTATAATAAAATTGAGAATAGGATAGTGGTTTCTTGGCCTTTACCAGCAATTTGGTAATCAAACTTGAGAAAAGTGTTTTAACAACCATCATATAGAATACATATAACAATATGGGTAAAGCCATTCAAAACACAATTTCTCACTTTTCCATAATTATGGCACAGTTAGAGAGATGACAGTAGTTTGCATAGTCCAATCAGAAGGGCTCCTCGTTTTTATGACTGCTTCCCTACAAGTTTTTCTGCTGCAATGGGTACAAGCAAGAATACATCATTGCCTGATCACAAACCTGTGGAACAATCATGGGCAGGGACTGGACAGACACTAGGCCAAATTTAAAAAATTCTGCACCAAATGAAGTTAAATTCTATGTAACTTGCATTAAGAATTCAATCAAGCAAATTTGAACTATTTACCTATTTTAAATTATGCATTCTACTTCTGCTGCACAGGAAAAGGAGAGAAAGGTAAGATGCCAGGCAAGTCTCCTACCACCAAGTCTCCCCAGTTCTAGTCGGGAACTCTAACTATAACATTATGCTGGCTCTCTTAGTTTAGACAAACTGATATTTACATCTGCATCGACCCACTGCCTGACATCCATCGGGGCTGCGGTCATGTCATCCACTTTGTAGAGAATGTTTGTTGGTGCTTTTTCTGCTTGCCTGATTATGCCAACAACAATGACCTGCACAGAGAAACAGATGACATTTCTTACTGACACAACCTCTAGCTTTAAGTTGTATCACGAGCTTAGAAACTATCTCAAGGGCATTTAGTTAAATAATGTAACATTCTATATATTATTAACTAATGCCCACAAATCTATCCACCCCAAATGAATAATAGTTTGCCACAACCAGCAAAGATGTCTCATGACTGAGAAGAATGCTCGATTTAAGGAAGCAGGTAGGGAAATTCTGAGGAGTACTTTAGTAAAACAATCCAAGTGGCAGATGGCAGATTTCCTTAATCCCAGAACAATATACAGCAGTGTGGCTGGCCAGCTTACCTGTGAAAGCTCAACATCTCGGACCCTGAAAGCATCATCTACCTGTTCAGCAGAAAGTAACTGGGACACTGTACAGGGAACAATATTTTGTGATCTTGACCTCTGCAAAGACAATATTTTAAAATTTTCATCTTCAGGAACTTGCTCTTTGAAAAGAAAAATATATATTGCAGAGTTCAATTAACAAGTTTTGTTGCAGCTTGAAAAAATATATATACACAGAACAGCAAGAATGCTTAGAGGAAGAAATGAGAAACTTTTATAAAAATAAGCAAGAGTAGTAAAAGTGTTCTAATTAATTATCATTGTACTGCTATGGATCACTGCAAACAATTAAAATGAATGCATAACAAACTACAAAGCCTGTAAAAAATTCCTAAAATATGATTCACAGATAAACTGCCACCAATAGAAATCACAGTTTACCTCTTTCCACATAAATTAAGACTGCCATTATCAAGTTTAAATGTTAAAATTTCAATTTCTAGCTTTGAGAGAATGGGATTTTTGTGGTGCTATTATAACTGTTATACACCAAGAAGCCAACTATTAAAAGCTGCACATAAAATAAACATGCTAATGAGTCATGAGGACCAGTACAGCACAACTGGCCCACGCAATACATTTTGCTGCCCAAGGCAAAGAACAAGATAGTGCCCTAGCCCATTCCAAATATAGACACCAATCAGACTAGCAATTGACTCTTACTTCAACAGTGGTGATGGAACAATGTCTGCACCACTACACCCAAGGGCAATAGGTTAGCCTAGGAGCAGCTAATTCAGCTCTGTCCTCAGATGAGGAGAACGGTTGTGATCCAAACATTATTTCTGTAACAAAGTGCATTTCATTCTATGAAACCAATACAACTCTTTCAGAAGGGAAGCAAATAATAATAATAAAATTTCAGAAGTGTAACAGTCCTCACTTGTTACAGGCAAGTTACGTACCGATTTTCTTTCGCCTTGGGTTGCTGAAGGTGATGCAAACCCTCCAGGTGATTGTGTATATCCACTACCACCATAACTATTGTCATAGCCGCCTGGGAAAGAGATCAGAATAAAAATAAGTTGCAAAGCTATTTTCACACTGTTAGGTCACTGAACTTAAAAAGAGCAAAAGTCATCCAAGTGAATGGAGCAAAATCTATGAAAGAAGTTACAGAACACTTTAGAGAGAGTTGATAGACACAAGGATCCTAGAAGCCATTAGTTGCAGCTGCCAAGAAACCCCAAAGAAGCCCATCACACTGTCCTGGTTCACTGATAGCAATAAGCCATGGTCAGAAATAAACCACAGCTTACTCGCAAAACTTGGCTTCACATTACATGTGAACCAGCACCCAATTTTCTTTCCACAAACCGTGGAAGCTAAGGTTTGTTCTTGGCTTATTACTTATAAACAAAGCAGCACTGGTTCATATGCAAAGTTAAGCTAAGCTGCATGGCCAGAGGTAGGTGACAAAACACCTGAGCAGAAGGGAAAGAGTTGAAGGCACGGCCCACCAGTCATTTTAACCCACACCTCTGTCTTTGAGGATCACCCGCAACATTCTCTTCCACACCCAGATATTTTACACACAGAGCTGCCCTCTTCCCACTTTGATACACCTTTTACCTCCACCTCCCCAATTCATTAAAATTCAATAAAATCATAGAGCTGGAAGGGACCCAAGGCTCATCTAGTCCAAGCCTCCGCAATGCTGGAATTTGGCTAAAGCATCCATGACAGATGGCCATCCAACCTCTGCTTAAAAACCTCCAAGGAAGGAGAGTCCATACAATTTCATTCAAGTGATGATGAGAATCCTACTGTGACATGGGGTGGTGACTGGGTGGTTTATTATCTTCCCCACCTCCCCCAACTTTGCCTGGCAAAGCCAAGCCATCAGGTGCAGGAACTGAAGCCTCAGAAGTGTTTGGAAGAAGGCAACCAAGGAAGAGTCCTCATCCAGAGTCATGGCATTAAGCCACCTAACTCAGTACAGTCCACACTGACCGGTAGCAGCAGCTATCCCGGGTTTCAAGGCAGAGGACCTCTCCCAGCCCTACCTTGGAAGCTGAATGTGGGACCTTCTGCACAGCAAAGCCTTCCCCCAAAGCCATCTCCCTTCTTTGCAGGCGTAGCCACCCAGCTGCCGCCACCAGAAACAAAATGGCCCTTTTGGCCCTACCATACCAGCACTAAGCATGCTGCAGCAGCAGTGTCAGTGGCCAGCTTCTCCAACAGTACAGCCCCCATCACTGCTCTCTGTAATGCAGGACACGCATTGGTGCTTTCTCTGGGCGTGAACCTAGCAACCCCGCCTAGTGGTTAGGGCAGCCCTGCATAGCCAAATGAACTCAGAATGGAAGGAAAGCTACTTCTGGTTGCTTTAAGCAGCCCCTTGGCAACTCGGTGGAGCCGTGTTGAATCTCTTACCCCAATGCACGTGCTTCTGTGCCAATATCTGTGTACCTTTCCACTCTTCCTATTTTGTTAAATGACTTCCCCAATAAAAGAGTCTTAGTTCCTCCAGCAACCTTGTGACTCAGTATCACTAGTTATCTGTGTTGCTCAACGTTTAACAGCTTTTTCCTTATAGGATTAATAATGCAATTAATATTAATAATGAAATGAATGTAATGCAATCTTAAATACAAAGAAGACGCAGGCTGGCTGGTTGCACAAAGGAGGCGCAAAGCTGCTGCACAAATGGTTGTTTTTGCTTGTGGGGGGAGGGAAGAGGCTTCCTAAAATGTGGGGACGCTGCCTAGTTTACCCATGGTAGCCAGCCGTGGCTCAGGGGTGCCGCCCCAAAACTGCCCCCCCTTCTATGGACGTAGCCAAGGGGGGAGGGCAGGCCCTAAATCATTTCTTAAAAAAATAACTCAATGAGGTTCTGCCCCTCCCCCCACGTAAATCCTGCCTGCTCCCGTGCCCCCCCCCTCCCTCGCCGGGGTTTTGCAGGCCTGAGGCGAGGCACGTCGAGGAGACTTGGATTGACTCCCAAACTCTGGGCTTGGAGAAGCGGGGCCCGAGGGAGGAGGGGGAGCCCGAAACCCCCACCCCCACCCCGGGGAAGAGGCTCCGCGGCGTTCCCTGGCCAGCCACCTTCACGGAACGGCGGGTCCCCACAAGCACGGGCACCGCGCGCAGCCGCTCACCGGCACCGCCGAGCCACATGCCGCGAGGAGGAGGAGGAGCAGCGCGCGCCGAGAGAGGGACCGTTGCGGGAAAGCGGCGCCACGAGCTCTTCTTCTTCCTCACCAGGCTCTTCCCCTCTCGCGCCGCCCCATCCCGAGCGCGCCAAACGAGCGCTCAGGATAGGCCAGCCCACTCGAGCGGGCCAATCGAGGAAAGGCAAAGGGGAGGTACTCGCGGGAGGGGCGGGTCCTGTTGACGCGCCGCGCGCGAAGCCCCGGGAGTATAGAGGAAAGGGTCTTGTGCAGAGAAGCGCGACGCTCTAGGTACTCGTGCGAACGCCAAGGCTGGCTGGTCGGGCTTTCGATGGCGGCGGGCTGTCCAAATCGGTGGCTTCCTCTTATGCGCACGCTAAAGCAATATGCAAAGCCTACAGCGTTTCAGGAAAGCAGGTGCATCATATGCCTTCAGAGTAGACCATTGCTTATTAATTACTCACCACAAATTTCAATGTAAGGGTGGGTGGGAGTTAGAAAGTTGCATTTGCACAACTGCACTCCACCCTGCGATTGCATTTGGACTGGTCCGGCATGATTGATTCGAGGCTTCATGACTCAAGGAATGCATGTGAGTATAGTTCCTTGGAGCACTTCTGCTTCTCCATTCGAACAAGCCAGGATTCAGCTATTAGCTACAGGTTTCCATTGCATTGCACACCTAGATACTACGGTTAACGTCTGGCAAGCAAGTGGGGATATGAAATCATTGTATAGAGTCTTGTGGCACTTTAAAAATTAACAAAATCTATTATGGCATGGGCTTTTGTGGGCTACTACAGTCCACCTCATCAGATGCATGAGGTGGAATTGTAATCAGTAGGCTGTCTGTCTCCGGGGTTTGTCCTATTCAGTGCAGACCCACTGAAATCAATCAACATGGCTAGCTTAAGCCCGTTCATTTCAATAGATCTACTCGTGAGTAGGACTTAGCAATACAGCTCAGCGAGTTCTGAGGGAAATAAAATTCAGAAAAGCACAGATAGTGATTATTACATACTTAATGGCTTACTTAGAGGTCCTCCTGATGTTGACAAACTAAGTAACACCTATGAAGTGCTGAAACTCCTTTGTCTAGGTTCAGTCCACACATCCATCGAGCCTCCTGATTCAGTAGCTTCACTTTGCAGCCTCCTTTAGGAATTCCTTTGTTCCAGAATCGCCACTTTAAGACCACTTACGGAGTGTCCTGAGAGAATGAAATGTCTCCCACGCTGCTTTTTTGGATATTATATATTTTTACTTATTAAATTTATATCCCACCCTGCTTCCCAAAAGGAGCCCAGGACAGAAAACAGTTCTGTAATTACACTTACACACACACACACATGAAATAAACACAATTTTTTTTAACACCTGCAAGCTCTTTAAAACGTCTAAAAGCTATTACAGTAAAAGCATATTAAAACATCTAAATACAACACAATAAAACATCTAATACAAATTTAGGAACAGATGCATCCAACTCATCTGTCTGGGTCTGCCAAAAGAAAAGTTTTCAGCAGGTGTCTAGAAGTATACCGTAATGATGCCCGCCTATATCAAGAGGCAGGGAGTTCCAATGTACAGGAGCTGCTTCAATAGACTCCTTAAAAACTTGCCAAATTCTGTTATTTACCCTGTTTCTTTTTATTGTTGTCTTCATAGCAATCACGTAAGGAATACGATACGATACAATAATCTTTCTTGTCATTGTCCCATACAGAACAATGAAATTGAAAAAACCTACATCAGACATTCAAAAACTAACAAGCCTGCTATCCCAGCTATCCCAGCCTGGTTAACCCCCTAAAAACTCTGATACCCTATAATTAAATACAATATACTCCCATAGAGACTACCTTAAGGCTTACACTGTGTTTAAAACCAAAATCACAATTGGATAGAAACTGTTTCTCAGGTGGCTAGTCCTAGTCTTTATAACCCTGTACCTTCTTCCAGAAGGCAGAAGCTGAAAGAGATCATTTCCGGGGTGCGCACTATCCTGCACTATCTCTGCAGCTTTCTTATGACACCTGGAAGCATAGATGTGATCCAAGGTGGGAAGAGTGCACCCAATAAAAAACAAGCATTAAATAGGTCGGGTACAATAACAGCAACCAGGCTCCTCCCTGCCGGTAAAGTTCACCTGAACTTGCATATTCTTGACGTAGAGAGGAAGAGCCACAAAGCTTGAACTTCCACTCTCTGCCATTCCAAGCTGGCCTTTGTGCCAAGAAATTAGAAGCGAGCCAAATCTGCCCTGCTGGGTCAGCAATATATTTCAGCGACTGAAGCCCCAGTGTAGGAGATTCCAAAGCAACGCAGCTTGAGCGCTTTTGGAGAGTTCCTTTGTAAGATGACAGCAGGACCGGCTTCCAGCTAGCTAGATGCCTCCTTCAGCGTCCTAGCATACACCTTTGGTAAAAGCCTGCAAGTCTCACACACCTTTTTAAAAAAAAGTATTGCAAACCCTCTGCTAAACAGGCAGATACAGTTCTGAATCAGAGCAGAGTTGCTGCAGCAGCAAAAGGCGCCTGTGAGTCAGAGATCTGATAGAGGCAAGCCTGAAATGGAACCTGCTAACATTCCCCAGAGCTGCGACTACAGGCATGGAACTTCAGCCAGGGATCGCTGGCAGCGGAAGATGGGTCTTTTGGGAGTCCTGTTGCTCTTGATGCACTTCAGAGCCGCAACCGCTGCCTCAGGTAACTTACCCTTTTGGCTGCACAAGTTGGTAGTTTGAGAGGAAACAACTCAGGCGTGGGGGGTTAAAGGAAGAAGGTAGGTTGCTTGTTTCACAGTTAGGCTGGACAGCCATGGCACTAAGTCCTGGTTGCACAGAGCCAACCTATGAGGTTTTGCTGCTTGAGGACAAAGATAAGGTTGCGCCTCTCACACCCATGTTTTATGTAGGGATGGGGGGGTGGAATTTAGTTTTGTTTGCATTTTAATGAGAAATTGCCCAATTCCTACTACCTCAAACCCACAAGTGAACTGAGACACAATTATCTTTTGGAATTCATGCGCCTCTGAATTTTACAAGGCAGTTCTCCAACCCGATTGTGTATGCTGCATAAAAATGCATCTGTTAGGAGAATGTGTGTATTCAAATGCATACATGAAAAAAGCTTACAAATATGTATTAATTTGGGGGAAATTGCTTGCAAAAATCTGTATATGAATCAACGCTGTGTAGATTAAGAGAAAATTGCATTAAAATGCAGATAATTTATTGTAGCCAAAGTTGATGGGCACTGGATCCCTAACAGAACTAGAAGGGCGACAGGTCTCACACACCTGGTGTAGCAGCTAGGTTTTGGTTTTTTTTAATTGCTGTGTTGTTTTATTAAGGGATTGGTTTATTGCGTATTTTAATTATGGATGTTTATGTTTTAATGCATGTGTAATGGGGCTTTTAAAAACATTTAGAAGCCTATCATGGCAAGATGTATGAATTGATAAATAATAATAGTTTGCCCTCTGTCAGGGAGCTCAGCTTGTACTTTGGTCTTCTTTTAGCAGATCTTATTGCAGAGGAAGGAGCTACAACTGTGCGCCTTGCACAACACAAAAGCTCCTCCCCCTCCCCAGAATGGCTGGTGGGGAGGGGAAGGATCTAGTGGGCTGGATGAAATCTGGCTGTGGGCTCTATATGGCCCAGGAGTGCATACTCCTGCTCTGGATTTCACTAAGCACTTCCTAAAGCAAAAGCAGAACCATTTCATAAGACTATCAATGGCTGGATCTACACTGATTAAAAAACGCTATACGAGCTCTCAATGCAAAATCCTATTGGCAATGGATAGCTGCTCCACAGTGCCATCTGGTGCCACATGTTTATAACACGGTTATAACGATATAATTGACGAGTGTAGCTGAGTCCAATGGCTAGCTACTAATCCTGATGACAATATTCTGCCTCCACTATTGGAGGCAGTAGGCTCCTGAATACTAGTTTCTGGAAACCATGGTGCAAGGGTTCAGCTGTTGCTCTCAGGTCCCACAGGTACTTGGTTGCCCCGTGATAATAAGATGCTGGACTAGATGGGCCCCTGGCGTGATCTTGCAGGGCTCTTAGGTTCCTTTTTAAATTTTTCCTTTTGTCCTTAGCAGGTTATTTTTGGCACATCACAGACCTTCATCTGGACCCACAGTACAAAGTGAGCCCAGACCCCTTGAAGGTGTGCCCGTCCGCTGGCGCCCAACCGGTGGCCAATCCAGGGGCTTGGGGAAATTACTTGTGTGATGCTCCATGGATTCTTGTCAACTCTTCTGTTTATGCTATGAAGCAGGTCCTCCCGAACCCAGACTTCATTCTCTGGACTGGGTAAGGAAGTGCTTGTGCGTTGTTGTTTTTTGCCGTAAACAAAACAAATACAGTGGTACCTCCGGTTACATACGCTTCAGGTTACATACGCTTCAGGTTACAGACTCCGCTAACCCAGAAATAGTACCTCGGGTTAAGAACTTTGCTTCAGGATGAGAACAGAAATCTTGCAGCAGCAGCAGCAGCAGGAGGCCCCATTAGCTAAAGTGGTGCTTCAGGTTCAGAACAGTTTCAGGTTAAGAACGGACCTCCGGAACGAATTAAGTACTTAACCCGAGGTACAACTGTATGACTTTCTTCTTTGCCATTTCATTGCTCACTCAAGTTTGGCCAACCTTTGTATCAGCCAGGTGTGGAGATCCTTTGCCCTTCCAGATGTTGCTGAATTGCAACTCCCACCACTTTAACTCTCCCACTTTAAACAGGCATGGCTTCCACACACAAAAATCCTGGGAACTGTAGGTCGTTAAGGGTGCTGAGAATTGTTAGGAGGCCCATATTCCTCTCACAGAGCTACAATGGTCAGAGTTCCCTGTGAAGAGGGATTGATTGTTAAGCCGCTCTGGGAGTTGTAGCTCTGTGAGGGAACTAGGGGTCTCCCAACAACTTTGTCCACCCTTAACAAACTACAGGTCCCAGAATTCTTTGGAAGAATCCATGACTGTTTAAAGTAGTGTCATTGTGCTTTAAATGCATGGTGTGAATGTGGCCTACTAGTTATGATGACTACATATTACCTACAGGTAATACCAGTTGCTGGGGCCTATGAGTGGAAGGGGGCTATTGCCCCCATCACCTGCTTATGGGTTTCCTGTAGGCATCTGTTTGGCAACAGAATATACAAAATAAATTTAAAAAATAAAATAAAATAATGTTGGGCCAGATGGGCCTTTTGGTTCCTCTTATGTTCTTAATTTGCTAACTCCTCTACATCTATCCGGGGACTTTACTTTTCCCAGTATCTCTGTCCTCGAACCAAATAGCCTTTGTGCTGTTTTCCAGAGACGACACTCCTCATGTAGCTGATGAGAAACTGGGTGAAGATACTGTGCTGGAGATAATTGAAAACCTAACCAACCTGATCAAACATGTATTTCCAGGTAGGGTGTGCCAGAACAATTGGGGAGTAAGAAGGCTGTGCCAAAAAAATAATAATCCAGAAACAGAAGCAATGGGTTTTGAATTGCAGGAAGGAAGATTTAAGGCTGGCGAATGTCTTCAGTCTCCTATGTGTTTCAACAATGGAGCCAAACTGTGGAATGTAGTTCCTTGAAGAGTGTCAAGAACAGGCAGGGCTGAACCCATAAGTGTAGGTAGGGTTGTGTATATTCTGTATTAGTAAAATCAATAAATTCAACACCAAATGATTTTATGATCCAGGTAGTTATTTTACGGGGGTGGGCATTTTTCTGTAAAGGTAAAGGGACCCCTGACCATTAGGTCCAGTCGTGACCGACTCTGGGGCTGTGGCGCTCATCTCGCTTTATTGGCCAAGGGAGCCGGCGTACAGCTTCCGGGTCATGTGGCCACCATGACTAAGCCGCTTCTGGCGAACCAGAGCAGTGCACGGAAACGCTGTTTACCTTCCCACCGGAGCGGTACCTATTTATCTACTTGCACTTTGACGTGCTTTCGAACTGCTGGATTGGCAGGAGCTGGGACCGAGCAACGGGAGCTCACCCCGTCGCGGGGGTTCGAACCGCCGACCTTTTGATCGGCAAGTCCTAGGCTCTGTGGTTTAACCCACAGCGCCACCTGCGTCCCACCTGCGTTTTTTCTGTAGTGGCCTGCAATTCCCTTGTAGGTAATCTGTTGCAGGTTGACAGAGCCAAACGTGAGTCAACCACCCTCTTCTTTCTCTTTCTGACACTTCCTTCCCCTCCCATTTTTCATCTTCTCACTTGCACCAGAGTAAGTCAAGGATCACCTGCAGCCCTAGATATTTAGATCCCAGCTTGTTCCCATTAATGTCTTCCCACATTGGAGTGACAACCAGGATTTACATAAGCCTTTCTTGCTGCACTCTTTCCTTACTCCCTGTAGCATAGTCGTGTGTCAGTTGAATCGTCATGCTAAACCATGGTTTGTACTAATCATTGTAATGAACCCATGTCGTGGTCTGAGGCTGCAGGCTCAGAGCTGCTTGCCTGCTTTCTTCTTCCATCTGCTCAGCGCCCTGCTTCAGAAGTTCATAAATGCAGTCCAGTGTCCATGGTGCTCTTAATGGCCCTTAACCATGAATTCAGACAGACCTGCTAACCACAGTTGGCCCAAACTGTGATTTGTAAGGCAGCTTCAAACCATGGCTTGATATGCTGGTTTGGCAGCCCTCACACAAGCTGCCATTTGCCATCTGAATCAAGTAGATATAGTGTTTGCCTCTGTTGCATTCTGCCTGACATTATGATTTTAGGACAATGTTGTAATGTTAATTGTTGTAAGCGACAACAAAGCAGGTTCCAGATACTGCCAGCATTGAGTTCTTTGTCTGCAGTCACCTCCAGCCTGTTTGGATGCAAAAATTCTTCTCTTCCTCTGCCTCTAAACCCACTGCACTGTTGTTTTCTTGTATCCCTTCCAGAAACTCAGGTCTATCCTGCAATGGGCAACCATGACTTCCACCCCAAAAATCAATTTCCAGCTAAGGAGAACAGGATCTACGATGTAACTGCAGACCTGTGGCGCTCCTGGCTCAGCAATAGCTCTCTGCAAACATTCAGAGCAGGTGCGTGCTAGATCCAGTTGAGGAACTGATGAGGGTCATGGGAAATTGAAGAGGGATCCAGTAGGCTGAAATGAAATGCAGGTGAGAAGAAAACTAAAAGATCACAAGCAGGGGGATGTCAGAAGCTGCTTTGTATCAGGCCAGATTATTGCCTGTCTAGCTCAGTATGGTCTACTCCAGGGCTTCCTTGGGTCTCCAGCTGCTTTTGGATTGCAGTTCCCACCATCCCTGATCACTGCTCCTGCTAGCAAGGGATGATGGGAGCTGTCCAAAACAGCTGGCGACCCAAGTTTGGGAAACTCTGGTCTACTCTGATTGCAGATGGTTTGGCATGATACTTATCTTCACCTGCTACCTGATGCGTTTAACTGAAGATGTCAGAGAAGTGTTGTAGCTCCATGGTAGAGCAGACCTGCTTTGCACACAGGAGGCCCCCAAATTCAATTTCTAGCGTCTCCAGGTAGGCCTCATGGGAAAAACTCCAGCTCTGAAATCCCAGATTGCCATTGCAAGTCTCTATAGAAATACTGAGCCAGATGCGCCAATAGACTGATTTCAAATAAGACAACCTCCTATGTGTATGATTGAACCCGGCACCTTCTGCATGCAAAAGCCTGTGCTCTGGCATTGAGCTATCACAGTTTTAATTCCATCATTTTTTTGTCCTGGTGGGAACAGGACTGTTCTGGGTTGGACTACAACTCCCTTCATCCTTGAGCATTCTCCATGTTTACTGGGGTTAATTGGACATGGAGTCCAATAGCATCCGGAGCACCACAGGTTCTCTATCCCTGAAAATCTAGAGCAGTGTTTCCCAAACTTGGGTCTCCAGCTGCTTTTGGACTACAACTCCCATCATCCCCAGCTAGGTCAGGGATGATGGGAATTGTAGTCCAAAAACAGTTGGAGACCCAAGTTTGAGAAACACTGATCTAGAACAGGCATAGGCAAACTCAGCCCTCCAGATGTTTTGGGACTACAACGCCCATCATTCCTAGGTAACAGGACCAGTAATCAGGGATGGTAGGAATTGTAGTCTCAAAACATCTGGAGGGCCGAGTTTGGCTATGCCTGATCTAGAGGGTAGCTTATCTTCGGTTCCATAGAGCTTCCATCTCTTTGTTTTGTGATTGATCCAGTTGGTTAGTATCTATTTGACAGTTCAGTAAGGTAAGGTGTTAAAATTTCTGTTCACTTGTCATAGACATGTGCTAATCTGTCCATTCTTCAAAAGATAGTTTGCTAGCTTTTCAGCAAAAAGTAAAAAGCCATTAACTAAGAGAGTTGAAACCTTCTTTAGGGAAAGCCAATGCTGATTAAAGTGATCTGGTACTGCTTTAAATGTATAGTGCAAATCAGATGGCACGGGGAACACAACAAAACTAGATGGAACTGTGTTACTGGTTGTTTTGCAGGTGCTTTCTACAGTCAGATGTTATCTAGTCTGGGCCCGGCAAGGCGAATGATTGTCCTCAACACAAACTTGTACTATGACAATAATAATCAAACCAGCAGCCTAGAAGATCCAGGAGGCCAGTTCCTTTGGCTGGAAGACATGTTGACCAAGGCAGCAGAAGCAGGAGAAAAGGTTCCTTAAACTTGCCTTATTGTTTACGGATTACTAAGCTTACCCAGTTGAAAGCTGCATGACTGGTGAAGGCCTTACTACAGATTGGTCACAAAAACAGTATCAATCAGAGGTTTTTTTTGGGGGGGGGCGAGGTTGCATGATATCAAGTATTATGGATTGGGGTCAAGGGAAAGTATTAGGTGAAATGAAGCAGGCACCATTGTACTGGGCTGTGACATATATTCGGTAAAATCTGTGTAAAATATAAATTTCCATCCCAGATACTTAGGACTGTGGCATGTGTCTGCTGTAGCGAGGCTGGCTCCAGGTTTCAGGGGTCTGTGAGCAAAGTGACCTCTTAGTGGGCCCTCTTGTCTGTTTGTGGGCCCTCTCAGGCTTATCTGGCAAGGGCAGGTGCCCGCACTTGAAGCAATACTACAGGCAAGACCAGGTAGTTGCGTTTTGTCTCATCGTTATTTCCCAGAATGCCTTGGAGTGGTGCTACTGCAGGACATTGTGGGAGATGAACATGGTATCTAGGCCCAGCCAATCAGCAGAGCTTCTTGTGCTGAGGCGGACATTTTGATAACAGAGGACCAAGGTAGGTGTTAGCAGTAGGTCTTGTTTGGAGTGCTGATAGCTCCCCAAGGATGTCAGGTGTATTTTAGAGAAACTGCTTTGAGATTTCTACTGTTGTTGTTTAGTCATTTAGTCGTGTCCAACTCTTCGTGATCCCATGGACCAGAGCACACCAGACACTCCTGTCTTCCACTGCCTCCCACCGTTTGGTCAAACCCATGTTAGAAGCTTCGAGAACACTGTCCAATCACCTTGTCCTCTGTCATCCCCTTCTCCTTGTGCCCTCCGTCTTTCCCAACATCAGGGTCTTTTCCAGGGAGTCTTCTCTTCTCATGAGGTGGTCAAAGTATTGGAGCCTCAGCTTCAGGATCTGTCCTTCCAGTGAGCAATCAGGGCTGTTTTCCTTCAGAATGGATAGGTTTGATCTTCTTGCAGTCCATGGGACTCTCAAGAGTCTCCTCCAGCACCATAATTCAAAAGCACCAATTCTTCGGCGATCAGCCTTCTTTATGGTCCAGCTCTCACTTCCATATATCACTACTGGGAAAACCACAGCTTTAACTATACGGACCTTTGTCGGCAAGGTGATGTCTCTGCTTTTTAAGATGCTGTCTAGGTTTGTCATTGCTTTCATAGTAGACATTTCTACTATGTAGTGTGTGTATATGTGTGTTTGTGTGTTTGTATATATTGAAAAATATGTATTTTTTATTGTAATGTTTATTAACACTGTAGTTAGCAGGCAGCATCTTAAAAGAGACATTCTCACTTCTCTCCTACAGAGGAAGGAAAGCTTCTTCTATGGTTATGCCTGTTACCCTAAAAGCAAAGGAAGCCTGCTTCTTGCATTAGACATATGGCTTTTACCATTATGCAAATGTATGCTCATATAAGCAATAAACCCGTATGATTAAAACGTCAGCTCTGCTTTTCAGCATTTGAAAAGAAATGCGCGGATCACTATAATTCCCATTGCACAGATGAGGCACTGAGGCTGGGAGGTTATTTATTAACCTATGGCTACCTGGTGGGCTAGTGATGTATGGAAGTGAGAGCTGGACCATAAAGAAGGCTGATCACTGAAGAATTGATGCTTTTGAGTTCTGGTGCTGGAGGAGACTCTTGAGAGTTCCATGGACTGCAAGAAGATTAAACCTATCCATTCTTAAGGAAATCAGCCCTGAGTGCTCACTGGAAGAACAGATCCTGAAGCTGAGGCTCCAATACTTTGGCCACCTCCTGAGAAGAGAAGACTCCCTGGAAAAGACCCTGATGCTGGGAAAGATGGAGGGCACAAGGAGAAGGGGATGACAGAGGACGAGATGGTTGGACAGTGTTCTCGAAGCTATGAACATGAGTTTGACCAAGCTGCGGGAGGCAGTGGAAGACAGGAGTGCCTGGCGTGCTCTGGTCCGTGGGGTCACAAAGAGTTGGAAACGACTAAACAGCAACAACAACCTGGCCGGTGTTTGGGCTGTACAGGAACGTATTGCCAAGCAGGTCCTACTGCTCTGTCCACTTGGACCATAGCATGTTTTCCTCCTTCTCTTTACAGGTCTATATTATTGGGCACGTCCCTCCTGGCTTCTTTGAGAAGAAACGGGGCAAGCCTTGGTTCCGAGAACACTTTAACCAGAGATATACCGAAATAATTCAGAAGCATCATGGAGTGATCGTGGCACAGTTCTTTGGGCATCATCACACTGATAGCTTTAGGATGTTTTACAGTAACACAGGTACATTCCCCCTGATGCCATAGCTCAGTGGTAGAGCATCTGGCTTGCCTGCAGAGGGTCCCATGTTCAATCCTCAGCACCTCCACATCATAGCTGTCAACCGTCCCTTATTTGGCAGGAAAGTCCCTTATCCCAGCGCTGTGTCGCGCTGCTGTCCCTCATTGATGATGTCCCTTAAATTTCCCAGGTTTCAAAGGAAGCAGCTCCTCTCCCTCCCTCCCTGCCGGCCAGGGAGGAGGGAGGCTCCAGCTGTGTTGCTTGGCTTTGTTCCTCACCCAATAAGAAGTCTAAGAACAACTGGAGGGTGGAGCTTGCATGCTTTGTGCCGATCAAATCGGCCACGTTGCCTGGGGACTTGCCTTTGCTCAGGGCTTCCCAGCGGAGAGGTGACGGTGGTTTTTCTTGCTGCATCCCCTTTGCCGGGTTGCTGCGCTGTGGGAACCACCTTTTGAGACTTCGTTTGGCTGCTAGTTAACTAAAATCCCTTATTTTGGCTGCTGATCCCTTATTTTTGAGGCTGCTGGTCCATTATTTTCAAATCTGTAAGTTGACAGCTATGTTCCATATAGGACTTTGAGAGACTCCTATATGAAACCTTGGTGGGCCGCTACCAGCCGGTGTCGGCAATAGTGAGCTAGATAGACCAATGGTCTTACTCAGTATACAGCAGCTTCCTATGCCTACAAGTTCAGAAATCCACTGTAGGCTGTCAGGTTGTTTTTACACTGCTTTTCAATAGAACCAGGACTGGGTTGGCATCAAAGGTCCAGCATGGTTTGGTGAAACTCTGCTGTGCCCTCTTGGATCTGCTCCTTCTTTTCACCATTTTCTTTTCATTTATTTTATTTGTATACCGCTTAACTGCAAATGAAACCTCGAAGTGGTTTACAAAAAAAGATAACATATACATCAGAATAATCAGTAACAGCCAAAGTTAGAAGCAAGTTTTAAAAAATTCAAAATATAATTAAAACCAGCAGTTTAAAAGTACAAATGATAATAATAATTTAACGCCATTCCATAGACATTGCTATTCTGTTTTAAGCTGGAAGTGAAATAGCGACTCTGTTTCCAGACGCCTGTAAACCAAAAAAAAAAAAATCTGTAACGAACTGGGCACTCCAGCCCCAAATGCTGGAGAGGGCCAATTTTCTTTGGGACTGAAAAGGGTTAAATAGTTCGCCTTGTTGCAGTCTCAAGCATGATTACCCCACACAGCAGGGAGGGCAGAATGAATATAAGATAGTATTAGTTGGGAATGCAATGGTTAAGGTGATAGAGTTGTTTTGGAAAGAGGAGTTGTGGACCATAAAGAAGGAAATGCCTACAGCACTATCTAGTGGTACCTCGGGTTAAGAATTCAATTCGTTCTGGAGGTCCGTTCTTAACCTGAAACTGTTCTTAACCTGAGGTACCACTTTAGCTAATAGGGCTTCCCGCTGCGCGATTTCTGTTCTCATCCTGAAGCAAAGTTCTTAACCCGAGGTACTATTTCTAGGTTAGCGGAGTCTGTAACTTGAAGCGTCTGTAACCTGAAGCATCTGTAACCTGAGGTACCAAAGTACAGGCAATTAACCCCTGTATAGGCTGAAACAGCTGTACATTGGGTTGTCTACACTCGGAAGAAATGGTTGCAGTTCTTTCATTGTGTAGTAAAATAAAATGAAGTTGGAGCTCTGAGTAAGGAATACATGGGAGGAGGATGTTTCAATCACTATATCCTGCCGATACCTCATTAAAAGAGTGACTAGAATGTGCCTGTTCCACCCCAAATACCCAGTTGTTGGGAAGCGGTCTAATTTAAGTTTAATATTGCCTTTTCTTCCAGGTTCTCCCACCAGCGTCATGTTTTTAGCTCCAGGAGTAACACCATGGAAGACAACCTTACCGGGCGTGCACAATGGGGCCAACAACCCTGGCATCCGGGTCTTCACGTATGACCGTGACACTCTGCTGGTGAAGGTAGGGGGCACCGTCATTTGCTTGCATTTGTCTCTAGTAAAGCAAGCGCTCATGTCAAGGGTGACCTGACAATGAGGCCATGGAGGGAGAGCATTCTAGCAGAGTTATTAATCCTGCCCAGTAAAGACCAGAGAAGTGGATCAGCCTTCTGCAGAGATTGGCTGTGACTATCTTTTGCCCTGGACTGCATTACATAGAGCCAGCAAGGCAGTAGATGCCATGAAGACAGCAGCAGCTGGCACAGTCCTGCTAATGTGGGCTTTTAATTACCTTGTTTCTTGCATTAAAATAAAATGTTATTTTTAATTACTTGTTTTTTTAAAATGCACCTGCATGTTGCAGCAGACACCATCTTAGAAAAAGGTTGTTGGCGTGTATATGTTTGTTGAGTGAGATAGAGACAGGGAGATTTTTTTATTGTATTTTACTGTACGGTGGTACCTCAGGTTAAGAACTTAATTCGTTGCGGAGGTCTGTTCTTAACCTGAAACTGTTCTTAACCTGAGGTACCACTTTAGCTAATGGGGCCTGCCGCTGCCACGTGATTTCTGTTCTCATCCTGAGGTAAAGTTCTTAACCCAAGGTACTATTTCTGGGTGAGCAGAGTCTGTAACCTGAAGCATTTGTAACCCGAGGTACCACTGTAAAAACTTTTAAAACAATAATGGCTGCTAGCTTCTTCTTTTCTTTTAGCATAAAGAACATACAAAGCAGCTTAGGATAAATACTGATAACATAAGGGTGTTTTTTTGTTGTGGTTGATTATTTATTTATTTATTTATTTTTGCAAGGCTAACCATAGCCCCTAGTCCAGTAAGCCCTTCCAAAAGTTTCCATGAGTCTGAGGCAGGGAATACCTTTTCTAAAACGATGCCTGCTGATTGTGTACGTTCTTGTGTTTTAAAGAGTTCAGCATTTAGTCGGTCAAAATAAGTTTAACCAAATACCCACCTTTGACCCAATGTCTTCTCTTCCATTTCAGGATATGGTAACTTATTATTTAAACCTCACGCATGCTAACATGGGGGCCCCTAAATGGGAGAAAGAGTACAGCCTAACAGAAGCTTTCCAGGTCCCAGATGGTTCCGCCCACTCCATGCAGCTGCTGGTGGAGAAGCTTGAGAAAGACCAAAGCTACCTACAGAAATACTACCGGTATAATTCAGTTCAATACGACCTTTCAGACTGTGATGACGCCTGCCAGACCGACCACATCTGTGCCATCAGGGAGGTCGATTTTGCAAAATACCACCAGTGTATTCAAGCCAGAAGTGCCGCAGCAGTGCCTTCAATCCCAGAGCTGGGTCTTCTGTTCTTCTGCTGCGTGATGGGGCTTGTTACTCTAGGCCTTTGAGAGCCTTGAATGAACCATGATACGAGCATGAGCACCCAGCTTCTACACAGAAAAAGCACAGGATGCGACCACTGCCACAGGCCTCAGCATCCTAAGGAGATCACCCTTCTTGGGGTTTGGGTTTTATTTGTTTTGGCAAACCTAGGATTGAAAGTCTGCATACAAATGGCTGACTATTGGAGCTCACCTCCTTCCATGGGCTATTGGACCGTCTGAGCACAGGATTATGACAACATCATTCCAGCATCAGGCAAGATCATTTTAGCAGAATAAGAAACAAAGCTTAGCGTGGTCTCCTCTCGCAAGGAGTTCCCAAAGGATTTCTCCAACTGGGGGAATGGGCAGTGAAATGGCAAATGGAATTCAATGTAAACCAAGTGTAAAATGATGCACAGTGGGGCAAAAATGTCTAATTTCACATGTATGCTTTTGTGCTCTGAACTGGCACTGAATGACCAGGAACGAGTGCTTGGGTCATAGCGGATAGCTCAATGAAGACGTCGTTGACCCAATGTGCGGCAGCTGGGGTTGGGGGAGTGAATTCCACGCAAGGGGTCATTAGGAAATAAAATTGCCAATATTATACTGTCGTCATGCAAGTCTTGTAGTGCGACTGCCGCTTGGAATGCTGCCTGGAGAAAGTTCAGAAAAGAGGAAGTGAAATGATCACGGGAATGGAACAACTCCTATGATGAACGGTTACAGCATTTGGGGCTTTTCGGTTTAGAGAGAAGAGAAATTAAGAGGTGACATGGCAAGAGGTGTATAAAACTATGCATAGTGGGGGTGGGGGAAGTGGGGGGAGAGGGAGAGAGGGTGGGGACAATCAGTGATGCTGAATGTTGGAAGATAACAGAAATAACTTCTTCACACAACACATAGTTAAACTGTGGGATTCTCTCCCAGGAGATGTAATGATGGCCGCTAATGTGGATAACTTAAGAAAGATTAGGCAGACTCGTGGGTGATAAGGCTATCAGTATCTACTAGCCAGAATGGCTATGTTCTACCTCCACAGTTCGAGGCGATACACCTCTGAATGCCAGTTGCTGGAAAACACAAGTGAGAAGAGTTGCTGTTGCACCCAGGCTTCCCATAGGCATTTGGCTGGCCAAATCTGCTGGCCAGTCTGCTGGATTAGATGAGCCTTGGCCGATCTAGCAGGGTTTTTACATTCTTAAAAGCTTACGTGGGACACCTGTTTACCCTGTGGGGAGTATACTATGGTTCCCAGGATTTGGGAAGCTATGTGCACTAAGCCCAAGATGATAACCAAATATATGTCCTGAAGCTCCTAAGAAAATTTGAGCTGCTGTGTCCTGTACTATCATTTGAAGTTTCAAGAATACTTTTAATTCCTCTGGCCTTGAAATTCTGCTGTGCACAATATTCATCTGCTCCCTATTTATTTGTTTTTCCTGGATAACGAGATACCCTCTCCTAGCAGACCCATAACACCATTAAGTCCAAAGTCTAAAATAACCTAATTGCACCACTGCCTATGCAACAGGGGTGGGGAACTGTGTCTGCCTGGTGGGCTGGATTCTTATCTTTCCCTGCCCAGGCCAGGTTTGGCATATGGGTGGAGCTGCCCATAAATCACCTGGCATCATGATTCCAGGTGACCTGTTTTTGTGGTGCTTTGAAGCCCTGGCAATCAGCAGAACACCAAGAGGAGAAACCTCCAGTCTTTAAGGCTGTATTTGCACCATACATTTAAAGAACATGTAAAGCACACAACTTCTCCCAAAGAATTCTGGGAATTGTAGTCTGCTAAGGGTGCTGGGGATTATAGTGAACTAGGGTTCTCATGATTCTTGGAAGGGATGCACTTTGAATTGGCCACTGTTAAGACCAGTATGCTGGACTAGATGGGCCAGTTGCATGAAACAAAAACTCTTTATTATGTTATGTTATCTTGTTCTAATGGTGTGTATGTAACTAACCTGGGAGTAGTCGGAACACAAGGAACAAGAGAGTGTAAGAAACTAAAATGCACATCTCCAAAAGCTAAATATTATTCTTTTCAGCAATGTCTGTAATATATATGAAAATTAATATTTGTCTGGTAATCGAAACTAAGAAAACAAATACAAAGAAGAACAAGCGATGGCCTTGTTTCTGGGGAATGTATCAAGAGTGATTGGAACAGTTTGAATACAGGATGAATACCATTTGGTTTTACTTTCTGCTTTTAATTTACCCATGTGCTGCCTACCTTTCAAGGAGGAATATAAACATGTGATAGAAGGGTGTGCCATACAAAGTAAAGGGCAAAGTGCCACAGTTGTTTTTTTAAAAAAAGATGCATTACTCTAATAACAAATGTAGTTGGTAAGTGCAAACACAAATGGAACCAAAACGGAACCATGAAGGAACAAGAGGGAGGTACCCAAACGCTTGGGTGAATTCTGAGGTTAATAGAAGGACAATCTTTAAAAAAGAAGCAAACTTAAGAGTAAAATGAGGCTGGAGCATGCTCAGTAACCATGGAATGTTGTGTCAGAAGGGAGGGGTGGAATGTAGTATGTTAGAGGACGTGGCTGACTGGCAAATAGGCCTGGAACCACATGGATGGGGCATAAATTAAATTAGAGAGCAAGCAAGCAAGAGAGTGAAGCACTCCTGCAAGGTGAAAATACACTGCAATATTTTGTTGCAGGTCCCACTTGTACATTTTAAAACCCAAACCTTGGTTTGTTTTCTCGTCACAGAGACTGCATGTTTAAAGTCCAAGTCAAAGGGTATGTATTGCGACATCTTACCACATAAGCTTTTGCCTTCAGCCATTTGTAAACCAGACAAGACTGAGGAAGGGCTTTTCCTACAGTGGTGTAGCTATTAAACTTTTGGGATTAGGACCCCAGAGACCCAGGTTTCAAATGTGTGGTCCCTTCCAACCCTACGATTCTTTGAGTTTCCATGTACGCTACCCTCCGTTAAATCAAAATATACACTTATAAAAAATAAGGAAAAAAAACCATTGACGTTTCGTTCCAAGTACAACCAACTTGATTTTTATTGCATTTTATTTTTTAGAGGTTGTAGCAATAATCTTTCTACAACCTCTAAAAAATGAAATGCAATAAAAATGAAGATATGCACATGAATGCTTCACATAACGGAATCTCAGCTAACGGAGCCATGACTGATCCTTTTTTAGCCTGGTGTGTGATTTCCCCGAGGCCAGTTGCACAAGAACCAGCAAAACAACCACGCCTGTTCAAGACTAGACGGCGAGTGGGGCCCTGGAGAGAGAAGAAGGCCTGCCCTCTTGCTGGGCGGGTGATGGGCGTGCTCTGTCCCGCTTGCTATGCCGCCTCCCAGCCCAAGGAGGCTCGGCCCGGCCCGGCCCAAGGAGAGCTTGGAAGCCGGTAGGAGGTGGAGGCAGCAGCCCGCTCCGTCTGCAAAAGTTTCTGGTAGGCCTGGAGCGCGGGAAGAGACGAAAAGAGGAGGAGGAGAAAGGCGGGCTGACGGTGCCATGGCGATCGGCCGGCGACCTACCCAGAGCGAATCCCCTTCCGTCGTCGAGGAAGGAAGGATCCTGCGCGATCCAGGACTGCGGAGGAGGAGAACTGGGGAGCATGTAGGGTCAGCTAGCCGCAGGGAAGCCGTCGGAGGAGGCGGAGCAAGCCGGACATAGCGGCTCAGAGAGACGCCCTCGAAGAGTCCAGGAAGGAAGGATTTCTTGGAAGTTGTAGGGGATTTTTTTTAAAGGGGGGGGTGTTGTCCCTGGAAAGACCCCTTTCCTGGACCCTATACCTCCCCCAAAAGACGGCTGGGAGGGAGACCACCCACGTGAAAGAAGGAGACATTAGGGCAAGCCTTAGTTAAGTTGCTCTCACTTGATTTTAGGAAAATTTTTGATGCAATTGAGGTGGGGGACCTTTGTCCCTTTTCTAAGTGATTAGCAGCAGCGAGGTTGCAGACCGCCCCCTTCGGAGTTGGCACTAGGGACCGCAGACCCACTTTGGACCTGTTGGCCCCCAAACCATGGCATGGTCTGGCTGTGGTCCCAGCTGCAACGCACCTTGGCCGCCTCGGTACCGTTATTGGGACCTAGCCTTTGCCTTGATGGGCACGGCTGCATTTCTGGTGGACCTGGGCGCTGACGCGTGGGTGGCCGCCAGCTACCTGAAGGCCGGGGACTACCACTGGGGTGGGCTAGTGCTGGGGCTGTTGGCCTTGTCGTCGCTGGTAACGCAGTTCTTCAGCTGCGCCTGGTACTGGAGTGACCCCCCAGACCTTATGGAAGCGCTGCCCGCACGGCGGACCCTCCTTGTGTTACACATCCTACAGCTGGGCTACCTGTACAGGTAAGGACAATCAGGGATGCTGTGTCCCTTGCTGTAAGGTACTCGGGGAGCAAGTACCCTGAAGTTCTGTGATAGGATGTGGGAGTCCTCTTTTCCTAGGAGCCAAGCCCCCCGCCCCTCATTTAGGTCTGTTTTTAGTTTATGGAACCCAGCAAAATAATCTGTGATTCTATACAAACATAAGTTTGGAGACTGGGCTACGCAAGGAGGATTGATCTTACCTCCTAGAATGTAGGGTGATTATAGTATCTGTTAATCAGACAAGTAAAATATCGGCAGGTGAGGCCTGTAACAAAATTCTGCAGTGTGGCATGCCCTGTTCTATGTTCCAGACAATCAGCTTCCCTTCCCTTCTCTGCCCAGTTTCCATTTTCCCCCAACAGTCAATCAGCATTCCTTGCTCACTGAGTGTGATCATCCTTATTTAACTTATTTGGATAATAATAATAATAATAATAATAATAATAAGTTGTTGTTGTTGTTGTTATATGCCACTCATGTGACTGGATTGCCTCAGGTCAAAAACCCTGAGGGTTGTTTTCACCTATGCAAAAGGTTGTGGGGTTTTTGTACTTTTGGAAACCTAAGGGTTCCCTTGAGTCTGCTGACAGCTCTTTCTTTCGTGTGGGTGGTGTCATTCCAAGGAAACTGAACCGTAGGTAAGTGTCTTGAATCTCTCACCGCTCACTGCTTGAATCTCTCATCACTCGGAGATTGGGGTGGCATGCAACAACATTTATTGCATTTTTATGACCCGCCCTTCTCACGAAGATCTTTCCTGTTTTTTAGCCTCACAACAACCTTATGAGGTAGGTGAGGCAGAGAGAAAGGGAAACTACCCCCAGGTCACTTTACTGTATGGTTTGGGGCCTCGTGAGGATTTGAGCTGGATCTCCGCAGTTCACCCGCCACCCCCACATTGGCTCTCCTTCATGACCCACCCTATGAATTTTGTGTCACCTTCCCTTTTCACAGGTGTTTCTATGTTCTGAAGGTGGGCTTCCGCGTGTGCCGGACGAAAGCAGACAAAGATATTGCTTATGCTGTTTTCCTGTCGCATGACATCAGCTTCTTGCGCCTCTTTGAGACCTTCCTGGAAAGCGCCCCTCAGCTCGTCCTGGGGCTCTACATTATCCTATGCACGAAGAAAGCAGAGATATTTCAGGGTGAGTGTCCATCCAGAAGGGTGCAGGATAAAGGACTGGTTTGTTTGGTTCCCAAAGTTTCCTTGTGTGGTTTGTGTAGATCGTTTCAGTTTAAATCCAGTAAGAAGACAAGAAAAGCCTATTAAGTTCCCACTGGTCCAGCATCCCATTCTCGCATTGACCAACCAGGTGCCTGTCTCGAACCATGGCTAAGAACAGGGCAGGCCCAAGAGATTTTGCTACCTGAGGCGAAGAAGAAGAAGGGCCTCTCTCCCATTTCATGTACAGAATACAAACGAGATGAAGGGAAACAACGAACTGAGGGCAACAGACTAGTGTTTAAAGCTCTAAATTACTCAGCCCCCAAATATCTGAAAGACGGCCTTCTTCCCTCTCAGATGTTAAAATCAGCAGAGAGCGATTGCCCTCTTGGTAGTTCCTCCATCCTCCAGGGTTTGTGGTGGCTTGGTGGCAAGAGAGGGCATTCTTTGTAGTGGCCCCTGAGTCCTGGCATTCCCTTCCCCCAGAGGTGTGTTTGGCACCTTAATTATGCAGCTTTTGACACTCGAGATGTATATTTTAGGACCCACTGTAATTGTGATTCTGATTTGTTTTTAAATTGTTTTTACTGTTATATTTTATGTCATTATGACCTGCCCTGAGATCTTATGGTGAAGGGCAGGTATTAAACCTAACAATTTATTTATTTAAAGATAAACAAATAAACAAAAACATTCCAATGAGGTCACCCACCACCTCCACCCACCCTTCTTTAAGACCCCAACCCACCCTGCTGGGCGCAACCCAAGGCATTTTGCTGAGACAAAGGACAAGATGGCATCTCCCATTCCTTGTGGAGAAGCTGGGTGGGTGGGTAGCTGAAGCATACTTCACACCTGAGGGCAACAGACCAGTTTAAAAGGTACAGAGAAAATAGGACCACCCCAGGTGACTCGTATACATCACATTCACTAATAGCAAAATTATTATTATTTATTAAATTTATATGCCGCCCTTCATGGGAAGATCAGAGGGTGGTTTACAGAGGAAAAAACACAAAATGCATAACATAACAACACCACCTCACTAATACACCCCCAATGGCCATTTTAAAGGCCATAAACATACATTTGTTGGCCATTATTTTTGGCTGCTTCTGCTAATTCACACTGTCTTTCTTCTTATCAGATAAAGGCAGCATATTCTATTCTCTTCCTGCTTAATTATTTTTTAATCCTCACAACCACCCTGCAAGATGGGTCGGACTGAGAGACAGTTACCGACCCAACATCACATAGTTTGGTTCAGGGCACTAAAAACCTGCCCCAAGACCACAGGAGGTTATGGAAGTGGCCGTCTGTTGTGGATGCTTTTGTTGAGATTCCTGCATTGCAGGGGGTGGGCTAGATAACCCACAGGTCCCCTTCCAACTCTACAATTCTGTGGTTCTATCAGTGCCCTCTGTACACTTTGTCACCCACCCTGGCATCTCAGATTTCGACAGATATCGCCCACATAGTTTCAAATGCATCCTTTCAGTCTTAAGTACTGGATTCTTATTATTTTTACACGCAACTTGAGAATGTCAGCAGGCCGCATGTTCTTCCTAGTAGCACCAGTGCCTGTCTTTGTGTAGTGTGGATTTGATTGGTCTCTTCCTCCTCTCATTTCAGTGCTTGGGATTTGCACCTCTTTCCTGTGTATCGCCTGGGCCCTCTTGGACTATCACCAAACCCTGCGCAGCTTCCTGCGGGAGAAGCACAAGCTGGGCCGCCGGTCCTCCACCATCTACTTCCTGTGGAACTTCCTGTTGGTGTGCCCTCGCATCCTGTGCCTGGCGCTCTTCGCGGTGGTCTTTCCAAGCTACGTTTCCCTCCATTTCCTGGCAGTCTGGTCCGCCATGTTTCTCTGGGTTACGTTGCAAGGTACAGACTTCATGGAACGCACCGCCTTGGAGTGGCCTTATCGGGCTGTGGTGGCCGTCATTCTCTACTTCTGCTGGTTCAATGTGGCCGAGGGGAAGACATGCTACCGCTCTGCAATCTACTACACGTTCCTCTTGGTTGACAGCGCCATCCTTGCTGTCTCATGGCTCTGGAACACCGTTCCCTTGAACTACGACTCCCACCTTGCGGCGCACGCGCTCTACGCAGCCCTGCCCTGCTACGTAGCCGGGATCCTTTTGAGAAGCGTCTACTACAAATGTTTGCACCCTACTTTGCAGGCTGCAGTCCCGGTCACTGGTGATGAAATGGACAATGGAGATCTAGCTGGCAAAGACATGCCAGCTTTCCGGCAGCTGGTTGTACAAGGACATGGTGACCAAGAGGCTATACGAGGATATGTCAACCGTCGGGCATATGGACTTGCTCAAAGCTTCTTTGCTGGCACTTCCAAGGTTGCACAGCATCAAGGAAATGGGACTCTTGGGGACAGCTGTTTGTAAGCCCAGCTATATGCTGTGTCCCAGGTGGCCAAGCCTTATTACTAGAGAGGCGAGAGGAGTTCTGGGGTGTGTGTACCCATATTTTGGTCTGCACCTGTCAAGATGATCCCAGGCCTGCCTTTGAACATGATTTTTTGTAATGTAAGAGTTTTTTTCTAGCTTCGCAGGGACATCAGACAGGGCAGGGGGTTGGGGGAGATGGTCAATCCCATCACCATCATTTATTTTTCCCATATGGTGTCCCTCTTATGGCTGGGGTACACAACGTGTTGCGCTCCAGATGTTATTCATCCCAGCAAACATGGCCAATGGAAGGAGTGATGGGAGTGGTAGCCAGCACCATCTCAAGGGCACTACGTTGGCTATCCCCGCTCTAAGGAATTCATGTCATCACATGCTGACCTTCACAGGAGTGTTGTTGGCCCCATTGCAACTCATGCATCACCTGGAGTGGGGGCACAGATACACGTTAAAGCTGCCTCCAGGATCACCAGCATGGGCTAAGCCTAGAAGGTGAAGTCAGGAACGTGGTTTCCATGCTTCTTGGCCAGAGGTGGGTAACCTGTGGCCCACCAGATGTTTCCAGATTACAGCTCTCAGCATCCTTGGCCATGCTGGCTGGGGCTGATGGGAGTTGGAGTCCACCAACAACATGACTGCTACAGGTTATCCATCCTTGCAGAGGTTCATTTCAGATAGAGGTTATGGTTGCTACAGCCCTTGGCGCACCCTTAGAAAAAGACACCCCATCCTGTTTTGTTAATCTCCTGTGACACCCCATATTGGCTTGGAAGAGTTGTATGTGTGCAAGGCATCCCTCAACCTGCATACCTGGTGCATTCTTCATTGTAGCATTAAAGGAGAGGAAACTACAGGGGAAGACTGTGGCGCTGACCTCCTCTCTGTAGCCAATAGGCTTTACTTCCTCTCTTCAGGAGACAGCTCAAATAATATTGTAAGCTTCATTGCTTTAGCTGTCCCTTGATTGAGTCAGGTGCTATCTATGCAATACCATCTTAGCCATCCCTTGTTGGGCAACTGACTCAGGATCCTAGAACTTGAACCTTGTTAGGCTGTAGTTAATTAGTTTCTAATGCACTTTTGGAGTCTTCCCTTCCTTCCCTTGCTGGTTCCTCTCTTTTGTTCTGACGTTCTTGTCCCATTGAGTGACTTAAGCCCTTAGTTTCAATGAAGCTTCTACTTGCTGCTGGCTTCATGTCGCCAAATGGCCCATTCTCAAAGAGCCGGTTCCATGAACAGCCCTACAAACTGAGTTTCTTGGCACACCAGTCCCAGGTTTTTCTTTATAGGAGCCACAAATATGTGCCCTACATTTCTAGGTGGAATTGTTCTCCCTCCCCACTCACCTGATGTAGTTGAAGATAAAATGCTTCCAGCGTTGTTACGGCAATGTGTTTCAGGTGTTCAAATTGTTGAGCCTGATTATTGTTATTTAAAAAAAAACTGATCTAGGGCTCAAGTCAAGCAGATTTTTATTCAGCTGGCACATTAATTGTCTCCTGTATTTTCTTTTTCAAGCGAAAAGCAGCTTTGGGAGGTTGCAGGTTTGAGTGGAGGGATGGGGGGAGGGATAGTGAAAAAGAGAGAAAGATCCTTTCCTCCTCAGCCGTTTTTCTTCTCAAACTTTATCCCAACCTGCGTTTTCACTCATAGGGGAAAGGATATGGGTATTGTGGCACTGAACCTCCCTCTCGCATTACTTCCCCTGACTCACAGCCTCCTGCAACTGTTTTTCATTAAAAATTGGATGTGCCTTTCCTGCATAACTTCATCCATATTCCCGAGTTATTTGGGTATAAAGGGCACTCACATGTTGAAGCTGGAGCAGGGCTGTGTTGTGGCACCACCCTCAACATAACATCCCCGGGGTAGCCCCCTACTCCCATGTCCTTGCAATCAACATAGTTGATTGATTGGCAAAGGAACCCTTATGCATGAGCACCTGTGCCTGTTTAGTGGGTTGGTTTGAAGACATCCATGTGTTGGGAGTGGGTGGGTGGGGGGTTAACCTGAGGGTGTGCCCAACACATGAGTAACGCATGAGCAGAGCTGCTGAGTTGGGCCTTCAGTTTAAAGCTAGTGTTAACTTATTGACATTGTTGAAGTTGTTTAGAAGAATAAAGTGATTCAGTTCTTGTTCAAATCTTGTTTTATCAGCAGTTATTTGAGAGGAGCACAATCCCAAAGCATGCTAATTTGAAGGATTCTGAAGTGCTTCCACGAACCACAGTTTGAGTAGGCTTCCGTCTTCCTCTGTTCCTTAGGTAGCTGCTAGGTTTAATAATAATAATAATAATAATTTTTATTTATACCCTGCCCTCCCCAGCCAAGGCTGGGCTCAGGGCGGCTAACAAGCAATAATAAAACAAATTGAATGAATACAATTTCAAAACAAGATTAAAATACAACATTAAAATATTGAAACAATAACATATTAAAATACAGCCTCATCACAGGAGGAGAAAGGAAAAAGAAAGAGGGGGAGAGAATCAAATTGGCTCCAAACCAAAGGCCAAGCGGAACAACTCTGTCTTACAGGCCCTGCAGAAAGAAATCAGATCCTGCAGGGCCCTGGTCTCATGAGGCAGAGCGTTCTACCAGGCTGGAGCCAGTGTTGAAAAGGCCCTGGCTCTGGTTGAAGCTAATCTAACTTCCTTAGGGCCCGGGACCACTAGGGTGTTGTTATCTATGGACCTTGAGGCTCTCCGTGGGGCATACCAAGAGAGGCGGTCCCGTAGGTACGAGGGTCCTAGGCCGTGAAGGGCTTTAAAGGTCAAAACCAGCACCTTAAATCTGACCCTGTACTCCACCTGGAGCCAGTGCAGCTGGAAAAGCACTGAGTGAATATGCTCCCATGGCAGAGACCCCGTGAGGAGCCTCGCTGCAGCATTCTGCACCCGCTGGAGTTTCTGTGGATTTTCTTCAATTAGCTACACCAGTTGTGAAATGTTTGACACGAGATTTACTTGGGCAGAACAGCAGCAGCCCACAGGAGTCCACAGGCCTATAAATCACGCAGGCTTCTAGAGAGGCATTCGCTTGCCTTAGCTTTACACATGCACAGAAATGAAGCCACATAAGCAGAGTTGCAGTCAAGTATCTAGGCAACGACCTTATCAGAAGAGCAAAAGTAACTTCACAGGGACAGGCTTGAGGAAGAACAAGGCCATAGATTCCTCTATTCGTGTCAGCAAATTCCTCTGCAGCTTCTTCACAGACATCACAGCTCTTTTACAACACCCAACATTGTATTCATGCTTCATTTTACTGCCCGTACACCTTAGGCTATCTAGGGATAAATACAGCAAAACGTTTTCCACCACACAGGGATGACAGTTGTTTTTTAAACGAGAGCCCCACTAAAGCATTTCCCACTACCCATTCATTCTCTCAGCTTTCAGTCACGTATAGCATGCATTAAATTGGCTATATTGATGAGCATGGAACCAACTTACGGTTGAATCCCTGCTCCCCTAACAACAAATCTGCTGGTACCATTTTCTTGTGGGTAGTGCTGTTTTGGCTATGTTAAGGCTCCATATTTGCAGAATGACTTCACCGTTAGTCTGCACAGAATGTGGAGGGAATGAGCAGAGAATATTTTCTCTCAGAATACTAGAGCATGGGGTCTTCCTATCATAAGAACATCAGATGAGGCCTTGCTGAGGCTGCCCTGTACTTTTATCTCTCGAATCTTCCAACCTTTGGATGTCCATGAATTCTGGTGTCACAAGAGGGAGAAAAACTCTCTATCCACTGTCTCCATGAAGGGAAGGCCACCAGCCAGACATGAGTCCAATAGCATTCTGTCACTTCTGCCGTGAAGCTGCCGCAGATCTAAAATACTAAAGAGAATGGAAACTTCTGACAGGAAGTTTGCTTCACACTGCCCATATACAGTGGAGAACTTTATGGACATCATGCCTTGTTGCACATGTTTCCTTAACAACAAAGTAGTCTCCAAAAAGAGGAAGAAGCCTTTTAATAGGACTTCTACCTTCCTCTCACCAGCTTTTCAAACCAACCGCAGTGTGATATAATATGGAACGTGCACCTGAGTTAACAAGTTTTTTGTGCAAATCAACAGTAGGTGATGCTGTTGGCTGCAAAGAACACACACCGAGGAAGAATGAACTTGCCCTTTTCTCCCAGTACTCAGGCAGATGAGTTCTTGAGGTCCTCATCTGCTCTGATAGTGAATAATCCTTAGATGAGTCATTTGAAAATAGACAAATGCCCATTTGTTTCAATTCAGCCAGCAAATGGTATCCCACAATTGGGTCATGCAAGATAAGGCTTTGTATTCTGTTTAACTGAATTTACATAACTGCTGGCGTCCTGAACACCACTGAGTGGAACAGCAGGGGCCCATAAATGAATAGTTAACACAAAAGCCAATCAACCAGTTGAAAGCCTAGCTCATATAGGTTGGCACACTTAAGGGCTAAACTCCAGTTGCTATTAGCCATGTGTTTCAGCAAGCGTGCTTAACCTGCCTACTTTTATTTTGGAGCAAAAGCAGTTACAGGGCCCAAGTCTGGAACAGATTCCTGAGCTGAACTGGGACCTTGAACAAATCTGCTGAAACTCTCTCCTTCCCTCCCAGCTGTTTTTCCTGTCCTCCCCCCAAAAGAAATTTGTTTGCTTCTGCTTTAAAACGAAACATCCAGAATAAGCATGTGACTAACGTCATGAATTTGACCTGAAAGATGGGGCCGCTTTTGCAAACTTTGAAGCCCCAAATTTCAATAGCAGCAGCCACTCATAATCTGGGAGAGGCTGAAAGTTTTTTTAAGGCCTGGGAAACTAAGAAATTCGTGTGCCAAGAGGAATGTAGGCCCAGGACGTGCCACTCTTGACAGGCAATTATAGAGTTGCAGCCCCTCAGTTCAGTGAGGGCATCTGATGAAGAATCTCCAACAATCTCAGGAAAAGGGCAGGGTGATGCAGAGATAGACAGTACTCCCAAGCTCCTCCCTGAAAAGTGTCAATGTTGAAATAATATATGTGGCTTAGTGGGTGCAGCACATGGCATCCACATGGCATTTCTGAGAACAGTCCTTTCCCTTTGAAGCCAGGTCACCTGTGCTCATTTCAGCTCTCCTTCAAAGGAATTTCAAACCACTGATCTAGGTATTTTAGAGGCAGGGAGACATGTTGGCTTGGCGTGACTAATTGCTAAAAAAAATGCAATGCCAGCTTTGCTATGAGGCTATGGACTAACACATTGGGAGTTCCTTATCTTTTGATCGTGAGCCCCACATGTCTGGCTGTGCTTCGTATTTCGGGAAGGAAAGTGATTATCAGCCTCCTCCACATCATACTGCTGGCAGCTGTTTCTCTGGGCTTGCAGGTCTCTGCATCACAGCAGATAAGAGCTCTGACCCAAAGGCTCTGGCTGTCTGCCATGCTTTCCTTGGGCTGTCCCTTGCATTAAAACTACCCAGAGCATATGCACGTAACAGGAGCCATGTGTCACCAAGGAGATGTGAGGAACTGGTGGCCCTCCAGATGCTGTTACTGGACTCCAACTCTCATCAGCCCCAGCCAGGATGGTCAATAGGGATGATAGGAGCTGTAGTCTGGCAATATATGGAGGGCCACACGTTACCTGTTTAGGGAAGTTTTTAATATTTAATGCTGTACTATTTTTAACATTTGATTGGGAGCCGCCCAAAGTGGCTGGGGAGACTCAGTCAGATGGGTGGGGTATAAATTATTATTATTATTATTATTATTATTATTATTATTATTATTACCCGTCCATGATGTATACTGTTTTGAGCAAATTGCAGGCAGTACAGGCCACAAACATTTGAGCTAAGGGCCACATTGATCCAGGGATAAGCTGGGGGACGACGACTGGGGGCATGTCAAAGTATAAACTAGGGCATGGCCAACTTAGCCTTTTAAAAATAAAGGTTGTTGAGGGTTAGGTGACACAAAAAGCTTATTACGGAATCACAGCAGGGGAACGGTCAGTAAAAAAAAACCGGGAGGAAAATTTTGGGGACCCACAAACAATCCTTTGGCATCATAGAATTACCTATTGGGGGCTGTCATTAAACAAAATTTAAAAATAGGAAGAAAATATTGGGGCAGGGGACATCAGAGTCAATAAAAATGTTTTTAAGCCTTCAAGTGGAAAATGTTTGGTGGGCCTTGGAGGATCATGGCATCACAGTGGGGGGAACCATTAAACCAGTCTGGGGAAATGGGGGGGCAGGCAGCATAGGGGAGTATTGTTTTTTCTAAAAAGGGAACAACAAAATTTTGGAAGGGCACAAAAAAAATCTCTTGGGCGTCTGGCTATATAAACGGTGTGGCTTATAATTAACAAGGCTTGCAGCTTGCATGTGAGGTATAAAGTCTCAATACATATGAATCCACACACACCAACTTTCCTTGCACCGAGAGTGAGCTTGGATCGAGTTTTCAGAAAGCAGGAATAGAACAACGTTTTTTTTATACAGAAAATAAAGACTTTATTTTTCCAGTTCACAAGGACAGTTCCCATTACACAGAACATGATGCTTGAGGAAACCTACAGCCGTTAATGCCTTCTAATCATAACCATAAGCACAGCTGATGCCAATTCTGGACACCTGCAAGACTCCGAGGGTGAATCAGCATTTCTAATCTACACCAGCGCATGCAGCTGCCTCTGGTGCTTGGTGGGATTCAGACTGCAATGGAAACACAGGCAGAGTTGGAGCTGAGAACGCAAGACTCCCAAGCTCACTGCAGGGACGTAAAGGATGCGGAGAGCCCACGATTGCATTAGAAGGGAACTGGCTGGTGCTTGAATGCTAAACAGTGGGAAAGAGTAGGAAGGGGCGAGGAGCCAGTTTCCAAATACTGTATGAAGACCCCAGAGAAACGCAGCCAGTGAGTTCAATGATAACAAGAGCCAGGACAATGTTTATTGACGTTAACACAGAAAATGTACCATCCCCTGAGTGGGTTAGGAAACATCAGAGAGGACACTATATAAATATTGGTATCTGATGCAAAAACAAAGCTTCACACACGTCAGCTAAAGGTCTTCTGAAATCTTGAAGGCGTTCAAAACAGTTTCGCCAAGTAAAACAAAACTCAGGGCAACAACGGTCAGTTTCCTGGTGGCTTAACAAATCCCTGCCCGCTACGCTTTCTGCAAACACTTAAAAAAAACACAAAAAAACTAGGTTAATTTAAATGGGGGCCGGGCAAGGTATTCCTCTACAGTTGCTGACATATCCAAGAGTTGCAATGGAAGTTAAGGCACAGAGTTGATTCCAAAGTCAAGCACAGCCCATACCGATACAGTAGGAGATGTCTCAGGAGTGGCTGCTCAGCTAGTGACCTTTCTGGCCTTCGCAAAGGAGTTAAAAATTCACAGAAAGCTGGAATTACAAAAACAGGGTCTCTTTTAGAAGTGAGCTTCCTTTCTGAGGGAGTGGGATGCATTTTCATCCCAAAGAATACTGTTATGTTGCCTTCTGTGAGCTTGCAATAAACGTCAGGAAACAGCAGCTTTCTGGCACCCTGTACAGCTTTCTCTGTGGTGCAGAATCTACCCATCTAGTATACACTATGTTCCCGCAGGGAAAGAAAACAGAATGCTGCCTACCTAGCAAGAAGAACTTATTCTCCACCTGCTGGTATGAATGGAATTATGAGTCCCTCCAGTTCCTGCCTTACTACTTAAGGAGTATGCAGATAAAGCACTGTCGGGTGGGTGATCAGCAGTAGGTACTGCATGGTACCAAATGCAATGGGGACTTTTCTTGGGACATGAGAGTCTTTGACTGGGACTAAAAAATAAATGCATCTGCACCTGTCAAAGCCAGATGCAAAGAACTTGGCAGGGTCCCTAGCTTCAGCAACCCATTTTAGAATTCTGAATATTAAGTGGCATATAGTTGAAATAAAAATAATGAAATAAATTGTTGGAGGTTCCTCCTTGAAACTTTCGGGGGTTTCCACCCCTATAGTCATTAGCATTTTGCATTTTCTGCTCTGCAAGTGAGTACAGGTGTCCCTACTTCCCTTTCACTAAGCCAGTGCTTGACCCTGACACTATGGTAACTATCTCCTATTCCGAATTAAAGAGAAGATTCACAGACCTGCAAGTTGCCAGACACTCCATTCTGCCCAACTCCCCGCACCACAAAAAATTTGCAAAGAGGCAGCATGTTTGGTGCAAAATGAGGAGGCTACAGTTCCTGCCAAGCTGGAATATTGCATGCAAATTTGGCAGATCACACTAAAGTATTTGCAAAGGAGGTGTTTTCCTAGCTGGATTTTCTCTGCTGGCTGGGCAGCTCCTATCATTTCACACTGTGCTGCCTCTTAAGAAATCCTGCTTCTACTTATGCAAGTCAGCTGTCAAAAAGAAGAAAGAAATGGTGTTTTTCCCTTTTCTGTCACTCAGGTAATCTGACCTCACCTGCACCTAAATGTCATGCTGCTACTTGGGAGTGGAGAGACAGAGAGACAGATTCTTCAGAAGAACCGGCCTCAGCCACCCCTTCTTGGCATCAGGCACTGAGGGGATGGCTGCCTATAATCAGTACCCCAGCAGACACTGGGAGAACTTCTTCCGCCCTCTCAACACACAGAATTGTTTTGTGGCCTTTCCATGAAAATCTACAGCCCTTTCTGGCTTTGCAGGAAGGGAACTGTTTCTGGACCCTTTTCTGTAAAAAAATAAACAATCAGTTCACTTCTCTTTATGTTCTGAAAACTCGAGAGAGAGGCCTGGAGGTGACAAAGTACTCTACAAAAAAACAAAAACCACAACCCACTGCTTTTTTTCCTTTCCTTTTTTTTTAAAGAAAATGCGTAATATTATACCACCAAAGGTTGCACAGTGGGTTAGGTCTGTACTGCTGGAGATTCCTAGCCAGGATGCTCTGTTTTGGGTCTCCTCCTCAAATTCCCTTTGCCCAAACGCAGACAGCAGTGAAAGGCATGGGTGGCTCTCCTGGGAAAAACGACGCTGTGGCGCCTCCTACTGTACACTTCCGTTAGCTACATTGCTTTGTCTGGATGAAAAAGGAAGTCCCCAAGTCTGCTCTTGCCAAGATGGGGCTGTCGGGAGCTGTGCCGGACTGCCTGCTGCTCAGCTCCTCACAGAAAGTCCAGTTCGAGGGCCTGGTGGAGCGACACCAGATCGGCGTGATTTGTGATTCTCCAGAAGGGCATGTTGTGCTGCAAAACAAAAGAGGTAGAGGGGTGTTAAAAAACAAGCACATAAGCAACTTGTGCAGCGGGAATGGAAGTCAGTACTCTGCAGGAGATGAGTGAACGCAGGCCTCACCCGTGAGGAAATGAAAAAAGAGTCAGGAAAGGTTCACAGGCAACCAGCCAATATTTTCAGAAGCAGAAGCACGCAGTTGACAGCAGTCGCTAAAGTACAGCTAGGCCACCCTACCTAGTGAGGGTGAGGCTTTCCCTGGGAGCATGTTCAAAATCCCCTTTGACACTGAGGTCCAGCTCCGAGGGCCTTCTGGCGGTTCCCTCACTGCGAGAAGTGGGGTTGCAGGGAACCAGGCAGAGGGCCTTCTCGGTAGTGGTGCCTGCCCTGTAGAACACCCTCCCGTCAGATGTCAAAGAGATAAACAACTACAGTGGTACCTCGCAAGACGAATGCCTCGCAAGACAAAAGAGTTTTTCGTTTTTTGATTTCCCTATGGGCTTGCTTCGCAGGACGAAAAACGAAAACGTCTTGCAAGTTTGTTTCCTTTTTCTTAAAACCGTTAATTCCCAGGGTGACTTCGAGGAGCAACTCATAGCACGCGGTGTGGTAGCCTTTTTTGAGGTTTTTGAAGACTTTGGTGATTTTGAAGACTTTGGGAAACCGTGCTTCGCAAGACGAAAAATTTGCAAGACGAAAAAACTCGCAGAACGAATTAATTTCGTCTTGCGAGGCACCACTGTATCTGACTTTTAGAAGACATCTGAAGGCAGCCCTGTTTAGGGAAGTTTTTAATGCTTGATGTTTTATCCTGTTTTTAATATTCTGTTGGGAGCCGCCCAGAGTGGCTGGGGAAACCCAGCCAGATGGGCAGGGTATGTATGTATGTATAAATAAATAAATAAATAATATTAATTGTAATTGTTATTGTTATTCTTATTCTTATCTGTGGAGCCACCCTCCCGCCTTCTGAAGATCTCCATTTGAATATCCTGGGTCATCCACAGACACCCCAGGCAAGCTCCAACACACTGAGAAATGAAATATACGCAACAAAAAAGGGGGCAAAGGACACCCAAGGATGCTATGGCTGTGCTGTCTCTAAGGCAAACAGGCTCCAGCCATTTGGCAGTGCCTGCAGAAGGAAGGGAGGCAATGGATTATTATTGGGGTGCAAAAAGGGAGCCTGCTCTTCTCAGGAAGGGTGCTGCAAGACAAACGTAGTCAACGGTCACCTGTTTGGCTGCCATCTCTTCATCACGCCCATCTCCAATCACCACATATGTCACCTTCTTCCCAAACCGAGAGATAATTCTTTCAAAACAGCTCTCTTTACCTGTCAAGAGATTACAAACACACTGTTGCTTATGGTCAAAGGAAAGGTACAGGCCCCACTGGGGCTGGCGTCAGTATGTGGTACCTGTGGGCAGCTGTCTGGGCCCCAGCACCATGGCAGGGCTCGCTCTTCCCTTGAACCCTGAACCTTGCCTGCAGGGCCTCTCCAACAGCTCAGCAACCTTTGGCTCTTCTCCAAATTGTTTCCATTCCTGCTGTTCACTACAAGATCTCTGTAATTTAGAATGCCTGAGCTTGCTTTTTTCCTATTCCCTCCCAGTTCTTTTTCTTGTTGCATCGTGTCTCTTAGTGAACTGGGGCAGGGGCTGTCTTCTCACTGATTTTTGTAAGCCATTCTGGAAGCCCTGTTTGGTGGAAGGGCAGGATAAAAATGCCAAAACTACTACTACTACTAATGACCTTTGCAAATTGATCAACATTGTAAGACACTTAGAGAACTTGTTTAAGAAATAAATAGTAATAAATAAATAAAATTATGTAGCCAATAGGAGTGCTAAAGCCCAGTTTATCCACCCAGTATAGAGACTGCAACAGTACAGTGGTACCTCTGGATACAAACGGGATCCGTTCTGGAGCCCCGTTCGCATCCTGAAGCGAACGAAACCCGTGTCTGCGCCTGTGGGGTTGCGATTTGCCGCTTCTGTGCACGACATCATTTTGACCGTCTGCGCATGCGCGAGTGGCAAAACCCAGAAGTAACACGTTCCATTACTTCCAGGTTGCCGTGGAGCGCAACCCGAAAACGCTCAACCTGAAGCAACTTCAACCCGAGGTATGACTGTATCTGAGAGCACAGCTTTGCTCCAAATGGCTTTGAGCCAACAAAGGTCTTTTAAGGAGTCATGCAGAAAGTAGGGGTTGCTTTGATGCACTGAAGTTTCCCCCTCTTTCCAGGGGAGGTTGTACAAGAGGGCCAACTCCCTACCGCCACCCAACTCCCTACCGCCACCCAAGACAACTGCCAAAGAGAGTTGGAATTTGATGTCACCACCTACCTATTTTTGTTGCGCTATAAATATTTTCAATTGGGAACACGTCACCTAATCCATACAGCAGAACTTTGGCCAAAGCCGGCACCAGCTGAGTAGTCGTTATCAGAACATTCACACAATTCTTTCTAGAAGGTGGCAAGAGAAATGGGTCAGGGGGAGGAGCTTGCTTATGCAAAGTTGAAACAAAGGTGGGATGCTGCCAGCCTCATATTTGCAAGCACTAATGGAAGGAACAAGAAATGACATGAAACTCAAGACTGGATCCTCCCCTTTTATGCATTACAGTATTTGTTATTCTTTGTACCTCTCATCCATATTTCAAGCGACCCTTGCTCTCCGGGGCTGACATTTGCAATGGTTCAGTATTAAGGGTGGTCTTGGCTTCCAGTTATTCAAATGGTGATATTATGAAGCAGCAAATTAATTGCAAAGAGTTTGCCTGATAATGCACTACAGATCCATTCGAAACAATTAAATTAAGCACATAAAAAGGCAGAGATAAAATCATGTTTAATATCTAGATGGGTACGTATATCCAGTGCTTTTTTTCAGGGGGTACTTAGGGGCATGCAGACCTCTTTTGTTGCTGTTAAAAAGTGTAGTACTTACTGTAACAACTTCCTAGGTGAGAACCGGCACCTATTTTTCCAGAAAAAAAGCACTGGGTATATCTAGATGTGCGTCTCTCTATCTCGCTAAATCTAAATATGTGTGTGCATGTGTGTGTGGTGTATTTCTTTTAAATTTTTATATACCAGTCTGTTTCACTTGATTTCAGGGTAGTGCCACGTAAAAATTCAATAAAAAAGTGAACACATTCAAACTACAGCAGAAGAAAAGAATGCAGAGTTCAATCTCAATCAAACAGCATATCTAAAAAGTGCCTGGCTGTACAACACACAGGATTTATAGGGTAACAAAAGAAGACAGCGGCTGAGCCTCCTTGGGAAGGGACCTACATAAGCAGGGCACACAACTGAAATTGCCCTCCTTTGCTTCTGATGACGGGGCAAGCAAGTGTAGTGACACCGTTCTACCCAGTGAGCTGCTTCTGCATGTAATAATAATATTATAATAATTTATTATTTATACCCTGCCCATCTGGCTGGGTTTCCCTAGCCACACTGGGCGGCTTCCAACAAAACACTAAAATACAATAACCTATTAAACATTAAAAGCTTCCCTAAACAGGGCTGCCTTCAGATGTCTTCTAAAAGTTTGGTAGTTATTTTTCTCTTTGACATCTGGTGGGAGGGCGTTCCACAGGGCGGGTGCCACTACCAAGAAGGCCCTCTGCCTGGTTCCCTGTAACTTGGCTTCTCGCAGCGAGGGAACCACCAGAAGGCCCTCGGCACTGGACTTCAGTGTCCAGGCAGAACGGTGTAATATAATATTGTGTGCATGTAGCATGTACTATGATCAATAAAAATAATAATCTGACAAATGCATATTTCCTGTACATTTTAATGAGATGCAAATTATCCCATTTCTCTTGCCCACCTCCCCTGGCCTTTACGTCTTTGACTGGATGAAAGGCAATGCAGCCATTTGTTTGGGTACTAAGGCACAAGGATCTCCATTAAAACATTGTAGTTGCATTACAATTCAGACCCTATATTTCTACCCTATAGTGTATGAGACACATCACTGGAAAAAAGTGCATAGCAAGCACCACATTGCACTAGAGCTGTAAATACGGCAGCTGGCAGAGCAGACACTTATCTCCATACCTTGACTGGATGAGCAGCAGGGACTTTAACGCTGTTCCCAACCAGGAATCTGTTAACATTTCTATGTCTTCCCTTAATCTCTGCAAAGCCTCCTTCTTTTCTGGGCTGAGAAGGGCTGCAGAATGCACACAAATTATAATTGTCAGAAAGCAGAAACATAAGTATATCTAGTAATGGGTTGTATCCAAACTAAGTTCTGCTCAGAGAAGACCCACTGAAATTAATGGACCTAAGTTAGCCATTAATTTAAATAGATCTGAGTATGACTCACATTGGATACAACCCTATGTTATTGGTGCAATCAGAGCAAGGGCCCAACTTTGTGATTTCTGGATTCACTTCATTTGGAAGTGTTTCAGTACAGAAATGACATTATGAAAATGTCAAGTGAAACATCTTCAACATTTATTCATTTTGGAATTTATAGGTTACTTTTCTGCGCTCAAGATGGTTTGCAAATGGTTACATATAAAACATTCCACATTGAACAAAAACAATCTTGCTCTCCACTAATGGAACTCATTTTTGAATTGGCCCCTCACAGATACATTTATGCTAAAATACAGTGATAAATAACCTATTGTAAAAAGGCGAAAGATCTCTGAGTAATCTGTTTTAAGAAAATACCTCTTCAGGCATTTCATCAATGTGGGAATAGGTACTTATTTTATAAAACGGGGGATTTCACAGACATGGATTAGCTATCTCTTTTGCCTTCAATATGTCTTTCAATTCCAGACAATTCAGATGTCAAACTGTTAAGACAATCCAGTTTATCCAGTTTGGACAAAATGCTAAGCCAGTTTAGCATTATGAGGATGAGCTGCTGCAAGCCTCGGGCCCCCATGTGCATGGCTATAAGAAATCTAGAATCTTTCCGTTTTAGATTAATCACAGCATCCTATGTTGTCCAAACTTAACAAACTGAGGTTACTTTTAACTACTGTTTGTTGAAAGAAGCCTACTTCAAACCATATTTTTAAGGGCCATATCATGTTTAGCAAACCATAGATAAAATTAATCATTCAGAGTTTAGTGTTTGGATGATATACTAAACTGTGGTTAATCAAAAACAGAAGCCCTGCAAAAGCTACGAGAGGCTACTATACATGGTGCCAATGTAAAATTATTTAAAAGGCCTGGGAAATGACATATAAAGACTTGAAGAGAATTTGAAAATGATTTTTGTTAAAAAAAACCCTGAAGCTATAACGTTGAGATGCACAGGACTTGACGTACTTATAGAGCGAAAGACTTTGCCCCTGTATTTGAGAGTGGATGTCAGGCCAGTATCAGCCCACCCCCAAAGAAGGAAGAAGCCACCGCCAAAGAAGATAAAGAAGATTGGTAAAGTAACTTAGTGAACTATGCAGGACAAATTGGATAATTTGAAACCCAAGAAAGAAAGAGAACTTTGAGTTTTGAAAAAAAGGGAAATGTTTAATGCATTTTTTTTTAAAGCTTTGTGTATAGATTTCTACATTAGTTGAACTTTTAAAAGTCACTTGCAATAAGATGAATAAGGCTTTAAAATTGGACTGTTCAGAATATAAGGATTTATGGATATGTATGAATAAGCACAAAACAATGGAACCAAGAGAGGGAGTGGAGGGAAGTCAAGAGTATGGTGATGTTATGGTTTGTATATACAGATGAGCTAAAACTTTTGGTTTGAAATTTTGTTTATGATTTTTTTTGTTATTATAAAATTAATAAATTGCATTTAAAAAACAGAAGCCCTGGAGTAGTGGAATGCAAGTCCCAGGCTCAGTGCAACTTTTCCTCATAACAGTAAACCCCCCTTGGCATTACATGTGAACCAACCCAGTTACTACAATGCTGGCATGGTCTTAAAAGACAGAAAAATGAAACTGCCCACTCCAATTTTCAGGGTTGGTTGGCTGATTGTAGCCCCACCTCTCCAACACAAAAGAGCTTAATAACGTCAGAAGAAATCTACCCCTGTAGCCTAGTGCCTATACCCTCAGGTTGCAGCAGGAACATGGACGCTGCTCACACTCACCTACTACGTTGCTTTTGTATTTGTCATAGACCTCGCGCACCTTCCGGTAGCGGAAAGCCAGCTTCCTCATCCAATCCACTCCACCCTGGACTCCTGCTGAACCATGATTGGCGTTGTTTCCTGAGCCACTGAAGCCATCCGTGGAAAAATTGTAGTTGCTGAGACAGAAAATGTATTTGTATTACACCTACTGGCAACTTCTACCCGGATCATTGTTAGATGGATGACTCAAGTCCTCTTGCATAACCCACAGCAGATCTCCCTGCACATGAAAATACTCAGCTCCATTCCCTGCTGATCTGCTGCTCAGAAACCTGAATACCAGTTCTAATTAGACTTTGTGTACTGAGGGTCTGATCACCTTATCATTATCACCAGATCAGGGCAGGTCCGCCCTGAGATCTACAGGCATAGGGCGGTATACAAATTTAATAAATAAAATGAAATAAAAAAAAATACAGTGGTACCTCTGGTTAAGAACTTAATTCGTTCCGGAGGTCCGTTCTTAACCTGAAACTGTTCTTAACCTAAAGCAACACTTTAGCTAATGGGGCCTCCCGCTGCCACTGCGCCGCCAGTGCGTAATTTCTGTTCTCATCCTGAAGCAAAGTTCTTAACCCGAGGTACTATTTCTGGGTTAGCGGAGTCTGTAACCTGAAGTGTCTGTAACCCAAGGTACCACTGTATCTTGGGCTCAGTTTCCTCTTGAATCTTAAGTCCCGACAGCTGGGGGAAATATGGGGTTCTTCATGGACAAGTTACCCTGGAATCTCTGTTAGCAAGTATTGTTTCTTGAGCTGCTTCAAAAATGCCCCTATTCGAGAGGTCTATAAAGGAGAGACAGCAGCACAGTGGTAGAGCAGATGTTATGCATGCAGTTCCAGTTCTAATACTTGGTGCCTCCAGTTTAAAAAAAATCTCAGGTTGCAGGTGGAGGAGGAGGAGGAAGGGGGGGGCAGGAAGTCATTGTGACTGCTTCCTAGGTAGGGTGGACAAAACGTCACCTGTTTGAAAGTCCCATAAAAACACTGTAAGGGGCCCTTTCTGTTGCCACATTTTAGACCTTGGAAGCAACCAATACAAATGTATCACCTTAAATCTTGCCCATTGTCATCTGATGCAACGTCTTCCACGTGAACTTGGTCACACTCCTGCATTGAGAGAAAATTAAGTTTAGGAAGCTCCCTTATACCAAGTTGCAAGGGGTTGGACTAGATGGCCCTTGGGGTCCCTTCCAACTCTACAATTCTGTGATTCTAAGTCAGACTATGTGTCCATCCAGCCCAGTTACTGTCTGCCCCGTGAGTAGGAAACTTGCCACTCTCCTAATGCTGCTAGACTTCAACTTCCAGCAGCCCTAGCCAGAATAGCTAACAGGAGGGCATGCATTAAAACTGGAATTTGGAAGAGAACACATACCTCTAAGTCATTGAAAAATAAGTGTGTGTCGGCAACTTCAAAAATCATTTCTTCCATGGTCAAACCAGAGCTAATCACTAGAGTTGGATCCTAGAAGTTAGAATGGAAAATAGAATGGAAAAGAGGAAGAGGCCAGTATTAAACTGCATTGAAGTAAAATGGGATATTTTAGAACATGAAGCTCATTCTACAAGGTGTGACCGGAAAGTTCGGTGAATGGTCACAGAAATCGGAAAGCGAGAAATATTTGAACATACAATCGGCATCGGAAACCCACAAAATGCTCACAATTGTGTACGGAGATGAAGCTGTAACTCAAAAGACAGTGTATAAGTGGTTTAAGTGTTTTCATGAAAGGTGGCAAGCCATCAAAGATGACTCTCAGTCTGGCAGACCATCGACGAGCAGAACAGCAGCAATGTCAACAGAGTTCTTGATGCAGGATCAGCGTTTATCCATCTGAATGATGGCGGAAGAATTGCATATTCAGCATGAAATCATTACTGAGGTGTACCACCCTCCATATTCTCCCGATCTGGCCCCACCGGATTTCTTTCTTTTCCCAAAACTGAAATCTGCACTGCAATGGTGCAGATTTTCCAACATTTCACACGTCCAAGTTGCTGTGACGAGGGAACTGAAAGCAGTACAAAAAGAGGACTTCTCCAGGAGTTTCCAACAGTTCTACGAACGTTGTCAACGGTGCATTGTATCAGAGGGGGCCTACTCTGAAGGCCTGTAAGGTATGTATGTTCGAATATTTTTCGCTGTCTGATTTCTGTGACCATTCATGAACTTTCCAGTCACACCTTGTATGTAGAGCTGTCACTCAATGAAAGATACCCTACAGTGCACTCTTATGCATGTCAGAAGTAAATCCCAGCGAGTTCAATGGGACTTACTCCCAGGTCTATGGGACTGCAGCCATAGGCTTACCTAGGAGTAAGACCAGGTCTGAAGCAAGGAAACCACCAAAAAGGAGAGAGAATGAGAGTATGGATCTAAGGACATTCCATCTCTGTAACAGGGCCAGATAAAAAGTTTCTCATATTTCCTTCTGAGCACTATCCCTGATTCACTGCTACTAGAGTGCACACTTACTAGATTTTCAATTAGTATTTATTAGGTTAGAGCAAAGATCAAACAATTCAGAAGTTTTGCAGTAAAAGCAAAAACACTAGTTACCTTCCCGTATTTCTGGGCATATGATCCTGTTAGAAGAGAATGAAATATTATGATGGTCTCATCCAAGTCCCATAGGAACACTCGCTGAAGAAGAAAGGACAAACAGCAGAGGTTAGCTTGCTTTTGTTCAACTGCCTAGAAAGTGCCCCCCCCCAATTTTAGAAGCTTAAAGAGAAGAAGAAGAAGAAGAAGAAGAAGAAGAAGAAGAAGAAGAAGAAAAAGAAGAAGAAGAGTTTGGATCTGATATCCCGCCTTTCACTCCCTTTAAGGAGTCTCAAGGTGGCTAACATTCTCCTTTCCCTTCCTCCCCACAACAAACATTCTGTGAGGTGAGTGGGGCTGAGAGACTTCAAATAAGTGTGACTGGCCCAAGGTCACCCAGCAGCTGCATGTGGAGGAGCGGAGACGCGAACCCGGTTTCCCAGATTACGAGACTACCGCTCTTAACCACTACACCACAGAGGACACCATAGATTAAGTCTGCTTTTGAAAAAATCTTAAATGCAGCCGAGGGAAGATCACCCAATGATGCTCTACAATAGGAGGTTCAGCAGAGTCAAAAGGAAGTCCTTCACACAACACATACACTATGGACTTACTTGCCACAAGGTAAAATATTTGCTACCACCTTGGACACCTTTAAAATGGGATTGGACAAAGTCAGGAAGAATAAGGCTACTAGTCATGATGGCTATGTATTACATCCAGTTTCGGAGATAGCATGGCTCTGAATACTAGTAGCTGGGGAAGACTTGTTGGAGAGGGCTATTGTGCTCATGTCCTACTTGGGGGCAAATGGTTGGCCTTTGAGAGAACAGGATTCGGAACTAGACAGGCCTTTGATCCGAATCAACAGGGCTTTTCTTATGTCCCTAGGAGGGTTTTGCATCTTCTGTGCAGGAATGATGATCGATGACACTGCATCATGAATGTATAAATATGTTTATTAAGAGACACTGTCAAAGACTCTGGGGCTTGAAGTCAGAGGCTGAGGCCTACCATAGTAAACCACTGTGAGCTGGGGTGTGACCAAGTTACAAAGCTCTTTTCAGTTGCAGAAGGTAACGTGTGGGCAACAGCAGCTCCTCTGATTGGCAGGCAGAATGCCGCCTTTCAATTGGCTAAAAGGTAGACGCCTGCCCTATGCCTTTGCCTGGTCAGCAGGGTACCTTTACTGGGAGGTTTCTTTCATCACCACAGATGACTTCCAAGTCCTTCTAGTGCTACCATTTTGAAGTGGGATGAGTCTATAAGTTACTTACTAAGCAGACAAGATAAAACCACACATTTTGTATTGGCAGTAATTTAGTTTTACCTACTTCCATTCACATTTGTACAACTTCTATTTTATTTCATTTTAGCCATTTCAGTATTTGTTAGAGTAAGAATCACTTCTTTTTAAAGGGGCAAGGTGTGGTTTGCCATTTCAGCATTCTAAGTTTGTTTATGTTGTAGTTTAGTTGTGTCCAACTAATCTATTCTGTCTTACTTTTATATTGTTAAACATTGCTTTGCAATGCTCTATGGACTAGAAACACAGAAGTTTGATCTGATCTACAATACCAAACACACTGTTAAAGCTTTGGAGAGAGAGAGAGGGGAGAGAGAGAGAGAGAGAGAGAGAGAGAGAGAGAGAGAGAGATGTGTGATAATAGCTGGAGACTAACTTCAAGCTCGTTGTCCTGTGGTGAAGAAGCGTCTGCTTTCCTCTTCCCCCTGTTTTTCCCAGTCACGCTTTTCCTGGACTGGTCCTCTACATCTTTACTAGCTGTCGCTCTCAGCAACGATGGACTTGTAGATGGGTCTCCTGGAAAAAAGGGACAGCACAGACTCGTTATTTTATGCCTCAATATACCAACCCTCAATACATTGCATTTCTACAGCAGCTGGTATAACACAAAGAATAGAACAAAATGCAGAGTAATAAACATGGCACCCAAAACAACAAAGGAGGCAGCAGTATAACACACCTGGGAGTGAGAAACATTTGTAGGTGGTACAAAACATAAATGAGTTTTAAAAAATCACAGTAGGCACCAGACCAGTATCCCAAATGTGAATCTCTCCCCACCCACCACATTTCAAATGGTGGAGAAACCAGCTAGAAGAGGGTCTTTGTGTTAGTATTTCACACCTCCGATGCTGCAGAAGAGATTGGTGTAAATCACATGCCTGTCTGGGAAGAGTGTGGGAATGGAAGACAGTCTTATCTCTTCCACTGTATGTACTGTGTACTGTACTTTTGCTTTTACTTCTGTCTGTTCTTCTCTTGGAGCTGGAGAGAGAAGACGCCATGAATCCTTTGTGTGTACAGTGGTACCTCGGGTTACAGACGCTTCAGGTTACATACGCTTCAGGTTACAGACTCCGCTAACCCAGAAATAGTACCTCGGGTTAAGAACTTTGCTACAGGATGAGAACAGAAATCATGCTCCGGCGGCAGCGGGAGGCCCCATTAGCGAAAGTGGTACCTCAGGTTAAGAACAGTTTCAGGTTAAGAACGGACCTCTGGAACAAATTAAGTACTTAACCCGAGGCACCACTGTACATAGTGTGTAAATAAGTATGTAGATTAGCTCTACGATGTCTCACGCTTCTTGCTGTGTTATGCTAGAAGATTAGTGTGTGCATATATCATTTAATATATGTTGCTGAAGTGCACTGGAGTAAGAAGGGAAATGCATTTTCCAGAGCTGCACATACCGGAGGAAGATCAGAGTTCGGGGGCTGCAGGGGCACCCCAGGGCATTTTCCAAAACTTTGAAGGTGGCCTAAGTGTTCAGGCAGGTTGAGGTGAGATAGGTATTCCTTCAAGTATCTGGGTTTCAATCTGTGTAGGCCTTTAGCATAAGATTTAATTCATACTCTGGGTCCCCCTTTATTAGGGAGCAATTCTGTGTGTCTCTGGCACATCTGGATGGCAATTCATTGGCTACTTGATGGAATTCACTGGCGTAAGATGTGCGGACAGCCACTCACTTGGACGGCTTTAAAGGGGGATTAGATGAATTTGTGGAGAAGGTGACCAATGCCTACAAGTCATGGTGTCTATATGCTACCCCCAGAATCAGAAGCTGCATGCTTCTGAATTACCAGTTCCTGGGTTCCACAAGCAGAATAGTGATTTGCCCTTATGCTCTGCTTATGGGCTTTCCATGGATGCCTGGCTGACCACTGTGTGAAGCAGGAATCTGGACTAGATGCACTGCAGGGGGTTGGACTAGATGACCCTTGGGGTCCTTTCCATCTCTACAATTCTATAATTGTATGAAGAATATGTATGCCACCTTGTATACCTTGGGGGAAAGGTGTGATCTGCAAATAATTAAAAAGTAAAGTGGAAGTTGAGACCTTCTGGGACTGAGGGTTGGGGCAGAAGGCAATTGGTTAGAATAGCAAAAAATAATTTCCCAGGGATAAAAGCAAAGTGCATTAATCAGACCAAGGTGCACTAAGACACAGCTTATTGTATAGGTGAGTCCCCCACCCCTTCACCCCAATATGTACAGACATAAGCATTTCCATACAAGCAGCATGAGCATATAGGGGCATTCTGAAATCGGTATCCTTTTCCCATCATATTACCAGAGGAATGTCTCTGCGCCGTCTGAGTAGGCACCATGGCATTTGGTTTTTCAGAAGGATACGTGGTTGTTGCTAAGGTGGGACTCTCTGTGCTGCTGTCTGCTGGTGCTACAACTCCAAAGCTTGAACTTGAGTAATATGGCTGGTATTGACTTTGGCCAAGAATTGTATACGTAGGATACTCCTATTCAAAAATAAGAGGGAAAGGGACAACAAAACAAAGTAAGTCTTATTCCAAGTAAACATGGCTTACTATTGCACTGTTAGCATTCAAGCATACAGTCTGAAAAATAATAAAAAGCTTTCTACCATTCAAAAACGAAAAGCATGGAGTAAAATAAGTTTGATGCAGGCTTATTTCTATGGGAGGAAACCATACCTGTTGAGAGATGCTGGCTACTGCTGATGCTGAAATATTGACAGCAGGTGAGGTGGTGGAAACTGAGTTGGCGTTGGTACTTGAAGCTGTAAAAATCAAGCAGATGGCTATGTGTCAATCTGCTAGAAGTGCAAGCAGTGAAGCCAAATGGCATTGGAGCAGGGAAACTGCAGTGCTGGCATTCTTAGCGTCAACTGTGCTTTCCTTAATCAAAGGTGGAGTTTGCAAAGACTGACCAACAATGCTGCCCCACAGACATCCTTTTGCTAAACAGGATGCAAGTGTCCTCAGTTCTGGAAGCAATGCTTTTAGATTCTGCAAGATAGTAGTAGTTTTTTTTACATTTTTAAAAAAAAACCTACATGAAAAAGATTGTTCCTTCCATACATAAAATCGGGAAACTATAACTTCAACTGCACAATATTACTAACAACAGACCAAGTTATCTGCATTTACCTTTCAGGAAAACCAGTGTGAAAAATTAACCAACATATTGGTTTCAAGTGGTCCCATGTGTGAATAACACCGTCTGGATCCAACCTAATCAATCATCATCTTCATCACTATAGAGAACTATGGTGATTGCCAATAGGATTGGAGCCAAAATAAGGCTACTGAAGAACATGCAAGTGATATCAGTGTGCTCCAGGGAACTCAGAGGTTTACAGAAACACAAGTCTTTATAAAAAAGAAGCAAAACCAGAAACAGCCCAAGGAGGACTGAGAATACTCAATAGTCACAGAATGTTGTGTCAGCTGGAAAAGAAAAAAGGAAAGGGGCGGGGAGTGGAAAGAAGTACCATAGAGCAGCTTCCTGGCTAGAAATAAATAATAATAATAATAATAATAATAATAATAATTTGTTGATCTTCTTAAAAACTAAGGACAACACATCATTAGGCATGGTGAAGCCGACTGAAATCAAGGGGTTTACGCATGCCTCACTCTATGCTGTATTTAAGCCTGGGTGCTGGGCTGAATAATTGTCCCTTTGCATGAGAATTTCCATATTAAACAAACTGGCCATGAGCTGAATGTGAGAGGGGGCTCTGTCACATGCCACAGCTGAGCAGCAGCCATATAGAGATGCTCTTAATGGAGTTGAAGCAAACAATTTAATCCCCCAGAGTGAATGACCTACTTCATCAAAGGCAATAGAAAGTTACTTAATTCTAGGAAATCAGCTACATTAGAATCTGAAATCCTTCTGCGAGCTCCTTCCAGCTTGTGTGCCTCTTGTTTTATAGTAGACTGTTTGTGTGATAAGCAGAAAGCTCTCAAAGCTAGTTTTTTTCCAGTGGTGCTGTATTGCAGCTTACAATTCTTAATGCAACAGACAAAAAGAAAAGAAAAAGAAAGGTGCACTTAGGGGTGATAGCATGCTGTTGTTTTCAGTCCAGATCTACCAGCTGCTTGGCTGTGGCTCTCCTCATCTTGCTTATGTGACATTGTTCACAGCTTGTTTTTCATCAATAAGCCCGCTATGCGTCACAAGGACATAAGATCTAGATGAAAAACACCAAATCTATCCCAGCAGTCTGCATTTCCATCTTATGGGCAAGCGGTTGGGTCTGCATTTCTTCCCAGGTCTGCTCAGTGATACCAAAAGTGAGTTTTTGAAATTCATGTACCCGTAGTACACACAATGTGCCAGAGTCGAGGTCTGGTTTCTTGTTTTGGAGACAGCTGCATACTGGTAACCAGAACATTAAGATCACACTCTTCACTGCTGGGTTTTTTTAAATGAACCCAACAAAGACCCTGTGAAATATGAGGATTCACACAAGGCCAGCTGGGTGAATACTAGATGTTTTCGAGTACAAAACAGAGGTTATTATACCTACTTGAATGTGCTACAAAACTAAGCGTTACTTCAAAATCAAATGTAGACAGGCAGTATGATTCTGTTCATTTATATAAAATCTGGTTAGGGTCAAACTACATTTTACATTAGTTTAAATGCAGGCTTTTTGCACACAAATGGCCAGTATGAGGGGCCCAGTCCAAACAGGTGTGGGGGAGCCCTGTGCCTGCAATTTGCAGTGGAAAAAACTACTCCCATTTACTAGAATGGAAGCACTTTTTCTTATACAAACTGCAGGTGTAGGACCTGCTTCTCCCACCCCCACCAATCCAAATCCAGATCAGGACTATATAAAGGCAAAGGGTTACAAAAATAAATTCCTCTCCCACTCCATGCTAGGGTGCTGATCTGGATCAGGGCCCCCACACTGTGTGTATGGGGGGGGGGGAATACCCTATACTTAAAAGAACAGAGATATAACTAACATTAACATGTTCATTGGCTCTTAGCTTTAGTAGCTTGAGACCAGCAGCCCTCTTCCAGCCGAAGAGGAAGGAGGTGGCCAATTTATATTCTAATTGAACTGTTTGGCATGCAACAAACCATGATTCCCAGTCTGAACATAATACTAAGCCAGGGATCATTGTTTGTTTCCCCCAAACATTTTCAGGGAGGAGCAAAGCAAACCCAAATTGATGAGTTCATGGTAATACGGAATACTGTGACGTGTGAACAAGGTCAGTATTGGGGTGGAGCATAAACCATCACATGCAAATGTGGATGGAAACAGGTCACTTGCTGCATGTGTAACAGTTAAAACAGTTGCGTCTAGCAGCTCTAACAACATGGGGAGCTAATCATCTGTAAGTGAAATGAGCGTTAACCATATTCCCACCACAATCTGAGGAAGCAGCAAGTGGCTTAACTTGAGTCAGCCAGATACAGCATGAATGGGCTTTGGGCCCAGATACTCTCTCTTCTTCCTCCTCCCTCCAGAATTTGTTGTTACATCCAAACTGGATAAGCTAAATGCCAACATAAAACAGATGGCCTGCAAACCATGGTTGGAACAGAGTTTCCAATTCTAGTTGAGAGGTAAACCGTGGTTTGCAGCAGTAGCTACAGTGTGTTTAATTCAGAGGCAACAAGATACTGTGGTAACTGCAAAGCAGGCCATAAAGGAGGGATCTGAAGTGTATCAAAATAAGCAGCTTGTAGGAGATTCTTCCCTGTCAGAAAGTACTCTAACTGCCAGGTTACCAGGACTGCAGCAGTGTGGGGGAAAAGGACACATTGATCTCTGTCACTAGCTAGGAAAACAAGAGCTATTGAATAGCTATTTCCTTTCTTAATTGTTGCAATCTGCCACAGAGACCATTTGATCAACAGGCGGGGTACAAATCTTTAAAATAAAGAAAGTAATAGTTGCTAGCTCTTAACAGCTAGGCCCCTATGCATTCTGATAGCTTGAGCCCAGTGATATTGGGAAACGAACACAGACATGCTGAACAGTGGCATGCATTTGATTTCTGTAACCCATTCCTCCCTTTCCCGAACAGTCACCCTCCTGCCTCTGTGAGAGTTTCAGAAGCACGGCAAAGTAAAATTACCCTGTTACAGACAGCGGATCTCGGCAAATCAGTGAAAAGGGAAGGCTAAGGCAAGGTGGGAGGGAGGGAACCATGACTCACAAAGCACAGAGAAGCATGCACAAAACAAAGACAAAAACGTGCTGGCCTCTTCGCGGTTTCTAGACCGGGTTACAGGGAAGAGGTATGTAGATAAATAACCATGCTGACCTTTACCTTGAATAGGATAAGAATAATGTGCTGGGCTGGATTGGCTTGTGGTTAACCCTGTAGTGCAGGTAAGAACACTGTGCTGACTTGGAGATGGAGTCTGAATTAAACCACTCTCAGGTTTCATACCTGGCCACAGTGCACCTGAATCAGATAAATTGCACCAGTTACAAACAAAATTGGTGGTGGTCAAGCCAGGCTTCCCACTGAGATTCTTTTTGCCTCCGAGTACAAGTGACAAAACCCATCACCTAAATATGGAAGGTGGTTAATGTGCAAATTCTGAGGCACAAGCCTAGAGAAAACAGCAAAGAGGAAGAAGATGGGGAGAAAAGCTAGCCAAAATTAAAAGAGGGAGAAGAGGTATGGTAAGGTTAATTTCCAAGCCTTTGCAGGGGGAAAATGTGCTGGCGTTTCTAATTAAACTCTTACTAGACTGATGCTAAGGAGCTGATTGTCACCCTTTCGATTCCTGCACAGCACTACAGGGAGCTGGTTGTGTGGAGGATAATGTTACCAGCATTTGTTTCCGTTCTGAACTGTTTCTGTGGCACACTATCCACAGGAATATTTCACTGACACATTCAATGATAATTACTGCATAATGCATTTAAGATCAATTACCAAGAATATACATGAGAGATAAGCACAAGAGAACAGCACACACACTTGATGAAATCAATTTGAAAAAAAGGTATTTATTTTGCTCAAACTATCCTCTTGTCACGTACAAGAGCAGCTAGACCCGACTCTCTGCTACTGTGCTCCTCTGTAATCTTTTATCTATTGTCAACTATGTTTAAAATGACCCAGATTCGAGGTAACTCTTCATTTGTCAGAACTTATCAGATGTGTTGGGTAGAGAGGGAGACCACAGGTCAGTATGTGCTTTGCACAGAGAAGATCCCAGGTATAATCCCTGGCATTAAACAGATCAAGTAGCAGTTATGGAGAGATCCTGGAGAGCCACTGGCCATGATCACATGTGACAATAAGCCAGATAACAATGACCAACATCCCAGGGAATCTGCGAGAATTTCTGAGGCACTCCTAGCTACCAGAGACACCTGCACCTCCAGTGACAGAGCTTGATCTAAAAGTACCTGCAGACTATGTACCTGCCCTTGAGGGAGAGTGCAACCTCATCCAGGGCAAACAACTGACTAACTTCCTGGACCCAGGAACTGCTCCCTCACAGAGCTTCCACCTTGCCAGGATTCAAGCTGAGCTTATTAGTCCTGATCAAGCCCAACACTGCATCCAGACACTGGTCCATGGCTTTCATAACCACTCCTGATGTTACAGAGAAAGAGAGTTGGCTACCATCAGCATACTGATGACACCTCACTCCTAATGACTGCTCCCAACATCTTAATAGATATTTAAAATAGCACCGGAGATGCCATAATGCCCCGCAGCATCCCACAGCTCAAGGGCCAGGGGCCCAAGAAACACTCATCCAATACTGACTTCTGGAAATAAGGATAGAACTGCAGAACAGTGCCCCGATACCCAAGGCTGATGGTATCAAAAGCTGATGAGAGATTGAGCAGAAAGAGCAGGGACACTTCTCATCCTTTTTCTGATTCACTCCTAAAGCCAGATCTGAACCCAGACTGGAAGGGGTTTAGATAATTCATAATCTCCAAGAATGCCTGAATTCTATTGCCATGTCTTTCCGTCTCAGAGTGTGCCTCTGAGGGTGAGGTCAAACTGCTGTGTTAGCACCAAAGTGACCTCCCCAGGTTGCAAGCCTGAGCAGTGTGTATGGAGGTCCTGGGCTGTCCAGACGACAAGACGCCCTCTTGGCCTCACTGAGGTGGTCCCAAGGAAAGCAGCTTGGCTGCAGGAGTTGCTGAAAGAAGGCATACAAGGAGACATCCAACTGCCTTAGGGACTCTACTCTGGATTTGCACAGGGTTTACTCCTTGGCCTTTTCTTCTCTTGAATATATCCTGCAAGGCAGCAGAGGTCTAGGATCAAAGTTTTCCTTCTTCTAGATGGGCTACCTTCCTAGGTTGGTAAGCCCTATCTGCCTTACTTTCTTGAGTACTGTGCCCCAAAACAGGGTATTTAAGACTAAGCGGTAGGAGTTGTTAAATAATCAGTTGTTTTTTTCAAGAGAGGCTGCACCATTTCCTCCTTCAAGGCGGCAGTCACCACCTCTTTATGCAAAGATCAATTAACCACACCCTGGACCCATCCAGTTATGCCCTTTCACATTGGCTAGCTTTAATCAGCCATGAAGGTTTGAGGGAGAATGTGGCTGGGCATAAACTTGCATGTCACTGGGCTGCAAAAACTGAAAATGATCCCGCAAAACAAGGCTTGATGGAACATTAGAAACCTGACGGAGCTGTGATAACCATGGCATCAAACTAACTATGGAGGTGGGTGACTTTGACCTCAAAGTGCTCATCACAGTGGGTCTCCCAAGGGTTCTGCCTAAAGTTAGAAATATCAACAGCCAGTGGACCACCCTGAAGAGCTCCACTGAATGCTTACTTGAGGATAAGTTGAAGGCAGCAAAGTACACTGTTACATCTTTGCTATTTTCACCACAACCCACACTCCAGATGTCATCTGGCTTGTTTCTTAACAAGCAGCTCTCCAGTATACCAGGAGGCCAAACACATTCTGCAGCACCAGAGACTGCACTCAGGAGCAATTCTATCAATGCCATTCCACATCTTGCCATTCCACTGCAAAGTGAGAGCCTGGGAAGGATCACCAGCATCGAGAAAGGAGTATCAAGAACTCCATCAGATTCCATTAAGTATCTGGGGTTGGACCATCTTAATTGGTTCTCCACTCCTGTGGGGGGAAACTGGTAGCATTAGCCCAAACTTCATCAAAAAGTGTCACAGAACTGCCCACCCACCTTATTTCCAGGCCGCCAAACGTGCCACCAAGGGCAAAACCCAAACTGAGCGTGTACCCTTCACTATGTAACAGGTCAAAGACATCTTGAGACAGCTCTGTGGTTGACATTGAGGTCATGAAGTCTTGAGTCAGACCACTGAGAGCAGTTTCAGCATGGATGTTGAAGTCACCCAGGACAATATTCCCAGGGTTCTCCAAAACCATGCCAGAGACCTCCCACATCAGTTTGGTAAAGAAGGCTGCTGGACAGCAGGTTGGGTGGTACTATCACAACAGTAACAGGATAGATAGTGCCTAGGTGAATTTCACCAAAGAAATTTTAAAAATTGCCATCAAATTACTAGAAAACTCTCTGTGAGCAGCTTGGTAAACCATTATGATAAAGTTAGTACGCTAGGGTTAACACACCCACACCCAAAATTAAGAATGCCAAATAGCTTTAGAAAATGCATGATGCTTTCACATTCAATAATTCAGGCAATGAAGCAAGTACAGTTTCTTATGTAAGACTCATGTGTCTCATTCCAGAAACATGTGTGGCTTCTTGCATTATATATATAAGAAGAGCTGCTTATGGGTTTCCCCTGGTATCTCGCTGGACATTGTGAGAAGGAGAAGGCTGGACTAGATGAGCCTTTGGCCTGATCCACAGCAGGGCTCTTCTTAGGTTCTTATGAAGGAAAATAGTAATTTACATACACAGTTTCACAAAATACCTTTTACTGTAAGAACTCTGGCTTACCAAAAGGAGGTAGTCCATAGGCTTGGGTTGTCTGAGGATAAACAGCGTATGTCTGCGACTGCTGCAGTGCTTGGTACTGAGTCTGACCAGAATAAGAGGCCATCGTTTCCGATACAGGTACAGAAAGAATATGTGCATATGGCCTGGTTAAATAAAAGAAAAATATTGCCATTAAGGAAGGTTAATAAGTAACTAGGTAAAAGGGTTGGATAAGGGAGTGAAGAGTTTCCCACTCCCAAGCTCAACCTGTCCCTCAACATATATTCCCTATAAGTAGTATTACAGCAGAAAGAGAGAGTATGCCTGGGGTACATGGAATTGCCTCCCCTTCCTGGCTTCCTCCCGATAGCACAAGGCTGCCACAGGCTGCACACTTGCTCCTTTGGGGAGAGAGAGGAAACCGCTCCTCGCTTCAAAGCAACCTCGTCACAGCCAGGGAACTCAGGAGACAATGCTCATCTCTTATGACAGGCACGTCCAACATTGAGGAGGTTGTGATCTGTAATTCAATATCAAAAACTGGCAGTGATCTACCACCCCCCGAAGTCATTAAACAAACAAACAAACAAACAAGCGGATCTTTATTTCACAGTCAGAGCGTGCAGGGCTTCTCTCTCTCTCTCTCTCTCTCTCTCTCTCTCTCTCTCACACACACACACACACACACACACAGCATACTCACTCCACCTCCAGCTTTCCCCTACTGTTGCTTTTAAATGCAGCTGACTTCGTGTCAGCATCCCCAAGCCCTTACTCCACCTCTCTTTCCCCTAATGTTGCACGTTAAAGCCTTTCCCTCACTCAAACTCATGGAGCGCTACGGGGGCTTTCCCCCGTGTGTTTTGTTCTTTGCCTCCCTCGCTGTTTGTGGAGGGGGGGGGCTCCTTTCTTATTTATTTCTTTGCTTCTGAACTAGCGGGCAAGCAGGCAAGGAGCTTTTCGTTCCCTGCTTCCCCCCTCCAGTTTGTCAAACACGCAGGCAATGCAGAGGGGGCAGCAAGGAAGGAAGGCAAGCCAGCTTTGGAAGGAGGCTCAGATGGAGGAGGAGGAGCTCAGGCTTACATGAGACTGGCAGCAGCAGTGGCTGCTGCTGCTGCGTCCAGCTGCAGAGAAAGGCTTTCCTTTCTCAGCCTGCGATCAACGAAAATCAGTCTACAGTCCCTGAGTCGATCGCGATCGACGTCTTGGACATGGGGGTCTTATGAGATTCATGGTCTCCTATTGCTCACAATCAGGCTTCTGGGGTGTATACACCCTCTAAAAGACAGGAGCATGTGGTCTCCAGATTGCTACATGCACTTCTGTCGCACAGAAGGTGTACACATCAGGCAGCGGAGGAAAATATATTTCTAGGTGCAATGCATTCACCCTCACAGTTTAACAGGTATTTCTGACATGGGAAGAAGGACTGTATGGTGTGCATTTTTTAAGGTCAACTCTTCCAAGGGTGGGGGGGAAGGGCAAGGCAGGCTTTCAAGAAGTCATGCCCATGGCTGATTGCTCCCCGTTCCCCATGTAAGCACACAATCCTTTTCATTGCAAGGAGGTGGTCTCTCTTGCCATTTAAAGTATTCTTTAGCTATGGGCAAAGTTGCTACCGAGAGTGAACGCTGTGTTGTCAACGTAAAGTGTCTTAAGACGAAAACTGGGCCCAAATCCCTTCACCGACTGAGGTAGTAGTATCTGTTGTGAAAGTGGAACCCTATTGAACACTATGGAGAAACAAACCATCAGTTGAGCCAAACTATTCAACTTACTTTGCAGAATACATCTGTGAGGTATATTCATTTGATGACCTTGAGATGTAATCAGTGCATGGCATAACTGGAAAATATATAGAGATTGATAAGTACACGTATATTACTTAAGAGAACAATAATTTTGAACATATCAGCGCAAGAATCACAAAGTTGTAATGTTCACTGTTGTATTTAGAAGACATATGCATTCCAGTGTAAATAATACATGGAAGTGGGAGTTAGGAAGTGGGAGTTTTCACCCTCCTCTCTCATGAGGGAATACGGAGATGAGGGGAGCAGTGCTAGGCCTTGAGCCTCGCTGTGACTCATTCACAATCATCCAAGGCATGGCTTAGAAGGCATCTGGGTCCACCAGATGCTGTTGGACTCAACTCTCCTCAGACCCAGTCAGCATGGCTAATGGTAAGAGATGATAGGGCTTGTAGACGAGCAACAGATACATGGCCAAAGGGTCTCCACTCCTGGTTTAAATGATTCTCTGAACTAGGCCAACATGGGAGAATTATTAAGCCAGAGAAGCATTACATAGAAAAGAAGGAATCACAGCAAGAGCTAATTCTAGCTGTGAGAATGTGTGTAGCAGCTCACTAAAATGAGCTACTTTGCCCAAGCTTTATGCCAGAGGAGGGTATTCAAGGACAGCTGTATGGTTAGTTCCACGTGTTCTGCATGCTGTGCTTACAGAAGTAACTGTATATTCCTCTGAGAATGCCCTCCTCCTATATTACACAGTGCTTATCTATAAGCAGGCAAGTCAGCAGGCAGTGGGGGTAAGTCCTAGAAATTACTTATATAATTGCTTTGTATAATTAGAAGTCTTCAATATACTACCATACACCCTTTTCCTTCTTTGGGCTTAGTATACATCATACATTTAAAGCACATTTCCCCTCCAAGAATCCTGGGAACTGTGGTTTATCCAGCACAGAGCTGCAATTCTCAGCACTACAATCTACAGTTCCCAGAATTCTTGGTGTGTAATGTGTGTATTCTTAGAGTCCTATGGCTCTTTTCCTATGTTAGGGAGATAACAATCTGGCTAGTGTGATTGCATAGCATTTCAACGATAGTATCTGAAACTCAGCACCTTCTTCCCAAGCTACCAGTTTGCAACTATACTTGCTATGGGGATGGTGTGCCCAGGACAAGATCCTTCCCTATAGGTTACCTAAAGTTTGGATGGGTTTACTATAATTAGTTGTGTCCCACAGGAAGCTGCCTTGTTCTAAAGTCAGACTAAAGCCCATCAAGTTCAATATTATCACCACTGACTGACTGTAGCTCTGTAGTGTTTCAGTCAGGATTCTTTCTCAGCCCTAACCTGGAGAAACCAGGGACTGAACCTGAAAACATGGTTACTCAACTACAGCCCTTTCCACCATTGCCTTTAAGCTATGAGCAGTAGTCTCTTGGTTAGATACCCAGGTTAGGACCAAATGCCAGCTATGGCTGAACCAGCAGGAGAGAGCAAAAGGCAGTTTTGGTATGCTTCAGCTGACAGTGTATTGACTGTCACCAGAATGACCCAGCCAAACAATTAAAGGAGCAGAGAGACTTGAGAGAATACTGTGGTGGACACCCCTTCTTAAAAAAACAGTGTTAGTGGCTCACGGCTTTCATTTTCATTATTAGCATCATATGTTCTCTCCTGTTGCAGCAGCCCCTTGATATCCTTGCTCAGCAGCCCCTCACAAACAATAGTTTGTAAAGAAGGTGCAGGTGCCAACATTATGCCAAACCATGGCTTTACAAACCATGATTAGTGTTATGCCTGGATTTAGCCTCTGACAGACCTAGGGGACCTTCAGCCAGATGCTTTTACACCCCCAAGTGCATGAGGCAATGGGGCTAATACCATCTCCATCTGGTTCCTTTGTGGTTACAGAACACAAAGGCTGTAGCTCAGTGGTAGTGAATCTGCTCTGCCTGCAGAAGGTCCCAGGTTCAATCCCTGAAATCTTGGAGGAGCCTAGACAATATTCAGTATATTGTCAGCATAGACAATATTGAGCCAAATGCTCTGACTCAATATAAGGCAGCACCCTATGTTTCTATGACAGAGAGAGGTAGTACATTTTCTTCCCCATTTGGTTTCACTGACAGGCAAGTTCAAAGGAATAGCTTAATGGCTCGTTGATTCAGGAAGCCTTGCATTTTTCTGGTGTGTGTGTGTGTGTGTGTGTGTGTGTGTGTGTAGATTCTCCTCAGAAACCTGGGAATTCTAAGCACTTGTCTGTACATTTCAGGCACACAAACTTACCCAGTTCTTCTACTCAACTATAAAGATAAAGAAGGCACTTACTTTCATTGGACATGGACAGGTTTGAACCAAGGCTTGAGGATTCAGGTTTCTGATCACTATCGTCTGTGCTGTTCACTTGCCTGAAAGGATCAATACAGAAGCAGGAGCTGTTGCTTATCTCTGCAGCACAGAAGCACTGGCTTAATTTCAACATCAGGTCAAACTATAGCTTGCTCTCTAAGCACAGTTAAGAAGACAAACCAGAAGGGATGAATCATTGCAAACTGAGTGGGGTGCCTTGCACAAATGGAGCTCCACTTGCACAAGGTGCCTCCACCCAATTTTGGGAACACTTCTTCTCTGATGGTCCCACATGGCCCACCCCACACCATGCAGGAGGATCTCATACCATCTAGGAAGACTTGAGGGGTGCATGTTCTGGGGGGCAGCAAAGTCCCTCTCCATGTTCTTCATTCCATTCCCAGTTTTCACAATTGAAACCGTTGTGAAGTTAAATACTGTATTCCTTATCCCAGTTCAAGACAGAGAGCCATGTTTAATGCTGCAGTTCTGTGTGTGCAATGGAACTTCTTCCTCTCCTGTCCCCACAGCCACCCTCCACCCATCCATTTTGTGTTGTGTCTTTTAGACCTTGCTTTTAATCTGTGCACAGTGCTTAGTAGACATGAGGTGCTTTAGACATCATGATGATGATGATAATTTTTTATTAGCACAATGTACAGCAATGGTTTTATCCCTAAACAAACATTTTTGGAATATTTGGTAGGTTGTGGGCTCTCCTTCCTTGGAGGTTTTTAAGCAGAGGTTGGATGGCCATCTGTCATGGATGCTTTAGCTGAGATTTCTGCATTGCAGGGGGTTGGACTAGATGACCCCTGGGATCCCTTCTATCTCTATGATTCTATGAAAACATGTGCTTTAACTGGGATCTAGTAATCATTTGCCCACAGCTGAAAATTGTGTATGAAGCTTAACTGTGGCAAGTATGTTTTCCTAGTGAGAGGGTACACATATTAAGTTTTCCCTTAGCTAAAATTCCTGAAATGACTATAAAAACTCCAATTTAGAGATGGGAAGGGTCACAGCAATAGAGCAACTGCTTGGCATGCAGAAACTCCTGGCTTTGATGCCTGAAGTGCTGGGGTGCCATTGCCAGGCAGTGTAAACAATACTAAGCTAGATGAACCAATGATCTGCCTTGGTAGAAGACTACTTTCTATGTTCTTGTGTGTTGTTAGAAGTGTTATTTGCACTCAATATAATGTGGAATTTGGGGGTTTCCCAGCTGTAAGTAAAGTAATGCTTTCAATAATTTTCTAGAGTGCAACATTACACACAAAAAGCATGCAGGATGCAGCATGCAGTGGGATCCAGTAAACAGTTACGCAGAAGCAGAAGCTATCTGTAAAACACCATATTGTTATGAGAATGAGCAATTGCAAGCCTAAAGTGTTCATGGCTCCCTCTTCCCTCCCCCTGTGTGGGCAGAGACCGAAAACTTCCTACAGTTTGAAACAAACCACAGTTTTCCATTTCAGAATATGGGAAACTGTGGTTTGTGCAAACTATAGTTGGGATGCAAACTAGGATCAAACCATGGTGCAATATTCTGATTTTTACAAACCAGCCTCCCATACTCAAATAAAATAGAAAACTGCACTTCCTTGCAATCTCTTCCTCTTTCGTGCAAAGAGGAATGGGTGTGTATGTGCAGTAGCCTGAGGCTCAGAGATTCACATTCTCATAATAATTAAGCTTTTTCTTGTACCGGGGCACTATACTCAATGGGACTTCCCCCCTCTCTGAATTTGGCTCCAATCCCTACTTCATGAAAGCCTTGAAAACAAATGGCTCTTTTTTTAAGTTCCTGATCACCATCTGTGAAATGTTAATAACAGCGACCTACTTCACAGGGTTGTTGTAAAGATTAGTCAAGTAAGATTTGTAATGTCCAACAGATACTAAAACGAAGTACAAATATAATCAGAGTAATAGCTCTTTCTTTTAAACAAAATATACAAAAACCCCACAGAAATCTGACAAGTGCAGTTAAAAAACAAATTCAAGAATTACACACCTTAACAGCTGTTCACCTGATTCCTGCATCTTGGCTTTTTTCATCTGCAAAGAGAAATATATTCAGTGATATCAGGTTAGCCATGTCATTAATACAACTCTCGACTACAAAGAAAGGGCTGCATGCTGCTGGTAGTAAATCAATATATTTATGTTTGCCTAAATATGAAAAATAGCATACGAGTCACAAAGGTTTGGCTCAGACATTATGGGGAACCACGACTAAGAAAGCAGCCAAAGTACCCTAGAGCTATTATCCAAAAGATCTAGTTTTCATAAATTGGTTTTTCCTATTCTGTAAATATGGTGAGGAATATGTTAAAAGCGGGATCGCCCATCCAAGTTTAGAGCCACTGGAACCTAACAAAGTGAGGCATATAAGGGTAGTTTTACCCTCTTCTAGTGCCCTTACTGCCATTTTCGCTTGTTGGTTTTCTTACAATTTTTTAGATTCACACCTTCCTTGAGTGTTTTTGCCTGCCTGGAATATGTCTTGAACTGTGATCAGGCCTTTTGCTTGCCAAATGAAGGACAGAGAAAGGCGTGAGGGTGTGTTAAAACTTGCCTATTGTCTGAGGTAAATTTTACATTGCTCCACCTGCTTTTGCCTCTGGCATGTGGCCCCCATAAGGGAATGTGGCCCTCAATCTGAAAACAGTTCCCCACCCATGCCATTAATTATAGCTTGCCAATTCAGACTTCACGTTAGGGCCCATGCTCAGGGGAATCATCCAAAGTGAGCCTGTATCGTCTGCTTCTACCTTTCTCCTCTCTCTAGGGAAGTGAAAATGAAAGACCAGCCTCACATCTGGAAAGATCTGCCAATGCTTTGCCATTAAGCCTTGAGCTCTAACAAGCGCAGATAAGAAATTTCAATTTTCCTGCAAACCTGGCATGTGGCACACGTCTACAGCACTTGTAATAAGATCACTTAGCACGTTTTAACGATAGCCATCTGTGCTGAAATAAACACTGGGAAGCAACATTAAATTATCTAGTCTGGGTTACTATGTCAATAAGAGGATACAATCTAACCTTTAATGTAGAGCACTTACATAAATGTTGCGCACAGCGCAGCCTAGAGGAGCAAGCGGAGACTTTATTTTCTTCCACTGTTCAGCCAAAACAGAACTAGCCACTTGGAGAAGCTGATTTTAGTATTAAAAGTTCCTTCCTCAAATGAACTTCACTTGGGCAAGGGCCACAGCACAGTGGGAGAGGATCTGCCTTGCATGCAGAAGGTCCTAGGTTCACTCTCCAGTTAGGAGATTTCAGGCATGCCCCCTGCTTGAAACTGCTGCCAATCTGTGTAGACAATAAGGACCAAAGTTCTGACTTGGTGTAAGGCAGTTTCTTGCGTTGAAACCACTGAAAGCCCAACAGTTTCCATGATCTGCTAACTCCCTACTGCAAATATTCTGAAAGCTGGAACTTTTTCAGTGAAAGTTTATCTTGTGAATCACTCTGCAATATTTGGATGAAGGGCGGTATATTATTATTATTATTATTATTATTATTATTATTATTATATATTATCTGTCAGTGATGTGCATAATAATCATTTTACAAATCTGACATTCAGCAAAACTTCCTTAAAACCCCCATTACTTCACAAATAAAACTGAACAGTGTACAAAACAGAGAGTTAAAGGGTAAACATGCAAGATTTTAGAGAAGCATTAAAAGTTTTCTGCCTCACAAACTGCCCAAGAGAGGGCTTTCCAGAAGGTGGTACTATCACTGTCACGATCAGTTGGGTATTGAACAACCTACAACAGGAGTCAGCAAACTTTTTCAGCAGGGGGCCGGTCCACTGTCCCTCAGATCTTGTGGGGGGCTGGACTATATTTTGGAGGGGGGGGGAAATGAACGAATTCCTATGCCCCATAAATAACCCAGAGATGCATTTTAAATAAAAGGACACATTCTACTCATGTAAAAACATCCTGATTCCCGGACCATCCGCGGGCTGGATTTAGAAGGCGATTGGGCCGAATCCAGCCCCCGGGCCTTGGTTTGCCTACCCATGACCTACAAGGTCTCCTTGAAATATTTCAAATACCAGCTTGGTCTGGGACTGGAGGTGGGAGAGGAGAGGTGGTCTGCTAGGCACCTTGATCCGAAATTGTTTAGGTTTTTACATTTCCACAGTAAAACCTTCAACTTGGCCAGGCAGCTAAAAGGTAGCTAGTGCAGTTCTTTCAGCACCAGTGTAGTATGCAATTTTAAAACATTGTTCATGGGTATTATTATTATTATTATTATTATTATTATTATTAACACTGATTCGTTAAACGTCTTCTAAACCACAGTCTCAAGGTGATTCATGTACAAATAGCTAAAACACAAAAACAATCAATACATTTAAAGCAATACTAAAAATCTATTCGCTCTTGGGTGTTTTGTTGAGTTTCTGCTGTGTTTCTCCCAGTCATCTGAGGTGAAGCAAGCAGGTACATGAGGCAGGGTCTGTGCAATAAGCTCTAGAGATCTTCCCTCGAGAAAGCTTGTCTGGACTTGATGCCTTCCAGGGCTGCATAAAATATTTTCATTTTCTAGAGAGGGCTTGGAAGGGACACACCGATAAATACTTTGAATTTGGACGCTGCTCTGAGTTTCTTGCTCTGTCTGTCAGTTTTTATACTGGAATTGCTCACTGTTGCTAGGACTCATTAATGTGTGGCTGACATTTATCGTTCGTAAAGTGCATGTCAGATATGCTTTCTTAGCTGCTGCGAGTTGTTTGCTATAATGGAAAATATGGGACACAGATCTCTGAAAAAAAAAACCATGTAGGAAATGCCTTGCTAAATCAAGTAAACTATTCACCTGGTCCAGGTCCCTGATGCCAACAGTGTTGCTGGCCAATCAGAACAGCCAGAATGAAAGTTCCTAAGCAAGACATCTAAGGAGATGCTGACTCCCAGCATCCTATGACCAGCTGGTCAATTTTAAGCAATTGTGGTTAACAGTAATAACAATGCCCCATTTTAAATAAACCAATAAAGTTAAACAAATAAGACACCCCCTCTCCAAATATTAAGACAATGGGTGATATCCAATTATCATGCCAGTGGGCGCAACAAGACTTCTCCTTCCGCTCCTCAAAAAAACTACCCTGGGCTGTGTGCCCCCCAACTGCCTCAAGCAGATTTTGGAAGCACCCAAGGGCTGGGGGGATGGGAACAGATGATCTTATGGAAGCCAGATGATCGTATTTGACATCATCCTATGTAATGCATCTCCCGGCACTCACATCTTATGTCTCTACAGCCTTCTGCATCCCTTAGCTAGGATTCAGAATGTTTCTCTCATGCGCAAAAACCTTCCTCTCAGTTGTTATTAAATTGTATGTTTCAGTTGGGAAAGATCCAGAGATACATTTGGGGGGAGAGAGAGAAAATAGTAAGAGTAATTCATCAAAAAATTTCATTTTGTTTCCTAACTCTTATTATTGGAGGGGGAAAAAATCCAAATGCATGTCCATAAAACAGAAGAAAAGTACTTTGAAAACACCATGTTTCTGAACATCTGCCAAGAAGAAAACATGATCCCCAGTCCCTATAATAACCTTCAGGTTCCTAAATTTAATTTACAAAGCTCTCTCTTGTTTGGAACCTCGTTGTCTTAGAGATCTGACACCTTCATAAGAATTAATATTCCTCCTATGGCTCTTGCTAATTTTGCCACACTTTGACATTGGCATATGAGTGTTCACCACAAAAATCTCATCCTTTTAATATTTCTATACCTCCATTCTCTTATTTGTGTTCCAAATTAGGGACCTTCAGGAGACAGTATAAAGAAGTAATGGGATGAAGGTCAGATTGGGAAGCTATCGGAAGTTCTTGTATTTTTGTTGTTGTTGTTGTTGACGACTGCACTGAGACCACAGTTTCACAAAATGCTTTAGGTAGCTGCCTCTTGCATTTCAGTTGTGTACAAATGCAAAAAGAGCTGTTTTTGAATAATGAATTGCCCCAAAGCAGTATCTATTGAACAGAAGGTATACATATAACTGTGATGAATACTTGTTTAGATTTATGAGGCAAACCTTTTTTGCATGCATTTGTATGTCAGTAGTTCCCAAGTCAAATTTCAGCTTCCAATCGTCCGCAAATGGTGCACTCAGGATAGATACAGTTGAATTTTAAAACTCCGTTTTAATTAATTCATTAAAATAATTATCAGTGAACTCTATGGTGTTACAAATATCCTGCCTATTAACCACTGGGTTCAGATATAAAATTCTCTACTTCTTTGTTTTCTATTCCTGCAAGCCAAATAGGACACAGAATCAATGTACCGCACTTCAGAAGACTCACTCATTCATGTGAAACACAAATATGTTTGTCTATAGCTGTTGCAGTTTCTCTTATATACTCACAGGCTGTTCCGCTAAATCTTGTACCTCTTCCATGGATGTCTTTTCAAAATGCTCCAGTGGGCAGAATGTGTGTCTTCCTCTGCTGTCTTCAAAGTCTGGAACAAAAGATGGCCATAGCTTTATGTACTTTTGGAAGTGCTTATCATCTAGGCTATCAGTGACTACAGTCATATCTAATGTGACAGTTTTAAAAACAAAACAGGTGGGCTTGCCCAAAACAAAGAGACACCACATTCACGTAGGGGAACCAGCAAAGATTTACCATTAAGCCCCAAGGTACAATAGATAGGGCAAGATAACAGAGACTTGTGTATGTGTGCAACCCGCGGCACGTGGCACATTTCCACAACATTTCCCTTGCAACATAGCCTGCACAAAAGACAGCATTTTCAGTACTTCAGAAGAGCCACGTGTGGGGCACTTGCAGAAATACTTCAGGATTACCAGAGTTACATTAAAATGATAAAAGTCCAGGCCATGTTGTTAGTGAACGCTACGATACAATCTAACCTGCTTTAATGTAGAGCACTTACATAACCGTCACACACACACATGCGCAAGCACATATCACCAACGCAAAACCAGGACAAAAGTTATAGTCACAGCTGCACAAACAGGTAAATGCCACTAGTATAGATGGCCATAAAGGAGGGGGTTAGACAAAAGTCTATCAATGGCTCTTAACAAATATACCACTGAGAATCAGTTTGGGGCAAGTTGGTATTGTCTTCATGCCTTGCCAGCGGGTTTCCTGGAGGCATCAGGTGAACCACACTGGGAAATGAGAAATCAGGACTAGATGGATCCAGTTTCTTAATTTCTTGTTTGTTTGTTTTATTTGCCACTTTTCCCCTAGTTGCTCTAATTATTTTCCAAGAATAACAACACAAATAACACAAACAATAACAGGAAAAGACAACTATCAATTTAGAAAGCCACCAACAGCTGAAAGTCAAAAGAGTACATCTTGCAATTTTTGTAAACAAACATTCAAAACAGGGCCTTTTCAGTGGTGGTGGCATGACTATAAACTTTGAGGAAATCCATCATGCCTCCTTTCTTGCAGTCTTTGGGCGTGTTTTAAAACCTTTTTGTCCCACAAAATATTCAAGGATAAAGCCTTTTTGCCTCTGCAGCGGCTCTTTGATTCTGTTTCCCGTTTATTTATTTTTATGATAATTTTTAACCTGCCTTTCTAAAATGCATGCATAATCCAGGCGGGCCTATAATATGTACTCAGAATTAATTTTTCGTTGAAAATTTCACACATTAAAATAAATGGAAAGAAGAGCACCTTGTGCCGATTTATCCGAATAGTCCCAATACAAAATGCTTCCTTGGAAAGATATTATGTTGAAAGGATTACCTAATAAAAAATTAATAAAAAAGAGACAACTATCCTACCCTAACCTTGGGCTGAACCCTTCCCAAAGGCGTTAAAAAAAATCAAGGTAGTAACTTCATTCTGAAGGGATGTGAAAAATATTGTACGAACATAATCATATAATCCCAAAACGTCCAAGAGTCCAAGAGGGTGATCCTATGGCAAGATCCACTGAGATGAGCAGTTTAGGATGTAGCAGATCTCCGGCTCAGCCATCGTGAAGTCCCCACGTCAGCTTCTTGTGCATAGGATTGCTCCCTAAGTAAATCCTTCTTCAAAGGACATACCAGACTTTGGGGCAGCCCAATACCTGACGCCCATTGTCTCCGTGCAACGTCAAAACAGCACATACATATCCAAAATCAGGAGGGCTCCCCTTTCCAGATTATAACCACAGCACACAGACTGAAATGTGTTTTAAACAACATTAGGCACTGCTGTTAGCTTTATGAAAAAATAATAATAAACATGACATTTGTAGTTTTGTGGTTTTCAAATTTGTTATATGAAATAAATTAAAAAATGGTGCAGTAGCACCTTAGAGAACAACTAAGTTTGTTCTGGGTATGCATGCACACGAAAGCTTATACCCAGAACAAACTTAGTTGGTCTCTAAGGTGCTACTGGACCATTTTTTAATTTTTTAAATTTATTTTGATTGCGTCAGACCAACACAGCTACCTACCTGAACTTATATTATATGGTTTTCATAGTTCTATAATTATTAAAGACTCTCTTGATAGGATTTTGGCCTGAAAGGCAGCATAAAATAATATTTGTCTTAAAAAATGCACAGGTTGCATATACTTCAGTATAAAACGGACAGGAAAAAGTATCCTCTCGAGCCACAAATGATAAACAGAAACAATGTAAAGATGAATCAAAATTTCTGGACTAGTTCAATATAGTTTTATATAGTTTTATATAATATTTATGCAAAATATTACTATACTGCTCTTCTTCAAAAAAGGAAAAATATCCTACATAATCTAAAAACAAAGAAAATGACAATAAAGAGTCACAACAACATTAAAATAAGCCAGCAAATTACTTTGTCATAAGCAGATCTAAAATGCATAAAATTCCTTGAAGAATAAAAATATTTTTGCCTGGGGGGAAAATGATGATCATGCAGAAAACCTCCCTGGGGCATTCCACAGTTTATCCATAATTCCCCCCCCCATGTGTATATTTGTTATGGTGCTGTGTCTCACACCAATTCTCTAGATGTCATACAACAAATTCATGACAACAAGATCACATAAGGATATAGTCAACAGTAAATTCCAAAGCCAATACAAACGAATAAAACCAATACCAACCACAATTACATTTAACTCAGAAGGAGAGAAAAAATTCAACCAATTTCCATTACTAGAAGACTAATAATATTTGTGGTGCCACCACAGAAAAGGTCCTCAGTCAAATGGCTATATGCTTGATGGGAAGGCACAGAGAGAAGGGCTCCGGCAGATGGCTAACAACAATTTCTTAAAATAAACGGTCAGAAGATAACATAAAACCCGATAGCAACTAAAAACTGCATTTGGTACTGAAGCTCTCCATGGAAAGGTTAAAATTTAACAGCAAATGATTCTGCTAAACATAATGTTACTACCTTTTTGCTCTCTGCTCTCACTCTGTCTTTCTGCGGCTGCACGAGGATTTGTAAGATGGTTTATCGCCAATATGCGCCTGCACTAGGATTTGTAAGATTGTTTATCAACAACAATGTCCAGTGTGCATTAGCATTTGTAAGATAGTTTATCAACAATTGGCTTTCAAAGGTTAACTCTTCCGTGGAGAATTTCATGCATTTATTTTACAAAACGTCTGCATATATATTATATGGAAAACATTTTTGCAACTTTGGCCTTTAATCTTTCTAAATTTCCTAAAGCAGACTTAGCTGTATCAGTCTACTTACCACTAGGGAACTGTGTATCTGATTGCAGCTTTACTTATGTGATGAGGAAACTAATTCAATCTATGAAGAAAAGATCTCGACCACACACAAATTTACTTAGAATTAGGTATGTCATATACTGAAACCGTAAATTCCAAAATGTTATTTATTCATATGTGTTGTTTTCTGTATTATAATAGAAATGCAATCCTTTTTGCATTTATGTTCTTTTGTTTCTCATATTACAACAGTTAATTTACCAAAAAATAAAGCTCCTAGGTGAGAAAATTTTAGGAGCCAGGAGAAAATCTGTCAGTGCCAGCCTCCGACAGTGTTGGCTATATTTTCTTAGGTTCCAGCATCACATTTTAACCTTCTCCAGCAGTACTAATTAGGAACAAGTTAAATAAGCTTTAGCTTTCTAAATGTTCTGTATTACCACCAAAAAGTAAATATTTCTGAAGATTTTCATTCAGAACTGCAACACAAATGGCCTAATAGCTCCAAACAAAAAAATCAATTCTAGGCAAGAAAAATCTGCTTTGCAGTTTAATGCCTTTTTTCCTCACGATTTACCCAAAAGAGACCCTTTTGCATAGGAAACTAAAAACACAGTCCAGAAAAGCAAAGTGCACATTTATTCTAAGAAATACAGAAATCCACAGTACATAATTCAATGCAAAATTACTGCAGTGTGATTTCAAGTCACATTTCCTCCAAGCAGTATAAAGTTGTGTCTGGGCTGCAAACTGCAATAATTTCCTCCCCATTTTTTAAAGGGGCCTCACATGACTAAATGCCCCTTTTTAAAAATCACATATGCTAAGGAGAAGGCTAAGCTAGGACCTTCTCCCTGCCATCCTGGTTTTCTACATGGAAAGCATTTTTTAAATTATTTGAACCCTTGCAAAGAAGTGACACAGTCCACATACAGACTTACAATCTCAGTGGCCAAATTTAGAAAATCCTTCTCAGGATAATAAACCACGGCTTAATAAACTCCTCTTTCCAGTACATGATAAATATTGATCCGTATAGATTTATGAACTTTTCAATTTCCCCGCTCAGGAGTTACCTTAGTCCGTCTATTTCACCATATATGCCACAACCCTTTTCAAAGAAACCAGTAAGGAATACTGAGAATAAATGTGGGTGTCCCCCTTCCCCCAGTTATAGGAAACATTTTACACTAAAGGTACTAACAAGCTTGATACAAATTTGATATCTTACTTTGGAATAAGGGAACCCCTTTTAATTAAACCCCAAAAATGATACATATTTTGACAGTAAACATTATCAAAACCCGTTCATTGTTTATTTTAGATCTCACTAGTTTCCCCACATATTTTAATCTTAGGCCCCCAAAACAAAACATAAGTCAACATTGGTGGGGTTACATCTCCCAAAATTAGCCATTTGATAAAAATATTTTAATGTAGCAGTATGATAGCTTGGTAACACATTTTCTTTGAAATCTGGACTAATCATGGTGTGTATAATCTTATTCGAAATCCATTATTCCAAAACTTTATCAAATATAACAGATAGTAAGTCTTTCCTTCTTAAAGGTACATTGTGTTCAAATCTAACAGCAATGAATAAGTACGCCCAAGCCCAAAAACCCATGTTTAGACATTACCAGATTTTAATTTAATACCCACTTCATCCTTCAATGAAACAAAAACAGAATCATGTTGGTGCTCTGAAAACAAATCTTGATGATGCAAAACTAAGTGATTAGAAATATTGCTTTCAATATTTTTACTCTACCCAACGCTACAGTTGCATCCTTAAAACACAAATCATTTTATACAAACTACAAGGTAAACGCCTTTAATCTGAGAAATATTAAATACCAGCATCATTTGCACTCAAATCCTCACTGCATGTTTTAACTGCACTCCTGTCTATAACAAGGCTAAATGTGTCTTTCTGAACGTACGTTTTATTTTTAATTTTTGAAAAAGGCTAACATAATGCACTCTTGGAACAATGCAAAAAAGGGGGGGCTACCTTATAAAATTAAAGAAATTAGTAAGGAGATGTTGTAAGGGCAAAACTGAAACATTAAATGCTTCAAGGCAGATCAAAACACTAAAAATAATCCCAAGGAGAATAAAGAAACAACAGCATTGTCACTGGGCATTTATGTGCAAGTAGGCCCTTCTGCAAAAGAGTTTTTATACCTTATAAATCCAAACAAACTATGATGAAATTATTAAGAGCAGTTCTCTACAGGTGTGTGTATTCTAATATTTCAGCAGGGGATTTGGTTCTGGCTACAGAATTCATCGTAGCCCAAGAATCTCAGCTTTGCATTTGCAGAAAGTGCCACATTTCTAGAACTTATGACTGCAACTTCCAGAGGGGCAGCCACCTTATCTGACACAGCAAAAACAGCAAAAAGTATTGCGGCATCTAACACATTTATTATGTCATAAGCTTTCGTAGATTAGAGTGAATCAAATGAAACTTTATAGCTGAAATAATGGGCCTGAAAGTGTCCAGGCCAGCAGTCTCCAACCTGGCTCTCTCCAATGTTTTGGACCACAGTTCCCACCATCTCTACAGAGGTTGTAGTCCCCAATATCTGGAGCTCACTGGGTTGGGGAAGCTGATATAGGCAATACAAAGTATAGCGGGGGGTTGATTAACAGGATTTCCGGTGGCCAGGGGGTGGAGTTCAGTCCCTTGCATAGCTTCTTAAACATCACCAGGACTATAAACAGATAAAAGCATACAAACTGCACACATTTAGTTCATGTGCATATTCCATGCAGCAGACAGAAATCCCATTTCCCTGATGCAGTATTTGGGTTATTTTTTGTTTTCTTGTACAGCCCCCACCCCACTAGATTTATCTGTCAAGAGAAAAGAGTTTTAAACTGAGAACCACGAATAAGAACAATAATCTCCCTTTGATCCAAATAGTAATTTTGATACCACAGCTTCCTGGATAGTCGGTTCCATCCCACAGAAACCCAGAAAAATCAAAGAATCCAAAGGCCTCGTTCTCCAGATTTGCCACTTTTCAACAACTTTCTCTCTTTAAATGGCAGCTTTAATGAAGCATGTGCAACCGTTTTCCAAACCCAACAACGTTGTATAAATTTCCCTTGCTACAAAGTGTCATTCCCTATTGCTTAGCAACGTTTAATGCCCATGCCAATTGTTTTCTTAGATCTTCAAATTACTTAAATGCTAAACCCTCACAGCATCTACAAGCAGATGCATGTGAAACTGTGCAGAGCAAAAAAGCAAGCTTCATTAACCAACCTCTGGTTGAACGAGCTTCCCCAGAAGCTGTACAGAAAGAACGCGACAAATTACAAACACATTATAGAGTGCATTTCGCTTCATTTCATTTAACTCTGTCTCGAGACTCACTGAATCAAAAGGTGGTTATCAAACAAAAGATACAATTTTTTGTGCTTCTATAGAAAGATACCATGACTCAACACTTACGCTTCTTATTATTGCCATTAATAAACATTCAAAGATGAGACCAACCTCACATTCTGTGTCAATCTGTGCTAAAATCAGTTAAGTGAAGATGATATAACTATTTGTCATAATCCATGGTCCGTTTATTAAGGAAAACAGAAGTGGGTATTTTAAATTAATTTGAAGAATGAACAGTCTATCAATTTTATTAAAAGCCTTTATGGTACAAAGTTCTTTTTTTAAAAAAAGGAATGAGGTTTGCCTTTTGCTTTTGAAAATAATCAAAGACACACGTCTTCTCAATATATCAAGGACAGTGACTACTTTGGGTATCTGTCCCTTCTTCCTTTAGGCTTCAACCATTTCTTTTAGAAATGACATCGAGCAGATCCCTCCATCTGTAATAGAACTGAGTGTCACACGAGTGTGCTTAGCCCTGTAATCTAAGACGGGATAATGTTCCTTTTAAAGAAATGAAAGAGACAAAAACATTAACAAACTAGATAATAAAATATATAACATTTATCTATGTTTTTGAATATAAATCACACTGGTTCTGTTTCCACGCTGTTTGTTTCGTTTACTTCCAAGACTCTGATAGTGTTTTTTGGTTCCAATACCTAATATATATATATATATATATATATATATATATATATATATATATACGACAATTGAAAGAGCATTGGGTTTTTGCCTTAGAAATCCCTTCCAAAATTTCCTATTACAGTATACATTGTTTTAAAAATTAACGTTCTGTGCCATATACGTCTTCCCCAGTCTTCTTATAATGGGAGTTGTTGTGGTTTCCCTTCCCCTAGTTTCTGACCAATAAAGATGCTTCTTACTTGTTTAGTGTGACCACAATTTAGTACCATTGTACACAATTTAGTACAATTTCAGGTGCACAGATGTATGTGCAAATTGCTGAGTGTTTAGACTTCTTTTTCCAGACAGCCTTTCATATCCTGTAAAGCAGGAGTCTATGGCTATTCAGATATTGCTGCACTTCAATTCCCATCATCCCTGACCATTGGCTATGCTGCCTGGGGCTGACAGAAGTTGGAACACAACAGCATCTAGAGAGGCAGAGGTTAACCAGTGGAAAGTAGAGGGGAAGAGCCACAACTCAGTTCTAGACCATCTGCCTTGCATGCCATATTAAATCCTTGGCATTGCATGTAGGGCTGAGAGAGATCTTTCCCTATTTAAAATGTTGGAAAGCCACTGCCAGTCCATGCAGTAGGCAATACTAATCTAGATAGACCAATGGAAAGACTCAATATAAGGAAATTTCCTGTGTTCCTAAGTATACGAACAGCAAATTCTCCAAGCATGAATCCTTATACAGTGGTACCTCGGGTTACAGATGCTTCAGGTTACAGACTCCACTAACCCAGAAATAGTACCTCGGGTTAAGAACTTTACCTCAGGATGAGAACAGAAATTGCACGGCGGTGGCGTGGTGGCAGCGGGAGGCCCCATTAGCTAAAGTGGTACCTCAGGTTAATAACAGATTCAGGTTAAGAATGGACCTCCAGAACGAATTAAGTTCTTAACCCGAGGTACCACTGTATTGCCAAAGTGGTGCCACCAATGCATAAGAGGGAGGTGTCAGTAGGTTTTGGGGAAACTTATTTTTTTAATGCTCTTAGCATGCAGTTATTGCAAGGTAAATTAATACAGCAATCAAGAAGGAGCCATCCACAATGAGTAATATTTAAGCAGAGTATGTACTTGGGAATAATCCTTTGTGTCAGAATTGAGGCATTATGAATAGATAAGGGCACCCCCCCATTTTGTTTGAGAAATGTCAGAGGGTATGCATTCATGGCTGCAGTCTGCTCAAGCAACTGGCTGGTATGAGAAAGAGATTTCAAAAACAATCCAGCTTCTATGGTGTACTATAGTAAAGTTTAAGATGTTAAAAAACACCCCCTCACTGACTAAGAAACAAAACTGATGCCTTTTAAAGAAAAGAGTCTACTTGTAAGACTGGAAATGACAAAAGCATAACATAAAAAGGGGGGAGGGGGAGTGAGGTAAAAACTAGGGCTGACCAAAACAATCACCAGTAAGAAATTCACTGTTCTATTCCATCTGCAGCAGCAAAAAAAAAAAAAAAATGGTTTGCAAGGAAAACAAAGAAAAGAAAACCACCACCATTCTAATCACCCCTTTACTATTTATTGAACAGGATTTATATACCACTTAATCATCAGAAGTGATTTACATAAAATTAGTTTACACAAAAAACCTCTTTTACATATAACCCTGAATACTTTGGCGAATTTATGTATTTATTTATTTATGTTTGCATTTGATTATTATTAATAAATTTTGTGTAGTGCCCTTCATCTGAAGATCACAGGGCGGTTCACAACAAAAAATAAAAAATGAGAACACAAAACTAATTAGCAGCCAGTGCAGTTGGGCCAGGATCAGTGTAATATGCTTAAATCACCTTGCCCTGGTTAGCAACCTGGCCACCAAATTCGGCAACAGCTGAAGTTTTTGAATCATCTTCAGACAGTTATTCCCTATGTATACCAGAGCATAGATGACAGAAGTTAGGCTATCCCTGTGTGGCTGAACCACCAACTAAAGCTGATGTAAGGCACTCAAGTGACAGCAAAGAAGTACCCCCAAACTACATATCCGCTCCTTCAGAGGGAGTGCAACACCATCAAGAGCAGGCCACCTCCCATCCAACCATGCTACGGAAGCACCCACTAACAGTGTCTGGATTGAGATTCAGTTAGTTGGCTCTCATCCAGTCCATTACCAGGGCAAAACAATGGTCCAGCATATCCACAGCCACACCTGCCGATCAGAACTGTGTGTCATCAGCAAATTGCTTACAACATACTCCAAAACTCTGGATAACCCCATTCAGTAGTTTCATGTAGATGTTAAAACAGAATAGGGGATAAAATCGAACCCCACATTGAAGGCTTCACAAGGCTAAAGAACACTCCTGAAGCATCACCCTCCAAAAACAACCATCCAAGCACATCTGAGGGCTGGCTGAAAGGACAACCACAACTCCTCAGGTTGGAAGAAGGCTGGCACGCAGCACAGTTGCTAACTGTCCGCATGCCGTGCGCCCCACCTGCACACAATACCTCCCCTTGCCCAGAACCACATCAATTGGGGTCATCCCTGCTCTCCCCAGCTCCTCTCTTCCCAGGCACATCTTAGGTCCCTTAATTTTAAAAAAACAACAAAACCCGCCAATTTAAAAACACACAAGTTAAAAAGCAGTTTTAAACAATTAAGGCAACAGTAACAGCAACAGAACCCCCGCCCTGCCTTCCTAGGCCAGGTGGAAAAGGCATGCCAGCCAGGAAGCATGTTCCCCAGGATTTGCAACCAAGGTGGTCTCTTGCACCCATGGAATGAACTGGAGCCAACCTTTGAAAAACCACATGGTAGCGTCGTCCCCGGTCTACGCCACTTAAGATGGTTGCCCCATTTAAAATAAAAAATCCTTGCATTCAGGAAACAAGCCTCTTTCTCAAATGTGTAGAAAACTGACACACTGGGGCGAAAAGTATAGCACCATTCTCAAATAAAGCTAAAACAGAACGGCAGTATGTCTATTTTGGTTTAGGACAATGCGATAGGGACTTGTGCCTGTCTCCACTCCTTGGGATACTGGATCGCTGCAGCAGGTAAATTTACTTTCATTCCAAAAAGCATATGTCGATACTAAAACATCTCTTTGATTCCTAGTGCCCTCCTCTTACTGTCAGAGGCCAGCCAAATTTACAGAGCATGTTCAGGGAATCTTCCTTTCCCTTCCCCGGGCAGGGACTCTCTTCTCCTCAACTGCAGAAAAGCAGCTTGTCTTAGCACAACCTTCACATGCCAGGTGGTCTTTGCAGACTCACTTCTGGGTCAGCTGTCCTGGATAGCCACTCCATCATGTCCATGAATTAGGCACTCAGGAATTCTGCATCAACTTCCGTTTTCTCCTCCCCAAAGAGCCATTTAAGGTGCAAGCCACCACAGCTATAGTATATTTAGTAAATGGCTTATCCTGCTTCCACTGAAACCCCACCCCAATCACTCATCCCTCGTCTTTCTGACATGTATTACTGAACAATGCCAATCTGGGAAACACCATGATGGAGAGGCAGCTGGATTCTGCAATGAAAAATGAGATTGATTAGGAGTGAGGAGCTATATGAATGCCACTGGCATTTAGGTAAGTAACTTTTTTTTAATAGCATCATTATCATCCCTGAACCCTTTGGCTGGATAGATGAGAAATAACAAAATTCAAGTAAGCATTCTCTTGATTAGCCTTCTTTGATGTTTTAACAGCCGGATTTTAACTGTTTATTCATGATTTGTATTTTAACATTTTGCATTTTATTGTTTTGTATTGATTTTTATAGACCTGCATCATTTTATTGCTTTTTAACTGGGTTTTAAAAATTGATTTGCAGGTGTCTTTTTATTGGGAGCGGCCTCAAGTACACTTTGGCGTAGAAAAGTGGGAGAAGAGTCATTTAAATAATAAATGAATGAAAAGCACTTCAAAAAACAGTATGAGAAGCACTGTATAAATTGGGAGATGGTGAGAATATAAAACTATTTAAAATACATCCAATGAAAATTCATGTATCTCTCAATTGCCTCCGTTTTGAAGCACAGCTACCCCAGGAGACCTTCACTATTATAATGTTCTGTTTTCCCATTTAGTATTTATTTCCTTCTTTCTAATACTCCTAGCTTGTCTTTCAATAAATACGTTCAGGCAATAGTTAACAAACAAATTAAAAATACATGTATAAAATAAAGGTAATCAAAATCATAGAAAAAATTAATTAGTACTCATTCTACAACTCTGAAGCAACCCAAGAAGAGGCCATACTCCTTGTTCCTTCACATCTCTGTGAGATTTGCCCATTGTACCTTTTAAGCCAAATGAATAGAGCTGCAGGTTTTTCTAGCTGGGGAGGGGGGGAGTATGGTATTTGGGTTTATTTTAACGGTGCCAAAACCCCCAGAAGTGCAACAGTACAGTAATGGGAGTGTGCTAAAAAATGTTAAAGGAGAGACAATGGGGGGAAAAAAGGTGTTCCAAGTAACATCCACATACAAAACGCAGAAAAAACCAAAACAATGAGAAGAGAATATACGGTATATCACTTTGTGAAGACTGCCGAAGAGGAAGGCAGGGGGAAAGTCAAGACTGTTTTAAAAAAGAAAACCTAAACAGAACTCCAACACAGGTTGAGGAGGTGGGAATAGAACTACAAAATGAGACAAAACTCTGAAATGCTTCTCCATAGTGGCATTTCTACTGCAAAAGACAGCACGCAGGCTGACTCCAATATTATGTGGTATTCGTTTTCATGTTTTATAAATTCAAAAACAAAGCACATATATAGAGAGGTTATTTGCTTCCATTCAGTCTTGAAACAATGGCTTTTCATTAATTCAAACACAGACAGAATACAGCATTTGGTTCAGTCTGCAGAAAAAACGGATTAAATGAGAACAGATCACCGAAAAATTGGCTGGTGTGGACACACCTCTGGGGAAAAGCAGAGATTTCTGAAGTTGCTTTCTCACTCTTATGCAACCACCTTAGATAATAAATACAATCAATTACTAAAGTAACAAAGAGTAATATCTGTTAAACAACTTGTAGCCTGATCTTAACCATGTTTACTCAAAAATAAATCCTGTTAGCATGCTTAACAATGAAGCTTGAGATTTATTTTTTTCTGGTCTTATAATTACATCATATGACCTAATTTTCCTGGAGGTGTCACAAACAAATTTTCAACAGCACTGCCTGTTGCTTTTCCGAAGAAACCTTCATGTTTGGAACAAATCTAATACCCTTTAAAGCACAGTGTACTTTGTTTTATTTTGTAACAATACTCAATATGAAATCTTTTTTAAAAAAATTAAATAATTCTGGCATTCTGGCCATAAGCACAACTTCAAAGTGCTATAATTTATTTAAGATGAGCTTGCATTACAGAGCTGACTGTCTATGTTGCCGTTTTTGTTTTTAAAAATATTGTGACGCCAGAATGAAGGAACCACAACATTTTTTTTTAAAAAAAGCAATAAATTGTTAAAATGACTATCACTAATCTAGCTATTATTCAACATATCTTACATTTCCTATCACTGGGAAAGAGCCAAAAAACCCACACAACTAGTTCCACATTCCTAAGGTAGCCCTGGATTTGAGAGCCAGAATACTGTAGTGGTTAAGAGTGTTGGAGTACTTGGGAGAACCGGGTTGAAATCCCCATTTAGCCATGAAGCTCTGTATCTTGCTGTGGGCCAGTTACTGTCTCTCGGCTGAACATAATGCAAACAGTGTTTCTGTGAGAATGACATTGGAATTGGGGAACCACATACACTACTTTGAGCTCCTTAGGGGAAAGGTGAGAAAGAAATGTAGTATCTGAAAGACTGCTTGATTCCTCATGCTGCTACAACCTTGATCACTGACAACTTCTGATTGGGCACTTTTGGGAATCTCCCATGCCCCTGAGGTTTGGGCAGTCTTTCTCAGGAGCCAACCCTTTAGTGAGGCAGGCCCTGCCTTGTGGAACCCCTTGCCAGAAGTAGTTCAGCAGGAGTCATCCCTGCTTTCTTTTAGGCATATTTTAAAAACTTTGCTTTCAGACATGCCTTTGGAATAACTTCTAATGCAATCAACTTTTACTGAGGTGTTATGTTTTTTAACTACTTTAAATGGCTCAGGACCGTGATACTTCAAGGGCCGCCTCTCTCCATATGAACCCATCCAGACCCCGAGATCATCTTCTGAGGCCCTTCTTCATGTGCCTCCTCCACGAGAGGTTCAAAGGATGGCAACACAAGAATGGGCCTTTTCTACAATGGAAGGAATGTTCTGCACTTGCAGAATGCTCTTCCCAGAGAGGTTTGACTGGTGCCTTCATTATACACTTTTAGGCACCAGGTGAAAACATTCCTCTTTAACCAGGCCTTTGGCTGATTGACAGCTAAGCCCTTTTAAAATATGTTGTGGAAGGGGAGATTATTGGGTTGTCTCTGTTTTTGTTTTTATTATGTGTTTTGTGGTTCTTTTATGTTTATGTTTTATGTTTATGTTTTGTGGTTCTTTATTTTTATGTTGGGAACCACACTGAGATCTACAGTTATAGGGCAGTATACAAATTAAATAAATAATCATGATCTGATGGAGTCAGAAATCCAAATTCTGAAGCAGAATGCACTGTTTTTCATGCATAATCTAGCAGCAGAGGGCACAGACACAACTGGGAATTCAGATGCCATGCAAATGATTGGGCACCCCAAAACCTCCAATAAAAAAAATCAACGTTTTGTGATTTATTACGTTCTTATAGCTAGAGCCTCTATGTCCAACCCGTCAATCCTGATCGATCCGTCGATCACAGGGTTGATCTGGGTCGATCGCTGGCCCAAGGCAGCTGGAACACAGCACACTCTTCAACAGCCATAAAGACAATAGCTTTGGGGCATGAAGGAGCCGGGTATCTGACAAGGGAAGGCGGGATCAGGACCAGCAACAGCATCGCCTGAGCAGGGGTGGAGGGAGGCAGGGGGAGAAGGCAGGATCGGCATCGCCCGCCCACCCACTCTGCACCAATCCCTGCCCCCTTGGGGGAAGCAGCCAGCGCCCACCTGCCCACCCATCCCTGCCCCCTCTGGGGAAGGAGCCAGCAACCGCCCACCCACTCTGCTCCCATTCCTGCCCCTTCGGGAGAAGCAGCCAGCAGTGTGTGCCCACCCATCCCTGGGTGGTAGATCACTGCCAGTTTTTATATTGGATCGTTGGACATGCCTGTTATAGAGGGCTTTAAAAGAGAACTGAAAGAATTCTTGGAATAGCAGGCCATCAATGGCTCTTAGTCAATAAATCAATATGTTACCTCCACGTTCAGAAACTCAGTACTGGTTCCTGGGGAACAACAGAGTGAGAGTGTGTGATAAATTTAGAATTATCTTACGATAATTATTGTTGCTGTTTTAAAACTGAGCATAGCAACAAACCAAGAATTGCCACTGTAACATTCCAGGCTGCCAAACTGATTCACAATTTAAAAACCCCCACCAAAAACAGATGTCAAGGTTTGTACACACACAACAAAAAATGAGACCAAGACTTTGCCCTACTCCTTGTGTCAAAATTACAGCTACAACATTTAGTCTATTACTTAGCCAGATAAACCAATTTTAAAACTTTTACACTGACTATAAAGGAACTTCCATTTATCACGCAGCAGATATACACAATTTCTTAGTACAAGTGCTTAAAAACTGCAGCATCTTAAATGAAGCATTCTTGTTTCCAGTGAAAGATAAATGACTAAGGATGATGCTTACTATGGTATATATGTGCATAATCTAAAAACACAAGAAGAATGTCCCTGGCTTCAGAAATGCTATTTTTACCCACTGACAGATGAACTGATTGATCAACTAGTATCTATGAATAATCTGTTAAAATCTTTTATGAACACCTGCAAACTACAGTACAGGATAATTAAAAGAAAAACAATCAGCTTTAAAGAAACACATTGGCTGCAATCTGACAAGGGAGGATGCCGTACTGAACACAGCAGGACTTACTTCCATGCAGACATGCACAGGATTGAGCTATTGGTGATGTAATCCTCAGCATGTTTACTCAGAAGAAAGTCTCATTCAGCAAGTTCACTGAGGACTGCAGCCTTAACTTTTCTGTGTTGCTAGCAGTTGGCTGACAAAATCAAAGCACTAAACAAGAGTTGTTTTTATTTAACTAAGGCTGCTATCAGTCTTAATTTAGTTAGCTAATGCTTGCTTCAATTACCAGCAAGAGCAAAATGTTCCAAATGCGTGCAGGGCTTCGATATGTTGTTGGGGTTTTTTTTGTAAGTAATTTTTATTCGTTTTCATAGATGTGTAAGTAGACAATTAAACATAATAGTTTCACATGTTGACCACTGAAGGCCGCAAGATTCTGCACATCCTGCCTGTATAGATCTCTAGCAAGATCTTTTATATTTGTTTTCCAAAACATGAGTAGTGCTTTGCATTAGCCTATTCCTCTGACAAGAACGCTGTTCAAAGCAAGAAGCAGCCATGCGATTTGGCAGTAAGCAACCAGGTCTAGTGCTTTATGCTTTAGCAACCATGTTACCATAGTAACAGGCTCAAAACAGTGCAGATAAAAATTATTTTGAAAAAATCAAGAAAATCAGAATTTTACTGAAATCTAATTAAGTTTTCTTTTAAAATCACATTGTCTCTTTTAAAAAACTGATGTAAACTAAGATCTGAGTACAAGGCAAGTGTACGCTCATAATCTCATGATTGTCTATCAGTATGTCTCACTGTTTAACAGTGAGTTAAAGCCTATTTTACTGTGGCCTGGAGAGAATCCTAGAGCCTCACTTGGCCCCATGCTCCCCCACCCCTGGCAAGCTCTTGCCCTACTCCCAAACTTGGAACTGGGGCAAAGAACCCTCTTAGCAATTGCTCTTCAGATATTCTCTGAAGTTTGGACTGGCTTCAGAAACAAGGCCCTGCCACTCTGCCAAGTTGCTTGAGGAAGGGAACGATTCTGACTGAACATCAGGAATAACTTTCTGACAGGAAGAGCTGTTTTGACAGTGGAATGGACCCTTGGGAGGTGGTGGATTCTCCTTCCTTGGAGGCTTTGAAGCAGAGGTTGGACGACCATCTGTCATGGATGCTTTAGCTGAGATTCCTGCATTGCAGGGGGTTGGACTAGATGAGCCTTGGGGTCCTTTCCAACTCCACAATTCTATGATGGGGTGGTTGTGTTTAACATTGTGACCATTTGTGTGAACGCTCCACTACACCATAGGCATTGTCAGGTGTACCTTACAATCTCCTAGCTAACCCAGATTTCAAAGGAATCCAGGTTTGTCTATATAGCATGCAAGATCATGTACACAAATGGCCACCACCTCCATTACTCAGTTATTTTACCTGAGTCTTCATAGTTAGCTTCTGGGTTTTTCTGTCTGCTGCTGCAGGATCTATTTTCTTTTTGCTGTTGTTTTTATTAGAACCTCAAGATCCACCAACTGAAACCAGGTGTAAAAATATAGCCGAGGGGAGAAATATTCCTAGAATTAAGAAACAGGGTACCTCTGGTTACATGCTCAGGACAGGAATTTGTTTTCAATCCCAGAACTGAGCTGTTCTTTCCCACAAAAACTACAAGCATACCTCAGAGAATATATTGTTGGTTCAGTTCTAGACCACTACAGTAAAGCAAATTTTTGCAGTAAAGTGACTCACTACTTTTTTGGTTCCCTCATGCATATAAAAGTTATATTTTACCTACGGGACCGCCTCTCCTGGTATGTCCCATGGAGGACCTTATGGTCTTCAAATAAAAACATATTGGAGATCCTGGGCCACAGGGAGGTTAGGCTGGCCTCGACCACAGCCAGGGCTTTTTTGGCCGTGGCCCCAATCTGGTGGAACGCTCTATCACAAGAGACTAGGGCCCTGCGGGACTTGACATCTTTCCACAGGGCCTGCAAGACGAAGCTGTTCCGCCAGGCCTTCGGCCAAGGCACAGTCTGACCCCTTCTCTCCTTCTGTAACCCTCACAGAACTCTAACTCAATGGTTGCCATTAATTTGATTCTGAATTGATTTAAGAATATATTTTAATTAATTGACTGTGTGATTTTATGTACACTGTGCTATTTTTACTTGTTGTTAGCAGCTCTGAGCCCGGCTTTGGCCAGGGAGGGCAGGATACAAATAAAAATTTATTATTATTATTACACTATACTGCAGTCTATTAAACCAGTCACCCTCTGGGTGCAGGAGTTGGAGGGGTAAAACCCTAGCCAGTTCCACTCCCATGGCCAAAAGAGGGGCAGCAAGGGGCTTCCTTCCCCCATGTGGCTGGGCTGCTTGCAATTGCACCCACAGTCTCATAAGGAGCAATATATGTGAAGATGTAAAAACGATGTATGCTTGTACCCCCAATCTTTATCTCTTCACTCCACTTTTATTCCTGTCAACAATCTAATTTAAAAGAAAGATGCCTTTTATTTTATCTTCTGCAAATAACTTTGAAATCCAGGAATAGGCATCAAACCACATTCCCCACGCCCATTACGCTTCTATATTACAAGCATGTAATTCAGATCTCGGAACAGTCTTACAGGTTAATGTTTGAAGATTACATTACCCAAGCTGAACTTACGAGAACTGCCTGTTCCTGTAACATTTTTGCAGTTGAATGAATAAAATAATAAATACTAGAGTGACAGTGGTATGTCACAGCTGTTAGAATGCCTCTGCTGGCAGAGCAAGTCCATGATGGAGCTCCAATACCTTTTGTAGCCATTAGGGTTTAAAATTAATTATTTTTTCCATTTTTCTGGTTCAGGTCTGACCTATGTACCTTTTTCTTCAAATAGCAATAGGAAGTTGGTTCAGCGACATGTATCATTCCATTTTGTATCCCTTCCTAGGGATGTCTTAATAATGTTTTGATATGACAGTTATTTTTGAAGTGTTATTCCTGGTATTACTCCCATTGCAGGTCTGGATCCAGTATAGTTGATTTAAAAGATCGTCATGTGGTGAAATACCAGTACTGTACAGCATTTTGCCACAACTGTTGTACCACTGCCCATTTGTGCCCGGGGTTCAGGAATCTTTTCAACAAATTGAGATTCCCAGAGTCCACACAAGGGTAATCAAAGAACACACACTTGGGAGTTGAAATTAACTTGGGGTACATAAATGGCAAAACAGATGCACAACTCCATCAACTGTGACCAACATACGCACATTTAAATGGCCACAGGTTTCCCTATCTCAAATACAGAAGCATGGACCATTCCTGTTTTGATTCCATTCACGTTTTTCAGCTTCACTTACTACTTCTAACCACCCTCCTCCCCTTTCAAATCAGCAGTGAACAAATACCGTATTTTTCGTCCTATAGGGCGCACCGGCCCATAGGACGCACCTCGGTTTTTTTTGGCGGGGGAGAAATGAATAAAAAAAAATTATTCCCCCCCCCGCCGCCACGGCTGCCGCCCCAAGCCTTGCGCACACCTGCCCGAAGCACGGGGCGCCCTCCGGAGGGCGTGTGTCCTCAAGCCTTGCGCGCCCGGCAGGAGGTCCCGCCGAGTGCGCGAGGCTTGGGGCGGCAGCCTGTCGCTCGAAGCACGGGGAGCCCTCCGGAGGACCTCCTGCCGGGCGCGCAAGGCTTGCGGACACTCGCCCGAAGCACGGGGAGCCCTCCGGAGGGCTCCCCGTGCTTGGGGCGACAGGCTGCCGCCCCAAGCCTCGCGCGCTCGGTGGGACCTCCTGCCGGGCGTGCAAGGCTTGCAGACACTCGCCGGGGCTGCAGGCTGCTGCCCGCAAGCCTTGTGAACCCGCGGGAACTCCCGCCAGACTTGCAAGGCTTGCGGACAGCTTCCTGAAGCCTGGAGAGTGATAGGGGTCGGTGCGCGCCAGTGGCGTAGCGTGGGGGGTGCAGGGGGGGCGGCCGCCCCAGGGGGCGCAACATCTGGGGGGGCGCACTCGCAGCTCTCTGCCCCTACCTGGCTCACTCACTCTCTCTCACTGCAGTGCTGGCTATGCGAATCCGATCCGAGCCGCTGGGTCGCCGCCCACTGTGGAGGGGGTGGGTGCCAGGCGTGCGGTGTGGAGAGAGAGCGAGGGACTATCTGGGGGAGGGACAGTGCAGCGGCCGCCCAGCGCAGCGCTGAGCGCAGGAGAGAACCACACCAGACCAGACCAGGCAGCAGCAAGAAGCTGGCAGCGGCGGCAGGTTAGGGGGCGGCAGGTTGCCCCGGGTTAGGGGGCGCAAATTACTTGCCTTGCCCCGGGTTAGGGGGCGCAAATTACTTGCCTTGCCCCGGGTGCTGACAACCCACGCTACGCCGCTGGTGCGCACCGATGCCTCTCGCTCTCCAGGCTTCCGCGAAAGCCTGCATTCGCCCCATAGGACGCACACACATTTCCCCTTCATTTTTGGAGGGGGAAAAGTGCGTCCTATGGGGCGAAAACTACGGTAAGTGGTACCTCGGGTTACAGACGCTTCAGGTTACAGACTCCGCTAACCCAGAAATAGTACCTCAGGTTAAGAACTTTGCTTCAGGATAAGAACAGAAATCACGCGGCGGCAGTGGGAGGCCCCATTAGCTAAAGTGGTGCTTCAGGTTAAGAACAGTTTCAGGTTAAGAACGGACCTCCGGAACGAATTAAGTTCTTAACCCGTGGTACCACTATAAAGCTACAGACCATCAGAGAAAAGGCCGACAACTACGACGGCATGACCACTGAGCTGATATTTTACTTGTTATGAGTCCTATATTATTAGACTCCTATCTTCTTTTAAGGTAAAGGTGAAGCGACCCCTGACCATTAGGTCCAGTTGTGGCTGACTCTGGGGTTGCAGCGCTCATCTCGCTTTATTGGCCGAGGGAGCCGGCTTACAGCTTCCAGGTCATGTGGCCAGCATGACAAAGCCGCTTCTGGAGAACCAGAGCAGCGCACGGAAACGCCGTTTACCTTCCCACCGGAGCGGTACCTATTTATCTACTTGCGCTTTGACGTGCTTTCGAACTGCTAGGTTGGCAGGAGCAGGGACTGATCAACGGGAGCTCACCCCGTCGAAGGGATTCGAACCGCTGACCTTCTGATCAGCAAGCCCTAGGCTCTGTGGTTTAACCCACAGCGATTTTCCTCAGGGACCCAACTACCCCTATATAAGAGGTACTTCAAGATCAGTCCAAAATTCTTATCTAGCCCAGAAACCAGACTGGCCAACCAAATATGGCGAAGGGGGGGGTACACAAGCAGGACCTGAAAATAACAGCCCTTCTTCCACCTGGGTGCATCGCCACAGTCACATAGTATTCAGATACACTCCCTCTGAACATGGTGGCTCTATTTAAGCCTCCAAAAATCACAATGCAAAGCAATGCCGTTGCTGTGTCCTCCCCCTCCTTTCAGAGGACCACACACCTTCTTCACCTTTGTGACTCTCGTCTGACCTCCAAAAAACCCCTATCAACCCTGTGACATTCGAAGTATGCTTTTAGCTGCAGGAGTGAGAAACCTGCGGCCCTCATCAGCCTCCAATTCCCGCCAGCCCCAGCCAGCCCGCCCAACGGTCACGGCTGCTGAGGAGCTGTAGCGCGACACCATCTGCAGGGCCACAGCTTCTCTGCCCATGTTTTAAAGCCATCACACGCATGATGCGGCAGTGAGTTCCACAGGTCCGCCACGCCGCTCCTGGGAGCGAGCAGCTCTCCCTCCCACCGCTCTCCTTCCCTCCCTCCCTCCTTGCGCTGACTGACAAGGTAACCGGCGAGCGAGGGGGGAGGAGCCACGCCAACAGCTGCCCGGGCCACGCCCACCGACCGCGAGCCGATCGCGCGAGAGGAAAGAGGAGCGGGTGAGGTGGGGGGGAGGGCGGAGGAAAGGAGGCGGAGTAAGAGCTCTTTCCCCTCTCACCGTGACGAGTCGTTTGCGCGGCCGACCTCAGCACTGGGCGACATGGCAGCGGCGACGGACCGGACTCTCAGGGAAGAAAGGAAGAAAAAAGGAAGGGAGGGAAGGAAGGAACCGAGACCCGCTTCGGCAAACCTCGGCTAGGCTTCACAACCGGAAGCGGAAGTTCTGTGCCGGAAGTGACGAGAAGGGAAAGCGGGGATTTGGTTGGCCGAATCTTTGCTATGGGCTTCTCTGAGGCGAGCCTTTCTCTCTCCCCCCCACCCCCACATGGCGCTTCGTTTCTGTCTTTCAAAGTGACCGTTGGTAGCCGTGGGCGGGGGAAGAGAGGAGCAAGGAGGCTTGGGCTGCGTGACTGTCAAGCAACGGCCCGCTTAGCCTCGCCTGCCTTCGCTCCCCGCTGGAGGCCGGTCAATTACAGCGCATGCGCCGCTTTTTTTTTTTTGCGGACCCGACCTTCGCCAAAGGTTAGCAAAGGGCGGCGGGGAAGCAACGGCCGTCCGCCTGCAGATGTGGCGGCGTTACTCGTCTCCGCCTCTAGGTGTCGCCCGCCGCAGCGGCTGCCTGCACGCCGTGCGATTAGAGTACGCGGTTTCTCTCAAGGGAATCCTGGGAACTGTAGTTCAAGAGTGGTGGGAGGTAGAACTCTCGAGTGCGAACTACAGTTCCCAGGATTCCTTGTGGGAAGTCGTGCGCTTTAGATAGTTTGTGTGCACGCAGCCGATTGTACTAAACACAAATGCATGCATGCAATTTTTATTACGTTGTGCACTGCCCTGGTTTGCTTTAGGACATAGGGCAGTATATAAGAACTTTTATTTTTATTATTAGTCAGCCTACACAAGCCATCCTGAAACCCTTGGCAGGTTGGATTTTAAACCAGAGATGAAGGACCTGTGGCAATCCAGAACCGGCTGGATTCCAACTGAGACAGCATAATCTTTTGTCAGGGGTGATAGGAGTTACAGCCCCAACAACCGCAGGGCCACAGCAACCCCTGCCTTAATTGGAGCAGCTGTTCCAAGGATTGGGCAATGGGGTGCCCTATGCTAGCACACTCCTAAAACGAAGTATTTGGACCCATTGCCTACTGCAAGGGTTCAGTTTAGAAAGTGTTGAGTTTTTGTAACTTTCTACTTGTATAATCCCTTCCTCTGTGAAGCTCAGAGCAGCCTTTTATCCTCACAACAAGCTATGCTCTGAAATGGTGTCTTGCGCAGAACATCCAAGTCTGCTAATCTCCCTTACCCATTATTAAAAGTATGCCAGTCTGGGCACAGAAAAACTTAAGTGAGGGCAATCACATCTGAGGGGTTTTGGCTTTCCCAGTTTCCAGCTTTTCTCACAGGATCTTAGAATGATGTGTGTGGAGTTGCCAGATTGCCTCTCTTCCTGTAATTGCCAGGATGGAGATTTGCCCATTGTTCCCTTACATGTGGCCTCATGTAATGTATTTTCAGGCTTTTTTTGTAGAATCCATGCTTGTGTAAAAACAATCCATACTCAATGTTAATTTTTTTAAAACTGAAGATTCAAATGCTTTTTTTTGGTAAACTTAGTTTATTTATTTTAATACAATAAAGCCTTTCCACAGAGTCTTACTAGTCTTTTCCAATTTCTCTTGCCCTTAACATTTTTGACATTTATAACGCATCACTGTGGCGTCTCTGTAAGCCTAGGTACGACATTTGGCTGTAGAATCTAACCACTTATTTGTAGTCTTCACACTGTACGAAAACCTTCCGTTTCTTTGCTGAATGGCTGTCACCATGATTTAAACTTTATAATACTAGGAAGTTCAATTAACTTTATAATGCTATGAATGTAATGTAAAAGGGTAGTGAACCAACAGAGTGTCTTGATAATTCTTCAGTTGCCAAGCTACTTTAGAAGAAGTAACGTATTTTAAAAGGCATCCTTTTTTTGCACAGAAAACCACACAAGGATTGTTAGACACCCAGAAAAGAATTTAACAGCTGTAAGGTCCTATTGATCCCATTTCTCCTCTGAATTCAGTGGAACCTAAAGGTAAAGGGACCCCTGACCGTTAGGTCCAGTCGCAGACGACTCTGGGGTTGCGGCACTCATCTCGCTTTACTGGCTGAGGGAGCTGGTATACGGCGTCATGTGGCCAGCATGACTAAGTCGCTTCTGGCGAATCAGAACAGCGCACGGAAACGCCGTTTACCTTCCCGCTGGAGCGGTACCTATTTATCTACTTGTACTTTGATGTGCTTTCAAACTGCTAGGTTGGCAGGAGGTGGGACCGAACAATGGGAGCTCACCCCATTGCGGGGATTCGAACCGCCGACCTTCTGATCGGCAAGCCCTAGGCTTCCTAGTAATTAGGATTACAGCCCAATTCAATCTACATTTACATGGAAGCATGTCCCACTAGTTTCAGTGGAACTGACTTGCGAGTAAGCATGCTCAGAACTGTAGTTCTGTTTTAAAGGAATGAGTATACATCTAGATGGGTTTGATTTTATTACTGTGAGGCTACTGATGTGCTCTGATTAAGTATTAGGATGGTAAGGCTTGTTCTGTAATAATACAGAAAGTTTATACAAAAAAAAACAAAAAAAACAAAACCTTTCCCAAATAAAAAGTTTGAGAGCAAAAGCCGAAACCCCTTTCTACTATGATATGGACATATTATACTTTCCCCACAGCTCTTGGGGTGGAGAACATTTCTGTCCTGTAGATTGCTGAAACCAAGATCAGAGGTCACCTCCTGCAGTGGTCTTGTTGAACAGCAAAGGGTTAGATGAGGATGTTAAGTCCTGGTTGCGTGTGGCCGAAGTAGCAACCACCGTTTCCTCAGACACTCCCGGCAAGAACTGTCTCATCTTGCACCACCTGACCTGCTATATTTGGCTCTTTGTTAAGAAAGTACTTGGCCCTTTGCCTGTGCAACGAAAACATCTGTTGCTTTTTTAGCTTCCTGGTATTTGATTTTCTCGCCTGTGCTGCCCCCTTCTGGTTCTTATCTTCCTATCCTTCCATTCCCCTCTGCCTGGTTCAAATAAACTTATTGGTTGATTTAATGACACTTTACTTCTGAAAGCACTCAATGAATATATATAAAAAAAGATGAGTAAATATGTTAAAATGTTAATGTGAGTTGCTACTCAGGTTCCACTTCCCTCCTGAGGGTTGATTTCACCCATTGAAGCTGCTGGGCTGTGTTTCGAATTGTTGACGATACATTGGAGGACAATAGTATACTGTTAACTTTAAGAATAATCACATTATTGGCTTTTAAATCCATTGGGACAAAGCTACTGCATAATAGACAGATTCAGCAAGCAGCATAGAGCACCAGTGTGTAACGTAGGGACACTGCAGTGGTAACCTTTATGTGGCGCTGTGAGTATGGCAATCATGTCTGTATTTCCATCTGTGAAATGTTAGATGGTATGCATTTGGCTCTCCACTTCCTCTCCTTTCATCATACATTGGTGGGCCCCACCCCAACATCATTGGATAATTTTATATTCACAGAGGGTCTCTCCTTTAAGGGATTGAATTAACCAGGTCTCCTGACCATAGAGTTCCCTAGAACAGAGGTCAACAACCTATGCCCCTCCAAATTTTGGCTTCCTGTAATCTCAGACCATTAGCCTTACTGGCTGGGATCAATTGGCATTGAAATCTTAACAACATCTCAAGGACCACAAGTTCCCCATCCCTGCCCTACAATGTCATTCAGCCTTCCTGTTCTATTGAGGAAGCTTGGGTTTGAGTTTCAGTGCTCAAATCTCCCTGGATTTGACAGCAGGAGGAAGTGTGAGGATTCATGCTCTAGTGGACCCAGAAACTGCAGTGTAGCTCTTCCACATCCCAGACATTCCACTTGGTGGTCTTCTGTCTCCCATCCTGTTCATGTTTTCCTGCCCCTCTCTGGTGTTCTCAGCCCATGGGTAAAAGTCCCTAGCCTAGAATCTGCTATTCTTTTCCAGACATCTGTACTAGTGTGACCCTCAATATGATCCTACACCAAAAAAATCTACAGACATGCCCACTGGGCTGGAAGTAGCAGTGCTGAATAGCTATAATGGTTAGAGCTGTCGTTTTTATTAATGAAACTACAGACAAGCAACAGGTATACAACTTTTCAGGCTTTCCATGATAGTATGGTGTTAGCATAGTTTCTGTATATGCAGTGAATAAGCATGGTGTTTACAGTGGCTTCTCACTTTTACTTCTGAGTGCCGTTTCATTGGTGCTATGGTTTGCCAAGCAGAAAAATGGATAATCTATTTGGGTAGGGACCAGCCCTCTATGATCTAGAGTTTGCATTGGCAAACTCAGCCCTCCAGATGTTTTTGGCCTACAACTCCCATGATCCCTAGCTAACAGGACCAGTGGTCAGGGATGATGGGAATTGTAGTTTCAAAACATCTGGAGGATCAAGTTTGCCCATGCCTGATCTAGGGCTTTCTCCTACCCTCCTCACATCACAAAAGCAGTAATGTGGAAATATTTTAAATGCACGTTAAGCAGTCTTATACCCAATCTGAATATTAGCCAACACCTGCTATCTGAACTTTTCAGCTAGAGATGCCATGAATTTAACCTTGGACCTTCTGAACGAGAAGCAGCATTATTTTTTTATTACTTATTAAATTTTTATACCATCCTTCATCCAAAAATCACGGGGCGGTTCACAGCATAAAAATACAAAATAAGAATACAAAATAATACAATAAAACAAAAACAAACCAATAACAGCCCCCTCCCCACAAAAACATTTAGAAGGCCAGAGAACATTAATCAGTCAACGACCTGATTATAGCAAAAGCATGTTCTCAACCCCTGAGCTATGGTCTATTCCTGAACCCATTCCTTTCCTCCCCTCAGTTCCTGACATTTCTACCATGTGTACATTGAATGCACACCTGAGACGCGTAGGTAAATTTATGCAAAATCTCTGCTCTCAGATTATGATGATTTCTGGATGACAGCCTATGGTAGAGATGGAGAACGTGGCCATCCAGTTGTTGCTGGGCTCAGCTACCAGTCAGCATGAGGGACGATACATAGCTGTCAACTTTTCCCTTTTCTTGCGAGGAATCCTATTTGGAATAAGGGGATTTCCCTTAAAAAAAGGGAAACGTTGATAGCTATGGGACGATGGAAGATGTAATCTATCAAAGTCTGGAGTGCTACTGGTTCCCCACCCCTGTTCTATGGCCACTGAGTGTTGCAACAGTCCCTGTTGCTTTTGAAGCCCAAATGGTATCAATTCAAGAGTGATTGGGGGAAGTGTGCATGTTTTAGGTTAGATGCCTTCAGTGGAGCCTCCTCCCAGACAGGCCCGCCTTCTCCATGCCACTGTCACCGTTGCCAGTCAATTATCCTCTTTCTCTGGGTCAGGGTGGCTGGTGCCCACTGGGTGAAAGTCAGGGAAACCAGCAGTAGGAGCCAGAGCCACCCCCTTGCCAAGTGTAAAAAAGAAAGCAGGCAGGTGGGAGTAGGCTCAAATTTGTGGGGTTGTGCCCCATTTGCCCTTATTGTCCAGCTTTTCACTGCTGTAGACCCAATCTGAATAGCTACTCAAAGGAGGAAGCTGAGCTGAGCCAAGACTGATGTTCCTTTTCCTTGTTCCTATCACAGCTGAGATAGCTCAATCACTCTGGGGGAATAAGGAGAGAGCCAGGAGGCTCTAAAGGTTGGCAGTGGGCTTTGCGATGAGAGACAAATCTCAGCAGGTGCCCAAGGATGCCCATCCCTGATGTCCAACCCTCTCCGGAGAGTTCTGAGCTAGCTTCAGGATGAAATTATGGAACTAAATGTCACTACAATCCAGATCCAAACCAGAAAATGAATGTAATGCCCATCTTTCTAAAAGACATCATAAGTGATTCCAAGCATTTCCCTTTTGTTACAACAACAAAAGACAACTTAGATAGTCCGCGTTTTTCCTGAGTCACAGTGTTCTAGCTCTCCTAAGTGGATTTCAGTTCCTGCCGTTGCATCTAGAGAAGAACTGGAAAGCTGTGTGCATCTGCCAAGCTCTTGATGAAATGCAGAGTCTGTGCCAGTCACCAGCCTGAATTTGCTGCGCATAAGCAGAACAGAAGACTTTTAAGGTTTGGTGGAGGCATGGAAGCCCTCTTCCATCACCACCATCCCTTCCACGGTGGTCTCAGTTGTTTGCCTGGAACACTTTCGACTGTCCTTTATGTTTTTCAAGTTCTCAGAAAGGTGTTTCCTGAACTTTTTGGTGAGGAAGCAGTAAATGACAGGATCCAGAACGCAGTTGGCCCCCAGGAGGAACAGGGTCACCTGGTGGATGTGATCCCACCACCTTTTGCTCCTACAGCTTATATCCCATTTGCCCAGAACCATCAAGGTCCAGGGAAGGTCCACAATGTGGTGAGGCACGAAACATACCACAAACACAATCATGACAGTGCACACCAAATAGAGCGCCCTTTGCCTGATGTGGGCGCTCTTACGAGCTTGAGGTTTTTGGGAGAGCAGAGTTCGGATAATGGAGGCGTTGCATACCACGACAATCAGGAAGGTGATAAAGAAACAAATGCAAATGACGATGTGGGAGGCAAGGACAGGGATGTTACTGCTTTCTGGGTCGTAGCGCTCAAAACAGCGTGTCACGTGCCCCTCTTGGGTAGTGCCGCTGCCAAACAGGAAATATGAAGAAGGGCCCGCGATCAGGACCCAGATAGCTATTGTGACATAGATGCCCCTTCTTCGCGTGGTAGACTGAGCTGCTGAAATGGGCTTTGTGACTGCTTGGTACCGATTGTACGTTATGACTCCCAGGAAAGCAACTGAGCAGTAGGTGTTCACAAAGAATAAGTAACCAGCCAAGTTACACAAAAAGCTGGGCATGATCCAGTCTCCTCTGTAGTGGTAATATATGATCCACATTGGCAACGTGATCAGGAAGAGCAGGTCGGCTGTCGTCAAGCTGACCATGAATATCTTTATTTCGTTTAGTTTCTTCGTAGCATAAACCCGTGTGAAAAGCCACAGGACGTAGCTGTTGGCTATAAAGCCCAGAATGAAAATGATGCTATAGTAGACAGTGAACAGGGTATATCTGAACTCGGAATCCACGTGGCAATCTTCCTTCACGACAGGAAGCAATGAGAAGTTTTTACTTTCACCCTTTCGGGACATGGCTGCAGCAATCACGTTATTCTTTTAATGAAGCTCTGTTTTTCTTATCCTGAAAAGAGAGAGAAGGAAATGAATAATACAAGAGGGAGGCAATATTCAGCAATGAAACACAATGCTTTGTATGCAGAAGTTCAATCCCTGACAGGGAGGTGGTTAACCCCCGCTGTCCTGAGATGGGATGAATAAGCAAACTGGCATTTCGGTTCCCATTTCCATTTTTGATGGACTTTAACATCCCTAGCTTTAAAAAAGGTTTTTGAAAAGTGGGGGAGGGATAGGAGATCTGGGGCCCAAATGAAAGGGCCTGGAGTTTGGGGGCCCTAGACTAGCCCCTGCAAAATCCAGAATGGCACCACACCTGTTTCCGAACAGAAGAATCATTTGACTTTTTCAGACTACACAGCTTGATTGACACTTTGTAAAGCAGTGTGACTATGTTAAACCTCTTACTGCTTCCTAAGAGGAAGTGAAAGCTCTGTAGAAAAGAGACATCTGCAGAAGAGGATCTTTCCCCGTGAGATTGAGAAGTGCCCACGGGTCACATTAACCACAGAAAGAATTGTGTAATTTGCCAATGTGGTGTGGTTAAAAAAAATAAAAATCCCCTGCTTAAATTGTTTGTGTTTTCTTGGATAAAACAACAAGATGCCTATGCTGTTATTTAAATAAAATAAAAAAAGATTTGAAAACAGCTATTTTTATGAGGCCTAACGCTGCAGTCCTATGCATGCTTACTTAGGAACAATAATTTATTATATTATTACAGCATAAAACTGTAAATACATAATATAATAAAAGTAAATAGTAATTGTAAAAGAAAGAAAGTAAATACCACTGCCAACACATCAATTAACTGGGTTTAAACATTTTAGGATTCTGCCTTTCACAGGGTGTAAATTGAGTCTCAGGCTGAAAAAAACCCACATTCATTTCTCAGAGGATAGAATCATAGAGTTGGAAGGGACTCTAAGGGTCATCAAGTCCAATCCCCTGCAATGTAGGAATCTCAGCTAAAGCATCCATGACAGATAGCCATCCAACCTCTGCTTAAAAACCTCCAAGGAAGGAGAGTCCACAGCCTCCCGAGGGAGTCTGTTCCACTGGCAAACAGCTCTTACTGTCAGAAAGTTTTTCCATATGTTCAGTCGGAATCTCCTTTCTTATAATTTGAAGCCATCGGTTCAAGTCCTACTTTCCAGAGCAGGAGAAAACAAGCTTTCTCCATCTTCCATGTGACAGCTCTTGAAATATTTGAAGATAGTCATCATATCTCCTCTCAGGTTCCTCTTTTCCAGGCTAAACATACCCAGCTCCTTCAACCACTCCCTGTTAGGCTTGATTTCCAGACCCTCTTACGGTGTACATACCTCTTTCCCCATACTACTGTTTCTATTCAAACAGATTTGGTTGTGTGCGTTTTTTGTATAGTAAGAAAGCCTGCAAAACTCATTTTGCCAAGGGGTGAAAATGATTTGAGTACAGTCTTCACAAGCAACTCATCCACACTGGAGTTTAATGTGGAATTGAAACTGGTTGTGTCTATATTTTTTTGCGTGGTCCACCTAATGTCCTCCTCACACCCCTGTTAAATTTAGATTTTCCCAATCTGCAGATAATCAGACTGGGAACAAAAATCTGATATAAACTTGAATGTTACCCAGCTGTGGACATACGAAGTGAAGCATGCTGTGTAGACAGATATTTTTACATGTGTGGTGGCAATTCTGCTTCCATTTTGCTTCCATCAGCCCAAAGGAAAGGATGTAGCCTGTCCTTTCCTACTAGTTGTTGCAGAGCTTTATTTTTATTCTTTCAGCAGAGCACTTGTGGAAAACTACCGTTTGCCAAAATATCTGCATTGAAAATAAAAATAACATTTACTCATGCAACTACAGGATGTCAGAAAGGAAGAACAGAAGACAGAAAGTGTCGGCCTTTGATACAATCAGCTCCAAATGCTTGCTTGATTTGAAGTGACTCATTTATTTACTTATCTTTGACTGCTCTTTTGTGCGAAACTCATATATGGGAAAATGTATTTTTTTATTTAAAAAAAAGTGTAGTCACAGCTAAACAAATACCTGCATGCATGGCCAGCAGGCATCAACCAGGCATTGACTCCTGAGGAGACCACATTTGGACATTGCCTGATCACACCTCCTGTGTGAGAAGAAGGGCAGGGCACATTCCACCTTCTACCTAATGGCAGAGAAGGAGCTTAGCTGTGGAATCTTAGGCAGAAGGAAGGAAGGGGAGACAGGGAGGATGTAAAAAGCACCAGAGGGAGAGGAGAAGAGGAAGAAGCCTAATGGAGACACAGGGAACAGGCTGGTCACGCTGAATGCCTAAATTAGATACCTCCACATAAATTAGGTGGTCCTCACATTGGAGGTCTTCTTCAGGCTGTTCCCCTAAGCATCATGGGATGTGGCCAAAGGGGTGAGACCAACAACCCATGTTTATCTAGTCCCCCTGCATCCTGGGGAGGCATAGATCTCATAGAATCTCATACAATCATAGAGTTTGGACCTTGAGGATCAACCCCCTGCAATGAAGGAAAGTGCAGCTGTCCCTTACTGGGTTGAAACCTGCAACCTTGGTGTTGCCAGCACCACGGTCTAACCAATTGAGCTATTCTGTGAGGCTTGGATTTAAGCGCTGCCTAGAGAATTGATACAGAAGACCCCTGTCCACTTTGGGGAAGAGCCTCCCCTGGAATCCTGAGGCAGCTCTGGGTGGAATTGACTGTCCCTGTGGTTTGGGACTTACTCTTGAGGAAACAATATTGGAGAAAGGAGAATTTGACACTCTGAAGAAAGCACGACGCTGAAGTAGCCCTGAGAAGCAGAGGTCTGCTGAAGGACTTGGTGCCTGGAAGAATATAGGCCTGAGGTGCAAGCTGATAAAGTGAAGCTGCATTTCTGGAATAAAAAGTGACTTACAGCTGAGCAGACATACATTGCTGCCTCTGTTTTGACCTCTTATGGAAGTCATGGCGCATGTCCCCTTTGAGGTTATCCTTCCCTGGGGGTCTGGCACAAATACCTGGGTGCATGCCCAGAACAGATCTCAGACTTGAGAAACTTAGGGAGGGTGGGGAACTGTTAACTGAGGGGAGGAGACAACATCCCAAATATATCCCAACAAGCACCACCCACTAGTGTGGATGGGAAACACTGAGAGAGATTTCAGAGGCATAAAACTGAAGGTGCACAAACACACATATGAAAGCCCTAGTGTGGACACAGCCTTAAACAAAGAAAGGTGCGAGAGAGTGTATTGTAGTAGTAAGAACAGCTTTGTATTTAAGCACTAGCTGGATACCCACAGGTGAGAAGGAAATGCAAGCAGGTGAATTATTGGAATTCTACACAGGTGGGAAGGCTGGGAAAGGATGGGCAGAGTGCTCTCTCTGCCCTCTGTGCTCAACGCCAAAATGAAACAGGTTGCTGCAGGGAGGACTGAACAGGGGGAGATATTGGTCTTTCAGATTTCAATGGCACCCTGTGCAAGGCCAAAATTCAATTCACCCTCCTGCCCCTCACCTTCCGTTCTGCTCAGTTCACCAGCTCATAGTTGCAACGCCCTGTGGCACCCCTTGCGCTCAGCACCCAGTGCGGTTGGGAGCGGTTGCACTGCCCTAAATCTGCCTCTGGACTGGACTCACCCTCCCTTTTTTTTGCCAGCTCCCAGCAGAGTAGTAAAAAAAGCAAAAAATGCAGGCTAGTAACTTTATTCAGAACTCTGGGTTACAGCGCCAGATTAGGATGGGTGTTACATGGGCCCAAATCCTTATTCAGCTATTACAAAGATCTCATTGGTAGACTTGGAGAAAGTCTCTGTCTCTCTCTCTCATTAATCTACTTTGCAAGATTGGTGTTAGATTTTTTTTTTTAAGGGGGGGGGGAGACCCAGATACACTTCCCTGTTCTCCTTGGAGGAAGGGTGGGGAATTAGAGTAATAAGTAACTAAGTGGAAAATAGAGAAGTTTGTGCCCTTATTTGGCCCTGGCATGAAATATTTTAAATGTGTGTTTTGGGGTTGTTGTTTTTTGTTGGTAAGCTCCTGTTTCTTCAGTTCTGTTGCTTGGAAAGAGGAAGTGGAACCACAAACACCTTTTCTTTCTTAGAACTCTGAGCTTCCTCCTCTCACAGTCATTTTCTACCACTTTTTCCAGATAAGGTCATCTGCCCATTAACTTTGTGCCATGATTAACTCTGGAAGCCTCTTTACACTTTGGGCGTCTCTTGTCCTTTAGAGCAAGGATGAGGAAGCTTAGGCCTGAGCAAGGCAGACCAAGAAATTTTGCTGTCTGAGGCAAAGAGCAGAATGGCACTGACTAGGGACAGGAGCGGGAGAGTTCAATTTGGTATGCATTTAAAGCCTAATCTTATCAAATCCACACTTTTCAAAACAATATAACAACCGAAACACAGCTATCCTTCAAAATGCACACTTAGCAGAATTTTGCAATTCAGTTCTCCAACCAGTGTTTGCAAAAATGCATCTATTAGTGGAAACGTCTTGCAAAACTGTGTACAGAAAGCAAAACTGCATATAAACTGTTTATTAGGAGAAACTCTCACAAAAATGCCGATTAATTTTCATGGGGATTTAAAATAAAAATAAAATCACAAATAGCTGCAAAATGTAGAGAACTGAATTTAAGATTGGAAAAATGAGGAAATGAGCCAACTGAAATTGGTAGATCCTTTCATCCCTGACATCCACACACCCATTCCGTTTCATGTACAGCATACTTCCTTCAACACTGCACCCAAGTGTAGCAGTTCACATTTAAAGGTGAACCTCCTTAATATGCATTTTCCAAAACAATATGAGAACCAAAACACAACCTTCTGTTGAAATTCGCATTTTGCAATCCAGTTCTCTAGTGAAGTGTTGTGTACAAAAATGCACATACAAATATGTGTTTATTGGGAGAAATATACCGTAGAAGGCTGGTGAGTTCTCATGGGAAGTTGTTGTTTTTTTAAATTCACAAGTATATGTGGAGAACCAAACTTAAGAATCGGGGGGGACACGGATAGAAACCAAAACTGATAGATTTGCACATCCCTGAATTCTGAGGGTGCTTCCTTATAAGCGAAGTCTATCCAAATCAATGGAACTTCAGAGAAAAAACGTTTAGCGTAGGAGTGTGAATACAGTGTCATTTTTCTTTCAGAAGTCTTAAAATGTGGGACAAATCTTTCTTCCTTTCTCCGCTCTCCCTCCCCTTGTCCCATCACCACCACCATAATTGAACTTTGGCCCTTCTCTTCCCACTCTAGAATTCATTCTCCAGGTGCTGTTAACTCCAGGTTGCCTCCACCCCCATCTCGCCCTTCTTCGAGTTATTTATCTTTAAACAAGGCTTGGACTGAACAGTCCTACGGATAAAAGGAATGTCAAGGGGGGCACATGAGCACTCCAAAGATACTTCTGAGGGAGTAATTTGGTAGAACAATGCCTGCAGTCAGATCCTCTTATCTCTCCACACAAGTTCAAAAGGCTGGAGATTTAATTTAATTTGATTTTTTATTTAAATGAAAGTTGGATGTTTGGGACATTGCTGAGGGGACTCGTCCGTCACATGCCCACCTACCTCAGTAGGTACAGCTCTGCAATACATTGAAAGGAAGTTGAAACACCCTATCTGCGGACACACCAAACATTTAAACAGCATAACTTCCCCTTGCCCAAGAATCCTGGGAGCTCTACTTTGTCCCTCACAGAACTACAATTCCCAACACGCTTTACAAACTACAGTTCCCAGGATTCTCGGGCAAGGGGGAGTCATGTGTTTCAAATACGTTGTGTGCATGCAGCCTCCAGCTCATAGACGTAGCATAAGTAGCCAGCATTTTCGGGCAGCAGAACTCAGTCAGGGCCCATCTTGATAATGCTATGGGGGGCGGGTTAGCCCTCTCCCTGCCCTCCTGCCAGACCAGGTCTGGTATTACTTAACAGCAATGGTAGGTGGCTGAGAAGCTGCCATTTAAAAGTGCCCACTGTACTCCAAACAGCTGTCTTGTCAGTGCATTGTGAGTACAGTGGTACCTTGGGTTAAGTACTTAATTCGTTCCGGAGGTCCGTTCTTAACCTGAAACTGTTCTTAACCTGAAGCACCACTAGCTAATGGGGCCTCCTGCTGCTGCCGCACCACCAGAGCATGATTTCTGTTCTTATCCTGAAGCACTATTTCTGGGTTAGTGGAGTCTGTAACCTGAAGCGTATGTAACCTGAAGCGTATGTAACCCAAGATACCACTGTAGTTACAACGGTGGACAGCTCAGAGCTGCCCACCACATATAATGGCGCTGCTGCTGTACAGTGGTACCTCGGGTTACAGACGCTTCAGGTTACAGATGCTTCAGGTTACAGACTCCACTAACCCCGAAATAGTACCTCGGTTAAGAACTTTGCTTCAGGATGAGAACAGAAATCACACAGCAGCGGTGCGGCGGCAGCAGGAGGCCCCATTAGCTAAAGTGGTGCTTCAGGTTAATAACAGTTTCAGGTTAAGAACGGACCTCCAGAATGAATTAAGTTCTTAACCTGAGGTACCACTGCATATTGTTGCCTGTGTGCTAGTTACCTGCAGAAGTTCATGCCTCATCATACTCACTGCTGACCCCCGACGTCTTATAGGGAGCTGCCTTAAACTAAGTCAAACACTTGGTCCACTTGGCTCAGTATTGTCTACACTGATTGGCAGTGGCTGTCCAGGGTTTCAGGCAGGGGGCATGCGCAGCCCTACCTGGCGATGCCAGGGATTGAACCTAGGACCTTCTGCATGCAAAGCAGATGCTCTGTCCCTGAGACATGGCCGGTCCTCTGCCCTCTCTTGGACTGCGTGAGCAGTGACAGGAACAACCTCAGCTCACCCCACCTGTTCTCTATGGACGGTTATTCACATTGGGCCCAGAGGAAGAGGGCAATCTTAGGATCGCAGGGACAGTGGCAAAGAGGAGGGGAACAATCAGGGAGGGACCCCCTGAGTGAATCATCATCATCACTGCTATTATTATTATTATTAAATTCAAAATCTTTTACTTCTACCAGAAGAAGCATACCAAAAAAAGAGAATTTTTGCATTTGTAATGGACCATATCAAAATACACAACATTATTAAGCATACACACAGACACACACACCATTTAGTGAAAGTAATCTTATATTTACACCTCAAGCATTATGATATTACACTTATAAACCTCTTTTACCCATTGTAATAGAAAGTAGTCCATTCAGCCTCTGGATATTCTCAGTTCCCTTTTTTATGTAACTGGTTAGTAAACGCCATTCGCCAAGTTGCTATTGATAGTTTCCTCTGTTCTTTAACATAGTTGCTAATGTAATAAAATTTTATCGCTCACCATTTCCCCTCGTTATATCTGATTTGTATGGTTTATGGGCTTTAGCATACATCAACCTTGTAGTATTTACTATGTGTAGGATTTGAATCCCCTTCATGGATCACTGCCTTGCCATGGCGAAGGGGCTTGAATAACTCAGGGAAGCTATGAGCTATGTCATGCAGGGCCACCCAAGATGGACAGGTCATAGTGGAGGTCCATGGGGTCACAAAGAGTCGGACACAACTAAACGACTAAACAACAACAACAACAACATGATTTGAATTTTATATGTTTGTAATGGTTAGTCCTTGACACAGTTTAAGAGACAAATTAAAAAGTCCAACGGAAGCCTGACCTGAAAAATAATAATAATTACTTTAACACTATTAAATATCATCACCATTATTTCTTCTGAACCAATTTTAATATTAAGTGCAGAAACAAGGTCTGAGACCTAGTGGTGAAGGGTAGGAAAGAAATCAAAATATAATCACAATCACAACAATAATTGTACTTTTTGTTCAATGGAAATGCAGTGTTGTGAGTGCAACCAAGCTCCTCTGAGCATTTTGGGAAAGGGCTGCAAAATCAGAAGATATTCCCAGCAAATGCCCTAAGAATTGCATCTGTAAGAGCAGTCTCCACTTACCAGAGTCTAGAGGAAGGATATTCTCCACTGAATCCAAGTTGATAGAGGGAGTTCATCAATAGGCGAGTCTTGGGTGCTTGCGAATGAACCCTCTGCCAGTCTGAAGCTTGAGGCTCTTTGCCACGCTGCCAACTTCCACAAACCAGAAGGACCCTGCAAGAGGCACCTGCGTAGTCATTGGGAGTGAAGAAACAAGGGGTGTCATCACTGCCACCAAGGAAATGCAATGTTGAGTAAGGCTAAGAGGAAGACAATTAACTGCAAGAGGGCGGGAGAGCCACGACAAGCCATTGCTAACCTAGATTTGCTTCTGAAAGGCTCTTGTGACCAAGCCACGGTCTGTCTGCTACCAAAGCTCCAGGGAAAGAGCTTCTCGCTATCATTAGTCATAAATCTAATGACAACGTTTAATGACTTCCTTCCAGTAAGCACAGAAAGCCGTTGCCCCAAAGCTGCACGGACGCCTTCATCTGGCCTTTGCAAGTGAAAAGTCAGTTTGCAGCAAGCAGAGAACCTCTCTCCCCAGCCCAGCTGCCCTTGGAGTGGCACGCTTTCGCCTGCAACGACACGCTTTTCTCACAACAATCTCAGCCACTTCAGAGGGTAGGATTCAAATGGAACCAGTAAAACATGATGCAATGCTCACAAGGCTTCCTGACAGATATTGGAGAGGGTCAGAAGCAGGGCACATATCTCCTGCACTGGATCATACCTCTCTGTACACAGGATATCAGCAACATTTTTCAGTTTCATTTTTTTTTTATCTCAAGATCATTTCTTCACATTTCAACACCAGTTTGTGGTTTCCCGCCTTTAAAGTCCTCATCACCATTTAATTGCAAATTTCCCCAAATATACACATTTTTGTATAAATGCACATTTCTGCAGAGAAATTTTATTTCGTATAATGCTCTTCTGAATGTTACTTTCACTAATATATGCATTTTTATGCACACTTTACCGTAGCGTATGCATTTTTGTACACGTTACTTGACTGGATAAATTCATTGCCAAATTCGAAGAAGAAGTTTGAATTTAGAAGTCTGGCTCTGTTTCAGCCTATGTATTGTTTCAGAAAGTGTTCACCTTTAAATGCAAATGGAATCAAATTTGTCTCCCATCCCTATTCAAGAATAGACAACGTGCAGGTTTCTTGATGTTATATTGGACCACAACTCCCATCATCCCTGCCAATTGGTCATGCTGGCTAGGGTTGGTGGGAGTTGTAGTCCAACAACCAAGGGGCCAGCCCCCCAAAAAAGTTAATGAGCATTGCCATTCAAGTGGTGTGCATGTGCTACATATCCAGTGCGGGACTTACCTGGGCCCCCCAATATTTTATTCAAGATGGCACTCTTGCCCACTCATTGTGAAAAGAGAAGTTACAGGGAACCAAGCAGAGGGGCTTCTTGGCAGAGAAGCCCACCCTGTTGAACGCCCTTGCAGCAGTTGTCAAGGAGATAAATAACTAGACAACTTTTAGAAGACATCTGAAGGCAGCCCTGTATAGGGAAATTTTTAATGTCTGGTGCTTCATTATATTTTTTATATTCTGTTGGAAGTTGCCCAGAGTGGCTGGTGAAACCTAGTCAGATGGGTTGTGGGTATAAGTAACATATTCATATCATCATCATCATCATTCCCCATGCCACCCAACAGACAGAATTCTGTGCTATCTTGCATGAAAGTACAATGTTATGTGCTGTGAGAGCTATTAGGCCAAAGAACTCTGGAGCTTGTGAGGATGAGAATGACCATAATTTGACTTATGACCGAGTCTAGATGTGCTTGAAACTTCAGGGCGGCCGGATATGAAAACAGATCAAAATCTTAACACCACTGCTGAATAGGGCTCTGAATCATCAGGAGACCTTGTTTCTGCAATTTCCTTCTGATCTCAACAAACCTGTTCACCCCACACAGTCTGGCATCAACTAATTGCATCATACCTTCTCTCCGCACAAGAAAAAGTTGTATGATATAAATCAGAGCATTGCCAATGGGGTGTAAAACAAAGGGTTAAGCAGGCATGAAGAAACCAGGGATGAAAATTGGAAAATAATAATAATAATAATAATAATAATAATAATAGTAATACCCCGTTCATCTGGCTGGGTTTCCCCAGCCACTCTGGGTGGCTCCCAACAGAATATTAAAAACACGATAAAACACCAAACATTAAAACTACCCTAAACTGGGCTGCCTTCAGATGTCAGATAATTGTTTATTTCCTTGACATCAGATGGGAGGGCGTTCCACATGGTGGGTGCCACTACCGAGAAGGCCCTCTGCCTGGTTCCCTGTAACTTCGCTTCTCGCAGTGAGGGAACCGCCAGAAGGCCCTCAGAGCTGGACCTCAGTGTCCGGGCTGAACGATGGTAGTAGAGATGCTCCTTCAGGTATACTGGGCCAAGGCCATTTAGGGCTTTAAAGGTCAACACCAACACTTTGAATTGTGTTCAGAAACATACTGGGAGCCAATGTAGGTCTTTCAGGACTGGTGTTATATGGTCTCGGTGGCCACTCCCAGTCACCAGTCTAGCTGCCAAATTCTGATTAGTTGTCATTTCCAGGTCACCTTTGAAGGTAGCCCCACGTAGAGCACATTGCAATAGTCCAAGTTGAAGATAACTAGAGCATGCACCACTCTAGTGAGACAGTTTGCGGCTCCAAGGTGCATGAAGATAGGTGGTGGTGGTAACTTTGCCTCGATTAGAGGTGCTAATGCAGGGGGCAGGGAACCTGTGGCCCTCCAGATGTTGTTAGACCACAACCTCCATCAGCCTCACCCACCATGTCCAGCAGTGAGGGATGATGGGAGTTGTAGTCTAAAAATATATGGAGGGCTCTAGGTCCCTCCACTCCTTCTCTAAATGTAACAGAGTCTAAAAGAAAACCAATGATTTTGAATTCCATATGAAATAAATAAACACAAGGGAGTGGATGTAGGAGAAGTGAGTGAAATCACCTCCCCTTTCCTCAACACGATATAGGGACCTCCAGATTCCCAGATTATCCCTGTACCTCTAACCTCCTGAGTTAGGATAGACCAGGAAACATTTCTATCCATTCTGACTGTCATTCTATCTATTCTGACTGTCTCGCCAGAGTGGTGCATGCTCTAGTTATCTCCCGCTTGGACTACTGCAACACGCTCTACGTGGGGCTACTTTTGAAGGTGACCCGGAAACTGCAATGTGGCAGCTAGACTGGTGACTGGGAGTGGCTGCCGGGAACACATAACACCAGTTCTGAGAGATCTGCATTGGCTCCCAGTACGTTTCCGAGCACAATTCAAAGTGTTGGTGCTGAGCTTTAAAGCCCTTATCTGCCTCGGTCCTGTATACCTGAAGGAGCGTCTCCACCCCCATCGTTCAGCCCAGACACTGAGATCCAGCGCCAAGGGCCTTCTGGCGGTTCCCTAATTGCGAGAAGTGAGGTTACAGGGAACCAGACAGAGGGCCTTCTCGGTAGTGGCACCCACCCTGTGGAACACCCTCCCTTCAAATGTGAAGGAAATAAGCAGCTATCCTATCTTTAAAAGACATCTGAAGGCAGCCCTGTTCAGGGAAGTTTTTAATATTTAACGCTGTACTGTTTTTAACACTTGATTGGCTGGGGAAACTCAGCCAGATGGGCAGGGTATAAATAATAAATTATTATTATTATTATTATTATTATTATTATTATTATTATGTTCATCCTACAATGAACTACTTGGATATTTTTCTTACTCTACAAACATCACTGTGCATAGCTGTGATTGCAACGAGTGAAGTCTACTCTTTAAGGTTCACTCGCCAAATGTTGCTCATTCCACATGCAAAAAGGGTTCAATAGGTAACTGACCCAGTTAATCACAACAGGACCCATGGAGGGTGTCTTGCCTGAGGGTCCTCCAAAACATGGAGCTGCCATTGCTACTCATGTTCAATTTGAAATGTGCAAACACACACACACAATTACATGTGGAAAGAAGTGTCTCTTGGAGAGTAGTAATCATAATCAAGAAACGTTGGAAGCCACCTTGTATTGTGTCAGACCAATTGGTCCATTGAGCTATATATAGACTACCTTGACTGGCTATCCAAGGTTTCCAGTAAGGAGTCTTTCCCAGCCCTAGTTGGAGATGCCTGGAATTGAATCAGGAACCTTTCGCCTGCAAAGCAATTGCTCTACCATATGAGAACCAAAATACAGCCCTTCTTCGAATCCTATCCTAATTTTGTGATGCGGTTCTCCAACCAACGTTTGCCAAAAATGCAAATGTTCAGGAAAAGTGCACATAAAATTTAACAAATTAGTGAAAATAATAGACAAAAATGCATTGCGTTAGGAAATGTCATTTGCAAAAGTTGTGTATATTAGTCAAAACAGCATACAAAAATGTGTTTCTTAGGAGAATTTCTCACCAAAATGCTGATGAATTTTCATGAGGATTTTTTTTAAAGCAAAGTGCAACAGGAATGTAGAGAACTGAATTTAAGAATGGAAATATGAGAAACCTAGAGAACCAAAATTGACAGTCTTCCATCCCTTCTAATGAGGCAATTCTTCATATGTGACATAAATAGTTCCTTGTTATGTTCAACAATATGCACATCCTGGCTTTTCTCTGCTCGGCACATCTTATGGCCAGGGGTCTGTACCAGAACTTAAAAGAGTAAGCTCAGTAAAAGCCTGAAGTACAAAATGCCTTGTCTGTCCCAGCATCCTCCTCTCAAAACATTTGATAATTCTGAATTGGGGGTTTTAGAGTAAGGGAATAATAATAATTAGAAAAACCCTCTTTGCTCTCTTCACATCATTAACCATTTGAATCTCTATCATGCCAGCAACTGATAAAGAGAGTAAGAAAACAGACCCATGTCAGGGAAGGAGGCCTCCACTACTAGCCCTCACAAATCTGAGGCTCAGGAGGAGCCAGTGGAAACCATAAATTGCCTAAAGTTACACTTAACCGCCCAGGAAGATGCCCCACGCAGGGGGTTACGGATTTTAGGGCTCCATAACACTCTGACTGAGCCCACTTCCTACCTTCGGATCTTTCAAATTCATACAAATGTATTCCATCAGGGAACACTGCTCTTCAAAAATGTATCTATTAGGCAAAACTACACGTGAATGTGTGCATATTAGGATAAATTGACACAAAGTGCCAATGAATTTTCATGAGGACTTAAAAAAAATAAATGAGGAAATGTGGAGATTGAATTTAAGGCTTGAAAAAAGAGAAACTGAGAGAAAGCGGAACTGCCGGATTCACCCATCCCTATTTAGCGCCACCTCAAAACCAAGCAGAGGTCTTACCGCTTTCCACAGGATATAGACCAGCCCAGGTCCTTGACCTTATCCTCAGGCTGCTTCTCAGATTCTGCTCCAC